ACGATCTATCGTGCTATTATCATTATATAACGTTGGTTCCTTGGTAGAAAGTCTTGATGTTATTCTCGTTCTCATTGTTTAATTTTTCAACTATTTCTTTCGATATAATAGCGAAGGAATATCAATGTATTATAGCTGGCTTCGGCGGCAAACCTATCTGGAGCTTTTCAATATAAAGTGAAAGTGATTATATCCTTTCATGGTGGTTCCAAGAATGGTAATTTAACCTATAGTTTCGTATATTACCTCCCGTTCGTTAATTCCTCAACCGCTTGAGCAGCTGAGCTTGTCTCCTTGCTTACTTGTAAACTATTCTCCTTTCAAAGTTCCTGTCTTTGAAGTATCAGTTTTTGATTTCCTAGGAGTCTATATTGTAATGCTACTTTAATATCCAATTTACGAACTCGATTCATATCCACCACAGTATAATCTGGAAGTTCTCACTCTCAAAATATCTCAATATCACCAGATAGTCGTATTGCGTTGGACTCATCTATCTGAACTCTATCACCTTGCATCTTCGCAAAGATATCATATTCCTCTTCCCACAATCAATCATCTTGCTATTGTTCAGATCTGATCTAGTCATCTGGTATGTATTTCTATTTTTTCCTGTTCTTATTTACTAGTATTGACATCTTGTTGGCTGAAAGCTGATAATTTTATTATAAGAAAATGCCCCCGACATTAAATAGTACTGTTAGATTCCTAGATCAGGAAGCTATACGCTTCCAAATATCCAATATATATAATATCTGAGAAATACATTTCCTACACATTTCAGCACATAATCTCATAGCTAGTCTAGTCGCCTACTATATTCCGTGGTCGTCAAAGTTCAAACAGATATAGATATATATACATTGATTGATAATATCAAGTGATAATAACACTATAGCAGTAGTACCAGGGTATCCAATAGTCCGGACTGCAGGACGGACTAACATTTTTGAATTAAACGGTCCATTTTAAATCCAATGAAAAAGTAGACTAGCTAGTCCAATAATATTTGAAGCTAGACTATTAGTCCGATTCTAGTACATGTAATTACGTGATCGTACACTAAAGAATATCGCGTCTATATAAACCTTCCCACCCTCGAAGTGATATCAATAGCTATATTACTGATCTTGTCAAAGTCCTTTTGATACTACTAGAGTTTTTCGTAACCTCGAATCATATGATTTTTACTAGCATACCTTATACTTTCGAAGAATTCGGATAAGCTATTTCTCTTAGTATAGGGAAAACTGGATCAAATCCCACACATTTTGACTTAATATAGTATAATTGCCAATCAGGTAAAGGATTCCTGCCAATAGGAATACAGAAGTCAGATCTGTCAGAATAACCTTAAGTTTTAATCACTGCATAGCTTATCCGAATTCTTCGAAATTATACGGTATATCAATCACAATTAGTCCAGAATACTAAATATAACTTAATCACATAACATACCATCCAATCTGATCTCACCAAGAAACCCAACTCTTTTCCTAGTTCCAGTCTAGAAAGATATTATATTTGTATTACTACTATGCTCCACCATCCGGCACTTGCTTCCTTGCTTGCTTTCTCGAAGTAGTTTCGAAATTCAAACTCTAAATTCAAATGCCGAGGCTAGTTCCAGATTATTCCAATTCCATCTAGCCTTATCTAGCAACCCTAATAGACGGACTAACAGTCTAACATAAACTAGCTCCTCATTGTGGTTCCTTGCTCATACGGTATATTTACTTAAGTCAGTGTCACTAGTGGTTTAGTTTAGCTTAGTTTACTTACTCTAGTTGAGGCTTGAAAGTTGAGGATCTGTTTTGTAAGAAAGACAACAAATAACAAAAGTGCACTTTACATGTATACATACATTTCGATTCCATTCCTCTTGCATCCCATCCTACATGCAATGCACCCAAATCAATGAAGGCGGTCGGTTGCGTATTGTAGATACTCACTACACTATACTCACTACACTACACTACACTACACTACACTACACTACACTACACTACACTATACTATACTACAAAAGCAAAACCTTTCTTCCCATGATTCGATTTATTATGAGTATTATACTTAATCTCATACCAACCTCATTACTATCACTATCCATCATCCACTATCCACTCAACAAACCCCGATTCCCAATCTCAATTCCCCATCTTCTCCTCTAGAACATAGTACATACATATATTATATCCATGATAATTCGTCACTAACTCACTGAATCACTTAATGAAGACATTTACAATACAATACCATATCAATACACAGTCGATTGCATATCAGTTATCCAACAGTCGATAGTCGATAGCAATAAGAATTAAAGAAAGACTATCTTTCAAATTTTCTCTAAACATACCGGTTACTGGTCCGAGTATACCTACCATATTTATACTCGAGTACATATCTAAAATATACCGCCCAAGAATATGCCAACGCCAACGCCAACGCTAACACATAGACATACACATACACATCATAACATGACATGCCCTCCGATAATCTACTACAGTCTACCGTAAACTTTCGAAGACTTCGGACAAGCTAAAACTCTCGGTATAGCAAAAAAACTGGATCAAATCCCGCACAGTTCGATTTAAAATAGTATAATTGCCGATCAAGTAAAGGATTCTTGCCAATAGGAATACGAAATTTAGGCTTATAAGAATAACCTTAAGTTTTAGCTTGTCCGAATTCTTCAAAAGTGCGAGTATACAGTACTACAAGGGAAATGCATTCCTTGGCATTTTTAATTCCTGTGTGTGACTAATGAGTAACTAGCTAACTAACCAGCTAACAAACTAACAAGCTAATATAGAAAAGGCCAAGAACCACAAACTCTATCATCATTTCACTCCACAAGACCAATACCAGAATCTTCCTCCATCCATCCATACACCCTATTGCATCCGCTCTTGTCCGCTCTCGTCCGCTCAACACTTTGCCATCTTGCCATCTTGCCATCTTGCCATCTTGCCATCTCCTCTGCCCCAACCTCTAAACCAGTCTCCAGACCAACCTCTAAACCAACCTCTGACCTTTAACCAGTTACTAGTAGCTTACCACCACATTTCCATTTCCATCTCCCATATCTCCTGGGAACTTCAACTACTCCTCAATTCCCATTATTGATTACTAATCAATAATCAATAACATAATCAGATCTTACCCTTCCCTATTTCCCTATTTCCCTATTTCCATACTTTAGGTTTGTGTTTGTGTTTGTTATTGAGCGAGCCGCAAGATATTTTGTCTACTAGTACTTATTTAATTTTGGGTTTCGGTTCTATATATATAATGAAATATTGTCAATATATAGAATAGAATAGAATAGAATAGAATAGAATAGAATAGAATGGACCGACGACACAACAATAACTGCCCCTCTTCCCCCCTCACCCCCATAATACCAGAATCCGACTCGAATAAGAACTATCATATTATATTATCATGATATATATACTCGAGTATAAGTCATATATTCAATCTCTTTGATACGAGTACTGTAGACCAAACCAAGCAAGAAGAAAGAGAGAAGTTGGACAGATTAGAATCGAATTATAATATAATATACGAGTGTAACTGATAAACAACTACTCGAGTACTCCCCATAAATCATATCCATATCCATATAAATATGAACATAAAAACTCAAGTTTTCCTTCAGCTCTATAAGTTTATAAGCATATATAAAAAGTGATTAGTTCAACCTCCCTCCCTTACGCATATAGCATAGCCAGCCCCTTCCCCCATCCCTCCCTCTAAAAAGGGTCAAGAACTACATATTATGACCATGCACTCCGAACAACAATGACATTCTAAATTCTCACCAGCACTCCATCTCCATCAAGAATTGTATGTCGAAAACCTAGACACCAGAAAAACCCACCAAAAGAAGAGGAATGTACCCAGACAGCTTAACGACACAAGAAGTTTATGTTTATGCACACGAAACGCCAATACGCATATCCAACCCTATGGATATGGACATGGAAATCGTACACTATCAATGATCGATAATGCCTGAGACTACTCGAGGGGTTTTCATGTTCGATGACGCTCTTGTTACCATACTATACCATTGCTAAAGATGTACATACATAATGTTATATCTGCGCAGGGAGATACTATCAATGCAGCCGATGCAGATGTAACTTTCAAGCAAGATGATGTTGTTCGAGACGGAAGATCAATAATTGATATGCTCTTTGGAAAGCCCCAAGGGACTGCTTCAAATCTCACCGCTTCTTTTTTTCTCAAATAATTTATAGCTATCAACAGATTCTTAAATATTACTCGTTGTATGCAACGGAAACGCTGAGCATCATGTTTTCTTCTGTAATGCTTGTATAATAACAAATGGAATCCAGTAAATCGAAAGGTTAGTGCCTCCATAGTAAACTAGAGGATGGTAGGGCTTTGTCAAATTTGGTAATCTGATCATCTCGAGTGTATCCGGCCAAAAGTCAACATGCTTTGAATTTATTCATCGGAATTCACGGCCTAGAAAGTGCTGCATCTAATTGAGGATTTTGGTGGTGTGTATGTAAAGAGAATTCCTTACAACATCAGGTAGAAGTCCATGGGATACGTATTCTTTAAGAATACGGTGTGACAAGTTAGTCGGAAATAATGAAATGGCTTACATGCACCAAAAGTTTCAAGAACTTTTCATGAAGCACTGATTCCCGGAATCCATGTGTTGTATGCATCCAGATCCAGATGGAGGATAAAAGAATGCGTTGGAACTTGAAATATCCTTCATGCGCAGAATCCCAGTTTCCATTCGAAATGGTGCATGGGATTATTACCGTATATAATAACCCCACTTGATGGAAATACCACTCGTCCCGCCAAATTTGGCGCTCCAGACTTCCAGTATGAATGGCAGATTTGATGCAAGATATAGGGTTGTGTTGTTTGAGTGTCGTAGTAGGGGTATACGAGATACTCGGGCACGTAGAGAGTGATAGGGTTGGGTATCAATCCGAATCTTCACATCACAAAATTCCTATTGGTTTCGGCACCCATGGTCCCTCCCAGCGCGCCCAGCCTTTTTCCGTATTATCCGTGGAAGGCTTATGATCCACATCGACTTGCATGGATGCAGCAGCGGCGCCATCCAAATCGTGTTCCATTTTCATCATTTCCGCGCGGAAATCATTAAGATTTCCGGTGGGTGTGTGGGGAAAGGAAGAAGCGTTGTCTTTTGAGGATTTGGCTTCTTCCCAGTCAAAAATCTTCTGTCGGAATTTGAGCGCTTGTAACAAAGTCAGGGGATCCTCGGAAGATTCTTCCAGTTCATCCAACGCGCAAAGAAGGTCGCCTCGTCCGTAGGCCTCAAGTCGATCCTTTATCATATTCAGATTAATTCCTTCATCCTTCCGCTCTAGAATCCCGCGCACGAATGTCTTGCAGCAATCATCGTCCTCTTCACCGATTGATAAGTCTGCCCAGTAGAAGTCCCAAATCCATTTCAGCGCTTTGCGCGCGGCCATTCTAAGCTTGGGGAGCGATGGAAGTTCCTCATGGGTCGCTTGGTGTCGAAGTTCGACGTATGTAGCTGGTAAACCGATAGTTTTCGCAATGGAGTACATACTTAATTTGCGACGCTTGTCTTGATGACTATCGAGAAGGCCCGTGACGAATCTAATACACAAATAGAAAACAGAAGTTAGTCATTAGATGGAAATGGATAATGAAGAAATCGAAATCATACCGACAAAAAGCAGCAGAATAAGCAGCTCTGACACAATATGTTGAATTTTCAGGGACATCATTTAGGATAGCCGAGGTAATAATCGCAGAGGATTCAACGAGATGGGGACAATTTCCTCGTTGCATCCATACGGAGATGACGCATACGGCTTGTCGGCGATGGGTATCATTAGGAGGGGCTGTCTCAGTATCTTGGTAGAGTTTTTCGCGTACTTGTATAAGCTCGCGACGCGTTCGCCAAGGTGTAATTACATATTGAACCATAGTTTATGGTAGGAAGAAAAGGTCGAATTTTCAGAGAAGACGATATTTCGGAATAATATGAGGGATGCGTTGACTTAGCGTTATCAACAAAATTGGGTTACCAGTGTTACCAGACCAGTTGCCGAGAATGCGATGCCAAGCTTTCTATGTGATTTGAGAGCCGAAGTTTTAGCGTTCAGCTTTTGGTAGAGCTTATTAAGCTTAAAGCGACCCTTGATTTAATTGGTTGGTGAGTTTCTTATTGAAATTGGTCCAGGCTTGTTTCTATGGCCTAGGATTCAGGAGAGGACTTGAATTCTCTAAGGTGTTGAGTAATTCATTCATTCAAGTCTACATACTCAATCACTTACTTCACTAGCATCAACTCATGAGGAAAATTCATCTAGTTTTGTTATTTTCGAACTTTTCATTCGGCTATTGATATTGTATAGAACTATATACTCAATATTACTTGAGTATATATTCATTGTCTGAGTAGACGACCATCCAACAACATTTCTGATAGAAGTGTCTAATGATAACCTAAGATAGACCCTCCATCCCAATGTTGAGTCTCTGCTCATTCCAGTCATTGCTGACATGATCCTATAAATTTCCCCTGTGCCCAATATCCAAGCCAACTCCGTCGCTAAAGTCAAAGTCATAAAATTTTCCCATCCGGAGACCATGCTCCATTAAATCAGATCCAGCCTGTGTTTTCGTAATTCGTTGCGTAACTCGCGTTGAAGTTGAAGATTTGTGTAGGGCCCATCATGTAAGCACTCGTGTCAACCATTTGATCGGGGTTTTCTGACACAACGTCGAGATCCTCCTCATCTTCTCCTTCACCATCGTCCTCATCATCTTTGTCGTCGTCCCGTTCACATGGTGGTTGCCATGTCTCCTCTAACCTCAAACTTTTCCTTGCCGGTTCGGGTCGACGATAACTGTTCCCAAAATGCTGTGACGACATCATTCGATAGTTGTCGAGTTGTGGATCCGAAGGCGAAGTTTTGCTATGATCTGGAGTATCATATAACCCCATACCAATCAACTCCTCCCCCTCTAGCTCATCGCCGGATAGTGAGTGATAAGGTATCGATTCTTCCGAGGTAAAACTGGGTTCGGGATGTTGGATAGGTAAGAAGCTATCTGGTGTGGGTGGTGCAGTACCATCCTCGAATCCATTTGCTGCAAAGTGATTCCAATCAAAATGTGAATACATCGTTGGATCTTGATTGTTGTTTGTATATGAAGCTTGAACATCCATCATGGTATTTTCCAATGTTGTATGATCTGAGTTGTACATTTGGTCAAATGCGTATGAAGTAGGTGCAGCAGTGAAGGGGTATGAGTTGTGATGATCCTCACTGAAAGGCATCGACACGGGAGAAAGGCTTAAGTCCGGTGATGCGTATCCGGAGTAAACAGCTGGGGTCGAGACATCATAGTTATAATACTCTTGGGGATATGGGAATGCATCCATAGACTGCATTGGTTGGTACATTTGTTGTTGTGAAGATGGGTGCCAACTGACGGGACGATTCGATCTTATTGGCATTTGTGATGAAAGTCCATCATTCGACTCCCAATCATTAGTCGCCATCATCTGTTGTTGGCCGATCATATTCATCTGGCGTTGGTAGGGTTTATCTGACATGAGGGTCCGCCGTCTATTCTGTTTTACGGGACCTCGTGGGCTGTTGCTGGCACTGCTTGATTTGGCAACGCGCATCGGTGTCATGTTCCTTTGTCCATTCGGCGTCGACATTCGATTTCGAGAGAGCGAGGGCTGTGCCGCCAGATACATCTGAAGTTCATCATAACCCATCATGTTCGCTTCATATGCTGAAGTAGCATAAGTTGAATCCATTTTGTGATATTGCAGTAGAAGAGGTAGTCGAGGCAGAGAATGAAAGAGAAAGTTGCGGTTGAGGAGAGGAGGGGTATATAAGGTATGTGAACAAACGTCAACTGGACGTCAGTTGTTGAGGTATCATAGCCTTGATATGATTAAAGCTAGAAAATGCTGAACTTTAAATTATGAGAAAGGGGATCTACCCAATGTTCCAAGTGAGGACTAAATATCGGCAATAGTACAAATATGAAGGCTACCATGCAAGTGACTTACCGTAAGGTTGCGGTATGTTGTCTGTGTCATCTGGTTGATGATGGATCCCCAATCGATCCCACGAATAGGCAAGGATTCGATCATAGGGAATTTCGGCGGGTCTGAGCTTCTTCTGGGGATACTAGACACCAGGGCTTTTGTTGGCGGTCAAAAGTCAAAGCCCCCTGGCTTGCAAACATACACAGATTCGAAAAAGCCAGCGGTACAAAGGAAGACAAGGGGGTGAGCTACATCCCGCGGCCGGATACATATCGCGTACGAGGCTCCTTCGCCCCAGGTGTGCGGTGATCAAAGAGGTGCGTGTCAATCGATGAATCAACTTATCGAAAGAAAGGAAACTTAAAGGAGGGCGAGAAAAAGCGGTCAGCTTGTATCAAGCCAATCAGCACAAGGGTGGGATGGATGTTCATTCTTCAAGGGGTGAATATATCAAGTAGCCGACGGGCATGCCACTATGGTGGAGTAAGTTTTGTATGTAAGACCCGTATGTGGTAAGAGTAGTGTAGCACTTATCGTAGTGATGAACATCTAGCATAATTGGCAGATATGTGGCCTTCCTGTATTTGACACAGCGCCCCTGTAATAAGTTTTTTTTAAGTGTGGATGTTTTGACATTCACTTTGGTTATTTTAGTTTCGTTATAGTGCACATGTGAAATTATGGAATTTAGTCAGATTCTCGGTCTCATCAATGTTCCACCACCCATCACAAACGTGGGTAAGCTTCCATACCCATACACCCATACTCCGTTTTATTTACATTGAGAATCCCTTGGTCCTATAGGAAAGGGCTATCCTATTGAAAAGCCTAGACGCCTAGATCAAAGACGGCCTAATAATAATATAGCCTATAAAGAGTACGTACAGTAAGTCAATAACGATTAGGTAGATCAAAGGAATCACAGGGAGAGAAGCACGAATAATGAAATGCAGTGCTACTGACCAAGACCTGGCATGGCCATGATATTTATTAGATAGGACTCGTTCTACATTTGGCGACATATTCCATATCCCAACACGATTGGGTAATGAATGTAATGAATGAATGAGCATATTTTCAATCAGATAACCCCATATATTATAATTCTGATAAATAATATACGTAATTATTTGTATTAGTTTTGCCTTATTATAATACGACACGCGCTATATTCGAAATAGGGAAAGAAGGCGAGATAACTCGTAGGTATTTTTGACCGTGGAGAGAGTGGGGACACAATACGCGAGTAGATAAAGTTACTTTGAGTGGATGATGCAGAAATAAATCACCGACTGTTTATTAAAATCCTTGAAATCTGGGTTAGTAAACTTTGTATTAGTGTGACACTAGGTATGGATTACCAGCCACCATAACCAGGTAATGAGTCCAAGAATCCAAGCCTCCAAGGTCGTCCCTATCACGAAACACCAATAATATGCAACCAGTTACCGGTAGTGCTAACCACATCTCTGTGAAACTATGAGCCACAGTCCAAGGAACGATAATTTTAGGTGCGACAGATCAATCAATCGTTTCGCCCGCTTGTCCCAGCTATGCTATGGTAAGCTTTCATCTGTCCATTGTCACAAAACATGATGATCTTACAATATTGTCTAAAGTCTAATAAGACCAGGCGCCAAAATCATGGGAAAACACCAACTAGCCAATTCCCATATTATGTCATACTCTACTAATTGTAGCAGCAGATTTAGTCAAATATCAAAATCTCCATCTATGGACTGACTCATGGTTACCACACACACACACACATCATGCATATCGAGGCCTAATCAGCAGCCAAAATGGAAAGCAATCCATCATGAGCCAGATTCAGCAAGCAACTGGGCATGAACCCGCGGCGGAGTATGATGCACAAGCACACGAATGGTATGCATGCGCAATAATAACTAAGACCGGCATATGGCAGGCAGATCATGAAGCCATAAGCGTAACCCATGGCTTTTCCTTCCAAGGTTAATTTGGATGGGAAAACTTTAAAGGAATGGAAAAAGAATCAAAACGTTTTAGACCCATGTTGGCATGCATGGTCGGAGGGCCCTGAGTTCAAGTCTCGATTCAAGATTGAGGCTTGTTTGGTCATCGAAGACTTTAAGAAGGGCGCTTTGAATTCCAAGGTAGTGTTAGTGTCTTAGATATCCCTGTTTTGAAGACTCCTAATAAGAATACGGTATCATCGGTAAAACCCTTCCCCTGTCGTCCGAGCTTCTAGGGTTCTTCAAATGTCAAGATGCCAAGATGTGGGTTGTTCGATATCAAGAGATAGGGTACACACTTCGTGACTCTAACTCTTCTGTATCTACCTTCATCAAGTTCACAGAGCTTATATCGAATCGAAATACATGAGGAACCCAAGGATGTTTCGCAAGGGGGGTAAGCATAGCGGCGCTGAAACCGATTCGGATTGAATTGGTACGTGGAGAAGCCGGAATGAACATGGAATTCAACTCAATCTTATATGAGCTAATAATTATTCTACCACAATCCACGATGGGATCCGCATGCCAGGAAAACTTGTTAAACAGTTAGACAGACAACACGGAAATGGCGGCGTCAATATAGCATCCGTTAGACGATCTGCGTCCATGCCATATGGATTTAACTAACAATTAGATGACTGTTTTCGATTGATATTTTCATGTTCTAACCTATAAGGGATATATAATCGGAGAGTCTTTTTATGTGGATGCACATTGTGCAGTCTAGTACTACTACTACTACTAACTACTACCACCCCGCAATAATCCTAGTCTACTAGCATATGAGCCGGGCCCTTGGAAACTTATAGTGCAAGAAAAAGACTGGAACTAATTCGCAGCATCTACAGTGCTAAGCCTAATGACGCGTAAAACGATACTTTCCACTAAAGGACCTGCATGATACTATTCGATGGAAGAATAAGTGACTAACTAAAAATTAATCGCTTAAGTAGATCTTACCCATGTATCACTGTTTTTACAATTCTTACTTTTTCCCCTTGCTTTTCCCCTCTTTTAGGCTTTAGCGTGTTTCTGTTACCCGTGTCACGATTTTACAATTAAAGGGAAGGGGTCCCTGGATCTAGAAGTTTAGATCCACACAACCAACTGCCTTTAGCATTCCTTTCTTTAAGTTTCTTATAATGCAAGCAAGGGTCCGGCTACTTCAAAACTTATTTCGGACCTTATTAAACGCTCAAGACATCATAGCACAAGATGCATATCCCGATCCGCCTCCCTCGCTTCTTCGAAGAAAGCCAAAGCCAAAAACAAAACAAAATGCTCATCAGAAAAAGAAATCCTCATCCCGGTGGACAAGGCTGGGACCGAACTTCCTTTTCGGATTTCCATGCACAAGGGGGCTGCACCTGCAGTGATACCCACTTTATCTTTCCTAGAGACCGGCGGCGGGTATAATAAGTATAAGCTCGGATTGCTGAAAAGGAACAGATCCCCTGCGAGATGAGGCACGGAAATTTTTCAACTTCAGGATCGCTGCATTATTCTTGTTGCGGGATTTGCTGGCCGATTACAGCATCTATAAATTTCGTTTGGGGCCAGTTGATCCTTTGCACTCACTCCTTGGTTGATCAACCTAATTATAAGCACAGCGTACCTATTACCGGTGAACTGTCCAAAAGACCAGGAAGGACTGACTAATAAGACCAATAATTGAAAAAGCTGGATGCTGGATAGAATCCTTGATGCGTAATGAGTGGATGGTATTCAATCAATTATATCAAGTTGGTAAGACCAGCACTCTAAATTAACCCAAACCTTCCGAACGAGCATTATTCAAGCACAATATCATCTTCTGCTGATCAGCCATCCATCTATATTTGCTCCCGTCTCTTGTATTAGGCTTGGTCGGTCGCTTCCAATAATGAATGCTGATAGCTCATCTCGTAAGTTGCGAGTTGATAAATTGTAACCCACCTTTAGACAATAGTGGCATCAATTTACGCCATGTCCATCGTGGCATCGTACCCTCATGCGAGTATTTGAAACCCTTCCCTTCCACTCTACTCCTGACAATTCCAGAATCCTTATCCTCGTCTCGCCGATGGATATGATGCCTGCCAGCCGATCTTCATGCTTGCAACACCCCTTCTCGGCTTTCGCACCGTTGCAGATGCTGGCATCCTGTTCCGGCTCAAATTCCTTCTTCTGAGTCTTGATTAGGGCGGGGCAAGGCAAATATGTCGTAGAGTAAGTCACTTAACCAAGATTGAAACAAGGATTGTGACTGTGTGACTATGATTGTGATTGGCTTTGAGTAAAACTTTGGAGCGATCTATCATATAAGCTTGTGGAACACATGGCTATATACTGATTAAAAAAGATGATTTTGTATTTTCCAGCGCTATATATTATTAGACATTAACTATCCTTATCAAATCCATATATTCATGATCCTTAACATTTCCAAAAAACTCAACTGTCTCCAGACATATAAATTTCATACAATGAATCTCCCCTCCCTATACCAGATATCATATCAAAAAAGAGGCTCTCACTCAGAATAGATTTCCGCCTTTCCCTATCTCGGAACGAGAAAGCTAAAAACAGGGGCTGTCGTTCGTTCCTTTATATCCCCCCTCCCCCTCATGAGTCAACCGTTCCAAACCTGTGCTGCATCCTCCCTACTTTAAGATTTACATTTGATATCCATCTAATATGTACAGCTGAAAATGTCTTGCACACTGCTCTCTCTATTCATCCATCATCCATCCATCATCCATTCATGATTTATCAGGGAGCAAGCAAGCGGATTACGCGCCAAAAAACAAAGACCGAGGTATCAAGCATTGATACATCCTTCCCCCAATATAATCACGTCTGTCGCATCCATGATCCATCGTACAATAAATAAATAAATAAATAGTACATACAGTAGATTCGTATCCAGATCCGCGCAACCCTAGACCAAACTCCTTGATTGAATCTCCGATATATATGTATGCAAAGACCAGCATTATAAGTTGGAACTTGTTGGTACGATAATAAGCATGATCAAAACTTATCATATCCCAACCAAAACAGTACTGTATGATTGGATACTGGTTCCTTGCTATCGATAATGCATATTCTGTAGATTATATACCGTACTCATTTATCGGGCCAGACACCATACGTATTTCGTAACCAGACCCCCCCTCCCCCAAGGATCCAATCCCGCGTCCGCGTGAAACGTAAAGGGGACCCGGTGGACCTTGTTTTACGAGTTATTATATACATAGAATCATACTCGGGAGGATTCTCAAGGCAATACAGGTAGGTACAAGTTGTAGAACTTGTTATCCCCACCATTGTTACAATGCTTCCAGCCTTTCATATCTACAACACAGCAAGTGTAGGAACTAGGAATCAAGTATCGAAGCCTAGAGGGAGGGGGAGGGGGGCGCAGATCAATGTCATGTCATGTCATCGATATTGAATGTATCGACTCGAAACTTTACCAATTCTGAACAACTTGTCAGATCGACGAGAAAGTTAGAAAATAAGACAGAATATCAGTGTTCAAGTCGCAGTAGTATCATCCATCATACGATCATCCAACTTCCAAGCGTCTAATACCGGTGCTATGAGCCTCACTCGGAGAGCTGGAACAAGCGTACGATTGACCAAATCTGGGAAATCTGGAATTTGCTTAGGGCACTAGTTAGCAATGCGATAGGAGTAGATAGTACCTGTGGCAATATGGAGGCCAAGGTTTGAGAACTCCAAAGAATAGACGGAAATTTCGGGACTTGAATCGAGTACGAAGTAAAATTCAAGTAAATGAACACCAAATACGTGGTGAACCATCACGAGCTTTGGATTACGGAGGCTGCGCTTCGTAATCTCCTATCCATCCGTGGTTGAGATTTTCAGCTAAGCAGTATATATTTTCGCGGTAACGGCAAGGCAAATTCCATCAAATCACCATGGTCAAGCATCACTCAGCCACATACACATACGCAAACGCAAATGAATGTACGTTTTAATTCTTTCGAGATTTGTGTTCGTTGGTTGGTTCTTGGTGTCAATACGGGTGGGTAGTGGACACGCGATATCAAAGTTCAAGAAGAAGACGTAAATGAAAAATCGGATGAACGGACATGGTGCTATGGATAATGGTAGGCATGGTTCTAACTTCCAACGTATCTGCAGCTTATATAATAGCCTCTTTTCCTGCTTTGGAAAGGATCATGGTAATTGATTGTAGGGATAATCGCCCTGCAAAATACTTCTATGATCATAGTATGATGGAGCATTGGGGGGATAAGGGGGGGGGGCGAAAAGTTGCAACGTATCTCAGAGAAAGAGATGCGTATCCGGAGATACTGATGGTTTTCCGAGCTTCGGGATAAAATAGTTGAATCGAATGCTGCGTTGGACTGAATGTCACGATGTAATGAGAAAACTTTGAAGTGTGGGTGGGAAGCAAGCAAGCAAGCAAGCGGGATCCTTACCTTTTTCGTACTCTGTTTAATAAACGGATCGGAAGTGACTGGGAGGTTTCGTTCTCACCGAGAGTGATGGTTGATCATCTCACTCAATGCGTGGGTTTGAGGTCCTATGGAAAAGCTGATATGGATGGGTACGGAGTATAGCATGACACAACGGAGGTTGTTTCCAGTTGAGTGATAAGTAGGTATTCAGTGGTGTTGATCTCGTACATTCTACTGCACGAACCAGGAAGAAATGAATTGGATTTGTCTCGTAGAATCGTAAGTGGGTTGGTTACCACTAAGGGTGGGCAATTTTCTACCCTCCCCATTGTTTCGGTTGGTGACTCGTGAGTCGTGAGAAAGTAACGAAGAATCATGGATGGGTGCTGGATCGTTGGTGCTGTACAACGCATCTGCATCCTCAGAAGATACTGTACATGTGCGGGCGCATTGGGCTATCATCGGTGTAGGGTGGTAGATAAAGGAATAATACAGTACTTTCAGGGTCAAGGCAGGGCCAGGGGGGAAAACTAGTAAGGCACGAGATCATGAGATCATGTATGAGGGAAATTAGGAATAACGTGCTTGCTTCTCAAATACTTGTAAATGCATCAAGATCCAAACATCGTAAATGCAAGGTCCGGTCCAACTGCACAACTCCACATACTGTACTTTGTTCCGAACTGACTTATCATCCTTCAAGGCTATTAATTGAACTCTCCTTCCATTTTCATATGTACTCGGGGTGATAAAGTCATCTAGCTACGTACTGCAATGCTGCAATACTGCAATAACTGCATCATTTGCTTCTCCTATATTGAAAAATAGGGGGTTACAACCGTGACATGGATAACATCTGCATTCATGTTATTAATGAGGTTATAGCATAACATAGCATGGCATATGTGGGGTATCAACTAATAGGCACACCAATGGTATCAATCGACAAGCCTGAATGCCAAAGTAATCAATGATATCGCATTTTTATTGAAACTTTATGAATGAATTCCCAATATAATCGATCAAAGAAAGGATTACGGACAGTAGAAAGAACGGAAAGATAAATTTATAGGAAGAAACCGTTTGGAATATTGCTATAATGAATAGTATAGGATTTTGAAGAAGGAAAAGCCCTCTGGATTCTTGCATTCTCAACTATGAGGGGTAGCTTTTAAGACATGAGAATTGATCCATTGTTTATAAATTATACCACAATACAATAAATATCAAACAAAATGGCCAATTCAACACCACGAAGGATATCCCTTCCTAGCAAAGATCCATTTGATGCTCATGATGAAGTATGCTATCGCGATTGGGAGCTTGCGAGCTCAAAGATTCGTTCGGTATTGACTAACAATCGCAGGGTCACTCGAGCGCAAGCGATTCCGAGTATCAACATGCGCTGGAAGTAAGTCTATCAACGTTATTTTCCTCTGCGAGATTCTGTCCAGCTGATTAAATCCCTTCTTACAGGTAGTTTTCGATGCTCAAAATGCGCATCGTAGGAAGTCATCCCTCGTAACAGCGGATACTCCCGCAGCGACCTTTCAGCGAAGGAAAAATACAGAATGCTATGTGCACGCATTGCTGGAGAGTCAGCGAAAGAGCGGTAGGACATCGAATAGTGGATTGGAGGGAATAGCGGAAACTCTGGCATCACGCAGGATTGCCAGTGCTACGGATGGCGTTGAAGAAAAAGATGATAAATCGGTGGACGCAAAAGCGCATAACCATAACGAAGAAGAGGAGAACTGTGGACAGGTTGATGAGACTTCTTGGAGAGATAACATCAAAGCGAAAGATGCGGGGCAAGCGATTGAAGATGAGGAGAGTGGGAAGGTGCAAATACAGACTGATGGTGTGGATGCGGGTGCGGGTGCGGGTGCGACACATAGTCGACTTCTTACCAAGAAACAGCTTTCCGATATGGCTTGGGGGGTGAGGGAATTGAGTAAAAGGTTGGGGAGTATTAGGTTGAAGTTGAAGGTGAAGACGGTTTTTATCCTTACGAAAGCCCATGATGAGAGTTTGATCGCGAATACGAGGGAGGTTACGAAATGGCTTTTGAGCCCGGAAAGACAGGTTAGATATACGGTCTACGTGGAGGAAAATCTGCGGGATAGTAAGAAGTTTGATGCAAAGGGGTTGCTGGATGAGTTAGAGAACGGTGAAGAGGAACCGGTCCATGGTAATAAACAAAAGAGGTTGAGATACTGGTCGTCAAATATGTGTAGAACGAGGCCGCATACATTCGATTTCATCGTTACGCTTGGGGGTGATGGAACGGTTCTATATGCAAGTTGGTTGTTTCAAAGAATAGTACCTCCGGTTCTAAGTTTTGCGCTGGGAAGCTTAGGATTCCTTACAAAATTCGATTTTGGGGATTTTGAGAAACAGTTAACTACTGCGTTTAGAGATGGGGTTACTATTAGTCTCAGATTGAGATTCGAAGGCACGGTGATGAGGAGTCAGACAAGGAAAAATAAGCCAAATGAAAATGGTGATGAGGAGTCGAGTCCCAGAAGAGACCTAGTGGAGGAGTTGGTGGGTGAGGAAAAGGAAGATGAGAGAACTCATCGGCCAGATGGTACATATGAGATTCTGAACGATATTGTGGTTGATCGAGGACCAAATCCCAGTAAGCAGATGTCATATCACTGCACTTCTCATCAGTAACTAACTCACACACTCAAGCCATGTCCTCTGTCGAAATCTTTGGCGATGACGAACACTTCACATCCGTCCAAGCTGACGGCGTCTGCGTCGCGACTCCCACCGGCTCCACCGCCTATAATCTCGCCGCCGGTGGCTCCCTATGCCATCCCGAAAACCCCGTCATTCTCGTAACGGCCATCTGCGCACATACTCTCTCCTTCCGTCCCATCATCCTTCCAGATACTATTGTACTCCGTCTCGGCGTTCCCTACGACGCTAGAACGAGCAGTTGGGCCAGTTTTGATGGGAGAGAGAGGGTGGAATTGTGTCCGGGTGATTATGTGACGATTAGTGCTAGTCGCTATCCTTTTGCTAATGTGATGCCTCAGGGAAGGAGGAGCGAGGATTGGGTTAATAGTATTAGTGGGAAGTTGGGGTGGAACACGAGACAGAAGCAAAAGGGGTATAAGGAGTGGACTTCGTGAGGATAAAAGGATTGGGGTTTATAATGGGATGGGAAAGGGGGAAAGGGGGTTTGGGCTGTGGTTTTGAAAGGGGAAATGGATATTGGGTGGAGAAGGAAAGGGGAGGTTTGGGAATTTGGAATGGGCTATGACCTGATCTGATATGATACGATACGATACGATACGATGGGAATTCGTCGATGGAACGATAGTGTAAGATGGTATTGGATGGGTTGCCAGATATTCTCACCGGAAAAAATGTCATCTTCAAAGCAAAATGCATCGATTCACCCACTCCTTTAGCAAATTTCTTCTCATGAACGAACGAGCCGAATCTCCACACCAGCCTTACCTCCATGCGGCGGTATACATCAGTGTTTACATGTTCATGTATATGGAAATCCACCTGTGTGTTTATACGTTTCAATTTACCCAGAGCTACGAAGTCGTAGCTGGCTGGTCTAATATTCTGGTATTGGAAATTTACTCGAGGTTTTTAGACACTCCCTTCCCTCTCTTGATGTACAGGAGTATTTACAGCAGAATGTTCTTGATGGATGTATTTACTATTGGTGATATGTCTTTCGGTTTTAGAAAGTTCTTTTATATATATATTTGGAGAGGAAATTTGAATTCGAAGAGATTTTTCGAGAATTTATTTGATTAATCGTTACATCGATGTATCCAAAATAGTATTTTGGAATATATGTAATTGTTTTTTTGTATTCATGTCTTATTTTGTATGGAATGGAATACTTATAGTCTTTTTTCCTTGTGTTCGATTTGGTGGGTTTTCTTGATTTTGTAAAAAAAAAAAACCTCGGATCAAATGGAATCTCCAGCGTTCGTAAAAGTAAAAAAGGATGGCTTAAGAATTGGAGAAGCACTCTACTCGTATTCGGCATTGATTTGTCTAAGAAGTCCCGTATTTATCGGTACACTTATCATCTAATAGAGGTCGTATGTGCCAGCGTTTCCACTCTATATTTCTTGGCAGTCATTCGGGACTCGTATTGCACATATGATAAAAGCAGCCACATCCGTTGTCGAATTCTCGATATAGCAATCTTGGGATTTAGTTGTTCACTTGTTTTGTTAAGTCGATATACGAGTATAGAGTTTTAATAGGATGAGTACTTATACTTTACTAGCCTTAACGGTGGCGGCTGCTTCGGCAAGTGTGCTCGAGCTACCCGTTCATATACAGAATACCTACGTACGTCTCGAGAATGCCACCTGAAAGTTGATGAGATGGAAATTAACTCGAATCTGCTTTTTAGTCCTCGGTAGAGTTTCAGATTGGCTCTCCTGCAAAACCATACAGGTTAATGTTTGATACCGGATCCTCAACTTCGTGGATTACAGGTATCAATTGCACGGACACTGTATGTCTCAACGCCAGCGGATTCAATCGCACTGAGTATGACGAAGCGAGCTCATCTACATCGGTCAATCTAGACTCGTATTCGAGCATTCCGTATGTTGACGGCGATGTTCTTTCTGGTTTCGCGTTCCAGGATGTATTCTCGGACGAACTGGGAGTACTCGATTGGAACCAGACTTTTCTCGCCGCCAACCAAAGTTCCTGGCGCTTCATCACCGCCGACGGTTTTCTCGGCCTAGGTTTCTCGTCCATAGCGGAGAACGAGACCGCCACTTTGGTTGAGACACTCCTTTGGGCCGATCAATTGGACGCCCCTCGTTTCGCCGTCTTCTACGGCACGGAAGGAAACGCCGATGATTCCAAAGACGGCGTTCTGAGCATTGGCGCCAGTCACGAAGATATCTACGTCGATGGCGACGTAGCTTATGTCCCACTGTACGAGGAAAATCCTTATCAATTATGGCGTGCTCCTCTCCGCTCCATCAACGTTCTCGCAGCGCGCGACGCTAATTCCACCGTCACGGTACACAATGGGCACCTTCCAACGACGAACGATCCAGCTGGCGCGTGGCCGCGCTCAAACACCACGTGGCCATTTTATGGCAGCGGAACGGCAGTCTTCGATACCGGAGCTGGTCGCATCTCGGTGCCGGCGGGCATCATCGATGCCGTGTATTTTAACCTGGGCTGGAACGTGACGAAATTGATGACTGGGTTGGAACGCATGGAGTGTCAGCATTTGAATTCGTCGTGGGCGCTTTCATTTACATTTGGGCAGGCCGATGAGAGTGATGATGTGACGTTTTCGATTCGGGGCGATGAGTTTGTTAAGAGGGGGGAACAGTGTATGCCTCCTGTTGATGATAGTGCAGGTTCTAGTTTTGCGCTTCTTGGGGTGGATTTCTTGCGTCGCTATTACTCGGTTTTTGACTTTGGTGCGGCTAGGGTGGAGGATTATCAGCCGCGGATTGGGTTTGGGAGACTTAAGACCGAGTTTGATTATTTGTATGGATCGTCATAGTTATATGAGATGGAATTATTGACTCGTGTTTACTATAGCTTAGTTTAGTATAATATAATCATCAAGCATTAGAAAAGCAATTAGATTCATCATGATATAACCTATCCTTTTTGTGTCCTAGCTACTAGAGAAAGAATCTTCAAAGATACAAATAAGGAACGGTGATTTATGGTTACAATATACATAAAACCATCTCATCTATTTCTCAATATTTCCTTTTGGCTGCTCTCCTCTTCTCTATTCCATTCTATTTCCCCCCTTCAAGTCTCTCGTTCGTAGCCAGCGAGGCCATTGAATCGATGAACTTGAATCGAACAACAATTACCCAATTAATGCATTCATTCATTCATTCCTTCACTCATCATGTTACTGCAGTCACAGCCATCCCATCCCATCCCATCTATTCACATGAGATAATAATAACAATTCGATCCAATCCTATCCATTCCAACCCAACCTAACCCAGCCCAACACCGCAAAACTATCCCTTCCATTGCATCTCATCCAACCAATCTCAATCACAACCATAATTCAACCCAACTTGAGATTCCCATGATCATATCCCATCCCATAATATTCTATGCCATCCTATGCCATCTCATCTCATCTCATCTCATCCCATAATATTCTACCCCATCTAAACCTCCCCATTCAAACATTCAAACATCCAAACCTCTTTATATGTATTCAAACATCCAACCCCGCTCCAGGCTCATCTACAATTCTACAATTCTACTATTCTACTAATCTACTATTCTACTATTCAACGATCTACCAGTCTCCCAGTTTCCATCAACAGTCACAGTCACATGATACAAACCTCCTTTCACCCCATAACCTAACTAGCATCTCAAGCTTCCAACTCCAACTCCAGACTACATCTCTATTTCACCCTCTTTCCCCACGCTCCCTTCCCAAAAGAGAACTTCAATCTCGATATACTGTAGTAATCAATCGATCAATCAATCAATCAACCACTCACCAGCAGCACTTGAATTACCACATTTCCATTGATCGCTAGCTAATCATGATCCAACTCAGTTCCAAGGTCCAATCCCAAATTCCAAATTCCAAATTCCAAAGAAATGAATCTACTCGAGTATCTACTTACATGTAAAATTATATACACGAGTATATCTACCTATAGCTATATACCACCTAGTACCTACCCACCCACCTACCCATCTATTTGAGTTTTAAAGCAGGCAATCTTACATAATACATCAAACAAAGCAAGCAAATACTGTACAGTATACACAAACTTGAACACGCAATACAAATTCCTCATTTCCTTTCTTTACCCCCCAAAAGAAATTCCCATTTTCAATTCCCAATTCCAAATCCCTCCATCCTTTCTTTCCTTTCCTCTCCTCTCCTCTCATTTCCTCTCCCCCCAATTCCCAATCCCCAATTCCACTGGCAATCCCAATCCCAATCCTAGTATCATACCCCGCCCGATAAATTCCCCCTTAGTCAATGACCAGTCTATTTAAATAATAATAATATAATAATCCAGCCAATATTATTATCATCATCATCATTATTGACACTTCAAGTTCCGCCCGCCTCAAGTTCCACTTAATTCACTTCACTTAATTCACTCAACTCTAACTCCCTCCATTGATCTAATTCATTCAATTCATCCACTTCTCTTCCTCCCATTCACTTCTACTCAATTCAGCCCTACCCAATTCACTACTCATTTCAATTCACTTTCCACTCAATTCCCAATTCCCATTCACATCCACTCAATCCACTCAATTCATTCCACTCTACTCAATTATATACATCATACATCATTATTTCCCAACACATCTTCAAACACATCTCCCAACACACATACCAACACACCTTTCAACACAATCACATAACAAGACTTCAAGTCAGAAAAATACCAAGAAAAATCCTTTTGAATTTTATTCTCATGTAGATATACACATATCCGGGTATCGATAATGCATCCTCCTTCAAGTTCCTATTCATCATCATCTTTTCTTTGACATATCCCCTTCATTATCATTCATCCACCTCTTCCATTTGCATTTCATGTTCATACATTCCATCCATACACGTCATACCAAGTCAGCAAGTGAACAATTGAGCAACTGAGCAAACTGAGCAACCCAACCACTATACACCCCACCCATCCATCTACCGCAAACTTCTCCCCCTCTCCCACCTAAAAATCAGACTTAGGAACCTCATTACCCTGCGCCACCCCATCCCCATCAACATGCGCCACACTAGCACCCAATTTATCCTCCTCGTCGAATTCGCCCCTCTCCAACCTCCCCGCCCTAGTATCCACACTTGTCTTCCAAGCCGGCGTACCCAGAAACTTGATACTGCCAGGCGTAGAATAATCAAAGATTTCCTCCACCTCCTCCAACGGTTTCTGACTTGTCTCCGGAAAGACAAAGTAGACGTGAAGGAACATGGCTATGCAGAAAACTCCAAAGACGATATAGACTTGCCAGCGAATATTGGCAAAGGCCGGGGGAACAAAGTATGCCAGGGCGAAATTGAATGCCCAATTGGCAGAGGTGGAGAGAGCCACGGCTTTTCCACGGACGCGGAGTGGATAGAGCTCGGGTGGGTAGATCCAGGAAACGGGTCCCCATGTTGGGGCGTATGATGCTACGAAGAGGTATGTGCATGCAATGACGGCTTTGGATGGGGCTCCGGTGATGGAGATGGACTCGGCGGCACTGGAGAATTGACCTTTGTATGGAACTGTTCCGTATGTGGCCAAGAGAGCGGCATTGATAAAGAGCCAAATCATCATCAAGAAAGCTCCAACCAAGAGAACAGGACGACGACCCAATCGGTCGACCCAGATCAATCCAGGAATGGTCATTACGACATTGATGATGAATTGAATCGAGGAAGGTAGGAGTACGTTGTTACCCAAACCGGCCATGGTGAAAATGTAGGTAATGTAGTACATCATGACGTTCATACCAGTAAGTTGAGACCAAATCTGTGTGAAGATACCGATGTGTGTTCGGTTAATCATGTCGGGCTTGAACAACTCCATGTAGGTAACATCAGCGTTAGCTCGCTCAAATTCAACAACTTCTCTGATTTCCGCCAATTCCTTGGCAACAAATGCAGAGTTCATATCACCACCAGCGTGAACAAGAGCCAAAACCTGTTGAGCCTCTTCCCATCGGTCTTTTCTAGCGAGCCAACGTGGGGACTCTGGCAATAAGAACAGAGCGAAGAAAAGGAAGACGGCTGGGACCATTTGCAGACCCCATGGAATACGGAAAGCAGATGTTCCTTTGAGGAATGAGCATCCGTAACAAATGTAGAACATGATAAGGATACCCCATGTGATAGCCCATTGTTGGCAACCGACGAGTCTTCCACGCTTAGAAGGTGGTGCAATCTCAGTGATGTAGACAGGAACTTGAGCAGAGCAGATCCCAACCGAGATACCGTTAATGATACGTCCGACAATGAGCATAGGGATGTTTTGGGAAGCGCAGACGATAATTGAACCGAGTATCCTACACAAGCTTGATTAGGCCAGTTGTTCATGCGAAAAATGAAAGTGGGAGCTATTCACCAGATGACAGAACCAATCTGAATGGATTTCTTTCTACCGAGTATATCTGAGATATAACCAGATATCAAAGCTCCAAGCCAACTTCCAGCAGGCATAGCAGCGGTGATACCACCTGTCATACCATTAGTCTTTGATATACCGATAAGCAAGAGTAGGAATCTGTTCTTACCTTGAACATTTGGAGTTGGACCAGTGCATTTACCATCGACCATACCTCCTTGATCGAAGTAACACAGATATGCATCAGTTGAGATGATAGCAGACATAGACGAGATATCGAAACCGAATAGTGCACCACCCACCACGGCTACGGCCGCGATGAAGTAGACGTTACCGATGATCATCTTGTTATGTTGGTGATCAGGTAACTAACCCTTTTATTATGTTGACAGTATATAGGTGTAGCGCACAGTAGAATAGAAGTAGACCTTCAAGGCAGGAATAGAATGTTGCTAGGGAAGAAAGAAAGAGAGAAAGTCTTCGTGATCGACACAAAGACTTATATAGAGAAAACGATTGAAGAGTTGGGGTAACAATGGAGCAATGCGAGAAGCGTTGGAATATTGGAATCTGGAGTTGTAGCAAGTGGAGTGAGAGAAAAGGGCCGAATCTTAGCTATGGATCCTCCCAAGTTCTTACCCCTAAACGTCTATCATCCCGGGGGTTGTCCTTGCCATATGGGTTTTGGTGGGTTTGAAAGACTTTGGGGATGCTCTTTCCCCGCCTTTTCGCGGTTGGGACCTTGCCTCCTACCAGTGTTGATTCTAGAGATTATATACTCGAGTAAAGTTGATATTATTCGATTCATTCGAAGAGTGAGGGCTGTCCTCTTGAAGGTTATCGATCCGGGTATTGATCTTCAGTAAGATACTTCGGGTTATCATCAAATGAGATACGGGCATAACGATTTCTCGAGGGCTCCAACTGTATCACACGAGGGCATGTGGTATGAACGACGATCTATCAACATGGGTATGCATAAGAAATACAAAACCTTCCACCTAAAGTGGATTTGATCAGCGCTTGTCAACGTATCTCATCTGCGCGCCAACTTGTTGAATGTCCTTGTCATTTCGAAAACTGGGCAGGAATGATATTGGTGGATCCTTCCGTTTGTCTGGAGATTATTTGTGGAGAGTTGGAGGACTCGGGGAAAGCTAACTTTTTCAGTAGATGACAGTTGCTTAGTTACATGAACATCTACCCGAACACTGGCTCGAGGTACTCTCTTCCGCGTTTTCAATTCCCGAGCAGTTGAAAACACTCCATATCATAGATCTTGTCTAGTACGGACCTGAAAATAACATGATAGCATTCCAAGAATCCCATAGGTTTTACTCAAGGAAACTAGATGACGGTAGTGGCTCATTATTCCTGGCGTTTGGCTTGGAGCCTCATAAACCATACCCGGGCGCCTGAAAACATCACGATCTAGCAAGGTTAACAAGAACAAGGCTCGTGTCATGATTTCCAACCCCGTAGTTCTAAATTCCTGGAGAAACTTTTTCCGTCGAATGAGAAGGGAGTGGGTCCCCGTACTTTGTTTCGCTAAAGTGTCTAGATTGGTATCGAGTCTAAAGAATGGGAGGAAATAACGAATCATGAATGATATGCTCCTGACGGTGAGATGTGATCCGAAATTTGAGGAGAGGTGTGGGAGTACAAAAATCCAAACGTAGGCTACTTTTGGGGGGTAATCCGTGATTGATACGTGGGATGGTTGCGGCCGCGGTAATTGACTGCAAGTTCTTTTGATACTTTTAGTATATCGTGACTGCTTCATTTCAATTTGAGATAGAATCCCTATCAGCAGGATGATCAGAGTTTGCCGATCTATTTACGTCCATATGGGTTGAAAAAGTCTCGACTCTCAAAGTCGTAGAAATTCGAAGATTATCCCGAGCATTAGATCGAGTTCTCGAGGAAATATCGTTATCTATTCCTTCTCTTTCTTATGTTTGTAACGGTACACAACAGCGGCACAGCAGTGATGTTAGTCAAAGCCATAAGTAATCATTGTACTTTCCTTGTGGGTTGTTTGTTGGAAGGAACGCTGCGCTTATCAGTACCGGTTACTCAAGCAAGTACAGCTCAGCTCAGCTCAGCTCAGCTTAGCTCAGCTGATCATTCATTCATTTTCTCGATTATGCAAGAACTTGGAAAATATACGAACCTTGCAACGTTACAGGGTAAGGGTGCTACAGAACGAAAGAGTTACAATCTTGGACTGCAAGAGAGAAGAGAGAAGAGAGAGGGGAGAGGGGAGGGAGAGAGGAGAGAGAGGAGAGGAGAGAGAAGAGAGAAGAGAGGGAGAGGAGAGAGGAACTGAAGCAGTGAAGTTCTCTTTTTTAGTGAGTTCTCCATAATAATTTACTCTCGTGTTTGTGGGGACTCCAGTTGGGGAATAAAGTGGATTCCCCGTGACAGGTCGGTCATTGTTACTCCGAGGTTATCGGTAAGTACAGTAGCTTATGTAATGATTTCGAGGTAGATTGACATTCTTCTTGTAAATACAACTTGTAGAGTGAGCACCTCAAGAGTCTCGCAACTCACAACTGTGAAAGGAAGAACTGGGATACTTGAAATCATGGCCAGGTTCGGATTCAATTCTCTATCAAACCTCAAAGTAACTCAAAGATCGATGTTGTATACAGTCTGTCTACTGCCGGATAGCTACATTACAATATTCTACTCCGGAAAAGAGCTTTTCCGGGTATCAAAATCTTAAAACAATCCAACAACACAACATTCCCCAAAGGAAAGAGAACAAACATATCCAAAGAACCTCATCTTGAGAATCAAGCAGCGTAATATTACTGTACAGTATATCGTTATCTTCTAATGTTCAACCATTTCACTATCGTAAGTTAAATTTTCTTCAAAACTTATGTCTCGGTATAATCTCGTCAGCAAGTATTGCTTGCTTTAGCTTTTGAAACCCTTCACGTTACAAACAGCTCCAGCTTCCAGCTCGCTCGACTTCGAAATGTCTCTCACAACATAATCATATCTCAACCACAACACAATTCATTTGAGTTATCACAATTCAGCTCAAACAAAGACGATCCTCTCTCCTAGTACTAATTCCACATAATAATACAATCCGAGGGTAGCATAATGTCTTGTAAGTACCAATCTTATCCAACGCCCTATGTATCCCCTTTATCAAACGATACCTATAACCGATATACTAACATCACCTCAAACAGTCCTCACAGCAACCCACCAAACCCTCACCCTCACCCCCATTCCTTCCCATATCTCCATCGCCCATGTACTCTCCCTATTACACAACCACACGAAAATGATCACCATGAACCCCCTAGTAACCGCACACGTCCTCCTCCCCCCTACCCACGCCCTCGCCCTCGAATTCTTCAAATTCGAGCCCCTAGACCTCCAACCCACCACCACCTCCCCCTGTGAAATCTGGGAAATCACCGACGACATGTCCGCCGGAACCGCAGAAGATAACGGAGGAGGATGGCGAGGAGGATGGGCCAAACGCTTCATCCCCGATCAAATTACTTACACGAGTAGTCTCCAAGATCGCGACGATGGGTTAATGAGTGTGACGCATGCGCCGATGGGAGTACATAGTGTGACGTCGTGGATTGTGAGGGAGGCGGGACCCGGAGAGAGTTCGTTGACGCTTGGGGAGGGAAGATTGGTTTTGGAGGAGAAGGGTACGGTAAGGGCGAGTAGGATGCTCATGGGGTTTATCAAGACGACATTGCAGGAGAGTCATGAGAAGTTGGTTAGGGATTTCATGAGGACTTTGAAGGAGGATGGGCCGGATGGAAAAGAGGCATGCAATGGGGTGAAGGGGGAATTGTAGGGAATTGGGAATGTTTAGGTAAGGACTCTTGGAGATGATATGTCGAAACTACACGTGGGTCATGGAGTATAGTATTATACATGGTTGAGGTAATGGAAGACTTTACAAGGTAAGTTAGAATCAAATGATGAAAAATATACAGAAATATCGACATAGATCAACAATTTCAACACCTATATACGACATCACACCAGGAAAACCCCTTGAGCCTATCTTATTATTTTATACATTCTGTCATATCCAACATTTCGTTCTCACTCATCATCAATTGATTGCACACGTAGTTCTGAGCTCACATCTATCATCTTAACTTTTGTACCCACCTACCTACCGTACGTATCTCATAAAGATTCTTCTCATTTCATTTGGATCCGAGTACGTATACAGTAGTACCAACAAGCTACGAGAATGAAAATGAAAATGAAAATGAAAATGAAAATGAGATGAGAGAATACGGTAGGTACTTTAGATATAAATCCTGGTTCCTTACTGTAGATCTTACTCGTAGGTTGTATACTGATGCAACTTGGAGGATCACGTTTGCTGCATACTATTGTACTTTGAATCTTGCAGATATTGGTATACTCGAGTACTATATTTATAATAGTCTTATAATTATTAATTATGATATATTAAAGATAAAGATATCTATCTATGAGATGGTAGACTTTGATTATTCAAAGACGTTATACAACATATATACATTCAGTCATTCATTCATTCATCTATACAAATTTGAAATTATCTATAATCAATACTCACTCCTACACGAGTAGAACCCCCCCCCAAAAGATTCCCTGGTGTTGAACCTGGACTTATACTCACAGATTGATACTGACCTGAACATTGAGGTTGGCAGGCAGGCAGGTAGGTAAGATTCGAGTAAAGTCAGTAAGTAGTGCCTACCTACCCACCCTACCATTAAGTATTCCATCGACAGTAATCGCCTGGCTTACCGTTAACCTTACTCTATCCTCGAGTAAGAACGAAGCATTGCTAGGCTACTGGACTACCAAGGGCTTACGATTGTTGCGCAAGATAAGATCTGGAGGTGTCTCAACTTTCAAGTTGAGGATAATAATAGGTAGATGTGCGAGTTAATTTGTCCGCTCTTCCGAGTCATAAAAGGACTTCTATTCTGTTGGCCCCTTCCTCGCCGGGAGAGCCTGAATGGTATTCAATAGATAGATCATAGCTCACTCGAAACTTACATGACATCTCACATTCCAGGACTTCACTTGACTCTAAGAATGATGAGTCCTACCCAGCTGAATACCTCTGGTAGACAGTAATGTATTCTTCTGGAGTCGATGGGAAATCGGTATTGTTAAGTGTCTAAAAGGGCGATAAGATTCGTTGGGTCGTATTTATTGTCGTAGGAGGTATGTAGAGATAGGATTGTGGACTCGACCAGACAGGTCTAATTTAGGCCATACGTGTAACCGTATCGTGTTCTCCCCAAATTTCGTTTTAACGTAAGGCCACTTGACCTTGAAGCATAACCTTCCTCGAAAATCCTGTAAGTCTATGACATAATCACTCACTCAATCAAAAAGCGCACTCTGAGTGGTCCACAAGGTTTCAAGGAGAACGACCTGATATTCCGAGAAAGCTACTTCCTAGCCGAAGCCAAATGAACATGAGCCCAATTGACCCTAGGAAAAAAAGAACCATCTCCATTCCAGATCAAAGCGATTGAAAAGGTGTCATAACCTCGAGAACAATCCATCGCAGAGTATGCCTCAGCACACAAGTGTTCATAAGCGTTCCTCCCTTCATCTGAAAATGCCCTCCAAAGTATGACCGCAAATGTTCTCGTTCGTTTCCCTTTTAGTGCAAAAGCCCAGAACTCCATGCCATGTTGATTTATCCCCTACACAAACTCATGGTGGTCGTATCGTTCCATCCTCGATGAGCTAATTGTTGAGGTGTGGTGAATTTAACGATGCTGTAAAAGTTAGTAGTGATCATTCCATTTTCGCGATCGTAGGGTTTGTGGGCGTGAAGTAGGATGATGCGTAAGTTGTTGAGCGTACCTTGACGAATCCAATATCAGATGCCTTCTCTCTGAAACATTGTCTGCAGATGTTGAGTCCATATTTGCGGATCAAACCGGCCTTGTGTGTGCAAACGCGGCTGTACATAATGGTTAGATACAAATTCTCCAGATCATCATTGATCCCTGATAAAATCGCATAGCGATTGATTCTCCACATACCATCCGCGGGCTCCCTTTCCGTAAGTACGGGGTCTGGACATCCAAACTGATTCGTGAGACATGTTGTCTGATTTTGTCGAGGACTGTTGTCGGCGGTGGTGAGTTCTTGAAATTTGCGAATCGTGTTGTCGTGGAGTTCGTGATGTTCAGATTAACTGGAAGGGCTTATTGAATTCTAAGCGAAATTTCCCACAAATGAGGGTTTTCTAAAAGCCTGTAATATGAGGCATAATACTTAGCGCGCGGGATAAATAAATTCCGATAAACAGCCTTGCACAGGCAGCCTTGCATTTCTCGGCCCACAGCCTTGTCTTATCCGTAAACAAACAATCCTGACAATCGAATCTCGGAATTATAATTCCAAACTTCACTCTCTAAAGTCCAAAAATGGTAATATTCTATTCACTCCATTCAATTTATATCATGGCTGACAATAATATAGTCCAAAGATTCAAACCACACCTATGTGCATTTCACACTTTCCCGCACAGCGGACCTTTTCGAGGACTTCTGCAAAGACAAACTTCCCGACGATGACATTTATGTACCACCTCACAACCAACCTATAAATCCCGAAGATGAAGACGATGTGGTTCCTGATCAACACGCGGCATTTGGTATTCAAAGGGCAACGCAAAAGACAAAGGAACCAGCTTGGAAGGATTTGGGATTGGCAGATTTGATGAAGAAAGGTCCGGGTGGGAAGCCTGGGAATGAAGGAGGAGGATCTAAGGGTATTAGAAGTCTTCCGAGGTAAACAAATGTGAGGGATAATCCGGAGAATGGCGCATAGTATATGTTAGGAATATATTATGGCGGAGTTTGGTATGCAACGATTAATTGAAGGATTTTTGGGATCGAGAGCGAAAGATTACTGATTACGAAGGTGTTTACGAAGGGTTGGAGTTGAGATGTTATTGACATTTTGGTCTCTCAGGCCAAGGATATTATCATATTGCGGGAAACATCAATACCCAGAGAAAGGAGTTCAATTCAGATCATATTATTTATTTACGAAGTTTAAACAAGGAACATCGAGCTGCTGGTGACTCGGATCTTGCTTGAACCTGATTAAAGGGACCTGGGTAAGGGAATACAACATGGAGAAGCTCTATGCAGGGCTTCAGCACGATGGATCTATTTAATCTATGCCAGGCGGTGGCTACACATGCTTCATCCGAAGAGCCATTCTACTGAGACTTTTGACATGTAAATCTGTGGCATGGAGTTCGGAAAGACTTGTGAAACCTCATCATCGTTTTAAGTCTTGGGCGCAGGAAAGCGAGCCTGTGATGTGGAGTCGGGATTGCGACTATTCAATATGCGAAAGCTCAACGAAGACGATTTGTTCGGCTTGAGATGGACTGGACAAGGTAGAGAAGTCACGTAGTAGTGATGGTCATACGCCCACTCTCTTCCACTTCGTATCTAGTCGAGTAAAACGACTTCGTGACGAAAGAAAGACCAAAATATCAACCACCATAGACTCCGAACAAATGATATCCCTTTGCGCCCCAACGTGTGATCATGAATACTTCCAAAGCCCAAATGATATCTTTCCCATTCTCTTCCTCTTAACTCTTGCCCAAAAATGCTTCTCTCTCCACGACCTCCTCTTGGAACTTGACCAAAAATACCGTCTTTGCCGGCCATAATTCCCCCTCCTCCCCCCTTCCCACACTATGCGCCGTAACTCTAGCCGGAAACCCCGCCCCGTCACAAGCCCCCTCAATAATACCCGCAACAAACGCCGCACAGTTCAACTGATTCATTTCCTTGGGCACACTAATATATTGATTAACGAGAGGTTCATTGTCCGATATCATGTACTCTTCTGGAGTATCCGGATTTGAGGATTTCTCAAGGGCATCTGCTGGTCGCGAAAAGAGGTGACGCCAGAGAACGGTGGTTATGAATTGGAGGAGGGCGATGATATTCAGAGGACGTAATTGGGTACGTGGGGGCTCGCGGTAGAGAAGAAGATCGAGTAATTTGAGGCCGATTGGGTGGCCTTGGACATTTAGTCTACAGTTTCAGTTAGAATCATACTCCCATAGTTTTAGAGTTGATGTATAATAATCTTCGACAATATGGAGAGAATCTTACCGCTTCTCAAGATCCTGAATACCAGTAACCCGTCTTTGCGCATAACTGACCATCTCCCCAAATAGGTATGCGAAGCTAGATTGACTTAACTCCTGCGTTTTACTGCGGTTTAATGGTCTGTGGTATATGGTTTTGCCGGTGGAAGGATATCGCAGCCCTGGTTGCGAGCCTCGTTGAGTTTGGGAAGATTGGCCAGTCAACGGCGGTTTAATCGGTTGAGAGGACATCTTATAGTTCAATTATTGGTCGCAAGTAGTTGATTAGGGTATCTACTATGGTGATGCAAGAGGTTTGTAGATTTTCAGAATGTATGGAGTCGGATGTACGGTTTGAGTGTTCGCAAGGCTGCGGAAATTGAGGTTATAGCCAAGCGAGGGGGTTCAATCATCATTATTTACTCGAGTAGATCTAGCACAAGTGATGGCTGTTTACACAAAATCAGATGTGGGTTAAAATTATTATCTAGTTGTATTGATTAATGTATAGTCTATTAAATACCGATGCAAGCACATCTATATCAAGTCCTTTTGCTTTGTTTTATGCCTCGTCACTCTTCGCAGCCGTTTCGCTGGCTTCTGATACCTCGGTCAATGTCCCGAGTGTTTTCGGCTCTACAGCATGGCCGTTTGATGAAACTTCCTCGGCTGAAGCGCCGCCAACGCTAGGGGCATTTCCTCCCTTCAAATAAATCTCACTCTCTCCGATATGCTTCCCCGCCTGGACCCAACGTTCAGATACATCCTTCTGTCGCTCCTCACACGTCTTGAGTAGCGCCGGCCAATAGGTTGCATGGTCATACTCAAATACAAGTTCGCCATTAAACTCTGCCCAGAGTTGCTGAGGAGGTACATGCTGATTCAAATCATCATTGAACTTCAACTTTGCTTTCGTCAAAGGATCAACGAATGGTGTGATGAGTTTGAAAAAGCCGTTTACCATCCAGGGAACTTATATGGAGTCAGCGGGGAATACGTTCGTCATCGTGAGAAACTTACTGTTGATGATCAAGGCCCTCCCAAGTCGTTCGGGATAGTGGGTTTGAAGAATACTCAAGACTTCTCTAGCTAACCCGATGCCGGGAGCTGTGTTTGACCTGCTCTTACTGGACTTGAAATTGATTAACAATGCGAGAGTCCATTGATCCGGTAGCATCAAATCGATGCATCGCTCCAGCATGAATACCAAATGTTGTACTTGCTTGGGGCTGGGATCTGTATTCTGTCTTCCAGGGTTCAAATAATGGCATGGTCGTCCTTCATTGTCATAACCCAAGATAAATTGTTTGCCAGTTTCATTTTCGATAGAAAGGTCGTCGCCTGTAAGATTGCTCACGCCGTATTCCCGTCTCCAAGTCAAAGTCCCTAACAATCGTTTGGGGGCTTCTGTAGTAGACCATTTTGTTGCTCGCAAATACCGACACAAACATTCTTTCGTCAACCACAGCCGTTCGCTGTCTGTGAGAGGGCCCCCTTTGGAATCCTTGGCTGGAACCTCCTTCCATGACTTCACTGTTTCTAAAAGCGTCTCGTATTTCTTCTGCTGTTCTTCCGTAAGTTCTGGAATAGGAGTTGGTTTCGCAGACTCGATTGGGTTGAGAAACGGTGGTTCGAGAGGACTTAAATCCTTCTTCCCAATAGGTGCTAAAGGTGTTTGACCATTAGTAACACTCCCCAAGTCAAGATCAGCCATCTCCTTCTCGATGCTTGCGACTTCGGGTTGGTTTTCTGTTACTGGCGCGGCCGACATCTCGAACAAATTATGATGATCTGTTGATAACTTTAATAGATTCCTAAATGCAAAAAATGTAACCTAAACTCAATTCTTGATTTACTCCTGAATATAAAAAAGCACAAAACCAAAGAGACGACTAAGAAAGTTGTGTTCTGACACCGACTATGCAATCTAAAAATGTGGTGCTAGCTCAGCCTTATAGGATTTTCAATTGGTGAATTTTCAGTTGCTGCTTCTCGATTGTACCTACAATGCTACATGAGCTATCTGCCAATTTTTGCAGATACAACTAGCCACCATTTCAGGATATTCATGTTTTTGTGATTTCCCGACAACCTAGCTTTTCAAAAAGGGGGTTTGTTGATACACATCCATTTTGATAGAGAGTGGCTTGTTTCCCCTGTGGCGCAAACTCGTGAAATCAATTTAGTTTTATGTTACTAGAGCGCGTCAAAACGCGTCTCCCAAATATCTTTGCGAAGACCTTATTTGAACAAACTCAATAAATACCAAGGATTTTTGTTCGCAACAACTTCACAATGGCCGAAAACGATAGTGAGCTCAATGATTTGTTTTCCTCCGCAACTGCTTCAGGCGGTCTCGTCGAGGCAGATGTCCTCACGGAATTACAATCAATTATGCGACTGCACTCAATACCCCCGCAGGAGCTTTTCTACAAATGGGAATCATACAGCATTAAAATGGGACAAGATGATATGAAATTGGATATCGATACTGTGAGAGCTCTCAAGCAGAATGTACAAGACGGACTTGAGAAGGAAAACCGAAAAAATAAGGCGCATGTATCGAATAAAAGAGTGGGAGTTACACCTCGAAATGTAGGAAATAATAACGATGTTTTTGGGATGTAAGAAAGTCCGCACGATGCAACATTGATTGTTTTCTGATGGCATTCTAGGTTAGATCTCACACCAAATACTCCCCGAAGTGCGATGAGTTCACGGCCGAAACGTAAACCTGTGACACCTTCAATATCAAGAGTGAAAGCAGAACCCGCTAGCAGTCCCCCTGACTTCAAGACATCGAACAACCTGAAAGAGGCTGGTACTGGCGTTGGTTCTGGCGATGGTACTGGCTCTTCCTACGCCCCGTATGTTGTCATTACATGTTAAAGTCAACAATTATTGACTGGCTGCAGAACCTCATTCAACGATCGACCGCACGCTGGCCAGACTTTTGGAAAAGTTCTGAATGCTCACCTCGAAGTTGCAGAACCCCCAATCGCCCCTTACTCGGAATCAAGAATCAAACTCACGGCCAATTCAGACATGAAGAAATTATCTTACAAGACAATGGCCATGAAATCATCAGAAGCCTCAGAGATATTAGATGACCGAATAGACGAATTTATGCTTCTCGTACAAGCACATCATAACTTAGAGGATTCGGATTTTGGCAGTGCAGCGAGTCAAAGCACAAACGAAATAGTAGCCGTTGGGAGGATAGCATGCGACTCCGCTGAAGGAAAACTTAACCCGTCTTCAATTGTACTTGAGACCTCACGAAGGATGGGTGCGGGGTTGCGAATACCACTCAAAATTGATAAAATGAGAGGATTCAAATTCTTCCCTGGACAGATAGTGGCATTGAAGGGTATGAATGCTTCTGGGGAAGACTTTACAGTAAGCGAAATTCTCGAACCTCCTTTACTAGGCGTTGCTGCATCCACGCCTGCTGGACTTGATGAGCACGTTCAGAGACTTCGAGGAGGTCCAGATGCAATGGATGAAGACTCTGACCCCGCACCGCTGAACATCATCATTGGTAGCGGGCCTTTCACAGCAGATGACAATCTAAACTTCGAACCCCTACATGCCATCTGCAGCCAAGCGGCGGATACTTACGCCGACGTACTAATTCTTACTGGTCCATTCCTCGACATCGACCATCCCTTGATCGCAAGTGGAGATTTTGATCTTCCCGAGGAGTTGCTGTCAGATCCGGACTCCGCCGCTATGACCGCCATCTTCAAATATCTCATAACCCCCGCCTTCACCCAACTTACTTCCACCCACCCCCGCATAACCATCCTTCTTATCCCTTCAGTCAAAGACGCTACCAACAAACACGCCGCCTGGCCCCAAGAACCCTTTCCCAAAAAGGATCTTGGTCTCCCAAAGGCTGTTCGTATCGTCGGCAATCCCATGACCATCGCCCTTAACGAAATCGTCATGGGTATCTCTGCCCAAGATGTCCTGTATGAACTCCTCCACGAGGAAATTCACAAGGACATAGTCGGTGGAAAGCCGGAGGATAATACTATATACGCACGACTACCCAAGTATTTAATTGAACAACGTCATTTCTTCCCCCTATTTCCACCGGTCCAGAGAACTCAATTACCGAAGACGGGAACGGAGGATGGGATATCTGTGGGGGCAATGCTTGATACGGGTTTTTTGAAGTTGGGCGAGATGATTAATGTTAGGCCCGATGTGTTGGTGGTGCCAAGTTCGCTGACTCCTTTCGCTGAGGTATGTGATCTCCACAATTTCCCAATTGTGCAATGGTCAAAATCATCCATCATGATATGAAGTTACTGACATTCGAGACATATAGGTCGTCGAAAGTGTATTAGTAATTAATCCAGGCTACTTGTCGAAGAGGCGAGCAGCAGGTACATATGCAAAATTGACGGTATACCCAGCATCGATGACGGAACAGGAGAGAACTCAAGGTACTATGGTTGGGCATAAACTGTTTGAGCGGGCGAGGGTAGATATCATACGGATATGATATGGAATTGTTGAAGCTGTAACTCACCAGACCAGTGTTCGAAATCGGAAGGTTTATTTATAGATTCGGTGTATTTATTGTCTTAAAGCTTATGATTCTAAAATTGTGGGGCTCTCCATCAATAAAAACATACACTGAAAGTGATATGGTCTTCCAATACTTTTTTAATTGAGATTACCTACCTTCCAGTATGATGTTCGACTCCAATACTTTCAAGATCACGACTAGTCTAGGATTAAGACCCCTATATTTCACTACCTGAGCCGAGATCTGCTACGCGAGTACGCGATGCCGAATTTATGCCCCCGCGTTTGGTTGCGGCCGCATTTTTGTTGTAGGGATAAATTGGCGCTAACATCTTTGATTCTTCAGCCTGGTTACAATATTAACAAATCTTGATTGATAACTTGACAATCAAAATTCAAACCAAAGAGACGAATTAATCCAATCCTCCCAGGTCCATACTCAATCTCGGCTGACCGTCCAAGTTATATTTTTGACAAACAATTTGTAAAGGCATACATACCTATCCCTCTTAAGCTTAACGGAGCATTCAAATCGATAAGCAAGTGACTCATTTCGAATTAACTGCGACAACCGACGCAACCCACTTCCCACCATCCCAAAGCACACGATAACACCGCAACAGACCTAAGGCTGGTAGATTCAAAATCGCATTTGCGGAGTTATTTCAAGTTTGTCTTAGTCCTAGTTTTTGGTTTATAAACTTGCCTGGCCAACTGCTATATTTTTCATTTATAGACTGCAATGTCTGCCGAAGAGTCACCTGCGGCTGCAAGCTCCGCCAACACTGTTAAGTCGAAGACGGATAGTACGAATTCGACGCCCTCTTCAGCACAAACCAAAGCCCCGAGTGCGAAACCAGGAAACGTAAAGGAACCTGCGACACCCACCCCCGATGGAGGCAAATTATCGGCTGCAGAACTTAAAAAGAGAGCCAAGGATGAAAAGGCTGCACGCAGAGCTGCAGCAGTACAGAGCAAAGCAGGGACCGAAAATGCGACTCCTCCACCGGCAGCAGCAGGACAAAAAAGTGATGCCGCGAAAGGAGGAAAAGCTCAACCCAAGAAGGGCGCAGAAGTACGAAATTTACCAGTCAGAGGGTCGACAAAATCCTCTCCAGTTATAGAACTGCCAAAGGTGGAAGATAAGACTGTGGACTTATTCAGACATTTATACAAACCTCGAACAACTTCAATTGCTGAGGCAGGAAAAGACGTTCATCCTGCAGTACTTGCCCTTGGACTGCAAATGAGCAATTATACAATATGTGGTAGTTGTGCGAGACTCGTGGCAACATTACAAGCATTTAAAAGAGTGAGTTCATGCACCAGGGTGTATTTCGTCTATCTGTCTACATTCTACCTATTCCCTTCGGATAGCTATGAATTTATTGAACATTATCTTACCCTCTTCTAGGTTGTCGAGTCTTACAAAACCCCCGTAGGCGCAAGTCTCACACGTCATTTTATACCGCATGTGCTATCTCCTCAAATTGAGTACTTAGCTTCTTGTCGACCGCTTTCAGTATCCATGGGGAACGCTATTCGCTGGCTTAAACTCGAGATATCAAAAATCGACCCAGATTTGTCAGAAACTGACGCGAAAGAGAATGTATGCGATGCCATCGATGTATTTATGCGCGAAAGAATTACTTTCGCTGACAAGGTTATCGCCGATACCACTGCCGAGAAGATTAGAGATGGTGACGTTATAATGACTTACGCTAAAAGCAGTCTGGTACAGAAAGCGTTAGTGAGAGCTCACGAAATGGGCAAGAAGTTTAGAGTCATTGTAGTTGACTCCAGACCTTTACGCGAGGGAAAACACTTGGCATCAGCACTTGTCACTTTAGGTATCGAAGTCAAGTACTGTCTAATTCATGGATTAAGTCACAACATCCAAGATGTAACAAAAGTTTTGTTAGGTGCTCACGCGATGATGACAAATGGACGATTATATTCAAGGGTAGGAACAGCTTTGGTTGCCATGGAAGCTTCAGAAGCTGACAAGCCAGTTATTGTTCTTTGCGAGACCATCAAATTCTCTGATCGAGTAGCTTTGGATTCGATCGTTCATAATGAGATTGCACCAGCAAATGAGCTCGTGATTGCCGGAGGACCACTGGAGAATTGGATGGATGTTAAGAAACTCCAACTTTGCAATCCAATGTACGATGTCACGCCGGCTGAGTACATCCAGATGATTGTTACGGAGTCAGGAAACATACCAACGACCTCTGTACCGGTGCTTCATAGACTTGGCAACGAAGCCCAGTAGTGCGTGCGATACTCCAATCCAAAAAGTATCAAGAGGAGCATGATTTCATGGAGCAGGTGTTCAAAGGCGTTCAAGAAAAGACTCTGGACGATATCAAGATTTATATCTGATGTATGATAGTGTAATGGCTGGATGAAATCAAATGCCCTGACCTCGTTACTTTGAATTTGTTCCAAACGTCGTAAGCCAAATTGAGACTTTCTGCCATGCATAGTGCCCATCTTCGTCTTGAATGTATATGAATGATTCATCTCTTATTGACCAATTCCTTGCAAAACTTCGTACAATTCCCACATCTGATCTTGATTTCTTATCTTCCGTTGCCCATATATCAATTCCCTGCCCCCATCTCCAATAAACAACCTAAGACTCCTGAACAGCACCCTCCCTCTCCTTCCTCCTCGCCCTCTTCTCTAAAATAGAAGTCCTTCTTGCGCCCAGAATAGACTGCTGTCTATTCTCAACCCCCTGCAGCCAGTATCCGAATGAGGCGCCGACGCTGCCGAATAGAGGGTAAACCCAGAGGGATTGCCGGTTAAAGAAGGGTCGCATTTCGAGGCCGAGTTGCCAGGCGCGCACGGCGAGGCCTAGGAGGGATGATGTGTTAATTAGAGTAGGAGAGAAGGCGGAGGGAGGGGAGGGAGGGGAGGGATGGAATGGGATTGAAAATTAGGGACAAGGTGTGCAAGGGGAGGGGCAGAGGGAAGGAGAGGAACATACCAAAGCCAGTCCAGAAGAGAACTTTGTGAACCATGATTTATCAGTAATGTGAAGTGACTTTTTGGGAATAAAATTGTAGTGTGGAGTAGGCGTAGGCTATGCAGTCGAGATATATGACCTGCAGATGCGTATGATGGGTGATAGAGTCGCAATTACGGCTTCTACTCCAGGATTCACACGGATGAGTGGTTGTTGAAGGTCACTTTAGCTCCCACTAGCGCGGTTGCTTGATTGCTGACACGTGATTTCATTTATTAATATTGAATTACTGACGTCGCGGACAATAAGCTTCTTGGTATGAACATTGTTCGTTCATCCCTTTCTTCCTTTCACAGAGGGTTCTTAAATTTTACATTTTGAATATGAATACAAATTGATAATTTTCCAAGAATTTCAATTCGATTTCAGGAAGAGAATATGGCAACGATGGCATCTACATACAAGAAAGATAGTGGACATGGTGGACCTCCGCCGCGAAAGAAAGTGAAGACGTCAGAGCTACCGCTTGCGTCTGCGACGAGGGCGGCGATTGAGGGATTGGCTCATACGTATAAGAAGAAGGGTACTTATGACGAATTGAGGACTAAGATCTGGCAGGATTTAGAAAAAGGTGTATGTATTTATTTTGAAACTCTTAAGTTTTATTTGCGCCGCAAGATTTCTGGGTAAAGGGGTGGACTCTTTGGAATGATGGTCATAATGCTGATTACCGGTGCTAAATATAGGACTTCGAGGAAGACTTTACACGTTCATTGTTGAGTGTTGCGGAAGAGCAATTAGAAAAGGACCCCGGACAATTACTTAAATTGGAGCGCAATAAGGCTACGTTACTTATTGAGGGAGCTGTGGATCGCGCTGGTATATATCAATCTGCGGAGGCGACAATTGATAAATTGATTCAGGAGTATATTCCAGAAATTGAGGAAGGAGTTCGCACGATTCGCAAAAGTGATATTGGGGAAGAGGCGGCGGAGAATGAGTTTTCGAGAGGGGGCAAGACAGATGAACAGTATGCGGAAGAGTTCGCGAAGAGGAGAGCGACAAGAGAGCAATTAAGAGAAGAGAGGAGGGAGAAGGAAAAGACAATCGCGGATGAAAAGAGGAAGCAGGAGAAGTTGAAGAGAAGAGAAGAGGAGAAGAGGATTGAGGCGGATCAAGAGCGGAAGAGGGAGGCTAGGAAGAAGGCCGAGTTGGAGGCGGAAGAGGAGCGAGAGAAAGAACGAGAGAAGGAGGACAAGGAAAGGAGGGAAAGGAGGGAGAGGGACCGAGCCAGGGATCGAGACCGTGATCGCGAGAGAGAACGTGACAGAGAACGAGATCGTGATCGCGACCGTGATAGAGATAGAGATAGGGGCCGAGACAGGGGTAGGGATGATCGACGAAGAAGATATGATGACGATAGGCGCCAAGATTCTGCTGGTATCCGAACGCCTGCCTCGAAGCCAGAATTATCCAAGGAAGAAATTGAACGTCTCGAACAAGAGGCACTTAATGATCTTCTCAAGGAGGGCAGAAAGGTCGCTCAACGGTCTAGACATCAATTGGAGTTGGAGATTGATGATACATTGGCACCACCTCCTCGAAAGGCGATGCCTGCCTCGGCTATAAAGCCAATTTCTCGAGATACTCCGGTTAAGACAACAGAACTCAAGAAGCCTGCCGTTGCCAAAAATAAGGAAGAGCCCGCTTCGAGGATCGTCATTGCCAAAATTAAGGAAGAGCACGGTTCAAAGACGCCTCAACTTGCTGCTATAAAGCCAGTTGAAGAAAAGACAAAGGAGTCTGATCACGGCAAAAGAGGTAGCGAACGAGCGAAAAGTCCAAAAATTACGAAGGTCAAGGGGGAGACTAAGGTCGAGGATCGATCCAAGGTTGAGGAGGGACCGAAGGTGGAATCGAAGGAGGAATCGAAGATTGCAGAGACAAGCCATGATGGCCGAAAAGACAAGGAAGAACGTTCTCGACGCGGAAGTCGAGACCGGGATGATAGGAAACGCCGAGACAGCAGAGATCGTAATCGTGACCGAGATAGAAAAGATAGTCGAGACCGGGATCGAAGTGACTATCGACGACGTAGGTCAAGTAGAGACCGTGATGATAGACACGATAAAGATCGTATTCGATCAAGATCACGGGACCGACGAAGAAGCTACAGGTCTCGAAGCCGTGACCGAGTGGGAGACCGAGACCAAGATACGAGACGCGCAGAGAGTAGTGTAACTAGGGCAACCACTTCAAACATTGATACAGAGTCCTTCAAGCTTGCTGCGGCACAAGCAAGAGCAGAGGAAGCTAGAAAGTGGAACGAGGAACGAAAGAACCAACCACTACTCCCTAGCCTATCCACTAGAAAGGAAGAAACAGTTGCTACGCCTAGACCAAAGGATGATGCTAAAATGAGCAGCCCTGTTTCGACCAGGAAACGAGAAATTTCTCGGGATATGGAAAGTCATATGAGAGAATCCCGCGCAAGAAGCAGATCCCCTACCGCGAGACGAAGTAGTCGCATTGAGAGAAGCACTAGTCCGATTAACATTGATCGTTATGTACCGGGTGCGACCGAACGGAGGGAAAGTGCGGCGGCGAGAAGTCCGCCGAGAAAGAGGGAGAGGAGTAGGGATAGGGAAAAGGACAGGAGGTCGAGGGATGATGAAAGGTCGACGAGGAGGAGGAGTCGCTCGCCGGATGAGAGGAGGGATAGAGATAGAGATGGGCATTCTAGGAGGTATAGAAGTCGGAGTAGGGAGAGGGATAGAGATAGAGAAAGAAAGAGGGAAAGAAGTAGGAGTAGAGATAGGGATAGGGATAGGAAAAGAGAGAGGACTAGGAGTCGAGATAGGAGGGATAAGGATAGGGATAGGGATCGAGATAAGAAAAGAGATAGGAGTAGAGGGAGTAGGAGGGAATCGAGGAGAGATTGAGTGTCTCTGATCGTACAGTATGGGACTAGTGCTTTAAGACAATACGGCGAGCCTTTTAGCGGTGTTGAGGATTTATTTGTAAATCAATTCATATTACTTTTATAGCAATTTGATAGGATAATAATAGAGCAATGATGAATGAATGATATGGCACTTTGTTGGTTTGAAAGCAGGAGTTTAAGAGGTGTGGTGGATTGGTAGCTGGAATAATCGAGGATAGCGGTGCTCCTCGTCTACAATCAATTGAGAAAACTCGAAGTCATGCCAGAAAAGAACCAACATAGGAACTGACTGATCTACGTCTGTCTCACAGCCTCAGTCTCTAGCGATGACTTTTACTGTATTATTTTACAGGTCAGCTTTTGGGGCTCCCACTGTAATGTAATGTAAGTCTTTCCTACCTCAAACTTTGGAAATCGGCGATGATGAAGGAGGGATGGAGGTGGTATGCGTTTTCAGGGACCAGGGTAATTAATGTATTGTAGTTTGGACTCGAGTAGTTACTCGAGTATGAGATGATTTTGTTATTATATAGAGGACTTTCTGGATTCTGGAACGTTCAGTGATTGTTCGGAGTTGGATTGGGATTGGGATGTTTATCCGAGTATATGTTTCTGAGGGTTTGTGATGCTATGGGTTTTTATACACGTTTCATGAGGTTTTGATGATTTGATGATGATTTGACCTTAGAGCTTGGATCTTGGAGCTTGGAGCTTGGAGTTTGGAGCTTGGAATATATATCCAGACATAAAGCTGCGCTGGTTGTCTGGGGGTCTGGGGTGAAGTGGAGGTTATTGGAAATTAGAGGATATTTTCAACATGCATAGATCGAGAGATATTCAGATTTTTCGTAGGGATGGTTATATACGTAACGCATCGCTTAACCTTTGCATCAGTGCATTGGCGATGATTTTGGCTGCTTCTGCTTCTAAACCACACCATATCATCAGTCAGTTGGCTGGCCATGTCAGTGACTACACCTTCTTTAGCATCTGCTTTCACTTGTTGGTTGATATCATATTACATGTTCCCTTGAACAGGATCGTGCCATCATATAAGACACATCGATGACATACCCCTTTATCTTTGTCGAGGAAGCGGTGTCAGCCAACAATCATCTGGGATATTGGTGAAGTTTTCGGATCACCCAAGAACATAGTATGGTGATATTCAAGTAACGTGGATGATTCTTTTGGCTTTATAACAATCACGTATGCAGTGCCAAATCACCAGTCATTCGCCATATGCCCTTAACGAACAAGGCGTTACGACTTCAAGAGATATCGTGTGTCGGAATTCGATACAGGCGCATTAAGTCCTAAATACCCTGTCGCCTACTTTCAACTTGGTCGCATGAGATCCAATGCGGTAGACGATATATGAGCATTTGAAGCCGAAGCGCATGCTGGATGTACAATCTCTGAAATTTACGCCGCGGGCTTCAACTTTGATTTCGAGTTTATGGGTTGCTAGATCTGTGGCAGCAGCATTAGTCTCCACGAGCTCGAGGATGTCTAGTAGTACAAGCATTCCGATACTGAGAGCTACAGGAGAGGCACTGGAAAACTCGCAGTTGCTGCATGGTTTCCCTTCTATTGTAGCAGCTAGTTTCCGGTTCATGTATTCTGCATTTGCAAGTTGCAATTCTTTGCTTGGCCCAAGCATAAAAGCCTTTAAATGTTGCTGAGGCATTTGATCAATATCCTGCAGTATACTCACTGTCTCTACTTGTCCAAATCGTGTCTTTGATTTGTCAAAGACTATAGGAACTCAAGGTCTTCAAACTAAAGTGATGACTACGAACTGATAACAAACGTCTCGAGCACTAACTTATCACCTTCAACTGTAGGACTAGGTCTTGTCAGAGGGGGAATGTCTGCGATTGTTCAAAACCCCATTAGGAATGACTCTTTCAATTTAGTACTTTCATGATCCCACCACCAACCAGCCTTACCTATTCATTTGACACACTTAACAAACAAATAATGAGAATGTCTGATATTATACATATAACATTCCAGACATACCATATAGACCCAGCAAATGGGAATAGCCGATTTAAAATTTACAATAGCGCATTCGTCAATCCCGCTGTTAATAACCTTACCTATTCAACATCAAATCAAATCTTGACAAAAGAAGACACATCCATCCCAGATAAACTTTCTTACCCAGCACTAATAAACCAGCTACACTAATCATCTGCTCTTTTCCTTCATTGATCTTTTATAGTATTCTACCTTATTGATACTCTTATAGTTTGAAACTCATCACCACCCGAGGTAAGATGGCTTGCCAAGTATTATTATTTCAATATATCGGTAGCTGCTGAATTTGGAGGATATCACGAGGTGCTAAGTAATTAGCTGGCTCTTTCATTCCTCTTAAGATTCTTAAAGGGTGCTAATACGCTATAAAGGCCATCTATGACCTTTATGTCGTATCAATGTGTAACCACTCTACTCGTTTTCTGCGACACTTACTCAGTATGAACTAATCCAACACAAAAGCCTCCTAGTGCACACTTATTACATAGACAAAATACCAAACGAAACACATACCATAATTCAATCAACCCACTATAATCTCAACTCCTCTCCAAAAGTCCAAAATGAAAATTCTGAAGTGTCAAAATGTCGCTTAGGCAAAAAAGGGAGGCGAATTCTATAACCGATACGAGTAGAAGTGCATCAAATACATTACCCAGTTTATTACACAGATCTCGAGTATTACACCGGTACATAGTCATATAAAACTAAGTTCAACATCAATTCTCCCCTCTACAACACATTCTAGTTGACGAACAATTGATTTAATTTCCGGGTAAGAAACCTTTTCTTTTGCATTTAGCACACCATTGGATCAAAGAAATTTTACTCTCAGTGGCAATAGTGCAAGCACAATGCATCCATATAGTTAATCGTCAACCTAAAGCCTGAGTGAAGCTAGCAATCCTCTGTGCTTGTGCTTGTGCTCGTCCTTGTCTACCCATACACTCGAGTAAAACGTATTTTTAGTAAAATTTCACTCGGAAGTAAATTCTAACGAAGATCACACACTCTCTCCGACAACAGTAACAGTACAAAGTACAAACAATATCTATCACCTCTGAATGTATGAATCTATGATCCCCCAATCCCCCAAGTTCCGAACCCCTTCCCTTCCCTGTCATGATCAATAAACGGGTATGTTAAAATCATAAATACTGCGACGGAGCTAGAGCTGCAGCCAGTACAGTACACCGGAACCCCTCAAGTACTATCTATTCCACCACTACAATAATATCAGAAAATGAAATGAGAAAAGTCAGAACTTGGCTCAGGATACAATGAATCTATAATTTTAACAATTTATACTGTACATCTATTATCTATTATCTATAGCGATACTATACTCGCAAGGTTACATTCGTTTGTTTGTTTTGGATTTATCCGAGGCACAGGGCTTGGATGGTTTTTGTACTCTACTGTAGGATTACTACTCGAGTATAAGATAGGTTGGTGCAGGTGTAAAGGTGTAAAGGTGTAAGTAGAAGGATGAAAAATCCATTCGCCTGGTTTATAATGTACGAGTAGATCACGCATCATGCATCATGCATCATGCATCTTCTACCTCACCTATTCTCTCTCCTACCCTCCCACATCTTGTATATCACACCACAGCACACCACAATCATTACAATATACAACATACATTAAAGACCGAATCCGTATTCCGAATCCGAATTCGAATTTGCTCACTAATTATCTAGCTTTCCTAGCTTTCCTAACTAAACTACTGTAGCTGAATGGATACTCGGGTATATAAAAGATGAGGTAAGATAAGGTAAGACCTATTCAACTCAACTCAACTCATTCCAACTCATTCCAACTAAACAAACAATACTCAACTCAACTCAAGCAACAATACAAGAAGCGATAAAACCAACCTCCCAAAGAAAGACGGATAGACAGACAGACAGACAGATAGACAGATAGATAGAAATGCACGAAGCAAATCCATATTTCCCCATCTTTTCCCATCCCATCCAAGTCATCCACTCCAAACCAATTTTCCCCCAAACTCCTGTCCATACCCTAACCCTATCCCCCTCCTCTCCCTATCACTATCCCAACCCAAATCCCAAATCCCAAATCCCAACCCCAATCCAACAACATTATCTCATCACTCCCCATCAATCCATGAGTACTCATATTTTTTTATATCTATTACCTCCCAACCTCCCAACCCACCAACCCAATCCAGCACCAATCGATGCTAATGCTAATGCCAATCCTAATGCTAATGCTCCCAACTCCTCAAATAAATAGGTATGTCCAATTCCAACCAACCCAACCCTTTCCATGCGAATCAGTTATTCGTTACGCATATCTTAATCTCATACACATATATATATGTATATATGTAATAACCATCTCGGATCCATTCGAACAAACCCGGTTTAGTTCAGTTCGTTCTGAACTGTATGAATGCTTAATACAGTGTATGTACTGTCAAACAACACGTCTTCTCAATAAAAACCATCGAAGACGTTATTGTCCCAGCAAAGGATAATTTCACTTATGCAAGAACTTGACTTCCCCATTTCTCCAGTCCTCGCATGCGCCCCCTGAATCACCCAATTTCCGCTTTTTCGTCGAGCCACCTCCGGGGGTCTCAACCTCAACATCTTGATCTTGATCTTTCTCTTTGTCTTTCTGTTCTTCCTTCTCCTTCTCCTTCCCTTTCTCCTTAGAACTCCTTCCCCTCTCCATTTCCCTCTCCAACCACTTCTCCTTCAAAACACTATAAATCATAGCAAACTGCGCCACCCTATGCACCATCAACATTCTCTGATCTCTCAACTTCTTCACCGTTTCAAAGACCGGATCTTTATCTTTCGCCAATCCATCTAGATGTCCCATATCCAATTCTCGGAGAAGATGATCTAGCGCGATGAATGTGCCGGTTCGACCAACACCCGCTGAACAGTGGATTATGCGGGGAATGTTGGAGTGATTGTTGGCGGTCCGAGAGACGTCGATGAGGGAGAGGAGTGAATGGATATCGGCAGGCGATTGAGGGATATCGTTATCGGGCCAGGATTCGAATAGGAAATGGTGGATTGTGCGTTCTTCGACTTCGACTTCGACATCGACCCCTTCGTCCTGTAATTCCTCTGCTTGAGGTTCCATTTCCGTTGTTTGTTCTAGTTGTCCTTCTTCTATCGTCTCAGCTATCCCAACTGTTCCTTTCCCAACACTGCCAACACTACCACTACTCCTCGTACTAACACTCACACAACTCGCCGCTCTTCCCACCCTCCTCAACTTCAATGTCCTCCTAACCGTCCCCCCCTCTTCCTCTTTCCCCACACATTTAACCTCCCACTCCCCAACTTTCTTAACCTCCCCAACATCCTCGGCATAATAAACACCACATTTTTCCTTCCCTTCCTCCACCGGTCTCGTCAACATAACCACCACCTCAGCCATTTCCTGCCAACACATTTCCCAGAACAATCCCCCATCATATCCATTATCCCTCGGTCCCTGCGTCGCTATAAAATTTTCCTGCTCAGATCCACTTCCATTTGCAGTTCGAAGAGCGATGGGCGATGCGTTGATATAGCCAAATTGTAGCGAATGCAGTTTAATTCGATGATGTTCCCATGGATAGACATCGCTATATCTATTGCGAGATAGTACGACAGGATGATACAATAATGTATTTGGTATGATTCTTAGAGTCTGTTCATAATTTCTGAGAGCCATGAATTTGCTCCCCAACACATTTGTCGAAAAGTTAAGAAAATGCGGGATCGCATATTTTTGTTTCGGCGACGCGAAATCTGTCTTGACTGTAAGACTTGTATTCATCGGTGAAATGAACGATTGTCGTTTAAAGGGAGATGGTGATGTCGCAGATGCAGTTGAGACAGAGTGTGATAATTTGTCTGAAGTACTTGATCTTCTCTGAAATATCAAGTTTGGTTTCTGGTTCGGCATTTCAGTAATTCGAGACTGCGATTTCTCGAGAGAAGGCGAGAGTGTACCACCACCACCGTTATTATTATTATTACTGTTGTTCGTATTCATGGTATCGTTATCGTGATGGTGATTCCGGTGAATATGTACTGGTGAATGTTGGCGGATACAAATGCGAATACGCTGAGAAAGAGGAACTTTCTCGGTTGCTACTCCAGCTGTATGGTTTGAATGTTGTTGTTGTCGCAAGATACCCATAACCTGAGGGATTCGTTTTATTTCTTATGACGTACAGTAAATTGATTATCAGTAAAAGAGGCGTGAGTTTATTTGGTTGGGTGATACTTGTTAGATGGATGCTGGCAGGTGCAGCAAGTGTTAGTGTTATGGAGTAAAGTCCAAAATTAGAAGTATACCCAGTCGGTAGCACAGAATAGTATATGATATTCTACGAGTATAACGAGCGTGATAATTATAAAGAGAATAGAAGAGGTTTCTTTGAACAGTGAACAATTGAGAAAAAATATATAAAATTGTACTCGATACAGTATTACTTATTACTCATTTCGGCCTTTTATTCATGAATATCGGCCAGCGACCATTAATAAAATACAGTACTAGCACCTAGTGATAACCGAATATGAACTAATTTCGAAATGAAACCTATACTATTGCAGAAATATTGATAGCGACAGCGAGGCAATATTGTATTTTTGTTATATTTATTTACTTGAGTAGTTTTTATATCAGGTTTTTTTTAAAGGAATGAAGTATGGATTATATTCTACTCGAGTAGATAGATAGATTAATCATTACCTTCTACTAGGTTTCTACTAGGCTTCTAGATGTTTCAGATCCTTCCCTTCTTTCCTTCCTTCCTTCCAATAATTGCTAATTTAGCTACCGGTACAAGCTGTCTATTACCAGAAGCTATACCAGTATCTAGGTAGATATTTCACGGAAATCTCACTCAGGTCCCAATATCAAAAACCATAAACGCCATCTAGTTATAGTATCAGCACCTTATTCCAAATCCTAATTTTACTCCAAATCCCCTTCTCTATCCCCATCCATATCCATATCCATATCTTCCTCCTTACAACTTGCAACTTACAACTTACAACTTAAACTTACAAGACTGTGATCTTCCTTCAAACCCTCTCTCCAAACCTCCCTTTCCTTCCGAGTCCTTCCCTTTCTTCATATTTCACCCATCTAATGTGATGAATACTACTGTACAGTAATTATATTGGAGTGATATTGACAGAAGTATTACAAAGCAGTAGAAAGTTCAACTATGTCTCATAAAATCTTATATATTGGAGGACAATGACAATGACAATGGCCATAAGTATCATTCTCAAGTTGACTTTCTAATGATCGTTATTAGAATACGTTCTACCTACCCTGCTGTATAGCTAATTTCTATACCTACTTGTGCTGTGCTGTGCGCAGTATTGCAGGCATGTCATGTAATCACGCTTTACAATCCATAAACCTAGTCCTAACAAACCATTTCGAATCCAATCCAATCCCAACCAATCCAATCCAATCCAATCCCGACGCCACGCTATGCATAAAAAGTAAAAGTACAATGCCCATACAGAGCCTATCCCAACACCATACACCCAACCAGCCCACTGGCATACGAGCTTGATTTTCCTTTCCCCTTTTTGAGTTTCAACTAAAATCGACCTAGCTTACACCATAACCAAACCCCCCATACTTCCATCTCTCTCCCTCTCATTTTCCCTTGCACCGAGATACGGTTGAGGAATCAATATAGCTTTGGTCGGGCTATATTGCTGTTCTGATCCTTGCTCTGCATCTTCGTCTCCATCCGAGATCTCGAAAATGTTGGGTTTTCGGTCATCGTGGTCTTCGTGGTTCGTAAAATGCGTGTCTTCTTCTGATAGATTTGATGATGGAGATTTTGGTAGTGCGAGATCTACATCGTCGGTTTCGGGGAGAGGTATGTTGAGTGCCATTGTCGAGGAGAGATCTTGAGATAAAGGGGATGTTGTTTCGTTTGGAGAAGTGCACGTGGGGGTTTTTATGGCTACATCCTGTGTTGATGCATCGATTATGGATTGTGCAGGTGGTAAATAAACAGCTGATTCAATCTGATCATAAAAGAGCATAAATACTCCTCCTTGCGCCAATACGTTTTCTTCACTGACTTTCATGACATGATCGTCACTTAAGCGCCACCATTGATCTTTTTTGTTGCCATGCTCATCAACTTTAGTGTCTAGTACAGGATGTTTTCGGTAGCATATATAATGTCCATTTTCATGTCTTCCGGAGTGCGTAATAACGGCTCGTAATTCGTATAATGGCCCTTGCACTCGGGACTTTTGTTGTATTCCCGCAACCATAGAGGAATAGGGGGCTAATAGCCATTCCTCACCGGCCTGTTCTTCATCCCCCCCAGCACTACCGAGACAATATGGACCAAGATCGAGATGTTTAGGAAAGCGAATGGCGGCTGTCTTCTTACTTAACTCCCCGTCGGGTCCATAAGTGCTTCGATTGAGATGGAGGGCTAAAGATTTGGGTGGCCGAGCAATTATATCCTGTTTTGATTTGGTAACCGTTACCCAGTTTTCGGTGGGAATGCTGCACTTATCCTTGAGGGTTTTTTCGGAAAAGTCATCATCCTCTAGTGCTTGAGTGACAGCTTGCAGTCGTTCGGCTGTGTTTATGCGAAGTCGATTATCTTCTGGTTCGACCTCAAGTCGCTTCATCAATGTAGAAAGTAGCTGCTCGCTCTTTCGCAATGTGCATCTCTCACAATATACGCCATGAACAAAATCTAGCTTTGTGCCTTCGTGAAGTAATTGAGAGAGGTCATATTCCCAGCCTTCTCCTACAATCAAAGGCTGGCAAAGGGACGGGGTTGTTTTCAAGCCTTCGGAATAGCTACATTTTGTGCACACGACTCTTGTAGCGGTAAGTCCAGTCAAAGGGCTCGGAGGTAAAGCTTGAGCGTGTGGTTGATGTTGGCCCAGATCTTTCGATATTTCCACCTGCTCCAAGCCCGAAACCCCACTCAATTTTGCGACTGTCCCATACTCTTTATCTATTGCGCCAAGAAGACCCGAAAAGTATTCTTGCGCATCTTGTTGCTGCCAGCTGCTCATATTCTTTAAAGTTGCCGGTGTCCAAATTCTCCTTCCATTGTTCGATGGGTCCTTTAGGGTAGCAATTAATTCCTGTAAGGCGTTGGCCATTTTGATGTCCCCAGGCTCTGAACCATCCTGTCGTCGCGACTCATCACCTCGGAAAGTTTCGAGAAAATCCGGCAGCGAATCTAATGATGCGAGTCCTTGTAAGATGCTATTTTGATAACAGGAGTTGTCCCAATTTCCCAACCCCGCCGGAATATCTTCCCCTCCCGCGACCCCCAAGCCAATGAGAGGAAGGGTTGATAATCTTCTTCTACCAGCACTTGCGACGGAATCTATAATCCCACCAGGGATGTCCAGTCCCCAGAGACGGCGCATCGTCTCGCTCTTCTGAGCATGTGTTCGTGGGTACTCCATATTTGGGTTTCGTATTCGTAGAGGATTCGAGTAGTTGTCGGCAAAATTGAGTAGTGAAGAAGGTGTTAAGTATACTAAAGCGTTCCAGGCAGACTGCGAGAGAGGCAATAGGTCATAATCGAGGTGAATGAGGATTTGGTAAATCAACGCGATGACAATAGCTACTACTGACAAAATAACCCCTACTCCAATCGGTTCTTTCTGATATAATCCTTCCTGAAAGTCTTGATGATAATCTTCCCCAATAAGCTGATCTCTATCGAAGAGATCATGCATTCGCCCGTTTTCAAGATTCATCCTTGGGCGTATGAATGAAGACAAGAATGAATGTGTAGAATATCTGAGGTTCGTTGGAAAGACTGCAGGCTAAGAATGCGACGAGATTTAAATCACATCAATGCGGTCGTTATGTTAACGTACTACCTAGGTAGGTAGGTAGGTAGGTATAGGTATTTAAAAAGGCAAAGCTTGTTGAAGACTTCAAGCATCATTTCCAGGTGTGCTATCGTAATGACTGAAAGCCTAGCTAGCACTAAGCAAACAAGGCATGTGGGTTGTGTATAGTGCAGATGTAGTTTAGTGTTATGCTCATTATCTAAGACTTTATAGTGGACTCGATAACTGATTGAGTTACCCCACAACAAAATAATAATTATCTTCAGACTGCAGAATCGAGAGAAAAATAATAATTGTCATCATCTTACTTTTCTCTTCTACAACAATGGGCAAAACTGCACCTCTGAAGAACAAGGGTGGTAAGTGAACTTGGAATCTCTGCTTCTCTTTTACGAGAACTAACAAAACTGCCAGCTACCTCGGTGCGTTCTCGCGCGGCCAAACGTGCATCATCTCCAAGTATCGACACCGATAAGTCTCTTAAAAATGTCAAGACTCCAACAGAAACGGTATATCAACCACAGGTTCTGTCTCCACACCAAGGCGCAGGTATCTCTAAGAAGACTGGTGGGAGGAAAGCTCAATTGAGCACAAAGGCAAAGAAGCGACAACAGCAGGGATTGGAGAGAGGGGAAGCGGTGATGGATAGGACGTCAACGAAAATCGAGAAGAGCAAGTACAGAGGAAGAAACGTTCAGGACAGAGCAAAGACCTGGGAGGCTCTAAACAAGAAAGCACAGGAAGCTCTTCAAGCAACGATGGATAAAGAGAATGAGGTTTCCGAGGAAGAGGATATGGAGGAAGATCAATCTCAAGGAGAAGTTGAGATGGATGATACTTCAGGTGCTCCAGTTGTTCCTGATGCGGCCCAATCAATCCCGCTCCCTGCACCGGTAGAGGATGAAGATGAGATTCTATGAATTCAAAAGGGAGATCTTGCATTTGCACGGCGAACTGGCGTTAAATGGAAGGGAAAAGGATGGAAAAGGAATTTCATCTTCAAAATGACTTTGATACCAAAAATCATGATTGGGTTGACAGGAATATGGGACTATCGAATCTTCATTGAGTACTGAATAGGGGTAACTCGGTACGACGATGGAGATGTCGATCATCAAGCATAAAGTGCAGTAAAGTAGATACAGATATATGGTTCATGGATCTTTGCAATGTAAACATGCAAATCCAAAAGTACCAGGTAAAATGTGCAATTGTTATAACCAAATTTACCCGAAACTTTTCATCCCAAGACTAGGTAACCTTACTCAACTTATCTTACCATTGATACTTGGAGTTCTCATATATGAAATGTAAACCTGATATATCAACAACATTCTGCTTGTAATCGATTTGATATCAATTTGGCTTTCTCACCTTGGCTGATAAGATCGATTGGTTTGTGTAGCCATAGACACGTGATGCCGCTAGCTTTAGTAGTAAGCTTGGTGGGTCTAAGCTTCAAGCCTATGAAATGTTTACAGGGGGTGCGTGCAGCCTAGCATTATCAATCGCGATATTTCAGCCTCGTCAACGCTCCAAATATATTTCCATCTACCACAACTCGATTTATCAGAACATTCTATTACCATCAATCATATATTCAAATCTCACAATGTCTAGCAAACGTATGACCGCGAATCAAATAAAGCCATCACGATATCGACCTGGGAAAGTACATCTGGAGGAAGATGATTCCTCTGATTCGGGGAGTGATGCAGAAGAGACACCTTCCATTGCGCCACCCCCAAAAGTCTCGACTGCAGTTGGAATTTCTAGCAGTTTGAATAGGGGCAGTTTAAATGAAAGGAGGAACCTTGCGGCCGTCAAAGAAAATGCGCGTATACAAGAGGAAAAGGCTCTGAAAGCTGCAGAAGAAGAGGGATTCGTAACGGAAGAAGAGAGTGAAGAAGAAGGTAGCGAGGAGGGAAGCGAAGATGGTAGTGAAGAAGAGGAGAGTAGCGAGGAAGAGGCGCCGAGGAAGGTTATGATGAGGCCGACGTTCATTAAGAAGGATAAGAGGAATAATCTTCCTGGAGCTTTTAAAACTGAGACCAAAACGGGAGAGGAATTGGCGGCAGCGGAAGAAGCACGGAGGATAAAACTGGCAGATGAAATTGTTGAGGAACAAATCAGGAAGGATATCGCTGCAAAAGAAGCGGGAAAGAAAAATTGGGATGATGAAGAGGAAGATGATGAGGTGGATGATACAGATGACATTAATCCAGAAGCCGAGCTTGCGGCGTGGAAATTGAGAGAGCTGAAGAGGATTAAGAGAGATAGAGAGGCAATTGAGGAGAAAGAAAAGGAACTGGAAGAAGTCGAGAGAAGAAAGAATCTAACAGAGGAAGAGAGGAAGATAGAAGATGACGAGTATATCGCGAAGCAGAAAGAGGAGAGAGAAGGCAGGGGAAAGATGGCAACGATGCAGAAGTATTACCACAAAGGAGCCTTCTATTCAGATGCATTAGCAGCAGAGGGCTTGGACAAACGAGATATCATGGGTTCCAGATATGCGGATGATGTGCAAAATCGAGAATTACTCCCAAAAGCATTACAGATAAGGGACATGACGAAATTGGGAAAGAAAGGAGCGACAAAATACAGAGATCTAAAGTCGGAAGATACAGGAAAATGGGCGCAATTTGACGATAGGGGGCCGAGGAGAGGGGGAGGTGGAGGTGGAGGCGGAATCGCCGGATCTACGGAAGATGAAAGATTTATGCCGGATAGAGATAGGGGAGGAGCGAGCGGTGCTAATAATGTGCCCGTTGGTGATGAAAATCGTCGGAAGCGTCAAAGATTCGATTAGATGATGATTACGAGTAAATTTATAATTATCTTCATCGTCTTGTTGCTCTTTGAAAGTAAAGTGATTTTCATTCCTCTAACGCACTTCTTATTTTTTTGAATACTACCGGTGGTTATCTGTGATAATAAATATCTCAGCGCTGTCTATCTACATATACTAGGTTTCTACAAAGTAACAATCCAATATTTCTCAGAATAACACACTCGAATACCCAGCCAACCTAAGTACTCGTACAAGGTTCCTCGTCACATATCATATAACATCACAGTATCCTTTCTAATTCTCAATCCCCAAAACCTCTATCCCAAAGCCTCTATCCCCACCCTCCACTCCCTACTCCCTAAAACCTCAATATCAATATCAATATCAACATCACCACCTTCCTTCCTCTACTCCTCCAATCCTCCAATCCTCCAATCCTTTAAATCCTTTGATTTCCCTTTTAAACGTGCTCCCTTCAAAAACTTAAGTTACCTACCTACCCCACAATGTATATACATACAGTAAGTACCCCTTTAAATAGTCGATATATATATATATACTCGAGTAAATTACAGAGGAGGGGAAAAAAAAGAAAAGAGGGAATAAATAGGTATATACTCGAGTCAATAGATAAATAAATGGATCCTAATGATATGAAAAGAGAGATTTGAGAGAGAAAGATTTGTTAATTATGATTGTTTATTTATTCATTTAGGAATCCGTATAAGATTAATCTAGACTTGAATTTCGATCCTCTATTTCTAATTTCTATTCGCCCTGCACTCACTCTAACATCATGCGTGATATGTGATATGTGATTTGTGTGATGTTCGAAGGGTATGGTATGCCAGTAGCCATGTTCTATAGCCGGCCGAACTAATTTATCCAGGAGGAGAGAGGTGTTTTGTTACACTATCTATATTGTTCCGACTATGCCAACTTCCTGCCCTGGAGTCTACACTTCCGCTTCCATTTCAATCTTTTCCTGTTCAGTTTCCTTCTTTATCCACCCTCTTCGTTTTCGCATTCTTTCTCTCTTTTCACTGTCACTCTCTTTCTGTTCATTGTCTTCCTGTCCAATCTCTTCCTGTGCACTCTCTTCCTGTGCATTGTCTTCCTGACCACTCTCATTCTTTACACTGTCTTCATTTCCACCCTCTTCCTTCCCATCCACCCCCTTCCCATCATCCTTCGTAGGAATTTTCCCCCCAAAACACAACAACACCTGCGCCCCTACTACCCCCTCCATCTTTCTACTCTCCATTGCTCCCTCAACTCCCTCAACAGCCTCATCAATCCTCCTTATCACCTCCTCCGCCTCATCCTGCGTCGCCTGCTTCCCCTTCTTCTTTCCGTCCAAGAACACCTCCACCGCATACCCCTTCTCCAAGAAATCTCTAATCTTCTTTAACCGATGCCCCAACATTTCCTGTTCAATCGCCCAATTCATATCAAGCATCTTAACCACCTTAACCGCCGACGCCTCATTTTCATCATCTTTCGCAGGAGGTTTCCCCTCAAAAAAATACCACCACATTTGTCCCCACGACCCCCTCCATCTTTTTACTCTCCCGCACTCCGTCGATCCCGTCTGCAAACTCCCGAATCCTCTTCAACACCTCCTCCGCCTCCTCCACCATCGCCTTCCTTCCCTTCTTCTTCCCCGCCAACAACACCTCCACCTTATTCCCCTTCTCCAAAAATTCCCTCATCTTTTCCAACCGATGCCCCAAGTCATTGTTCTCAATCGCCCAATTCATCTCAATCGTCTTGACTACCGCCACTGGTTTCTTCATACTCTTCACCATCTTCTTACGTACATGCGCTTCCTTCTTATCAATAATCCGCGCGATGGGCGCCTCGCCATCTTCGCCCCACGTCATTACTTGCAGCCTGTGTGTTTTCAAATTGAGCGTACGGAGGATATCCGCCGTGGAGCGCGGGGATTCGAGTCCTTGTTCTGCGTTCTTGAGACGGAGGTAAGGGGCGGTAATTTCTTCATCGCGGGGAAGACGTTTTTCAGGAACCACATTGGAGGTTGTTTTGAAGACCGTTCGGCGTTGAATGGGTGTTGCGTTAAATTTGAGGAGAGATTTGACACAAAAGTTTGGAGAGCGGAGGAATTGGCTAGGTGAATGCTCAACCGGGGCAATGAATACACGGCTCAGTGCGGAAGCTGCATTGAAAACACATCTTGTGTTTGTCATGTTTGGTGAAGGATATTTACAATGTCTGTAGTTGCGATTGAGCTTGAAGAGAGCTTGGTGGGTGGGTGATCTGGAGAGAATTTATTATCTCGCTTATGTAATCCCAAATATTCGTCAATCGTCATAGTACATCAAAACATACTATCATGTCCAAATTCCACATACAAATGTTTCAAACCCCAAATAAAAGCATGCCATGATATTCAAATCTCTCCCCCGACCCCTATACACCCCTAAATTTCATCCCCGTCTCCTTTTCCACCGCATCCCCCATGGCCACCGCAACAATTCCTCCAACTTCCTCCCCCGCATCTTCCACGCCATCAACCCCAATGGCGGCCACCATCCCCTCCGCTACATCTCCGCCTGCATAAAAGCCATGTTCGCCGCGCACGTCTACTATACCTACTGTTACTCTATCGAAGCCGCCATCGGTCCCTCCATGATCCCCACCATGTCTGTCAAGGATGACTGGTTTCTCATTGATCGATATTATCGGCGTGGAAAAGGTGTTCAAGTTGGAGATATCGTGGTTTTCGATTCGGTGGTGAATCCGGGACAGAGGGCTTTCAAGAGGGTTTTGGGGTTGGAAGGGGATTGTGTGATGATGGGGACCCCGGGTCGTGGGGATGATCAGATGATCAGGGTAAGTAAGGAGTAGATTTATATAGGGGGCTTGAAGAGACTAATGGTTTACAGATTCCTGAAGGTCATTGTTGGTTGGTGGGAGATAATCTGGAATGGTCGAGGGATTCGAGGATGTTTGGTCCCGTACCTATGGCTTTGATTAACGGGAAAATCATTGCTAAAGTCTTGCCGTGGAGCGAGAGCAAATGGTTCGAAAATGACATGCAACCAGTGCTAGACGACCCGTGATGTTTTGATATAATCATAAATTAACATCACCGAATCCCAATAAGATACATTATTCTGCCATCTTCTAGCGACGTATGTGATATGACAATTCTATAAGTTGTTTCCGAGCAATAATTGAAATTGGATATCATAATGTCCTATCTAATTACATCAATAACAAGTAAAGTTCCATATGAGCTGTAATAAGTTGTTGAAGGGAGACGTCGTGAAAAGATATATTGTAATGACGAGAACCTCTGAAGGTTTTTCATATAACACAGTAATAAAAGTTGTGCAGCACCCCCGCTCTGCCAATGCTCGCTGCAAACTATTATGCCTTTGCTCATACTCCTAACACCGTGCCCTTCCCATAGCTAGATGCAAATAACAAAGAAATCTTTTCCTGTGCAAGCGCTCAACCTTCGATATGGGAGGACTTTCCATGTTGTCCGAGTAATTGCAATGATCTTTGAGCAAGTTGGATAACTTCTCCTTCGCCTTCTTCTTCGCCTTCGTCGTCAGATTCAACTTGTTTGTCGGAAATAGTCTTAATCATTGATACAATTTCATCCGATTTCCCGATTAAGCCTATCAACTTTTGATCCTCGGATTCCAATAGTTGCAGTAATGTCCAGATTGCGATATGTTGGAAGGTTGGGTCCCCGCTAGCAAGGAAGCGCTTTAGATAACCGTGAATGCCTCCGAATGGCTCTGTCCATGCTTGGATGAAAATGGAGTAATCACCGACTAAAATTCATTAGCATTGAAACTTGGAAGCACGAGATCATTATTGAAACTTACCCTTGGAAGATAAGTTCCCAAGCGCCGCAGCACTGTTGCCTTGGACTTCGATGCTCGAGGAATCTGTCAATGGAATAAGGACATCGAAAACCCCTAGATTGAGAAGCTGGGTCTTGAGATCGTCACTCAAGGCCAATACAGCGATTGCGGCAGTCATTTCCGATTGGACACTAAGGGCAACCTCCAGAACAAGCTGCTTGCACTTCTGAACAGCTCCGGCCTGTAGAACAAGCTCTTTGTTTCGATCAGAACTAGCAGCAAGATTGCGAAGTGTTGAAATGGCGTGGCACTGAATTTCTTCATTATCGGTGGAACCTAGTAAGTCGACAAGCGGTTTTAAGAAGCCGGCGTCGATGATTGGGGATTCGTTTAATGGATGTATCGAGATGTTGCGTATGCAAGCGACAGCTGAAAGTATTAGTGGTAGATATGAGGATTGTAAAAGTCGTAATAATGGAGCTAAACCGCGAGCGCGCACAATTTCCAGTTGATACTTCTCGTCCGAAGCAAGATTTCGTAAAGCCAAGGCAGCTTGACATTGAACTTTAGGTGAGGATGAATCCATCAGGTTCACAAGAGACTGTATGAGTCTATTCTCGTTCAGGGCGAGCTTTTTACGGTTGTTAGCATCAACAGCGATATTACTCAAAGCTGTTGTGCAGTAGTATTGTACATCTACATCTGAAGACGAGAGGAGTTGTACTAGTACAGGTATGGCACCGGCGTTGACCAGCTGCTGGCGATTCTCATCTAGATATCGTTAGTGTCTGTAAGCACCATGTTGAAAAGACAGCTGCTTACCAGAATGTGTCATGTTCAGTAAAGCGCCGGTAGCATTTCTCTGTACCCGCATGTCTTTAGATTTCGCTAGACGAGTAAGAGGACCCAGTGCCCCTGATCGTGCGATCTTTGCCTTATTATCCTCGTGTGTTGCCAAATTGGTAATACAACCGACTGCATTACATTGCACCTCGACATTTGGGGACATCATCTGTCGAATGAGAGGTGTAAGACCCCCAAGAAGTACAATCGCAACTTTGTTTTCCGCTAAGTTGTGTGTTAGCTTAGCTCGTGCTACAGGGAAGCATAACTCACTGTTAACTGCCAGATTCCCAAGAGCTGCGCTAGCCGCTCGTTGCACCTCGATATCGGGACTTTGCAAGAGGAAGAGTATCGGTTCGAGGGTATCTCTATCTACTTCACGGACATCTGAGAGGCATCAGTCAGTACCAAATCCCTTGCAACAAATATATTCTAATCCTCTCCGCCTCGAAGCTCCGCCCTCCGAGTACTTCTATGCAAGGCGGACCATCATTGATGTGGGCCATAAATTTCCTGCTCGAGTTCGACATTGCGTATATGAATCTATCCGTGTACATAACAAAGACGTACCTCGTTCCGTTATCTCAGCAAATGTTAGACTAGCACTTCGCTGAAGGTCGACATTATCCGAAAATACCAAGGTACTCAAAGCTCGTAGGGGTTCGCCGGAGAAAAAGTCGGTCTCGCCGCGCTGAGGATATTGTGAGAAATCAAACATGTTATCAATAGTTTAGGTCTTTCTTACGTTCTCGAGGTATTGTAGAAGGTCTGCCACCGCTTCTCTTTCGCTTTCTGCAAGCACTGGCTCATATAAGCCATCTCGGGATTTACCTGCATGATTCATAGATAAGTAAGTGCTTTCAAAGATACAATTCTTTGACGCATACCTCCGCAGCAAGAAGAGCAGACACCACCCATTTCTCTCGATGTTGGCCCCGTGGGACAAGTGATGATAGCGAGTTGTAGAGTCGGAATCAATTGTTTTTGTTGGAATGAGGGCGAGTATTCGAACAAAGCGATGATGCTATAGGAAGGAGAAATGGCATAAAATTTCCGTTTCGTATTATATTATAGGAAAGCTCGATGGCCATTCGAAGGGGAGTAGCGAAGTGAAATATTGAAATATTGAATGGTTTGATTCTTGATAAAGAAGGTTCGAGGATTGAGTTGGCGGGAGCTTTTTGGTTTTCGAGCTTCGGTCTTTCACTTACTTAATTGTACACCCATCGTCGATAGGCCTGTACACGCTATACAGTAACAGTACGCTACACGCTTACACGCTTGCTTACAAGGAGGAAGAGGCTCTGCACGGACCATGGGTCTATTACACTTAAAGCTAAATATTCTACCTAAGGAAGCAAATCACATGCTGTTTTATTTATAATTTATATAGCTTATTATATTTTACCTTTTATTTACCCTTTTGAGAAGTATATGAATAAATGATTACTGTATTATTTACGTTTTATTCTATACATAGGTAAAGTCTCATGAGAAGGGGTCTATAACATGTCAACGAAATCACAAACCTTACAACCTTTTCCTGTTGGTTATTCTGGAAGCAAGTTCCCCAAGTGGGATCAGCTTCTACTCGAGTATTCAAGTAACAAGTTGGGTTTTGTACCGAGTAGATCCCCTGCGATCCTCCAGCCTCCCACAATTGAAGAAACTGGAGCCCTTGCAGCTAAAAGAGCTAAAGGTGGCTCTGAAGATATCCAATAGATTATAGAATAGATAATCGATACGGTATAAGCAATTGAAATCACTTCCAGAATGACTCCAAAGTTCCAATCCTCGGTTAAGTGTCTTAGATCTTTTATAAGACAAGAAGATGAGTTAACTTAAATTCTCTACTCGAGTATATCTGATGATATTATTGTATAATATGCCATTTAAAATCGACAACTACACTAGCTCTAATCTTCAGGTCCCTGAACCTAGGTAGTGCATTCATAAGGCTAGGTAGTTATTATCTTAAAGTAACGAGACGTTACAGCTAACGGCTATCATCAACCATACACAATCATCATGGCATTGGCAATTCGAGAAGTCGTCGACAACTTATCAATTGCTCAGCATGAAAAACCTCATATTCAAACAAACGCTTATCCTTGAATGAACCAACATCTTCCTTTTCTATGATTTATCAAGGATCCACATTCATCAATTATGGTACACTACCCATTTACACCGATATTTTGCCCCGATAAAAAAGATGCAAACGCATACACCCACTTCATGCCTCACCAAGAGTCACCATTGTACCAATGGATAAGACAAGGATGATTTTTGAACCCGGCTATCGATACAAGTAACAGCAAACTGTTTTATATCGACGTGTTTCCCTAGTGATGGGGTTATGAATTTATGATTTTGGAAGATCAATGATGTGGATGTACAGAGGGGTTTCAGACAATGAGTTTGCCGTTGTGCATGTACATCTTCCACATCTGATTATGCAAAATGCTTCATCGTCCTTTCATGAAGATAACTCGGTAATATAGCCACCCATTTTAATAATTATCTTCCGAAATCGATGCAGGTAGCCAGCCACAACAACTTTGAAATTCGAGTTCATGCATGTAGGTCTAAGTACAGGGAAAAGAGCCTCAAGGAGTCATCCTAGACGAGACGCATGTATATATTATTATTATAATATGCTGCTATTACTCAGGATAGGACTCTCTCCGCCTGTCAAAGGGGAAACTTGGAGGAATAATCTAGAAGATTGTTCTAAATCTACCTCGACCTCGACTCTCTTCACTGACACTACTGAATTGTATCAATACCGGTATATCTTGACATTTACGAGTAGGTAGTCGTCCCAATGAAATTAGATAAGACAATGAAAGTCCCTCCCCATCTTTGAATAATCTAGTCGGGAGAAGCGTTCAAGTTCAGGCTCATGTTTTGGCTGAAAATGAGTATCAAATTGAATTTTCCTTTTTTTTTGAAGAGATTTTAATCACTTCTGTGGGAGGTATGAGTTGGCATGGTGAGAAGATGTGCTTACACTTCAAAAATGGTGTAGTGAGTGGATACTCAAAGAACTAATCCGGGGAAGAGAGCCGAGACTGGAGTGGAAGTCCGAAAAGGGGATAAATGGATCCGGAATGATGTACTGGAGTACCGTATATGTAATCGATTTGATTTAGTTAGCTGTACCGAGGATATCGGGATCCCCTCAAGCTCATGGTACAGTATAGCATTCGACCATTCGACAAACTATGGTCGTCGGCGCCTCTATTGTCTGAAATTGCCCTCCAAGCTCCATCGGGAAGAGCTAGACGATGTATGGATACCAGTAGGTACTCGAGTATATGGAGCTGTACCGAGAGTACCGAGAGTACCAAGAACTGATGGAATACCGTAGGTACTTGCCCTCAAGCTCAAACAAGAATACCTTGAGGTAGTGAAGATCTTTTGGTATTGGAGGTTGGATCAGTTATATGATGAACTGATGATAGGCACAACAAATTCAGCTCAATGATTCAATGATTCAATGATTACATAGTCATAAGTCATGCAAATCCCCCAAAAAATATCGATTTTGGTTGATCAGGCATACAAAATTCCCTTTCCCCACGAAACACAACACGCATATGGAAAATCTTGCCCCACCTTCGTGACTTTTGTTCTAGCTTTCAAGTTCAGCCTACCATTTCCCCATTTCCAAGCTTTGCGAACTCAATATTACCCATCTTCTTTACCAATACAACCTACGACCCCTCTTATGAATATACTTCAATCTACTTATTATTCAAAGTTTTAACTAACTCTATTACTTGTCCACCCATCCAATATCGATGTGCTTCCCAAGAATTGTCCCAAGCATAACCCATGTCTGATATGGCAAAAGAGATACGGCCAACGGCGCCCAATCCCGCAGACTCCTTCACATCACAACCACCGATTATCGCTAGACATGATCACGAGTCGCGCATAGCTCAACCTTCAACATTCCTCCTTCCAAGAGGAAAGGTCGCCGATATGCAGCAAGAAAAGGCGCAGGAGAAGCCGCAGGAAAAGCTGATGACTACGCTCGACAAGGACCAGCAGAAGGGTTTGGTAAGATAATCTCCGTTATCGCTTGTCCCATCAAGATGGTCATAGAAAGTCATTTATAGGATACTCGTGGGGGTTTGTGCTTCGAGTACTACGCGGGGCTGACATACTTGACTCTACAGAAATCGATTCGAGATTTCCTCAAGCGCCGTACAAGCTACGATGTTCTACCTCTTTCCTTTCGACTCATCATCCTTAATACCGATCTACTTGTCAAGAAGAGCTTGACCATCCTCCTACAAAATGGTATACAAGAACAAACCCAACCCTACTAGATTATACATCATTGCTGATCTTCGAACCCTACAGGTATCGTGTCGGCTCCGCTATGGGATTCGCACACTTCAACCTTTGCTGGTCTTCTTACGACTTCGGACTATATAAATGTTATCCAATACTACTGGCAAAATCCAGAAGCTCTCAATCAAATAGATCAATTTAGATTGAGTAGCTTAAGAGGTAGAGTCCAATATCCTAGGCTGGTTGAGAATTAGGCTGAACACCATCGCAGATATCGAAAAGGCAATTGGCGTATCGCCCCTGGAGACGATGTCGGTACATCCTACACGACCTCTTTACGACGCTTGTCGCCAAATGCTACAGACCCGAGCCCGCCGTATTCCACTGGTCGATCTCGATGACGAAACAGGAAAAGAGATGGTAGTTAGTGTGATTACGCAATATCGTATCCTGAAGTTTATCAGTGTCAATGTCGATGAAACAGAATTCTTGAAAAAAAGTGTATCGGAACTAGGGCTCGGAACGTATGGGGACCTACAAACCGCAAATATGGACACTCCGGTGATCGACGTCATACATATGATGGTCAAACATAGCATTTCGAGCGTTCCCATTGTTGACGATGACTCACGCGTGCTTAATCTTTTCGAGGCTGTTGATGTAATCACGATCATCAAGGGCGGTGTATACGATGGTCTGACTTTGACTGTGGGAGAAGCTTTGGCAAATAGGGCGGAAGACTTTGCCGGGATTTATACGTGCAGTGAAGAAGACAGGTTAGATTCGATCTTTGACACGATTCGTAAATCTAGAGTGCATCGATTGGTGGTTATAGATGAAGAGCAGCATTTAAAGGGGGTGATCTCTTTATCCGACATTTTACAGTATGTACTCCTACATGGAGAGGACGATGATTGAGCCCTATCCGATATTGGCCATGATACTACGAGGACGGATAGGCGTTGCATAGCGATTTGGCGTACAGGCACAGACCTGATCTCACTGGTCATCAAAATGGCCACAATAGATTTGATCGGGCGATTTCTTCATATTCGTTAATACCATTTTGTGGACTGCGGATTAGGGATAGTATGGCAAGTCTTGGGAATGACTTGTGAATATTATATGGATGATGGGAAGGAAGCAAAGGGCTTGCAATTCAGGAATTTTATCCCTTTTATAATGCTTAAAGGATTATTGTGCATTTCAATCACAGCCAAGGACTAAGGACGGTTCTATATGAATTTAGAATTCTGGAAAGAATATTTCATTTTTGATCAAATTTATGGCTCCCTGTTCTTGTTGAAGAACTCGAAATTTGCTTAGTTGTAAGTCGCGGTTTCCTCTTTTGTGTACCTACAAGCTTATAGGAAGTGTACCTAGCCTTTTCTTGATATTCAACTGGTAGGAACAATCGTGTTTGGAAGTTAATCCGTCATTTCTGTTGATACCTCAACTATACATCTCAAAAGACCTTCGCAGATGATAAGCAACAATTAAAGATTGCTGGGAAGCATCCAGCGATCAATATGCGACCTAATAGTTATCATCTTAATTCAAGGGCATCATCAGCTACACTATCCCTCAGGCGACAGCAACAAGACACCGCGACCATATTCGCAGATGATGCAAGTATTGCTCAAAATTTGCTACGAGGCCAAGTGATCCCTATCAGAAGAGCATCCATTAGGGCGTTCCCATCAGATCCAAATATTCTTTTGAGCCGATCTGGAGATGGCCCTTCCATTATCGGGGAGCAACCTAGGGTTCGACGTGGTCTCTGCAGCAGTAATACTTGGACTTCTTCGAGTGCCGGTGGTGAATCTGAAAACGACGACTCGGATGATCGTACACATTTTATAGAAGAATTCAACCGATTGGCGGATAAGGTCTGTAAATACATGTAGTGATATACCTAACAAAGCTAATGCTTTCTAGCATGGCGTACGGAAATTCATTCCAAGTGAATACGAGGACACTCCAGTAAGTCAACAATTACATCCCGATCCGTTAGATACTTACTTGTGAAACCAGTGTATTGAAGACGGGCCCGATAAACATGGTAATTGGTTATCACGAAAGATTTTTAGACGGACATCCTCATCTCAGACGCCCATTGTTAAGTCGAAGAAAGCGGAACGACGAGATCTAAAAAAAATGCGGAGCATTAGCGACTCCTTGCGATTGAAGGTTAGACGGGACTCACTCAAAGATAAAGACTTGGTTGAACTTGTTCGTTTGTGTGGATCAAGTCTGTTATACCTGCCAGCCGAATATGCTACGAGCAGCTTAAAATTACCAACTTGCATTCGTGCTACAGCTCAATACTTGATACAGCATGGTACGTTACTGATCATGATTTACTGCACGATTGACGTGTGCTGATCGATTTACAGCTCCTGCCACTCGAGGAGTGTTTCGCATACCGGGTTCTCAACATACAATTAACCTCATTTATGAACATTATTGTTTCAAGGGAGACGAAGGACACGTTGCAGGAACAGTAAGATGCCCAACTCTACCGGACCATATCGACTGTGATGTGCACGACGTTGCATCTGCATTCAAAAGATTCCTCTCGGGTATTCCTGGAGGTATTTTAGGGTCACTCCCACTGTTCGATGCTCTCGTCTCCATCCAAACGCATCTTAGGGGTGATCCGGAGTTGACACGAACTAAGCATACCAAAGTTCGAGCGAGACTTATGGCATTGTCTATATCGACTTTGAGATCAACGTACAGAAGAGATCTTATCTGTGCAGTCTTAGGATTACTCTGTATGGTTGGTCGTGCAGCAGAGACAGCGCGGAGGGAAGACGATCGGGGCAGGCCCCTCCCTACTTCCGATCTCATGGGATACAGACCGTTAGGGATTGTTTTCGGCCCTCTACTTATGGGTGATCTACTGCACAACTACAATATCCGCCTGGCCAACGGCTACGGTAATTTAGTACTCACTCCTTTGAGTCCGCCAAAAACTAGAAAGGAGAGGAAAAAATATAAAAGTGCAGAAGAGGGTGTCACTTTCAATAATACAGTAGACAAAATCAAGGTTGCTTGCGAAATCATGGAGATGCTCATCACTCATTGGCGTGATATAGTCCGCCATATGAAGAACCTAGACACTCTCCCAGCTGACGATGGTTGCAAGAGTTTGGCTCTTCGGGGTAAAAAAGAACCCATGTTACGTCCTTCGATGTCGGAGTCCTTCTCTTTACGAAGACCTCCCGACTGGACATATGACCATCCCGAAAGGAACACTAACAGGGATCAATCCCCGACGCCACCACAGCGTAAGCTTTCACCTCATTCATGCCCTAAGCATACCGAAACACTAGGTAACCACGGAGAGCTCGCAGAAGAGCGAGCACCTGATGACCACGCGGATACCAAGCAGCTAGATCCTTTGCTAGTCACAAAGCAACGATCACGTCAACGACTACTACCGGGAGAAGCTCTCAAAAATGCAAAATCAGTAAGTGCTCTTTCGGCGGCAATGGTCAAAGAGCATCCCGATGAAAACAACTTTGAGGAAGGTAAGTTGAGTTACAAGCAAGCCTCCCAAATTCCTGGGCCACCCTCATCTACGACAGATGGGAAAGAAAACGATCAGAAAATTTCGGCCGGTGAACGCAGTACTGGACGTCGCGTCAAAGGTATCGTTCGAAGGTTCGAAAGCGAATCGAATGATGCTGAGGTCTTGCTACCTGACACAGATTCTAAAGACTTCGGGTATGATAAGGCACTTGACGCACAATTAAGCCGACAATCACATGATAAGCCTTCGAACGAGACGAAGACAGCCAGTTCGTCCTCCATCTTGCATGATGATAATGGGACATCTATGCAAGCCTCTTCGTCAAGTCCTCGGATCACTCCATTAGGCAGAGAAAATCACATCAGATTCGCACCTAAAACATCTTCTATGCAGGACAGTAAAGATTTTCGAAGACGTCAGGGTCTTACAACTTCCGATCGCTCCAATGCAAGTAGCATTATAGATCCACTATCTCGGGTCTCATATGAGGAAGACCAAGCATCCTTAGCTGTGCTGGGCAAGGCTTTGGACTCGCCTGATATATCAATGAAATCAGAAAAGTCTACCGGGAAATTGGAGAAGGCAATAAAACATGATTCTGGGGTAGACTTTCTCGAGAAAAAGGAAATCGAGAAACCTGTTACACCAAACTTTTCACGCCCTGAACTGCCTCTCCAGAATGTTTCCGACACACACAAGATCACAACGATACACACCCCAAAATCGACAACGATGCACGGGAATGATGTCCAACCCAGCAGTCGCAGTAAATTGCCCCGAACGACTGGTTCTGCTGCACATCTTGTCACGACGTCAGAGGAACCTAAAATAACACAGGCGAAGAGTAGGTTTCCCCATGAAACCGCTTCACCAGCTACCTTGTCGAAAGTAGCTTCGATCAGAGAAATGTTCCGAAAACGAAAATCTGAGAGCCGATCCTCAAAATCAACTGAAGAACACCACAAAAGTGAACCTTTTAAGCCAGTCATGGAATATCACCCAGAGCCCCCTCCACAAAAGATTCCTACCCCTGAACTCGCAACCACGCCCAAGAAAGTCGGTGTCAGAGCTATGGCAGAGAAGTTCGACTCTGTGACGGCGACACCACCTCCGCCGTCGTCACCATTGCCAATGAAGTCTGCCCGACCAGCGCCCATAACATCTGTAGATACCCGAAGAGGTGGTGGCGTTGTTTCGCCTTATACCATCAATCCACCACCATCGCCATCGAGATCGATTGCATCAATCAAATCCGCAAAATCCATTCGGTCTTTTCGTAATGCAGCCTTAGCTCAACGCTATCAGCAAGCCCAAGAACAGTCATCGCCTACTAAAATACTAGCTCCAAAGAGAGTCTTGAGAGAGTTCGTACCAGAATCCACCCCACCTCGAGCTATAGTTGAGGATTCTCACGAGGACTCTGTATCTTCATTGAAACGTCCACTTTCTGCTTCCAACTCACTCTCTGTCCCACTCAATCCAGTGTGTCATCCACCGCCTCTGCCAAATCGACCCGCTGGAATGGATGGGGCACGTAGTAGTATTGGTAGCTCGGACACTCTTGCTCTCACATCATCTGAGTTTGATACTGTACATCATTTCCTACATTCGCAATCGCAACTTACTCACGATGCAACACTTTGCAAGAACACCTTGACTCGTGGTAACACAGTCTTACATTCGCAGATCCGAAGTCTTCAGCAGCAACTGTATGAGAAGATTGAACAAATACGACAATTACAACGACGGATGGAAATGAGGTCAAGCTCTGATACTGAGAATATTGGGTTGGCTGAGCAGTTGAGAGAAGCGAGAGAGGAAAGTGAGACGTGGAGAAGGAGGGCGGAAGGGGCAGAAAGGAAATTAGAATTGATGGATGTTATTAGTGCTAGAAATAATGCGAGAATGGAGGAACAGCGAGGATTTAGCAACCGGGCTAGAGAGATCCAAGCTGGGGATGGTGTTGGTATGCATGGACGAGGATATAGTGTCGATGGCGGAATGAGGAAACTGATTGTGAAGAGGAGGATGGCTGGTACGCTCAGCTCGGAGGAAAGTACGGGGAGCAGTGGTACGGTTATTAGAGAGAGGAGTAGGATGGGGAAAGATGGGAACGAGGGTGGAAGTGGTATTGATGGGAATGTTACTTCAGATGGGATTAGACATAATGACTGGGCAAGTCAGACACTTTCCATTATGGATGGTTTAAAAAGTTGGGAAAATTGATGACTTGTATGTGTTCTGGGGTGGATAATAGGAAGTTTCGTGTTGTAATGGGTAGGTAAGGTGGTAAAGACAAGGAAGGGTAACAGTGATGGGTGGATGGGTGGATGGATTTCCGAAGAGTTGGTGTTGTGTTTTTCTGCTTGTATTGTGTTCATATACTTACTTTTGCGATGAGGATAAGATGGGGGCTTGGAAGATGAGAGAGAGGAGAGTGGGGAGAGGAGAGTGGAGAGTTGACATGTGTTGTTTGAGACGAGACGAGAGTTGAGATTTTCATTTATAGATATGAGTAGATAGGTATAGGTAGGTAGGTAGGTAGGTAGGTATTCTAATAGACAGTATAACAGTTTAGTGATTTCTTTTCATTATTTGCTGGATGTTATATTCACTTGATGTTTCTTTTTGGAAATGAATTTTGGTATTTGGTGCGATACAATACGATAAGGCAAGACACAATGCGACAAGACAAAGTACAACATATTCGACACAACACAATACAGACGATCTATTCGATAGATCCGATACTGGGGCACGGGGAAATCAAACTGGAAAATTGAACAAGGAAAGCATAAGAAGAGTAGCTACAGTGGGAGCCAAAACTACAGTCAATTACGGCGGGAACGGACTGCGGGTTTCTTTCTACGGTTCGGTTTGGTTTATCTGGGGTGAGGGATTTGGTAAATTTATAATTCATAAAAGATCTTTGGGTTTAATGGGAGGTTTTGGTTGGTGGATTTTATGGGAAGATCGATATAATAATCTTACAATAAGAAACGAAACGAAACGAAACGAAACGATATATGCGATATATTCGATACAATACAATACAATACGATACGATACAATAGATATTGGCAAAGCACCATTCTATTTAATTGGCAATCTTGTCTCCTTGGATAAAACTTGCTACTGCTACTGCTACTACTATTGCTATTGCTACTACTACTGCTACTTAAGTAGGAGTCACGGATTATTTTCTATGGTTTGAGTTCCTACGGCTTGGACTGCTACGGCTTGGACTTTCTGGGATTTTTTTTCATAAGAGAAAGGGTCTTTGGTGAGGGAGGGCTTAAGATAAATTAAGTTAAGATCGATCTTGGATCTTCAACTTCTACCACGATTTCAACCATAAGATATTATAACGAGAAGATTTCGAAACAATACATGTAATATATCAAAACAGCAAAACAGCAACACAGCAAAAGGATATCGGTATCGATTGTGAGTGGGGTCGATTTATCGTATTGGATTTGAGTTTAAGTTTGAGAAGAACTTTACTTGCGCTGGAGAGATCGCGCTGGAGAGTATTTGGAGAGATTTATTGCGGATAGAGTTGGGAGTTTACAAGTGAGAAGTGAGGAGTAAGAAGGATATACGTTTACGACTTTACGACTTTACGATTCCACAAGTAGACAAGTAAACAAGTGAGAAGGATATTCGATGATGGATATGATGTTCAGGAATAGGATATCTAAGAATAAGATGTCGAAGAACAAGATGTCGATGGCGGAGATGTCAACGGCGAAAATCAATATGAATATGGATAATGGTCAAAAGCAACGATCTGGACGCGAGTTTGATGGTGGGTATGATGGGTATGCGGTGGTGGGGAAGAGAGAGAGAGGGGAGCTTGTGGAGAGGGATATGGAGGATCGCAAGGGTAGATATGATGGGAAGGGATGGATTGATTGGGAGAGATGGAGTATTAGTATTGTTTTCGGTGGGTTTCTTTCCTTTCCTTTTCTTTTCACATGAATCCAAATCCCGATCTTCAGATATCCCGCCAATGAACCAGCAGCCCATAATCCCAAAACCCCAAACTCACCACCCACCCCATTCTCATCCCCAATCTCACCCCAACAAAAGACTCCCCCTCACTTCACTCCACTTAACCCATAACTAACACAAAATCCAGTCCTCTTCAATACATTCATCGCCCTCCCCCTCGCCTACCTTATCGCCAAATACGCAATCCCTATCCCATGGCGCTGGCTAGGTTTTATTCTCTGTCATCACATAATGCTAGCATGGGGATACGAAATTTCAATGGATGTCAGGGATGGAATCATTGGAGAACTTGCTGAAGAGACAGAAGTACAGAAATGGGATGAGGTTGTGAGGAGATTGCGGGTGTTATTGGAGAGATGTAGGAAGGATAGGGAGATGCAGGATCCAGGCCATGAGCAAATCCAAGGTCAAAACTCGAGTGCCTCGGATGGCGTACAGGTGATGGATTACGTTACGAGAAATAAAATGTATGCGAAAATAAGGGCGATGGAGGAGGCGGAGAGGATGGGGATGAAGGTTGATAAAAAGCTTTTGAGGGCGTTGAGGAGGGAAAAATTAGAGTTGGAACATGTGGCGGTTGTGCGTGGGTATGGGTATCAGGCGCGTGAAATTTATGGGAAGTGGAATGGGGCGTCTTGGGAGGAAATGTGTGAGGGGGAGGGGATTTTGGGGTGAGTGGGTTACTGGGGGGTGGTGATGGGAGGGTTATTGCGTTATTGCATTATTGAGAGGGAGAGAAACCCGGTACTTGTTTATGGGTGAATGGATGGGGCAAATGACGAGGGAAAGGAAACACTACTCAGAGAATAAGAATAAGGCAATACACTCTCACTATGCACATACCAGTAGCAATACAATGTAATCACCAGCCAGTCCATACATAATCTATATATAACAAACCCCATAATCAACCCCCCTACTTAATCAAATCACATCACATCATTTCTTCAATACAGTATATAATTTGAAAATCCATACTACTCGAGTATACTATACTAATAAATATCTTTTCAAAATCCACGCTTTTTATTCTTTTTGCTATGTTTTTCTCTACTTATTTTTCTTACTATTCGAGTATAGCTTTATAAAGTAAAGAAGAAGAAGAAGAAGAAGAAGAAGAAACAGAAGAAGATGAAGAAGATGAAGAAGATGAAGAAGATGAAGAAGATATACAACTATCTCACAATCTCTATTCTATTCTAAATCCGAACTCTGATTTTCCTCCAATCATCTAACTTGAATTGGAGCTTACAGTCTACAATCTACAGTCTACAGTAGAGGCCCTGCCTGGATTGAAAACTTGTAGTTGAAGTTGAAATTGATATCAAAAATCAAAATTTCAAACCCAAAAGTTGAAACTATGACTAAAACTATAACCTTGCGAGCTCAGCTCCATTGATTCCTAACGATTAGGGAATGTTAACTATAACTATAACTACTACAGATTTACCAATAGAAGATAGAAATAGAGCACACACAGATAGATAGATAGACACAGAGTATGTATATATTTTTAAAGAATGAATAGAAGAATAGATAGAAGAATAAGATATCAACTAATATACTATACTACTCGTGAAGTCTCTCTTGAAGTATCACTTACAATTTTACTTATAACTAAACCCAAAACTAAACCTAAAACACCTTCCTCTATTCCTCTATTCCTCTTTTCCTCTATTCCTCTTCAGCTCTATAGCCTGGGAGGCTAGGAGATATATTCTAATTCATAACCCTCCATTAATCATTAACCATTAATCATTCCTCATTCATTAAAAATCAGTCGGCTCTCCATAGAACAGCCGCCTGGTTCCCAGTCGGGGAAGGCGATTGTCCACCTTCGAATAATTAATGTGTATTTCCCCGACTACATCACCCAAAAAGACACAAACACAAACTAATCATCATAAGCACAAAAATCACATCACATCACAAAACTAATCATATCATAACAATATCATCTAATCATTCATTCCTAATTACATCTTGTCTTATCTCATCCTATTCTAATCTACCCCAACTATCCACACACGTGCTTAATTAAAAAAGACAAAACCTTTATATATTTTAACAACGCCAACCTAAGTTCATCAAATCTATGTGCTTTCCTTTCCATTTACCATTACCATACCGTATAGCCAGTGTATCTGTCCTCTAACAGAACCGAAATATTGTCTTGCTCTCTCTCCTTTTCATTGAGCAAACACCAATCTCCCCAGTCATCATCTCGACTCGACTCGAATGATTTATCCACCAACAGCCATCTCCATGAACAATCTCTCGCGCTTCAAAAAGAAACTCAAGATGAGCGTTAGAGCTGCACCGGACACAACCAAGTAATAAGTTTTATCCATTGCCTCCACGATCCCCTCAATGGCCTTATCTCTCAATTCTTGGGACACTGTTGCGTAAATAGCACTTTGAGAACCCGCCGTTGCACTTCGAAGTTGTTCGGTGGTGAAACCTTGACCTGCAAACGCCTCACTGACCTTGATAAAGGCGGTGTTCTGGAAGACTGCACCGGAGACCGCTAGTCCAATGACTACACCGCCGATTTGAGCTACGTTGATGTAACCGATTGAGGCTGGGACTTCTGAGCCACGACCATCTCGGCCGAGGATTGCGGGGGCGATGCTGTAGGATGCTTGGGTGGTCATACCGCAGCCGATGGCGATGAGAATACTCCATCCGTAAATGGAACCTGCGGTTGTGGAGGTGGTGACGGTGGTCATGGCGGCGCCTCCAGCGAGTGCGAACACGCCCCAGATGACGAAGAAGGGCCAGTAGTAACCAAACTTGGGCATCAATACTCCTTGAGCCATGACGGATACAATGTACAGGACGATGAATGGCAAAAGTCTGACGGCGGCTTCGATTCCATCGTCACCCTTGGCGAATTGAAAGAAGAGAGGGATGTAGAAGATTGGGACGAAGAGTGCTGTTCCTGCTGCGGCGGTGCAGATGAATAGGAGAACCATGGTTCGTGATTTGAGGAATTGAACTGGGAATAATCGGTCTTCGGGTGTGGTGAAGATGCAGAATGTTTGTTGGATTGCGAAAACGATGAAGATGACACCGCAGGCGACAAATGTACCAATGGTACGGCCGTCGTTCCAAGCCCAGTTAGCACCACCAAAGGTAAGGGCCATGACGAATGAAGTAAAGAGACCAGCATTCAATAGAGCTCCAATCCAGTCAACGTGTCTAAGTTTGTGGCGTACATCCAGGTCAGGTTGTGGATCAAATGACGGAATCAAAAGAAGTGCCGGTACTGCGATAGCGAAGATGACGAGATTGATATAGAAGGCCTAATTGAATTGTTAGTGTTTGTGCTTTCACTTTCTAAAGGAATACTGACCCATCTCCAGGTTGCTGCTGAATCAGCAAAAGCTCCTCCAATCACAGGACCAAGAATCGTTCCGAGACCCCAGGTAATACCCACGCCTCCTAGATAGAGAGGACGTTCGAGAATGGTAGTATTGATGGCGACTAGATTCAGGGTTCCAAGATACATGCCAGCTCCTCCAATACCAGCAATGACTCTTCCAACAATGAGTGCATTCATGTTTGGAGCCGAACCACATACAGCACTACCGACGATGAAGATAAAGACTGAAACGACATGGGTCCACTTGACATTGAAAGTACCATAAGCTTTACCACTATCGATATAATTAGTATTTGCATCACCATCACAAAGTATAGGATACTTACATGGTTAAGATTGTAGCGATAGAACCTAATGGGAACCCAGTGCCCAACCAAGACAGCTTTGAGATATCACCATATGTACCAAGTACAGCCGATTGAATATCAGCGGCAATTGTATTGTCCAAGCCGTACAAGAAGGTAGCGACATAGAAGCCAACACAAACGAGAATCCATTTCCAACCAGTAACTGTTCTGACTTGTTCGGGAGGTGGACTGGTGGGTTCTGAACCCTTCTCTGGATCAGTGTTGTTGAAGTTATCTTCCGAACGTGCGATTCTCTCTGGCTTGTCGTCTAATGATGGAGTTGCTGATCCTAGTGTGGAGTTTCCACCTGAGGAAGAAGCAGCGGCTGCTGTTCTTGAAGACATTGTCAAGGTTCACAACGCTTGTAATATGTTTTGACTCTTATAATATGTTTGAATGAAGAGATTGAAGAGATTGAGAAGATTGAAGGACAATGTGTATAATGAAGTAATATGAGATGGGATTAGGAAAGAACTTATATCATTATATAAGTAAACTGTGACTTGGCAAGGATACTTCCAGCCTGCCTTACACGTACCTACCGTGCCGAACAGTATGATTCCATAATATATTTGAAAGCAAAAGGAGTATGAATGAGTTTAGATCGGGCATAATGGTCAATGATCCGAAGAAATTCGCAATACTTGTTTGGTATTGATAGGGTTGGAAGAAGTCTTGGGATTGAAAGTACTTCTTTCAAGGTACATTCCCAAGGGTTGGGGAAATAAGGAAATAAGCGCGTTTGCGCACAATCCATTCCTCCATTCCTCAGATAATGTGACTTTATGGGGTTTCGGAGATGTTTGTCGGACTAAAATCTGACAATAAGATCGGCGTTAGGTGATATTATAAGATTAATATTATGCTGAAATATTATTGAATATTCCCGCGGAGTTATTTAAGTCTTCTTCCTCTTATTCGATGAATTCAATTGATTTTTCAATTCTGAGGTATTCCTTTGAGCTCCACTTGGGCAATTATTCATATGTTGTTTGTTATTGTGATGAGATGAGATGAGATGAAGTGAGGGTTAGAGAAGTTAGAAATTAATCGGTGTTTGTGGGGAAGATCTCCGATATTATTCGACTAACTATAATAGTATTAGTTTACCCGTCCCTTAAGAGCCTTTAACCCCTTTCCGTTTACTTCAAGCTTCATCAAGTACGGAGTCCAACATAACAACATAACAACACACCCACCCACCTTAAGACTTGCTCGATGACCTCCAGATTCAAGGACCCGAGTACAAGATTTTCAACAATGTTCCCTACTGCAGTTCAGGAGTATCCTTGGCTTTAAAGTGAGTGTCATCTTACCGGAGAAAAAACTTCAAGATTGAGGTCTGATCTCCTTCACTCACTTTTTACGAACGATTGGAATATGCAGAGTTTGCAGAGTTGACAGAGTTTCATATTCCCAATTTGATCTACACTAGGATCACATGCAAGTCATGCTTTACTTCCTCACATTTATGGGTATTGATTGTCTTCTTGTCTACTGGTCTTACTACCGAGACAGAACGAACACTACACGCGGTTGGCACCACATTGAATCAGTTATCATTTCACGGTATGCGAGCCGATATGAGGGTGTTGATGAGTAAGTATACTCTTCCATGGACAAAGCATAATGTGCAAGCTCGAAAAATGTATTGTTTTATCGTTTGCCGTTCGCCCTCATGTTGTGAAAGTCTAGTAGGTTTTCGCAAGGTTCGTCGTTATTGAACGGAAAACTTCACAATCAATGACAGACACGTTTCCGGAGCTACTGGTGCACAGGTGAGCTCACTCTGACACATGTTCGACGCGGCACACTCACAATTATGACTCAAGGGCGGCCCCACAACCCGTTATATTCTCAAACACTTTTCCAATACCTACCGAGTCCGGCCGTAACCCGTGACCCGACAAAGTCATTCGCGCAAGCACTATCCAAACTTGGTGCCCAAGTTGTTTCTGCTGATTATAGGGCTCCTGGCTCCATCAAGGCTGCTCTATCCGGAGCCCATGCCGTATTTGCTATCATTAACTTCTGGGCAATTCTCACTTAACACGGAAGTGAATCATGCTAAAACGATCAATCAAATCGCCTCCGAACTTCCTCACCTCGTACATTATATACTGAGTAGTTCACCCGATGGAAGGACATCAGCTGAAGGTAAATTTCAGAATATTCTACCATACAACGCCAAAGCACTCATTCGACATGATTTGGTTGCGAATTATCCGGGTTTGTGGGAAAAAACTACATAGGTGTTTATCGCATACTACCTTCAGAATTGGGTCAAGTATCAAATTGGCGTAGGTCCTTACCAGGTATGTTGATATTCGTCTTCAGTTTCCTGATTAGGCTTACAATGAAACCCCCATAGGCCTCAAATGTGTCATTTGTGTTTTCTGTGTTTTCAATGCCATATCCAGGCAGTACTCGCGTCCCCTGTTCCGATTCCGAGGACTCAGGGATGGCAGTTGGGGAGATTTTGAGAGGAGGGAAGAAATTTTTTGGCAAACAAATCGTACTTTTGGGAGATACAATCACAGAAGACGAAAGAGTCGAGATATGCGCAAATGGTAAGTTCTGTTTTTAATTTACCACGTTCGATTATTAATGACCTTTCATAGAACTCGGCATCAAAGTTCGATTCGACCAAGTTTCTCCCGAACAACATGCAAAGCGACTTTCGAGCTATGGGCTCCCCGCGGATATCGTCGTAGCTCGTACAGAGCTTATCGAGGCTTTGAAATACGAGGAGGAGTTGATGAAGAGCGAGAACTATGTTCAGACTGAAGAAGTAAGATTGTTAGGTCATGTATCTTGGAGTTTCACTAATATATAAGTAGTATATCCCACGTGATTACAAATCTACCACTTGGTCCGAATATGTCAAGAAAGAAATCTGGTCGCCTCTGCTTGGAGCACGAATTAAACACCTAATCCAAAGTAGGGTTAGGTTAGGATTGTGTGGGCACTGTAGCGGGGAATTTAAAGGAGTTTTTGTATCGAATATGTCAAGAAGAAAACTGGTCGCCTCTGCTTCGAGCACGAATTATACACCTAATTCAAAGTAGGGTTGGGTTACTATTGTGTGGGCACTGTAGCGGGGAATCTAAAGGGGTGTTTGTATTTTGAAATGATATTTCATTTTTGATTAATTACTCTACTCTACTCTATACTCAACTGAAAAATCCTCAGTTCCACTCATTGATATTAAACTTACTACCGTACTTGCATATACGTACAACCCTGCATCCACATCTACAATCCCAACCACAAAAATCCACATCCTTACTCAGAGGAGGGATGGAGATGATGAAGATGAATATGAAATGGGCTTTAAGATTAATATGGGTATACTGAATGAATATGAAGAAGGTTATATAGAGGGTAGTAGGGTACTGGTAAAGAGTAAAGAGTAGTGAGGTAATGTGATGAAGGGCATTTATTATTCTAGGATATTACATTAGGATATCAACTTTCAAGGCCCCATAGCTACCCAGAATAGATGTATACATATATATCCCAATTAAAAAAAACCGCATTCATAATACAGATCTCAAGGGCAATCAAACCAGAACTCATGTCGCTCAAATATTCCCTTCTCTTGACTTCTCACTCCTATCCCCGATTCTTGGTAAACTCATCATTATTCCTCAATAGTACAAGGACTCAAAAGAGAGGTTGATACTCGAGTATACTCGTAGCAATGGAGATATATATGTATATGCATAATGGGCGGAGTTTGGTCTTGATTCTTTAGTCTTTGATGGATAGGATAGTTGACTAGTTGGTTGAAGTTTGAGGGAGGGGGGAGGGGGACCCGGGGGAGGAGGGGAGGGGTCTGGAAAGATAGGTGTAGGTATAGTGAGGGATGGGTATGGAAAGGGGATTGGGATGAGATGTGGATTATTGTTTGATGTGATGTTAGTACTATTTGAATGATATGTCGTGTGTCGGGGAAAATTACACTTGAGATACTATACACTGTATAGGATTATCTGCTTTCATATCCAGAATAATCTTTCTCTCTCTTTCATCTCTTTCTCTTCGAGATGATGGAATTCATGATGACATGACATGCATGCCGATTAAATAAGTACAAGTAAATACATGGGAGTTCTTGGATTTTTACCAGTCCCAGGCAAAGAGTTGTAGGATATCAACAATCTCCTCTACAACCTAATGAAACAGCCTTCACACAATAGCAAAAGCCATACGATACTCAGCTGAGCATCATTTCAAGCAAACATCAACAGATACTACAAATATGATACATTTTTAGCTATCATGAATATCATCTCCTCAAAGGCTTATACTTATCACTAGCATGACGAGCCTCCCAACCTCTCGCCTTCTGTTTTGGTTTCAGCGCTGGGATTCTCGTCCTCTTGAACTCCACGTCCCATCCCTCGATTCCGGCTCTCTGCATGACTCCCTTGGTACCCTCATCCCACTGACTTCTGAAGAGTCCCAATCCTATAGGATGTACATCATGTCTATCCTTGAAACTTCTCAGGTTGAATCGATCGCGCTGGTATAACTCCTTCAGTGGCGCCACGTCGAGAATTTGCCCGGGATTTTGCTCTAATACGAATATCGAGTATCGGTGATATGGCGATCCTTTTTGCGCGAATGGGGGAAGCCATGGGAGGATCAATTGCTTCTCCTTGTCTACCTTAGATAGCGGTAATGAGTCTTGTACTGGCGAGATGGGAATATTGGCAGCGAGATAATGACATCGCGTGTTGAAGTGATCATTCTCCACATTGGGGACATCGGCATCCACAACCGCAACACTGACGAGTCTCTCCCCTTTGTCGAAGACCTGAACCTTTAATCTAGCGGGAAATTCACTGATTCTAGAATCCACATAATCGCCCGGTTGAACCTTTCGGCTTTGGAAGGCGAGACGGACACCGGCGGTAGGCTCGAAATGAGCAAGGACGTCGGGAACGATGGCAAATTGCTCGATACGTTGGACAATGAGTTTGTGTTGATATTCGCGCCATTTTCGGTCTGCTAGGTAGCGGTAGATTGGTTTGTTCATATCACCTGAGAAGTTTAGCAATGCGAAAGAATGAAACATCTTCTGCAATTCCCATACCTTCACCATCCTCAAATCGCTTCTTGATCAGAGGGTCATTGATATCCGCTTGAATCTTCAGCCACTCCAAATACCTCCTCATACTATCCAATCTGGTCTGTTTATCCCTCTCTCCTCCACTAATCGATACATCCTGTGCCTCCAAATTCTTGATCCTTGATCTCTCCTTCGCGATCATCTCTAACTTATACTCTCGATCCGCCTGTAAGACTTTTCGAGCTTCCTGGAAACATTGATATGGTAATTGTTCGAAAGGGATATTCGAGGAACTCTTCAGTGCCGCACGACGACGTCTGGACCCTATAGGCATGATGCCCTGCCTCATCAACTTCCGCTCATTTTCTGGCCGTACAACAGTTGCCGGGTCGAGACCAGATGGGGCTGCTTCCTGAGGCTCCTGAGGCGCAACTTCTGCATTGAAGGTCGTGGAGCTCGTAAATGTTCGTATTGATCTCGCAGAAACATACAATGATTGACTATTTTGTAGGCATCGTGCCAAGGGCCGTACGGCCTTCTGACAATGAGGCATAGTGATTCGATGCTGATACGTGATGTTCTGATAAAATTATCGAGTCCATATCAAATATTGGCGGGACTTGCCGAGGAATTGCCGAGGAAATTTAATTTTGGCCTAGCCTCGTCGAGATTCATTGAAATCAACGACGACAGCGACCTTACAAAACTTAAGTCACTCGAAAATGGCGACGAAGGGACTTCAGAGCTTCACGAAAAGCTTGAATGCTTTCCGCACATCTGTAAATAGTGCGAGGGATCCCTTAGCAGTATGTTGTGTAGATTGGCGATTGGGAAACTGAGTACTGATTTTGCTATAGCAATGTCTCGCACCACAATTCACAAGGTCAATGGCAACAGAGGCGCCATTACCGTTCAGTAAATCGTCCAGTGATCTCACACCAGACACCGCATCCGATCCATTCTGTAAATATTTCATCCCGGATTTGTCCATTCAATCGCTAACACCCCGCAGACCCCCCAGTCCTAACCACCATCTACAAATTCCCCACCATGGAACCCCTCCGCTTCGAATCTTACCCAAGTAAACATCTCTACCTGCCTCTCCGACGAGATCTTCTCCACCGCGCCGTCGTGTTCGAAGGCGATAACACTCGACAAGGAACTGCATCTTCCAAAACTCGGTGGGAGGTCCACGGATCTCATCGCAAAATCCGGCCGCAAAAAGGAACCGGTGGCGCTCGTCTGGGCACGCGTCAATCCCCCATGCTTGTTGGTGGAGGAAAGTCTTTTGGACCTCACCCCCGAGATTTCGGGACCGACTTACCGAGAAAAGTATACGATGTGGCGTGGCGCACCGCGCTGAGTTGGAGGTATCGAAAAGGTCAATTGATTGTCTGTGAAGATGGAATGGGATTTCAGTATACAGAAATGAGATGGGCTCAGATGCTATTTAAGCATTTGGGCTGGGGAACCTCCGAAAGGGCAAATAATAGGACGTTGATCGTGACGAATGGTTTCAGGGAGAAACTGGAAAGCGTCGTGCCGGGCCGGGATGCGAGAGTGCTGGATGTGAGTGATGTGGATGTTAAGGATTTGTTGGAGTTATCGAGGGTGGTGATTGAGAAGAGTGCGTTAGACCGCATGTTGGAAGAGCATCAGAGTGATCTGGTTACGAAGGCTATGGGTGCTGCGCGATGAATGAGCTATGGTCATCTACCTCTAGCTCTTCTCTTATGTAAAGAGTATTGTACGAAAAATGTACCAATTTTCAGAGGAAGGCATAGTACTGGTTGGTGCCTGCTCGAGAGAAATCTTCTTTGGTGAAGATACTGATGTTTAGTTCACATGCTTTCTATTGCGACAGAGTAGGGATTGGCAGTTATGGGGTTAACTATATCCCCTCCATATTCAACATCCAACAAGCTGATATCGCCAGGTAGCTAAACGAACAAATCCATGCATCTAAGTTCTGACATCTTCCCCGGACCGACCAAAATCGCACAAGTGGGCCTTCTTTCGTCCTCCCTAAACCTCAGTATCAATTTCTGCCATCCGTTTTTTGTATATCTGCATTTGCTTGCCATACTAGAGTACATTCTATGCGCAATAAGCCTCCCTATTCTCTTCCTTACGTTTTTGCAAAAACAAGCATTTTCAGCCATTCCAAAAAATATTCTCCTCATTTTCCTACCGAGCATATTCCCCTAAAAGAAACTATACTAGGTAGAACCATTACTTGACTTCATATCTCTATATATGAAAACAACAGGGCCTGGGTCACCGACGTGTGTACTTTTACCAGAAGAGAAAGCAGGAAGAAAGCTCTTTGATCCGAAATATTCCCTAAGCATTTCAATTACAATAAGGTTGACTGTGTCTGCATCTGCTTCTTGTATTTTCAATGTCATTTTTCAATGTAATGCATCATCGATTCGCCATAAAACTATCTAAATGTTTTACTCATCTCCAAGCTAAATTTTCAAGCCCAAAGATTCTTTCTTCACGACCGATTTATCATTTTCTCATCACTCCCAAATTTGCAATACATATACTCGAGTATTTAAGACTCACTTATTCTACAATTAAATCAATTCTAAGTCCCTTGTAACGAATGGTTTCTATCTTCTTCTTCGCTGTAGATTATCTCCCTCCCATATACAAACAGTATACAAATTATTTTCTCGAGTACTACACTCGAGTAGAAGCCGATGAAGAAAAATAAAGAATCAGCTTATTACCCCAGCGAATGAAAAGTATCATCCTAAACCCTATTCCTTCCTTCTTCTTGAATTTCTAATTTTCTACACATATCGCGTTTTGCACGTCTAGCCTCCAAGTCGAAGAAATTGTGATTATTGATTATTTCCTACCAAATAGAGTGGGAGTTGTTATCGTCGGTTGCTTCTATGGCTCGACTCGAGGCAAATTGAGATACGTTTGAGTAAAAAACTTCTTATTTCCTATATCATACCTAGTAGTTATAACTTATGAGATCATTTTTGAGTCTCCCTGGATACTGTACGCATATATGATGGAAAAGTTTCGATTTCGAAAGAAAGGATGGGGGGACGACCCCTTTGGAAATACTGCAAGTCTTATAATAATTCACTAATGTACGGATTATTTGCGGATTATCCGCAGATTATGTGCAGATTCGCAAATAATCCACGGATAACCCGCACGGGACGGGTTATTTTAAAATCACAATGGGTCCCGCAACCCGCGGGTAATTCTTGCGCGGCCCCGGCCCCGCCGGGTAGTAGGACGAAAATGTATCATATTGTTTGAGTGATCAAATTTGAAATTTCCGATACTGTGATTGGACTTTGAGTACTGTTATATGCTTTTGTTTGAATAAGATCAAGAAACAAAAACTTCAAGTGGGATGATATACGATGACGGTAATAAGAAACTCTAGATCTGTGTAGTGATTGTTGATGGCATTATGTTGGAGATATAACATAAAGTACTACTCCTATAGTATATATTATCAATTCATCAAGTGATATCACTGAGTAGATGAATGAGTAGTTGTTGTATCAGCTTAATCTGATGCTATATTTATTTTGCTATCTAGTAGTACACTTGTATCTTGAAAGCACTCAACCCTAACTCAGACATTGACATACCTATCTAGGTAGATAATTCACACAGCCACCCGAGTAGATCTGCGAATTATGAAAGTCACATTTTCAAAGAAGGATTGATGGTGTTTGAGGTATACTTGATTTTGAGTTCAACAGAAAGGCGATTATGAAACATCTACATTAAAAGCATCATTACTTCCTAGATGATAACCTTACATACAATACAGTACATTATTTATTTTCCCAGAGTCTCGTCCTGTAACATGATTTACACACTTTATTTTATAGGAACTATTGCTATTTCAATTCTTTTATACACTCTCGGTCTCCAGTCTATCCTTTACACCTTCCATCATTGTCACCGAAATCTTGATACAGCCTCCTTCCCAGCGTAACCAGGAATGTTCTGCGATAATAGGATTATTGTAGTGCAAACCATAACCCAAGCTAAAGATCTTGGCACAAAGTCACGTGACTCCTTGTGAGACGAAAAAAAATCCCCCAGGCCTTTGAGCACTGCAAAGCAGCGCCGAAAGACTTGAGGGCAAAAAAAAGAGAGAACTGAAAAAGAAGTTTGAAGAAGTTGTTGTCGAAGAAGAATAGGTTGAAGAAGAATTTTGAAAAGAAATCACAAATTGACATAGGAACATGAGATGACTGATACAATGAGACTAAAAAATGAAAAGAAAAAGAAAAAAAAGTCCATTGGATGTTGAGGTGTAGGTGGGGACGTTGGATCGACAAGTTGGAGGGTGGATCGAAAGATGGAAGTCGAAAAAGTGTGTAATAAATCCAAGGGAGTAAAAAAAGAGTTGATATGGCGTAGTGCGTCAAGGAGGGGGACCGAGATTGAAGCGGGATCGGTCGGGGTGAAAATGAGATCGGAGCGGGATCAAATTCGGAGGTTGAGGGACCGAGATCGAAGCGGGATCAAATCGAAAGGAAATCACTGCCAACGTAATACCTTAACCTGTAAACTGTTAGCGTTATTTTTCTCGAGGGAATTTGGGGAGTGGTGTACCTGGCCAATGGCAGTGCCATGCTTTGAAGAGGGTGAGAATGAGATCGAAGCGGGATCACCTCGCAAGAGGGAGTGAGATCGGAGCGGGATCACTGCTGCGCTACAGGAGTCAGGTTGCAAAGCTGAGACTGTGTGCCTTGCTGAAGCTGTGTGCTTTGCTGATGAAAAAAAAGAGAAGAAACAGAGTGCGAACTGCATCCTTTTGAATGATTTTGGGAAGGACCGTGCGGCACTGTGAGGCCAGCTGGCCGGGAATTGAAAAGTGCGCGTTCCAAGTTTGGTCTCCGATTGCATCATGTTATTGAGCCAGTCTAGTATGAGTTGTTCTATCTTTCCCTGGCAATGGCGTATTCTAGTACCTTTATATGCTAGCGTCAGCATTTCTCGCACAATTAGATCATTTGTAAGACCGAAACCTGGTAATACTCCAACCCTAGCATGCTAGTTTAACAATTTTATCAAGATTAAGAGTTTAGTCTCGTAACTACTGCTGCATAGTATGACTTGAGTGCAAATCTAGATGATTCGATAACCACCACGAGATCATGTAGGGACAATTAAGCAGTCTCAAACTTGGTCCTCAGCAGCTAACTATAGTCAAAATCCATATCTATTACACCACTGATTCATTGCGCGTAGGTAAAAGATCGTTGATAGTATCATTTCGATATTTCAATTGACCATTGGAAAGGAATGGAATGGAGAGACCTCAAGTTGGGATCGTGATTTGAATTAGCATTAGATTCTTACATGTTTAGGGCTAAATTCAATTACTTTGCTTCTTTTGATCTTTCTTCTTATTGCTAATTCTAGTTTCTACCATGATATGGGTGTCGGTTTCCCTGGTGATACCTGCTTCCAGTGCGGCAACTGCGATGATCAATTGATGGTAGCTTCTTGCACTAGGAAATGTCGATCATGTGATTTCAAGCGATCTAAAGTCAAGCAATCTAAAGTCAAAAGTGCCATGACCATTGTAACTTCACGCATTGGAAAATCTCAATGCAGATTTCATTGTAGAAGCTTGACGCAAAACTTTCAATAGTGTAAATAATAAGCTCATAAAATAGGATTTTGATATAATTTCCTCCAAGCTTTTGAAGAAACGAGTAACTCACTTGAACATTTAACTTTGGATCTTGGAAGATCTCGAAATTCAAGCTCATCAAAAAATTATCAGGTGGGCTTTTTACTAAATTTTTAGCTTTGGCATTCGATATGATAATTTTGTAAATCAAGTATTTCACTCTAGACCGAAACACAAAGTGACATCCTCGTTGATGTTGAATAACAGAAAGTCAAATGTTACCAAGCCTCCAAAATAATTGAATAACGTCTACTGGTAGGGTTTCATCATTAGACTTTTCGCTAAATTGGGGGGTGCTGCAGTACTCGTAGGCATATGCCGCTCGGGTCACATTGAGAACCTGCCTTGGAAGACGCGTTTTCGCGAAACCAGTCTACTCGAGTACCGGCCGGTACTACCAACCTAGTACCCACGCGCATTGTGGCAGTGAAAATGTCTTGAAGATCATTATAAACTTAAAATCAAGGGACTACATGGCAGAGTCGCAAATACCCCCCTTCTATATATGATTCAGTGAAGCCAGAAAGCCTCAATGGCATCATCTGAGCTTCAATATAAGTCTATGCTTGAGGTCACACTGTTTCCGAACAACTTCGTTCTACTCGTAACTGGGCTCGCATGGATCATTCCAATGTTCTACTCTAGTATATTCTCAACCCAATCCAAACACCCAGAATTTAGTGAACCCAGCTTCTTCTAATATCATACAATGTTTGTCACTTACACTAACAAGGTAATAAGTTGACCCGTGAATTCCTTCTTCCTCACTCAATCGAAAACATTGAAAACTCGTTTCATACAGCTTCCGAAAAACAAAAAACGTCATTTGCGTAACAAAGCAAATTGACTCATGAGTTTCCCCTCGAAATCATACAATGCTAAGGTTCTCGTCCTCAATCTAATCCAAGATTCATATCACATTTACCACTAACTAGGCAAGTTGACTTATGGATTCTTTCACATCCTAATCTCTATGCTACCCACTCAATTGAAGCCAAATACTCAGGAATCAATTTTCTTTTGAAACAGATATTGCATTCGGCATTGAGTAGACAGGTTGACCTTTGAATTCCTTTGCATAAGAACATTCTAATTGCGATTGCTTCCTCGGAAATTGGAAAATATGTCACATGCAGAAATGTAATTGCAGGTAGCTTCTATTCTGATGTATTCGTTACATAGGACTTGGATAGAAGGAACATGTTAATTACCAGGCAAGTTGGCGCTAAGAAAGAATGCTAATTGTGTTGCAAATATTCCATTCGAGACAGTTCCTCCAAAAGACAGATGAGATAGAATATGACGGAAATTACAGGTTTCACTCATCAATATTCTTCCCAGTGTGAACTGTAGGCATTCCCAACATCGCCCACCACTAGTACATTACAAAGCACAACCCAGAGGGTAGTTTTGGAAGAAGAAAACTTACCGCTGAAGATCATGGATTGCGCCTTGGATTAACTTGCTCAAATTTGAGAGGAAACTGTTGCAAACAGCTTGCTGTGTGGTGTTGCACTGGAAATTTCAGACCAAGAGTTTTGGAATTTAGAATTTAGATTTTGAGCACAAATGGCTAAAATACTGAGGGAGTTGGATTTGCAATATGTGTTTGTCAGGGATTGTGTCAAATAAGCGTACGGTATATAGGTCAGATTAGAGATTTCGGTCTTTTGAAACCAATTGTACTATGCACTCAAATTGTATTGTATGATCAATAACATCACTGACAAGTTTCCACAATAAGTTTCCACTGGTACTGCCCATTAGCTTGTGTGTAGAAGTTTGTGCCCATCAAACCACAGTATGCATACATGGAATCCAGTAATTAAAAACATGATGACACAGGCATGATGTTCGACATGTAATGTGTTTCATGGGATTGTGAAGGCCAGTAAACAAGACAAGCACCAAGATGTTTGTTCTGTTCAAATGTTAATAAACAATATGTCTCCTTTCAACTGATGTATAAATGGTGATCAGAGCCTAAGATTGTAATATTCAAGCTCTTCATTTGTGTCTCATATTGTTCTGACTTCAGATTCCTTCATACGTGCATTTGAACTAATACCCCATACCTAACTTGACCTGAGTCATTGACCATTCTAAGTGAATGTAAAGATGTATATGAAATAGACAGCTGAACTATCAAATACTTTATCTTGTAAGCACACTTTGAACTGTCTTTGAGACGCAGGCTGTGGGATGATACGGTCTCAGACTATTGAGGATCAGGTGTGGTACATTGAAAGATCTGTGTAGTCTTTGTAGGCCTAGACAATGCAATTTGATGAGGACTTTTCTTCATTCAGTATTTCATAGCTCATTGTTGTTCTTCAGTGAACTTGTCTTTTTATCATGAATTTCCAAATATAGGAGCAAATAATACAAACCAGAAAGTATCCCACTCATACCCCCCTCAAGGCATATTCACATACCTCCATGACACAGGTTGGAACCAAAGTAATAAGAATACTTTGAAATTCTCGTTGACAACTGTTATTGAAGTCTCGCTTATCTTGTATCCACTAAAAGGGGGGACCATTCACTACCATGGGGAGAAATAGATTTCGCTTATCTTGTATTCCCTTTGATAAGAGCTGATTCTCCGAATAGCGACTTGTATCCCAAATTGCCCTGTTCATAATGAAGGCAGCAACAACATGATCTCCAGGGACGCACTAGTGCTAAACAACATCCACCAAGGGGCCCAACCTACTTCCCTGACACTCTCTATATCCCGGTTCAGAATCAATGCACTGACAAAATAGACCAATGATAAACAAACAAATGTCGATATCCTGGGTACAGAGTTTCTTCTTGCCTTATCGACTCCTAAAAAATATCACATTCGATGATAACCACCACAATAATCAACATACCCCATATCCAATACACCTCGCCTATACCCCCACCATTCCCCATATGTTACTTCTTGAACTAATACAGTGAGAGTATGGATCCCCATAACCACGCTGGTGCCAATACATCGAGGTGTAAAAAATCTCTAGCTCAACCCACCACTGCTAAACGAAACACCTCATTGGAATTCCATTTCCATCCCCACTTCAAAAAACTTATATATATATAGTATTATATACCGCACTGATATGGAAAGATACGTAGCGATACTAGAGACATAAGGGGATGTTATTATCCTTCCCAATCGAAATACTTTGCTAACTCAATGGAGAAAGGGGATGGATGGTATATTGGAGTTTCTTACCTGTATTCTAGTAATTGCTTCAACCAACTTGCTCTTGTATTGCATTATCTGCATACTTCCTTCCCCCAAGCTATATATCAAAAATCACCGAAATCTTTTTCTTACATCCTCAGATCCTGAAAGTTGTGGGCCTTTAGAGACAACTTATGATGGCAATGGTGGCACACCAAGAACATGGTGCCAATTGTTCTGAAGGTTAGGGAGGATTCGGCGGTCCTAGTATAGAAGTTAGAACCTAGTAGATCAAATACACCAAGTTACCAACCGGTAACGTTACCGCAAAGCAGCTCTAGATCAATCGACTCATCAAATCCGAGTAAGCAGATGAAACGAGGAGCTTTCCACATAAACAACCCAGGCATTCTATCCCTCTATCTGAAGGCCAAAATAGATGAATCGAGGATCCCCAAATTCGATTAACTTCAACATAGATCAGTGTGGACAAATAGATGCAGGAATGAATCTGCAATTCTGCAATTCTACCATTTGCCTCACCGACGGGAGTGGATTTATTATTCTAGAGGGATTCAAGCATCAAGATTTCCTCCAAGACATCATCGACAGCATTCCTGGCTTTTGGAAATTCCATAGAGGGTTGTATATGAGGTTGTGGGTGGTGGCTATAGATCTAAGGTCCATCTGCTTGGATACTGTCAGGATTCATCAATATCTAGATGTGTTTTGAATTTGTTAGCTGATTTTTTCCTTTAGATCCTTTTAGACTTCACAAACCTTTGATATTTTCTGACCACACAAGGGTCAAACTTCTGGAAACTTGGTAGTCCAAACAGAAGAATAATATCCTTATATACCACTTAGACACAAAAAGAACCAACGACATGCTGGAATCAAAAAGGGATACTGAAAATCCTAATGTAGGAGCCAATTTTAGACAAAATGACTGGTGACGTAATCTCCTCCAAGCCAATACTACCAAATTAAATTTTCTGCAGCAGACATACTGTCCAGCCTCCAGGATATTTATCAAACCAATCCCATCCCTTCTCCAAGCCACCTCTGTAACAATTACATAAGAAAGAGTTAGCTGTAGTAAACAAATGGCGCATTGTACAGTTCAGTTTAGTCCGGAGACATGCCGACGCTTAGACTTTGTGAAGCTATATAAACCGTCGCCGACGCGATCTGACTTGAACTTAATCATTACAACATCAATCTGAATAACAATACTTGATCAACTACATTCAAGAGTTCTTTAAGAATACAAGGAATACCAATAAATACAGTAACTTTACAAAGCTATACTTTTTCCAAAAAAAATACACTCAATTAGCAACATGGTTTCCTCATCTACAGGAACAACCTCTTCTGGAACAACCTCTCCTAGAAGAATGACCTCATCCAACAACCGCGTGGTAGCTCACCCAATGACCCTTCAAGCTCAAGCAGGAAAAGGGGAACCGCGATTTGATAGATTTCCTCCAGAGCTTCGAATTATGATTTGGAAATTTCTGATAGAGGAACGATTGGGTAAGTACTTACGCGTATTTAATCTTGCTACTGGAATACATCGAAATTCCGAACTCCCCACTATGTTCTCACATACCCTGTCTCACACAAGATAAGCTCACTAACAAACCAACCAACAGTCGAAGTGCGTTTCGCCAACAACCACAGGATGTACAATCCCAACGCACACGATTTCATCGCCGACGTCCCAATTATCCTGCATATCTGCCACGAATCCCGAGCCATCGGACTCAAGACGTACGAGCTCGCATTCTTCCACGAATTCTGCATCGCCCCCGTCTACTTTAACTTCGAGCTCGACGTACTATATCCCCACGCTGGCTGCACCCAAAAGCAGTTGGATTTCCTGGCCGATGCCATGGATCCTGAGGTTACGTACCGCATCCGCAATCTCGCAATGTATAGCGAGCATCTCGAGAGGAGCCAATCCTTGAGCACCTGGGACGCCTTTCCGCATACGTTTCCACGCCTTCAGCGAATCCGGGTCCTTTTCAAGAGTTTTGTTGATCCCAAGGACATTGATGCGACAGAGTTGCCTGGTTGTAAGGACAGCTGCCTCAGAACACCTAACGTGGCTCGCGTTAACCCTGTAACTGGCCGTGCAAGTCCAGCTTGGTTGCGCTACGCCCGGGAAGTCTTGAAGGAGAACCTGAGAGCTAGTCTCCATCCTCCTGCGCACAATTACCAGCGTATGCCAAAGGGGCACTCGCGACGAACCCACGTGGTTTCCGGACGTATAATGCGCAGAGATCCAAGCACAGCAAATATTATGCTATCCAAAAGGCTAAAGGCTATAGGGAGAAGCTTAAGAAAGCTGCGGAAGGTCTTGAGTATGAGAACGATGAGCCATATAAGTGGCGTTCACCGACAATGGAAACCTGGGGGCTCTGCGAACATGGGCTCGAGTTTGAAGAGGCGCCGGGTCTGGCATATAGGGGCAAAATCTTCAGGCAATTTGACGACGATGGTTGTCTTATCAAGAAGATCTACAAGGCAGGAACTGTGACGGGTAACGTGGTGGACCAGAGATAGGAGGAAAGACGTACCAGTCTCGATGCTGCGGATATGACGAGGATATGACGAGGTATTCGCTCTATTTAATGGATGAAGGGGGAATATGTACGATTAGCGAGTTAAATATGTGGTTGTTACATTTCTGGTTGTTCTGTGGGAACTAATGCTGTGATATGATTCGGACGCTGGCTTCAATCGATTATTTGCAAACCATATAATAGAGTGCTATGGTGTGAATAATTTGTTGTAAAATTTTCATTCTTCTGTTTCATCTTGTACTTGCGATATTACAATCCAACATTGTTCGTCCCGTAGCTTTTCAACATTCAATTGTCCGTAATAAAATTGATGATCTGAGCTGATAACACTTGTTATAACTTCCCGTTGTTCATTTTCAGGTGATATCTTCATGACTTTCATCTGATATTGACCTTGTTATTATTTGTAAATGTGTCTTGTTGTTCCTGAAAGTTGCTATCCAAGGACACTTGTCCCATACCATCTCAATGTTCCATTCCTTGATGTGACATTGATGATTTGATCTCGTAAAACTTGTTACATAGATTCTAATACCACTATTCTAAACCATGCCCTCAAGATATTGAACTCATGTTGCTCGGCCAATGGTTTGTAAAGGTTGCTCGTTACCACATTGAAAGTTTCGATCCTAAATTGATCAGATGATAGTCTCCAAAAGTGCCTTGCCGCTCGTGACACTGAAAGCCATAATCAGACAGCGCCGATATCACCAACAATCTGATAACAGTATGTTGTTGTTGCTTCTTTCCATGTTGTCCTTTCGGTAGTTTATTTTGTCATTTATTAGCTAATATTTTCTCAATGTGCGTTGCTTCATTGATATCAGACGAATGCACTCACTTTCTGATACTACTTGTCTCATGCTGTTGCATTCATCCTTGTCCGAAAATTGCGATTGGTGTTTCATTTCAACAGTTGTTTATCATCATCCCTCTTGATACCCATGCTGACATTGGAACTATTTATCTGGTAATACTCGTCCCGCTGCTATTATTTGTGGATTACCGGGTTGCTTTGTTTGGTGATCTTGTTCAAAGATACTCTTCCTATACCGGCTCATTGTCCAACATTTTATTGTAGATGATGCTAACATTAAAACAGATAGTATAGCGGCACTTACTAGGCTCTCAATATTATTTCTCGGTAGCCTCCTGTGGCCCCATCCAAGCACATTTGCTATGTTGACTGCTCACCACCGCCTCGAATAATCTGATAAACTTACACGTAAGATGTGGATAAATGTTTTCTCGTCTATAACATGAACATCCATATCCTTCTGTCATCCACAACGGTCTTTCCAGTACCCGGTCTCACTATGGCATATAGAGACTCATCGACATCAGAACCCTCCGCTTTGGTCAAATTTGGGAGTTCATCGATGCTAACCATAATGTTGCGACCCCTTTATGAATTACGCTACAGCACATGTATGCCGCAGGGTGTAGAGATTAAATGCTACTCATTACAACAATACCTTATACATACCCACCTCATATCTATTATCAACACTCAGGCTGAGGGTTACTTTATATTTCCATTGGGCGCCTACCAACTGAACAAACTCCGCTTCGTACAAACGATCTGTTGTAATAAGCTCCAAACAAAACTGAAAGAAATACAGTATGCGCGATGTAAACAAAAGGAAATGGACGATATACCCTAATGGTATTTCTTCCGTGACACGTGAGTGTCGTTTCTCAGATCATAAACATGAAGGTGTTAATCCCACAAGATACACAACACACACAACACACACCCCATATGAATCCAAGGTTTCTGCCTCAATCGGACAGTCAAGTCAAAGTACCTATTCTTTAGCTTAGGAAACTAACCCCGTAGCACCATAAGGTTAAAGCTACTACCGTTCGGACACAAATGAGCAATCGAGTGTTCCAGTCTCACTGACAGGACACTTGTCCGCATCTTTTCAGAATTCTCTCCTTCAGCAATACATAGAGTCGATGAAACAAGAATCATCGCTTATAAACAAACATTCGAGTATATACTCATACTCATCGCAAGTTACATGATCAGTAGATCAGTTTGTATTAATTCATTGAGCTTATAATCCTTCATCCTAAAAGGTTCAACCCGTTCCACAATGAACATACAATTAATCCGACTTTTTTGCTATATTTTTAATTTGTTGGGGGGATCAAGTGATGTTCATGTCAAGACGCTCGTCGCTGACTAATTCTAAACTTAGCCCTTACCCCACACTTTAAGCCACAGTGGCACTACCATACTAACGTATCACATCACATGCCCTCGCGTTCCATTTACGCGTTTTGTGGTTCTGTATTTTCCAACAATATTGAATCCAGTTCAGCCTCGTCCTGTAAACATCATCCAACCCAATTCCAATTCCCATCTAAATCCCAATAACATTCCACGACTCTCAACTTCACTCCGCCCAAATCCTAAACCAACAATCCCCAAATCTCACTCCAAGTACTCACCATGTCCGAAACCCCCACCACCCCCCGCATAACCTCCTCGTACCTCAATTCCTTCACCTCGCGCACCGTACGCATGGTGGGAAAGGTTACACAGTTACGCGGTCTGGAGGCGAGTATTGATTGCGACGGGGCCGTTTCTGTGCTTCTTCGACCGGTGAGTTTTCTCTTCTCCTTCGCTTCGTTTTAGATCCTTATATGTACACTTCTCCATCCATATTACTCATCTATATCTCTATCTCCCCTCCAAATCTCTACCAATCCAAACTACCCATCTGCATCTTCAATTCCACTCCCCTCTGTTCCACTCTTTTCCCCGCCCAAGCACAACAAACCCCCAAACAACTCATACAAAAATTAACCCAACACCCCTCCCCCAGGATTCCCACCTCCAAGTCGGTTCCGCCGTCGAGATCGTCGGCAAAGTGAACCAAGATCTCAGTGTCAAGGTATTACAAGCCACGGATTTTGGTACGAATTTCGGTATGTATTTTTTCCCTTGCCGCTTCGTCTTCTCCCTCTCTTCCTCTTTTCCCTCCCATTCCCCGCTTCACAACTCCACACCCACACCCCTACTAACTACCCCCTCTCCTCCCCCCAGATTTCGCAGCCATGAACGCCCTAGTCGAGGCAAACCATCGATACAAAGAAATTTGGTACACCGAGAATTAAGATCAATCAACGAATAAGCATAAGAATAGGAACAAACATAAGAAGACATGAGCATCACATCACCCAATTAGACCATTTCAGAGGGTAGGAAGAAATAGAAGATTGCTTGCTCGACTATTCTAGCAGTAACTAGCTGTATTGGAATTTATAATCAGAGGTTTGTGATCTGGGGATATATTACGATACGATACGATATGAAGGGTTTTCCACAGAGGGGTTTCTATGATTAACAAAACGATATGATATCCACACACTGCACGATACATACAGCAAAGAAAGCAAGAACAAATCAAATAGGTTATTAGAAATTAATAAAACGAATCGGGGATAGATAGACAGATAATGGAGCACATAGATGCCGGTATGACTGATATATATATCCATATATCACACACAGTCTGCTACATGCTACCTGCATCTGCTATATCACATACCACACACACACACACACACACACACTTTCTCTCTTACTTTCTCACTATTCGACATAAGAGCTTCATAATGAGCTTGTTTGCTTGCTTGCACAAAATACATACATATACATACACACACTTACAAATACACATAAAAATACAATACAATACCAGAAGTTCTAAACATTCACCCCCAGAAAAATCATATTATGCACACACCAGACCCTCTCTCACCCACAAATCCCGCCATCCTCACAAGTCAATCAAGCAAACTATTCAAAAAGCCATGCATACATATCATATCATATCATAAACAAATCATTTCCCACTCCTCTCTTATTCCCACTTTAACAAATTGAACATAGAGGCAAAGATATGAAATTCGTAAAGCTTCACTTTTATCATAAACGAACTATTTAACTAACAAACTATACAATCAATCATAAGCTTTTCCCCCAAATTCAATCATCCTGATTTCCAATTTCCATTCCCAATCCTCAACTCCCTTTCCCCATCCCATTCCCAATGCCGTTCCCGTTCCCAAGATATAACCGTCATCATTTACTTTGAGTAAATGTGACAAAACTCCAAGCTTATTGAATTCCCTCCCTTTATTTCCGTTTCCATTTCCCATATATCCATGCCATCATATAGCCAATCCAAAACACCACATACATGCGAGTCATCAATCATGAGAAAATATACAGTCTTTATCATGCTTGTTCGTAATTGAAAGATGTCCGTCCCTCCCAAATTTAGGCCGTCTCATTCATCATTGCTTCCTCCATCGGTTCTTTCTTGACCTCCACATCTTTTTCTTTTTCCTTTTCCTTTTCGTTTTCATTTTGTGTCGGACCAGAGTCAAAACTATAATTATCCCAATTGACAGCGCCTCCCGCCGGAGTACAATTATTGAACTCAGAAAACATTCCCGGTGGGGAACTAGGCATGAGTACATCTGTTGAAAAAAAATCCTCGTCATATTGTTGAAGATTGTAGGATCCATTTTCGAAGTTTGGAAGGTCGGGTAGACTACTAAAATCGAGGTGTTGTGAGGGGGAGTTTAAAGGGTTATCAGACAGGGCCTTGTTTAGACGAGCAGTAAATGGTGACTCGAAGATTGCGTTGCCACGAGGAGTGCGACGGCTTGATCCAAGAGTTTTGCTTGGTGTTTCAGGAGGTGCCAAGTGATGGCTTGGCGATATGCGCGACCGACCAGATCTTGTTACACTTCTCGTAATGGGCCTGTGGCTTGGAGTTGCTCGAGTTGGAGTTTTGAATAGATTTGAGACGGGGGATTTCTGGACTGGTGTCGTTGGTCGAGCAAATTCCTCCTCAAATAATCTCATGAGCTCAGCGTCCTCCTCTGTATCAAATGTAGCTGAGCAATTCTCCTTGTTCATCGTGCAAGTGACTGCATCTTTGGCGCTGTGCATTTCAACGGCAACCTGAATGACATTCGCTGTAACTTCTCCCAGGACTTTAGGAGATGAATCTTTTCGTGGCGAAGGAAATAAAAGTCTTCGCGTTGTATCCCCCTCTGGTTCATCTCGTACCTCCACATGGTTATGTTTTGACCACCTGGCTGGACTTGATTGTAAAGCTCTCCTCAATGCCACTGATGCGGAGTCCGAGGTCACTGCGTTCAGCTTTTTAGCAGGACGAACACTTTCTGCTCGGCGCACTTGGTTTGAGTGACCACGACCAGTAGGTATCTGATTGACTGAGTCTAATTCATCGAGATCAATGGGAAACATACGATCAATGCCGAGGGGAGCCACAGGTTGTTGATAGAAAACCTCGGTTGGGGGAAAATTCGATTCTGATGGCGGGAAGTTTGCTTCCGATGTTGGCATAACCGCCGCAGCCTTGGCTTTGGAAGGTCGTTTTTTCTTGGCATCTGGATCTTTACCCCATTTTGCTTCTGGACGCTGAGACTTATACTTCGACATCCATATACCACAAGCTACAACAATTAGCGACTAAATATCCTTGAATACGATATATGACTTACGATTGCAAAGAATGTATGCCTTGTACTGTTTCTGATCTTCACCAGCAGCAAGGGCTTTTTTGATAAGGAGATACGAAGTGGGGAGACCCGTATCATCTCTTGAAAGAATATTGATGGTTGTCACTCTTCCGGGTTCTTCGGAGTATTCATGGTAGCCTGGAGCACCTTGACGTTCCTGCGACCAGGCCCTACGCCAGGTTGGGGTGTCTATGGCACCACAATTCTCACAATACTGAGGCATATGTCCGTTTTTAAGAGCGTTCTCCAATTTATGCCTAATAGAGGCTTTCTTGGCTTCTGTTTGGCTAGGTGCATTGGGAGCTTCGGTCATATAATGTGGATGCTCAGACCAAGTGTGAGATCGCTGAAAACTAGCCGGAAATATAGGGTCACTCGCAGGAATAGTCGGAAGGGCCATAGATCCGGTAGAAGCAGTCCGAGAAAGGTTTACAGATGCTGGACGAGGCTGTGGTGGTGGTAACACTGCAGGGACATGCATCTGTGGCATTGGGAGCTGTGTATACTCACTAGTTGGCGGAGTTGGGAGATGTAAGGTCGGTGCTGGTGGTAGTGGTTTTATATTAGAAGCAGGTTGTGACTGAGAAGGCGGGCGAGAATTGCAACGGGCGTCTGGCTTTAAGGGAGGTAGTGATTGTCCATCTTCGGACATGATACTGTTTCGTCTAGATTTTGCTTGTGCTGCCCTTGAAGGTCTTGGCTTCGGTTGTTCAGTGATGAGCATCCTTTTGGGGAGCAATTCCATGGGACCTGGTGTCTCTTCTTGAATATGGAATCCACCGTTTAGGTTTGAATTTGCGGGTTGTGTTTTACGAGGGCCTCGTCGTTTGGTGGGTTTCTTTATAATCACTATAGCCTCTTCATCGGCCGGGCGTAATACTTCGTCGTCATCTCTGAAAACGTCGCCGAGGTCGTTTAGATTACCGCTCATGAATCCCGAGTCTAACCTAGGCATGGGTGGTAACGAAGGGCTCGACTGACAGAGGGGACTTGATCGCATTGATGGCGTTGCATTTTGCGATCGCGTTGAATTTCGTAATACTGGTGGAGATGATGCGATATCTCCAGGTGTTAATCCTAGACTGGCACTGGCAAAGCGTACCGGTGAAAAATGGGCGGATTCAATGGAGAATTCTAGACGGTCTTCTGGAGGGAGCGAAGGCTCTAAATACGAATGAACTGGCGAGTGTGCTTGCGACATCTCTGAGTGAGGAATAGATGCCTGTCTGAGCCCACTTTGTGACTGTGGTCTGTGCTGGTTGACTGGTTGCATTGAGACTGGTACAGGTGTGGGATTCCGAGGAATCTCTTGCAAATGGTTGCCTACGGTAAGACTACCAGATGGAGCTAGCGGTCTGAAAGCACGTATAGAACCTGCAGTACTTGCTGTGACTCGAAGCGAGTCAGATCCTGACCCAAATGCCGATTTATTGTTCCAATCTGCCTGAGTGATTTTCGCCCTTTTCTTCGGAGCCGGACCATCTTCCCCTTCTGTTCCTTCTTCATATCCAGAAGTGTTGCCTCCTAGTTCCGGACGAGGATTCTTTGGTGGGCGGCCACGTCTTCCCCTTTTCACAGTCGTCCTGGATAAGGGCCTAGCTATCTTCTGATTTCTGGAAGCGATCATTGCGGGTTCCTCTTGCACGGTTGCGGGAGCTGGGGCTAAACTTTGGCTGTAAGGGTTTACTGGTTGAAGACTTGGACCGAGAAGCTGATTGACTACCTCCATGGTGGTTCCTTTGTTATTTGACATGGCCGCGGGGATTGGTGTTCTATTCAACATTTGAGGTACATTTTGCTGCGATTGTAATAAAGAATTCCATTCGTTCTGTTCAAACATTGGAGTCGAAATGCGTTGGCCGGGATTTCCCATGATGTTTGTATATTCGATTGGTGATGTCGTTTGAGGAACCAAACGAAGCTTGACCTCCAAAGTCTCCTTCACTCCATTTGCAAAAAACCCCATGAGATTCTTGCATACTCGTCCCGTAATGAACTTTTGTGATTGATGCATTGGGGCATTCGGTATAGGAGGCGTTGCTAAAGCCCGTGAAAGCATCCCTTGACCCACCAAAGGACTATCATCTTCAGAGTAATCGTAGGCATAAACGGTGAAGTCTCGTCCAGCTCGAGGGAGAAGTTCTGGACTACATTCGATGATTGCTTGTAGACATGTGTAAAGTTCGATTAAGCCGATTGAGTTCGTCTCGTCCATAGCGATATTCTTGATCTGAAGTACTTGCGGCCATCGTGCCAAGCAATTGGTTTTGAATTCGTCATCGAAAGTATAGAGTACCTTGACTATAAAAATCCCTCATTGTAAGCATTGTGATCAGATTGAAGCTCTCTAGAAATGTGCCTACGTCTCATTGGTCTGATCGTGACCCCATTTTCACTCGAATTGTTGTTGTTTGTTGCTGGAGGAGCTTGAGACGTTTGATTCTGCAATTGAGGATTTCCCATTGGAACCCCTGCCGGAGACGACATGATGAGCTTTCCCCAGCTTCTTTACCTGGCTCTTAAGGTATTGTGTTATTGTGGTGAAAGTCGATCAAGATTATTGATGATGCTGTAAAGCTATCCATGAAAGGTTGTAGTTGTAATGAAAGGTGAGGTATTTGGTGCTTGGGTAGATTTCGCGTCCAAACGTGTACCGCTACCACTACCGGTATTTACGCGTTGAGAACCTGATGAAGTTGGCGCTAAAAAGTTTTCATTTACGTTAACCGTAATCGTAAAATCAGGATTTCCAGATTTCCAGAATTGACGATGTAGTTTCTTAGTTTCTCAATTTCTTCGAGTTGTGAGAAATCAGATATGGAGTATTTAATTGTGATATATTGGTATTGTCAGATGGAAGGTTCAAATGTATTGAAATGCTAATCAATGATTGAAGGACGAGCTAAGCAGGGATACCCTAGCCTTTCGCTGAGCCTTGCTGCAAGGCTATCAAGAATTATACTCTTACAGAACAGAATTGCGTCAGCGTTCGGCTCTTTCTTATGATGTCTCACAAGGCAGTATTAATTCAAAGATAACCCAAATTTTATTCAAGTGAACGATTCGATACTCGAATTGGTGGGGGATGGCTCTATCTTTATACTCTCTCGGCTAGGATATAATCTATCGATACCCGCTCAATCGATTAGGTAATCAATGACTCAGCCCCTGTTCAACCAACATGATGATTTCTTCTCACATTTCCTACTCAGTTATAACATTTTGATATTTTGTTCGTATTTATTTTTTCAAGCGTCTACTAATAATTCATCGTTATCACAAAATATTGTAGCGCGAGGCCATGTCTGGGATCCTTCCCATCATTGCACAAATCCCCATATCATACATTAAAAACATGCATGTACATTGCTCAATGGAAACTCTCATGCAGACGCTTCAGATTTGAGAGTTTCGACTTGCTCTAGTTCCCACACAAGATGTCCTGGTTCACTCTTGGTTGTTTTCCTCTCAAGGATCTCGGTCACCACTTCCTTTACACCCTGTTTTCCCTCCGTTGACTGGAGGAAGTGATTGACAACTTGAAACATCGACTTCCCTCCTTCTCTCACAACCTTGGCAACCTCATTTTCTCTTGGAATCCCGAATTTAAATGGATACTCATTGAAATCGCGATCGCTGAGTAATTTTATTTGTTGTGTTCCATCAACTTCAAAGAATGGGTCTGCGATTCTGTCTTCTGGTTTGATGTCTTCCAAGCTTTTTGGTTGCCACTGGGGAGGAGATGGATTCTCGCTATCTTTGCTGCGAATAAGTAGAGAATGTACACCTTCAGTGAAATCTGGATGACGCATAAATTTGGCGGCAATTTGATATTCTCTTTGGAAAGCCTCGGTAATCGACCATTCTTTGCCGATTCGCATTTGACGCAGTGCCACATGAACACTCGTAGGTGATCGTTGGTGCAAGGTAGCAAGAGTCTTTTCAAGCCATTCCTTAACTTGTAATTCGACGCCAACCAGGCCGGCTTCCACATCCTTTTCCCTCAGAGTGGCAGCCTCGGCTTCCAAACCGGCAATAATTTCGGGAACGCTTGATTTACTGAAGTTGCGATCGATAGCCTTTCGCAACTCGCCACTGATAAGCATTGGTTGATCATGAGGCAGCCCTGTGCAATATTCCTCAATGGTGCTATTGATGAGTTGTGCTCTCTTTCTGAGAGACTCGTAATCCTGAAATCGCAGTTCCGCCAAACGTTTCTCCAAAGCTGGCAAAGAAGTTGAATGGATATAATGTGTTGCGATTCCAGAGTAAAAGGCATTGACACCCTCCAATCTTTCACTAGTCAAAGCGAGGTATGTTCCAACAGATCCAGCCATCCTAGGTAAGAAGAATGAAGCTCCTACATCGGGAAAGAATCCAATTGTAGTTTCAGGCATAGCAAACACCGTCCTTTCTGTGGCTATTCGAAATGGAGCATGTATACTCAATCCAACCCCACCACCCATCGTAATACCGTCCATAAAAGCAATATATGGCTTCTGATATGTTGCGATAAGGTGATCCAGCTTATATTCGAGGGCAAAATAGTCCGTAGATCGGGCTTGACCTTCTGGGCCTTCCATATTATCCTTAGCAAGCGCTTTGACATCTCCACCAGCACAGAAAGCCTTGGGTCCAGATCCTTTGATGATAATCACATTTGCCATGTCCGATTTCGACCATTCCTGCAGTCTCGGTACGATTTTCCGTATCATTGACCCATTGAGGGAATGTAACTTTGTGGGTCTGTTGAGCTCGATCGTTCTCACACCATATATCGTATTAAATAGCACATCTTCTTTCTCATCGCCTTCCAATTCCTTGATAACTGTGGCCTGGGCGTATGACGGGGTATCTGAGGCTGTCGCCATCTATATTACATGTTAGAATGCACCCATAAATCGACCAGAAATCTCCCAAACCTGTGCTCTACCCGCAAACGCTGGATTAATAACCTTAGCTCTCAAAGGCATAATTGGAAATCTGGAGCCACAAGAGCGAACAGCTGCCCCAGCTCTACCACCCAAATATGTTCCAAACATCAAGAAATAAGGATTACAACGGGCTTTAAATGAATGCGGAGAAAGGTAAATTTCTCAGGACCTCGGAAGTAAAGTCTGGTCGGTCATTTTTGTCCCCGCGCAAAATCTAGCCGGGCAGATTTAAGGTTTGGCGCTAAGCTATTCTTGTAGCTCGCGACCGTGATGGGAATTTTTGGTGCCTGGAAACTTTGACGACATAACTTACTTTGGAAGATTGTTGGTGAAGTTATTGATCTACGATATTTAACATCATAATCATGGCGGATGTAGCAAAGATACAGTAAGATTCTTGCTCTTCTCTCGTTCCTACTTAAACATACTGACTTCTTTTTCCAGAGAACTTCTCGCCAAGCCTCGCAATGAGCTCACGTACGTCCATCGACTCTACCTCTTTTAACCATCCCCAGACTTGCCATACTAACTTCTATCAGCGAGTTCGAGGTCGCCCAAATCGAAGAACATGAATTCACATCCGGACCCCTCTCTCTTCTTCAAGCTGCTGTCCGCTCCCATGGACAAGTACTGATTTCATGCCGCAACAATCGAAAACTACTTGCGCGCGTCAAGGCTTTCGATCGTCATTGCAATATGGTATTGGAGAACGTGAAGGAGATGTGGACCGAGACGCCAAGGCTAAGCGGTGGTGGAAAAGGAAGACCGGTTAATAAGGATAGATTCATCAGTAAGATGTGAGTATCTATACATGGAGTGCCACTTTGAATATTGGGCGGATGATGAGATCACGACTGGATAAGATTCTACGAGACAGGGCCACAAAGATACCAGACCACCTACCAGATGGCAAAAGGTACCATGAAGAACACAGCTAACATCTTTCGATTCCTCCAGGTTTTTAAGAGGAGATTCCGTCATTCTCGTCCTGCTAAGCTGAACGGTCGGCACTCGCATCTCACGATATATGGATGGATAGAAGAGGGGACCAGCTAAGGATCAATATCAAATAACACCGGACAGGATCTGTGCAGGAAGCAAACAGGATAGCATTGGGCGTTGTCAAAGATCAACGCGCGTACCAATTCAGCTTGTAGTGATGAATTCAAGCACGCATGGAAAAGTTCATGCCAAATAGGGAACCAATTCTATGGAGAATAGCAATGTTAGATGAGAAAGAATCTCTCTTTGAACTTTAGATGGGTACACTGCTGGTGACTTGATATTGTGATATGTATATCACGAGTCAATAATCTCTCAAAGGTCAGTCTATTGTGTCCCTCTGTACTTCTTTCAACACACCCTCATTTACTAGCATTGTGATGAACAAACCATAGCTTTTTAACCCTTAATGGTATTCACGTACCTTGAAGACCAAAAACAACAACTCTAATTTTTTCCTGAATGCTATTTATTACCCTACTACTGTTACAGGATTACTTGGCTTTCGAATCAAGCTGACATTTCACACACAGATGGATCTCGAGGTTACAAATTTCATTATGAATGTTCATTAAGCGTCACTAATAAAGCAGGAAACCTTGCATCACCTCAAACCAACCCATAATCCACATCTCCTAACCCAGCAAGTCCCAAAAAGAATTCGCTCAAGCCCCAGGCTCCAGGATCTGGGACCTGTTCGAAACCAGTACCACCAATATATACAGTTCTTCCTAAACTAGCCCTCATTCCCTTTGTGCCCTCTGCACCCGTCCTGGATGCTTCGGCTGCTTTTTGTATATCTCCTGTCTTGGCCAAGGTCTCAATGAATGGATGCAATGCATCTACAAGAGTGCGGTCTCCAGGCTTGGCTGGGGTATATTTTGAAAGAGCTTCGGATGCGGACTGCAATGCCTTTGCCCAAACTTCTGGTGTTGCTTGTCCGGCAGAAGCATTTTCGCGGAGGGCAGTTAAAAGAGAGTTGAGGAAGATAGCATACAGAGCTCCAGAGGTTCCATCCATAGTGTTTTCGACCACCTGAACAATTCTTGCGAGATCGACAACAACGTCACCGGATAACTTCTCTTTCGAGATTGATGAGAGCACAGCTGCACATATTATTAGCTCTCGGTAGAAGAATCAGATTGACACACTTACATTCGGCTCCTCTCTTTAGACCAATACCGCAATCTCCATCCCCAACCACTGTATCAAACCGAGTAACATCCGGTTCGGCGTCAATTATTTTTTGGAGCCCAGCTATCAAAGCAGTCTTTGTTGTTTCGGCGTCCATTTTCAACCCACTGGGCTTAATCTCCTCTTCAGTACCAGCAGAGCCAGTTCTAGTTGATGTAGATTTAGCCTCCCATGTTTCCTTTCGGATAGGGGCCGCCCATCCAGTCGCCTCGGTGGATGCGTCTAGTAATTGCAACATACTAGGCCCGCCAATATCCGTGTTGACCACATTGAGAAGTGATATACTAAATCCGAGACCGTTCAAACTTGTCATAAAAGTCCCGGCAAGGATTCTGACTGGCTTAATATTGTAGGACTTTTCGAGCTGGCCAACAACTTCTGCTGTAATACCACCAAGCTCCAGTACACTCACACCTCCAAGATTGTTGACTAGAAGCACAACTTCGTTCGAGTTCACATTTAAGAATGCTCGGTCCTTGTCTTTCGAATCCAACAACTGCGTAAGCATTCTTTTGACGAGTTCAGGCAGATCAACCTTGGCTCTACCACTACCAGGCTCATTATGAATTCCCATTCCAATCTCGACCTCTTCATAAGCCAGACTCTCCTCGGAATCTGGATTTGGGGGTGCTCGGCCGGGAACGTGAACATGGTCCAAGGAAGCTCCCACACTAACGATGTTGTCTGCCGTTAATTTTCCAACTTTGTAAACATCCCTCAGACTAGCACCAGTTGCTGCCAATGCTCCTGTAATCTTATGTACCAGTACTGTGCCCGCAATACCTCTTCTGCCAACCTTTCCAGCCTTCTTACGGCCAACTCCAACATCATCTCCAACTACCAACATGTCGACTTTCAGTCCCGCAGCCTTTGCTTTCTCAACCGCCATACCAAAATTCAACACATCCCCTGTATAATTCATGACCGTGACCAAGATTCCCTTCTCGGTATCAACTCTTGACATCACACATCTGCGAATTTGCTCGGCGCTCGGTGAAGCAAATATAGTACCAGCAACAGATGCTGCGAGTAATCCATCACCGACAAATGCTCCGAAGCTAGGCTCATGACCACTTCCACCGCCGGATATTATGGATACTTGGGAAGCATGGCCGGGTCGTCTGTAGACGATTTTGTTCTCTGTATCGAGGGCGAGGGAGGGATTGGTGAGGGTGAGGGCATGTAGAGCGGAGTTCACAAGGAGGGTGGGATCATGGACGAAATGTTTTGCTGCCATTGTTTATATTGGAATGGGAGATAGCTGTCAGGTATTGCTTAAGGGGAAAGATAGGAAGGGAATTGTAGAATAGGAATAGAAGAGCTATAAAATGTTTATAGGAGAACTGTACGAGTAGAATGAACAGTATAATGGGTATGTATTGTAGGAAGTAAGAGTATAAGATGTTAAAGGAAAGGATGAGAAAGCAAAAAAAGGGGTGAGCAGACCTGACCAAGATGGATTAAATATGGATATCTTTCATCACATCACATCACATCAGTCACCGTCACCAGTGCAATGTATGTTTAACAGTTGGTTGAGGAGATCAACAGCTGGAAGCGGGGCAGATTGATGGTAAATGCGGGGTGTAAAGGATACAAGGATCTGCGAAAGGATACAACCATAAATCACCGTAAATCATTCCCGTGGGGGGCCCAATCCGGCAAAACCGTGGGGGCACCAAAATCTTTTTCCGAACCACTTGAAGAACGGCAATTTCATAAGCTCAATTCAAGCAAGCTTCATCCACCACCGCCATATTCCTGACCAATTGATCCCACTCACAACAAACCAAATAATCAAATCATAATGTCACAAATCCCACTCATAGCCGTTCCAGGCCAACTCCTCGGTCCCAGTACCGAATACCTGCCAGGTCCAGGTACACACATCCATTCTTCGAATCTGTATGCCTCGATCCTTGGACCCATCACAACGATTGCGCCGCCCAAACCCAGCTTCCCTCAAAAACGAGCCACGAAGATTACACCTGCGGCCCCCGTGCCTCTCTCTACTATTTCGATTGAAAGAGCTACTTTTACTGGAGATAAAGCGGAGATTTTACCAGAGGTCAATAGTCTGGTTTTATGTCGCGTTACGAGGATTCAGCAGCGTCAGGCAACGGTTGCGATAATGGTTGTGGGGGAGACGGTTTTAGAGGGGGAGTGGCAGGGCTTGATTCGAGTGCAGGATGTGAGGGCTACGGAAAAGGATAAGGTCAAGATTTTTGAGAGTTTTAGACCGGGGGATATTGTGAGGGCTGTGGTGGTGAGTTTTCTCTTTGCTTTGGGATTCATGCATCCAGATGAGGATGATGCTAATGGAATGGTACAATGATGGTAGATTTCATTGGGTGATCAACAGAATTATTATCTTAGTACGGCGAGGAATGAGTTGGGAGTTATTATGGCGACGAGTGAGACGGGCAATGCGATGTATCCGGTTAGTTGGAAGGAATATAAAGATCCGGAGACGGGGGCGAGTGAGAGTAGAAAGGTTGCGAAACCATTTTAGATCACGGGCGGGCGAGAGGGTCTTTCTATACCTGTTGTATGTATAAGCATAGCGTATGGCGTCGAGGCGTTCATGGATATAAGGATATACCAATTCACATAAAGTTTATCATCTAGTATTTTTTATTCGTTATCTGGTGCTTGTGTTTTGGGTGGAAAAAAAGTGGCAAGTATGTGATGTGCTAGACAAACGAATAAGGGGGGTGGGGGTGGAGAGGTACATTATTAGTAGATGGAACCTCTTCCTGTCTATCTTAGGCATTGTGTGTATGTTTATAGTTCCAAGTGGTACCAACATACATTGATACAGACCTATTCATACCATTCATGTCCACTTTCTCTAGCATCATTGGCATCATTCAAAGTTCATATTCATCTCAAGAAAAATCGTGGAGACATAGTCTAGACTTCAAAGCGGTGATATTTGAAGAAGGAACATCAACACTCACACAAACACTTTGCAATCCAACCATCTCCCCAATATCTCAGCCTTCATCATGCGCTTTGGTATAAGTTTCTAACACACCTAGGTACCCACCTACCTACATTACTACTTGTATTTGTATTTGTACAAGAAATCCAAAACTTCAAATCACCATTCATATTTCATTACAACCTCCCTCCACTCCCCTCCCACCCCAAGCAACTGGCAAGCACCTTTAGAATCGCATTACATCATAAAACCATATAATCATATACATACCACATAATAAGTATCTACCTGCCTACCTACCTACCTACCTACCTACCTACCTACCTACCTACCTACCTACTCAACACACAACACACAATCAATCCCAAGAAACCTCTCAACATCCTGTCATCCTGTCATCCATACGCACCCCAATTTCCCCTATTCAATTCATATAACAATACAACACAATAAATCCCCCCATCACCCACCCATCCATCCGAATCCTTCGAATGCGTATCCAGAAACATTACTGGAGTATATCCGGGTCCGGAAATGAAATAAGATATAACATGTCAATATTTTCATTTATCATAACATAACATGACATGACATGAACTAGATCTACGTACGGTACGAGTAAACATTTGATGGATCAGGAGGTGCTTGCTTATCCGGCCGGCTGACTGAACGTATATCCGAAAGTTTTGGTAGGTAGGTAGGTATAGCCAGATGGATGGGAAAAGGGGGCAGGGAAGAGAGGGAAGAGAGGGGTCATGCATAGCCGTATGTACTGTACTGTATTTGCATTTGCATTTGCATTCATTGGTATTTATATTTATATTCATATTTATATTCGAGGTTTCATTGTGTTGTTCGAATCACTTAGTTTTTGTTTGGTTCCTGCTTCATGATAATGATGATGCCAATGGGGATAGTGATAGGGATAGTGATAGGGAGAGGGATGGATATGCTTGGATGCATGTACTCTCGATCCATAATCTGATCTGATCTGATCCTGAAGTATCAGAGAATCGTGTAATCTTAATATAAACCAAATACCAGTCCATTATGGTTCATGAGTATCCTATACTACACTATACTCGAACACATTACAACACATATATACATACAGCAGTAAAAAGTTATGGAATGCTTGCTACACTAGTAAAAATCAAAGAATCAGAATATAAGATCTAAAGTAGGCACAGAAATGAAGTGAGAGAAGATAAACTAATATCGTATCGAGCAGTTGTGCTGCAGAGAGAAGAGGAGAAGAGGTTTCGCTTGAAGCTGGTCAGTTTTAGAAGGGATAGAGGGTTTCTCGTGTGCTATTAGGTGATGCTTCCATGATTTGACAATTCTGATATGAGTACCTAGTTGTACTTGGATGGAGTCTGTTGATGACTAAGTGTATCAAATTAGTATGAACTATGGAGGATACCTAGGTAGCTCTGAAATGTACGAGTCCATAATCTCATGAATCCTACCAAAATCAGGCACCCATCTCTCTAAGTTTCAAGCATCCCAATGAGAATGCGCTCAATAAGACCCATAGATAAAAATATCCCCAAGAAAAATAACAACACCATATTCGCCAATCTTCATTCTGTTCTTCTCCACAACGCCTATACCCAAAACATCTTCCCACCATTTGTACCGGATAATTTCTATGATCTCAAAGCCCTCAATCTCTCGCCCAACCCATCCTCCTCTACTTCTGTTGGATTCGATTTAACGGGAGTCGCCTCTTCCGGACTCTTCATCTCCTGCTTCAACTCTATTCCCGCCTCATCCGCAACTTGGTTCATCAACCTATCTACGTCTTCCTGAGGAGTTGCGACTGCCGTTGCGGATGCAGTGGCGCTCTCGTAGTATCCGGTTGCCACATCTAGATCTTCAAATTGTGTTTCGAATCGGTCCATTACTGCTGAGATCTATAGATTTTACATGTCGTTAGCATAAGATTCTAATGAGGGCGTTGGAGCATTGAGAATGGTAAACAAGGAAAACTAACCTTCTCCAAGTCCATAGCTTTCATGGCTTGATCCATTCCTCTTACTACATTCGTCATACTGCCCGTAACTTGTCTCATGGTGACCGCCGTCTGGACTCTACTAGCCACAGCATCGATTTTACTGGCTAATTTCAGTAAATTTAGTTTCTCGTTTTGTTTGCGAATAGCATTTTCGGCATTAATCTTCGCGATATCGGGGTGGCCTTGTTGGATTGCCTGGAGAGTGATCAGTAAGTTCGTGTTTTTTGCGGAGGTGAGATAGAGATAGAGATGGGTAGAATCTACCTTCTTGAGTTTATCTTTCTCTGACTTTTCTGCTTGTCCAGCTTTGTTGGCTTGTCGGTTGATTTGTTTCGCGGTGAACTGAATGGTAAGTTAGTTTGAGGATATATGATGCGCAGACCTGTTCATATATTGATGATGTGCGACGTTGGGCGTGGTGAAATATATGCAGAATGACGTACCTTCAAGTTGAAGAGTGCTTTCTCGAGTCCCGACATGATGCTGTTGATCTGTAGATACAATCCTTAAAAGTAAGAGATTGTGTTTGTGGTGATAATAGGTAGATATTGCGATGATAATAAGTAGGAGTTTGGATGTTTTGTAGTAGAAACCTAGCCTTGTGAACTTTAGATCTTCAACACGACTGCGGGGGCGCTCTATGCTTAGTCATCAACACTTATATATGCATAAACCCCCCTCCATTCCTTAACCTCAAAGCTTCATGAAATATAATTATTATCAGTATTGTATATATAATTTTTAAGAGTGTTTTTTTCAATAGTACTATCTATCCGTTGTGATCGAGAGATATTGATCTATTTATCAAAAGGACATCCCAAAATGCCTCCAAAACCCCGTCTCAACGTTCAAAACTTCCCCCGTCCACCCCTCCTTGAGAAAATACCTCGTCATCTTATAGTAAAATATCGAGGTCAAACCATTGCCGAAACAAAAGATGCATATTGGGTTTTGGAAACATATCACTCACCCAGTGAGGTATTCCTTTCTATCTATCAACCCATTAATATTTTCCCTGCCTCTCCACCCATAGACTAACATAACCATAGCATATTACCTCCCCGCCACATCCCTCTCTCCAAGTTTCCCTCTAATCCCCACCACTAAATCCACCTTCTGTGAATACAAAGGCTGGGCCACATATTATTCGATCTCCTTACCTCTTCCTATTTCTACATATCCTTCTTCTCGTTCCGTTTCCAATCAGCTTACTTCATCCGAGCCCAAAAAGCACGAGATTTCCAACAGAATATGGTCTTACGAATCCCCCACCCCTCAATATGAGGGTCTGAAAGGTTATTTGAGTTTCTATGCGGGACCATGGGATTGTTTTGTAGATGGAGAGAAAGTTATACCACAACCAGGGGACTTCTATGGTGGATGGACGACGAGCGATCTGGATGGGATTATTAAAGGGAGTGCGGAGACGAGATGGATGTGAGATGCGTATGTGGAAAGAATATCGTAGTATAGAATAGTTGTTACTGCTAGGACTCACATATTTGTATCGCACTCTATGTCTTCCTCGACCATTACCATTACCATTCCGTTAGAAGAAGAGAGGGAGATAGAGCTCGAAAATTTATGACCGATGACTTTGAGTGAAGTCATCAATCATAAGTATAACTTATAAGGTCGTGGCAACTTGATTTCGGGTCTGCAAGTACAATATGGTGCTGCTATATTCTCATGAAACCAGAAGGGCTCAAAGTAGAGTATATCGCTGATCATATATACTGACACAGATAAAGATATTGTATTGAAGATTTATATTTATACTCTGAGTACTCTGGTTGAAAAAGATGAGTTTAACAAAAAAAACTGCAATCTACGAGTACAACCATCTTGTATTATATGGATTTCCGATCATCTAGATAGGGTGTATGTTCACACTATTTAGGATGCCTTCTCTTCTATGTGACAGGGAATCGCCATCAATGCTTGGTTCACGAAGTCTTACTAATTATCTATCTAACGACATATAGAGTCTCCGGTAGGTATGCAACCATAGTTCGGTACCTACACGAGGCGTTGCTTACACTTGACTTCTTCCATAGCGAGTGTCACTGTCACATCCTTCACACCGGGTTAGCCCATTCCTCTCATTTTATATACCTTTCAAAGACATTGACAGAAAGTCAGAATATAAGAGAAGAGAATATCCTACTGTGCTTTGTTGATTCATCTATCATGGAACAAATTGCCAGAGGTATTGCAGTATCAAGTCCAAAAACTTGATATAGATATAATCTTTTACCGAAACACAAATTTTGGTACTCCAATAGAGTTTAGGTAATTGGTCATATATAACTTTCCTTTACCCAGAATGAAGAAATTGAGTATTACCATGTTATATAGTCTGATCATTACTGGGCTCTTGAAGTTATTCAAGATGCCCTGGGGCTATGCTGCGGATATATGGAAAATCGGAGTCATGGTATATTGTCTCCTGCGACTCATCTAATAGTCCGGTTCAGTGTAGCGAAACTAACACAAGCTTTTAGATATAGAATATATTCGCGAATAGGCACATGATCGATGAGCTTTGCCCCGAGATGGGCAAGTACAAGAACACAACCGGTTCCACCTCGCGAGTGAGTATAGTACCATAGTTGGACTTCTAGGATCTCCTCCCCTCGAGTTCCTCTAGCGAAGCGAGTATAGCTCCGTTTACTTCAATGACTTATTAGTCCTGGGTTCCTTGGAGGAAGAAGGTGCATTTATCAATCTAATATTCAGGTGCCAGGTAAATGGAAGTCAGTATAGTCAGTCGTTTGAACTAGTCGGGAAATTGGCAGTTTGAAAGGTTGTAGTTTAACTGGTAGTTGAATTTACACAGAAAGAAATTTGATTGCCAGTTTGGATTAGATGAAACTAAATTGCCAGTTTAATCAGTGTACTGCACTGGTTCAATTGGTTCAACAGGTTAATTACTGACTACTGACTACACTCATGGAACTGTATGAATCGCATCACAACAGTGCCATGGGAAGATACTGCGATGACTCTCGAGAGTGCTAATCATGATTCATAAATATTTCCTCGACTTCGTCTGCAAAATTGTTAGGTAGATGCTAGGATCTAGAGTATTACGTTTTGAGCTTTTAAATAACCCTTGGCTTCTGAGGGAGGAATTGCAAATGATGCGGATGCGATCAGGGAATTGATGAGAGGAATATGCTTTACATTACTCGTAGATTAGTTGATGCTTTATCCTTGATTTGATTTGAATGGGATAGGTTGTATTGTATTTAAGTTGGTAGTTAATACTAATAGGAAGTAGAAATGTCAAGTATTATCATATTATAACCAGGTATCGATATCAATGTCTGATAAGCTCCTAATCAACGAGTCGGAACGCTGTTTGTGGATAGATAAATTTTGTATTTTCATAATAACAAATTTAAATGCAAATATAACTAGTAGTAGTAGTGATGTGTCTTCCATGATCAACGTGAAGACTTTAAATACTCGTATACTCGAGTAGAATAATGTTAGTTATATAGAAACATCTCGTATCTTACTATATCACTTGCTATACCGTGATTAATTGCAAGCAATCATTAGATTTAAACGGTGCTCTAAATAGAAACTGTGTTACTCTATCCAGTTTCCCGGTTTTTGGAGTCTGGAGTTTGAATGGTCTTATTGTTAAACACCAATTTGATATGTTGCTCCTTTGCATGTCATTTCTGCTCTGTTGCGAACTGGTTGATTTGTTATAATCTCGTCTCATCTACATCCAACCAAACCACAAACCCCTTTCCCAAACCCCCTCCCTCTCCCCCAAGTCTCCAAATCTCCAACTCCCCAACTCCCCAACTCCCCAATCAAACCCTCCTCGCAACCAAAAACCAATGCATCTCCACATCACTATCCGCCTCCACAGGCGGCCTATAGGTATCGCCCCTCTCACTCACCACCTCAAACCCATTACTCCTCAAAAGCCATCTCCACCCCTCCTTACTAAACAACGTCGTTTGCACCTCATGCCCCATAAACCTTCCCTTTACACCCCTTACACACAACCCATCATCATCATACAATCCAGTATCATTCCCCTCTCCCTCTCCCTCTCCCTCAACTCCTTCCTTTGCACACACATCATCTGCCGCAATCGTACATATACAAAGGAGCCCTCCTTTCTTCACCCAAGATTTCCATTTTCCACCCATGACTTCGAGTTCGGGGCGCGAGAGTGTGAAGAGGGATAGGATACTATATACTGCATCGAACGTCTCCCCCGAAGAAAGAAGAGACAAAACATCAAAACTCCTCATATCACCAACAACAAACGTAGCAGAAGGCACAGAATCCCTACTAACAGCAACCATAGAAGCAGAGAAATCAAGGCCGAAAACGTGGTGGTGGGCAGCGGAGAGCGTGGAGGCGACGGGGCGGCCGGTGCCAGAACCGAGGTCTAGGATTTGGGAGGAGGGGGGGAGGAGAGTGATGGTGGAGGTGAGGAAGGTGTGGAGACCGGGGTCCTGGGAAAAGAAGGTTTCGTAGGTGTGGCTGATTGAGGTGTAGATTGTGGGGAAGGAGGTGGGGGTGAGGGATGCTGGGGTGGATGATGGGGTGGATATAGATGGGGTGAGTGGTGTGGGCTGGGGTGAGGAGGAGCGGTTTGCGGGTGGAGAGGTGGTCATGGTGAACTTGAATAAATACTTTCTGGGAGGAGGGGAATTGATGGATAGATATAGATGATATGATATACTCGTATTTGTTATGAAACTAATCAAAGTAATTGAATTAAAATCATGTACTCTGCTCTGCTCCGATCTGATATATATAGTAATAATATACCGGTAAGAGTCAGAGTCAGAGTCAAAATGGAAATGTAAATGTAAGATTACTTTACCCAGATTATCCTGGCCTGCCCGTATGAGTCACTCTACTCGAGTACTGCACTGTCAGTCAGCCATGATTTCAAACAGAGCAAATCTTCAAGTTATTAACTTAGTCGATACCATCTAATTGTCATTGTTGTAACTAATGATAATATTGATAATAATGATATCTATTTCTGTATTCCCATAGAGCCATTCATTGCCTGCCTTCTCTGTCGACGATCAAACCGTCGTAACCACATCATTTCATGTCTATAAGGTTATGCCCTTTCATTTCACCTCATTCCCATCCCAAACCAACCCATCCCATCCCAACCAAGCGAAGCCAAGCAGCCTAGCCAAGCAGCTAACCAATGCCAAAAAATATGCAGCAACTTAAACGCCATGTTAATGCTATTTATTAATTTCCATCCCCCTCCAAATATCATGCTTTTGATCCCATACCTCCTAATCACCAAATAAAAACCCGCCAAGAATCGAAAGAGTCCCCAACCAGAACCAACATTTACTCAAGTCCCGCCCCACCTTGAAATCTCATCCCTAGCACCCAACTCCCCTCAAACTCTACCCCCCTTCTAACCCTCGTTCCAGCTTTCTTCCAAACCGCCACCCCTAACCCAATATCAGCAACAAAAAGTTGCCACTCCCCACTCGCTTTCGCATTCCCACTCAAAATCCCCAATCCTAATTTCTCCTCATCGCCAACGCCCTCGCCCATACTCATTGCTTCTAGTAAACCTTTCTTAGGCGCTCCCATTGCAACTACATACCTCGCGTGGATATATAGTTTTCGTCCATCAATGATACTGACTTTGCCGCTCGTAGGATCAATACCCGTAGGGACATCAATGGCGAGAACAGCTGCTTTGTTTCGATTGGCCCATTCGATAAGTTCAAAAGCTGTAGCCTGATCGCCTGTTCGAAGTTCTTCAAATGACATTGTGAGACCGAGGAGACCATCTATGATTAGATCAATAGGTACAGCTAAAGCTTTGACGAAGTCAAGAAGTTCAACTTTGGTAAAGACTTTGCCGCCAAAACCGCGGAAAACTTTGATTTGACGTCGTAGTCCAACCAAGAGTTCAGAATCACGTTCAAGACCCAAGACACAAACTGCAACATTCAGACCATGGTTTCGGAGATGTCGGCCGGCTGCTACCGCTCGGAGACCGCTTTTGTTGTTGCCGGCAAAGACAAGAACGGTGGGGACAGTGGACTTCTTGCCTTGGGTTAAACCACGACCTCCAGTACTCACAGCCGATAACCCGACTTCAGCGATGCCACGACCTGCATTTTCAGTCATCATATCCTCGGTAAGACCAACTTCAGTATCTGCGATATTTTCCAGATTAAGCATCTGAAGCGCTGATATAGGTTCGCATCGACGATCTGAGGGAACAAGATAGAACATGGGGTTTGAGGGTGCAACAGAGATGTTTCGTGATGGTTGGGAGCTTGGAGCATTGCTCCCTTTTCGTGAAGTCGGTCTGTGATGGATACTGAGCTTACTCTCTGGTCTTCGTGTACGAGAGTTTCTACCACTTCCCGAACCTCTTTGGCTACTTCTTTCTTGGATATCGGTATCATCAGCGTCACTCTTCCAAGTTCCTGTAGCCTTTGTGGCACCATTTGGCGAATCCAAAACGTTCTCAGTAGGGTGAAGGTTCTTTCCCCCGTACGTTCCTGGCTTTGCTTTCGGTAAGCGATTGTGTCCAACTAGACGGTCTGATTCTGCGATACCATCTTCTGCCTGGATTTGGGTAAAGACGGTTTTCTTGTCAAACTTTGCCAAGCTACCAGCAAAATCAAAATCTCCCATCTCTTGCACATCGGTTGCATCTTCGGTGGCCCATCCACTCTCTTCCATAACCCTATTGCCCCTTCTCTGAGACTTCTTCAAGGTTGTAAAAGGTTGAAATGACGTGACAGGTTCTAATAATGGAGTTTGTCTCCAACCTTTCGATCGGGTGGTTTCTTTCGATGGGACAATATCCGGCTCCTGGAAAGCACGCTCGTCAGATTTCTTTCCTTGATTCTTTCTCCTGCGAGTTCGTCGTCCTGATTTGGCCAAAGCGGGCTCCACTGACAATCCGCCTAGTTCTGCACCGAGTTCTTCCAGTATCTCTGCTCCTCCAAGCTCCTCCTGATTGTGGATGTCCTTGCTCGCCATACTTTCGGGTAACGTAGATGAAAGATTTTGTTCTTTGCGCCTGTCCTCACGGCCAATAGCAGTTTGCGCCGAATCATCGCGTTCCATCGAAGTACTCTTCCATTGCGATTGAACCGATACTGCAGGAGAAGCTTCCGATCCTGGTCTCCTTCCCATGCTCAAAATCGCCGGATCTTCGAATGCTTTAGTTGCCGATGCAGGTACAACCACTGGCTTCTGCTGTATAATCGAAGGAGGCAGCTTGTCATTTTCATTCCGAGCCTCAATTAATTCCGTAATCTCCGCCGCATTGATCGTAAATTCCGGGACGTATTTTCCATTAGAAGGACAGGTAACTATAAAGCACAACTCTTGTTAGCCAATACAACGGTATGTTTGTCAAAGTTACGTGAGCACCAACCATCTCGTAGAGTCAAGCTTTTGCCAGGTTCAATGCTAGTGACGACGCCTCGAAGTTGCGCACCAGGTGGTGAACTCAATGTCACCAACATGGTGAGCCCAATGAATTGGTTCGACATGCTGGGTTCCGTTTTTGATTGTTCACCACTGGCCGAGAAGAAAGCTTTTGAGCGTTCCGGATTGTTTGAATGGCTTCCAATAAATGAAGAGAGAGGGACTATAAGTGAAACAGTGATGAAAGTAGAAGATTAGAAGATTAGATTGAAGAAGAGAGTTTTTTGGGAACCAAACTTGACAACTATGTTATTTTTATTTTCTTCTGATGGGTTGGGAGCTTGCAAGGGTGAGTAATAGCGAGGTGAGACAAAAAAGTATATCGGACTTTTTGAGCTAAGCTTAAGGTTCTACTCGAGTAAGTAAGCTCAATCGGTTATCGCCGCCTCACCATATCTCCCCCGCCGCCTTATCAATAGGTAGGTAGCGAAGAGGGGTGAATTAACGTATTAGACAATCTCAATGTTGATATATACCTAGTACTCGTATGTACTTGAGTGTATAATAATATACCTTAACCCTTTACTCGTAGATGAATACATCATTCATACAAAGCATCATTAATATAAAGTTGAAACTGGACATAGGGAGCAGTGATTATTTTCTTCAGTATTAGCTATTTTACAAGAAGTCCTTGTAATTTACGAGTATTCGTGGATAAAAACTACCTATACATATGAAGAGGGTATTAATCGTCTTTAGTCCCATGCCATGATAATGGCGCCGTGCAAAGACAACCCCCGCTTTGCGACTTTTAGTACTTAATCACAAATTTACCATATAACCTTCACAACCCACTTGAGCAAATTTCAGCAAATCCCATCGACTCCTGCAACACCCAAAAATATGCTATCATGACTTTCATAGACGCCCTTTCAGCCGAAGTGGCGTAACATCTCTTCCTCGTCCTCATCGGGAAAAAAATAATCGTCCCTCAAAGGCTTGATAGGGTTCGTAGGTATCTTTGGTGGATCTGCCTTCGCGACTTTCGGGTGCGCCAAAGCTTTGTTGATGCTATACAAGCTGTTATAAAATTCAGCAACTCTGGGATGAGCCATGACTTTCCTAGGATCGAAGTTCTGAACCTCCAAGCCAGCTTGGCTTGTTGCTCGACTTAATGCAACATAAGCTTGGCCGTTCTCGAACACTTTCTTCAGGTCAATCTTAACACGCTCAAGTGTTTGCCCTTGTGCTTTGTGAATGGAGAGTGCCCAGGCAAGAATAAGAGGTAACTGGCTGCGCTGTGCCTGTACCTCTCCATTTGGTAGCTCAATCTTCCACTCCTCTGGCTGAACAAGAAGATCTCTAACGGTTCCGTCTGGGATAGAAAATCGAACCAATGGGAATAGCCTGCCACTACTCGAAATTCCAGTGCTAGGCAACTCCCTATTGGTCTGCTTAAACTTTGCGAGATCTGACTGACGGTTGTTTTCTTCCTCAGCGTCGGAAAACTCTTTTTCGTTAAGTATTTCCGGGTTCGAGTCGTAGATCTCGAATGATTTTTCACTCATGAAAGCGACAACTTTACCCAGCGACCCGTTTACTAGACCATCATCCATGTTCTTGATCAACATGACTTGCGCCCCCTTCTTTAATTCGACTGATTTAGGAGCCATCATATTTGCAAGAAGTTTCTCTCTCATTCCCTCGTCAGTGATTGTCCCAGAGTCAACAGCCTCATACTTATACGACTTGCCGTGTAGACTTCTCAGTCTGAACGTATTCGAGTTTTCGACCTCGTTTCGGGTTGGGAATCTAGGGACAGTCAGTGACGCAGGGGGTTGGTATTGCAAAATACGCACAGTTCTGTAGCAGTTAAGTCGTCTTCGTAATTTATGGCGCGTTTCATCCCGACAAAGGCGTTTATAGTGTCTTGAGACACCTTCCCTAGTCGCATTTCGTTTAACATATTGGCGAATACTATATAGTATTAGCTTGCTTCAGCCTGGAATAATGTATCCAGCTCACCAGGGTCCTTCTGACGAAAGACTTCTGTTAGACCAATTGTATGGTGGATTGCCGTTCCCCAGGTCGTGGCATCGAATGCAAATTTGACACCTCGACTTTTTTGGTTGTAATCTGGAACAGGGGGCAATTGGAAGAAATCTCCAGTGATCACAAGTTGTATACCGCCGAATGGCCGTCCATTGTTACGTATTCCTCTCGCAATTGCTTCTAACTTATCGAACAAGTCGCCATCGACCATAGAGATCTCATCGACGACCAAAACCTTGGTCCTTGTCCACCGGAGTTTAGCTTTATTGTTTTTCTTTATCTTCTTTATGAGAGTAGGTACGTCCTCTTTACCAAGTCCAATACCTCCGAAGCTGTGCAGCGTCACGCCACCGATGTTGCATGCAGCTAGACCTGTTGAAGCCGTGACAGCAACTCGGTCACCCTCACGCACATATTTCTTCTTCAGAGCTGCAATTATTGATCTCATCAGAACAGACTTTCCAGTACCCGCAGAACCAGTAAAGAAGACACTCTTCGCCTGATCCACGACCAAGTCCTTAACCCGACTTTGCTCGTCAGTCAAATGAATCGGGGCCAATTTAGCAGTCTTGGTAGAGACATGAGCATCGACAACTGCCTTTTCAGCCTTGTCGGCTTTCCTCTTCCGCCTTTCCTTGATCAACTTCCTGTCCTCTGCAATTGTCCTTGCGCTGGTATCCCAAGGTTGTTTCTTATCCTGGGGTAGAGGAGAAAAGGCCCATGGATTTGGTTTTCCTTTGCCGTTGGTTGGACATGCAATGGCGTAGTGGCCCTTTTCGTTGCACTTAAAACAAACTGCGCCAGCTGCTTGAGAGCTCAATTCATCAACTTGTTCTTGCCTATGTGATATTTCGTCTTGTTCTGACAGTTTCTGAACCCATGGTAATGTTCGGCGTTTCGGATTCGGCAGTTCATCATCATCTACAACTATGACAGATTGTGCCGCTGATTTCTCACGCTCTCTCCGCTTCTTAGCTCCAGGTGGCGTCTCTTTATGTGAGGGTGGTGAGGACGACCAAGTCTGCGCGCTACTACTTGGGGCTCGTTGTGCTTTTAATCGTTCGGTGAATGGGGACGATGGTATTGTTGGACGGGTAGGCTTTGGGGGCGCTGCCATGGAGGCATTGATAGATAAAGGTTGTGTAGGCAAGATGTAACTGTAATCGAAATCTAGTTTATCGTCATCGCTCCAATCGTCCTCATTGATTTGCACAGCATCGAAGCTACTATTCGGGGTATCTTGAAATGCACCATCCCTACTAAACAACGAGCCCAGATGAGAGCTGGCAAGACTTGATCCGACGGTTGATTGGCTTTCCTTTGGCAGTAGCCTCTTCGCATTCGCTGACGCCGGCTTCAAGGGCTGGGCATATCCACCAATTGCCTGTGAAGGCTTTGGCTTGAATGACTCTCCGATATTCCCATTGCGTGTCGCAATATTTTGTGTAATTGCTTGCTTCTTTGCATCGTTCTTCGAATTTGGAGGCTGGGGCTCTGTAGCCTTAGCTTTAACCGCTCGTCCTAACATCACGTTTTCGATAGATGAGTATGGAACTCTTTGAGTTGGTGCATTGGCGTTGTGAAATGTAAAATTACGATGCGCTCTCCATTGCGCAAGACAACCTCTGATTAATGAAGAAAGTGCTGGAGAGGTGGCGTAACCAAATGGCATATAACCGTTTGAGGAAATTGCGAATTGGTAGGAATGCACCGAATATCTCTTGCTGTTATGGGAAATAAATATAGTCGCACATTATTGGTACAATCACGTAGAAAATTGTTTTGCTTTTTGTCTCGCGTCACGGGGATTCGCGTTAGGAAAGGAAGCCACCGCGTCGTATCAAATCAATCAATTTATGTTTACCCCACATCACAAAGTAAGGAAATATAAAAATGCAGAGATTTTGTGGAGCGGTTGCCGTAAAGGGATATTCATGTATTACCTAGGTGGTCTATCTCAGCCTTGGCAAGCCACCATCCGGGCTTTTATATCTCTCCCAATTGGTTTATTTATCAAGTCACTTAGTATTTTCTCCTAACTTCACCATTTTGATCTTTGAGTTGAGAGAGGATTTATGGTATTCATTGCTCACTTCTGACAGCATCTGTCATTTAGATTCATGGGTGGCTGTGAATATTTCTGACTCTACAGTTCCCTTATCTCGTCTGGCCTCCTACCTGGCCAACCAAACCCTCCAATTCTGCGGGATCCTATCACTTTCATTACAATCTTCCTTATAAAATATTTTATGTAATTGCCGGCCACTTCGATAACGACAATGATGACCAAAAGAACTGACATGGCACAATATAAACGGGGTAGTCGCTATAGTAGATTCGTGGACTCATGAGGACGAAAGACGAAGAACGAGAGACCACAAATCAAATGCAGAAAAAGAATCCAAAGGCAACGATAACCTAGAAGAGAAGAAAACAACTTTTTGATGGACGTAAATATCACCTTTCCAACACTAGGAAACATAGAAAACTACGGATCAAAAGAAAATATCTTGAAATAGAGCGCCCTATGCAACTTCAATGCTGCTCGGCCTAGCCGTCAATAAGAGACCAAAGCACATATGCGGGAATGAGATTATGCCACCCAAAACTTAATATCCCGGCTCCCCATAAGACCGTAAGAACTTGACAAAGCAAAATACACCTGAAAAGATTTGCTCCAAAAGAGGTCATAAATGCGTGCGGCCGTGTAGAACTTAGCCCTGGTACCCACCAAAGCCGTTTCCATAGCTTTGTGTAGCGGGAGCACTCCACTGCGCGGTTGGTGTTGGTTGAGCACCCCGGCCATATCCTCCGGCACTGGCAGGGCCACCGTATCCCATGGGTTGGTTGCCGTATTGAGCTGGAGATTGAGCTGGGGGACCACCATATCCTCCTTGTTGACCAGCAAACTGTCCTGGAGACTGCTGGTTGGCCATGGGTCCAGCTGATTGAGGTCCGGCTTGTGGAGGCATTCCACCATATTGTGGGAAATAAGCATTGGGTGTGCCTGGGAATCCACCAGGGGTTGGTCCGGCTTGAGGACTGTAGCTTTGCTGAGAGCCATCGAAGCCTGCCGAGGTAGGTGCTTTATCTTTACCCCACTAGAAAGTTGTTAGCATGGAAAGGATATGTAGGAATAAATCAAACTTACACTACACTTGAGAGGACGACCGTTGACATTGTATCCACTCAACTGACAAATTGCAAGTGCGGCATTCTCGTGCGAGTCCATCTTTACAAATGCGAAGCCACGATCAGACTGGAAACGAGTCTCCACAACATATCCAAAATTCTGGAACAATGGGACAAGGTCATTCTGCGTAGTGTATGGTGTCAAGTTTCCTACGTAGCAAGTGGTTTGCCATTGCGGAGTTTGCTGAACAATCATATCGTAACTTTGGACACCGTGGGTTGGGAAGTGGTGGTGGCCGAAAGGTGTAGTAGGAGTCATGCCCATGGTGGTCATGGCTGCTTGTTGCGAGATAGATGGTTGTCCCTTCTGATTTGCCCAGTTACAACGGATAGCTCGGGAGCCCAGCCATTCCCCATCCATAGAGCTTAGTGCCTTCTCGGCGTCCTGACGTTCACGGAAAGCAGCAAAGCCGTAGCCCCTGGACCTTCCCGTCTTCATATCCCACATAACACGTGCTTCGGAAACGGAACCAAAGGCAGAGAAGGCCTGTAATAGAACTTCGTCGTTCACTTCATTCGAGAGGTCTCCAACAAAGATGTGAAAGTGGTTCGATGTATCTTCCTTACTTGATGTGTTCGATTGGTAGGCCCAGTTCACTCGAATTTCCTGTGCGGAATTAGATTTGCTAGTTAGACAGATGGACGGATCAACACTTACCGCCTGGTGAACACGTCTTCCATTCAAGGTCTGCATGGCTCGCTCAGCTGCTCCAGGATCGTCATATTCGACGAAACCATAGTTGAAACCCTTTGACTGAATCTCGATTAGCATGATGTTATTATGGAAAAGGCACGTAATTTAGAAGAAAGAATTGAGAATGTCAACCCCTATTGAGAAACTTTGTAGGCTCTGAGAGCTCGAAACTTGAGGATTTGACGGAGATAAATAGGTTGATACTGACAGCACCTACATTCTTGTCAGGAATGATTTTGACATTTTGAACATGACCAGTTGTCTCAAAAATTTGACGAAGCACATCTTCAGTGACTCTTGGATCGAGACCTCCAACATATAATGCGCGCTTATTTGGTTCTGGTGCAGCTCGGCGAATAAATCCGCCAGCGCTGTCTGGCGACATTACCCCACCATTTTCACCCATAGGAGAGGTGATAGCGGTTGGGATTGGATTTGTGTTCTGAGGAATGATAACTGGCGGAAGAGGTGGCGGCGGCATATGCGAGGGATTGCCCTGGATATTGTGGCCATTTTCATAGCCTGGCGCACCAGCAGAAGTCTGTGGTGGTGGTGGGAGCTGGGCACTATTTGGTGGAGGACCGTTGTCTGCCATTGTAAAATATGATCAAAGATAATTTCTTATCTGCGGTTACTTTCAAATACTTGCGCGAGAGAAGTAGATACGAGGTAAGATCGGAAAGTAGAAAATTGTGCGGATATGATGGTGAAAAGATCGATGACACAAGGAACGAAAAAAGCCTGAGTTGCGAAGGTGCGCTGATTTGCGTTCTTGTGTAACTCGAACGATAAGAAGCGCGAGATACTCGAGAATTCGATAGATGACTTGCGAAATAGACCGATGAAAGTTAAATAGCAACAAGTTGATTTATCACTTGCTTTGTGAATAAATAATCGAATGTTGTAATATCAAGATGAACAGAGGACGTTCAAATGAAGCTTAAGATGATGCAGAAGGAGCAGAGTAGTAAGAGACCGATGAATGAGGGGCTTTCTGCGACAAAATCTCAGAAGACCGAGTTGAGAAATAAAGAGGAGAGGACGACGACAATGGGAGGTATGAATAGGAAGAAATTAATCAATTACGACGAGAAAGACGAGAGGAATAGAGAGGAGACAAACACCACTCGAAAATCCAAACGCCTGTATCGACAGTAGATTGAGAAAGAGAGAGGAAAAGAGACGACGACGCAGCAATGTTTTCTGCACAACTGAGGAAAAAGATGGTGGGTGGATGAAGGAAGAAATGGGGGGAAGGGTAAGAAAGCACGGAAGTTTAATATGGTCGCGCAAATTGCTACAAGTAGATAAGTTTGGAATAATAAGGGTCTGGGTAATAAAAAGAGTAGTGTGTGAGGAGCTTTCTCTCTTCTCTTTCTGTTAGTTTCTACGCTAAAAAAATGAACAAGGCTAGGTAGGTAAGGTAGGTAGATGGTAGATAGGTTGATAAGTTAGTATCAAAAAGAAATAATAAGGTGACTTAAGGTAATCTTAATATTCATATCTAGAGAAATCATTCACTATTTTGAAGTTGAATAACTCCAAGCTTTTCAAATTATATACTTATTTATTATAACGTTTTTAATTAATTATTTAATCATTTATAGATCTTTTTATTCTTAATTCAAAAATAGATATATATAGATGCTAATTTCTTCTGCTTTTCGCTTATAGAGAATCCTTCTTTTCAAATGCATGTGTCAATTGAGTCAATTGAGAGGTTCGCCTTATAGTATTTCAGGATTCTCTGTATAGTGGGGGTAGAGGATACATATTGGATATTCAACGTTTGTTATTCGAGTATTGAAGTATATGTAATTGTGTACCTATTTATTTACTCTATTAATACTTAAGTAGTTCGAGATTCATCTATGAGGATATATTATATACTTGTATCAATAGCTCAGGATTAAACTTTGGGGGGGTATATTAAATATAAAAATAACTATAAGATGGAGAATTACTCGAGTACTTCATCAATATCTAACTCGAGTATAACTCAGGATTAAATCTTGGGGATATATCGAATACAGATACTGTAGCTATAAAGATATTAAAGGTATATTACCTAGTAGATACTTCGTTAATATTTATTCAATAACTCAGGATTAAACCTTGGGGATATATCAAATATATACTATAGCTGTAGGATAAAGATTTACTTCATCAATATCTAAATATCTTGACATCTTCTTGACATCTTTCCAAACTACTCTACTCTACTGCCTCATCAACTTTAAGCTTACCAGTCACTTGCCTGCCTAGTACCTACCTACCTACCTACCTACCTGGGTATAATCTCCATCAGCCACCTTCGTAAAGGAAACTACCTAGTAATATTGCATGAACTGATTTTAAATCACCAACGAATCCCCGTCATACAGCACGGAACGGAGTCATTACTCTATTCATGCGCGTCCCGCTGAAGCGGACAGAGAAACTTACTGTGAGCAAGTAGATGTTATACCGACAGGAAGGAATATTGAGGGGTGCCGATTCGCAAGATACCTGCTCACTAGGTAAATTATTATATAACCATACAAGGCATTAGTCAATATCTTGTGGACAGATCATCCCATCTTTCTTAAGGCTACCTACCTAGTAGGTAAACTTCCGTGCGGCCCTATGAGCTGTGAGTATCACACAGACATGGAATCAAAGCTTATTATTATCTCCGCAATCTCATCCTCGTTAGATCGGATCAGATGTCAATCAAACTTCAGACTTTATGTCCTTACCGGTGCAGCTCTAGCTTCTACCTATTTTTATCAAGACGAATAAGAAGCTAGACAAAAGGACCCTAGGTACATAACAGGTTCGAGTAGTCGAGTAAACATTCTTACTTCAAGTAGTTATCGAAGTACAGTACAGTACGAGTATTGAAGATTGTTATCAGGGACCTCAATTCAACGAAACTCTAGGTCTGTCACAGTCAGTTCCTTTTGCATCGAGCAATACGTACTGTTGATGCTCCTTCAAATTACCTCCATTTCCTGCTTTGATTGGACGATTGGTAATATCTATACTGGTGCATTACCTATTTATCAGGGAAGTGTAAATTTACGCCTCACTTGTACCTCAAAAGCATTGAAAGGAAAGATTAACATGGGTTTGTTAGCAACTCATTTGTCGAGAGCTCCTTGCTATTCCAACATAAAACCAACGAAGACGAGATATCACTTGCATTGCTTGTGTGCTTGAGATGAGGGGAACACATTTTTGATAACCAATTCCAAACTCCGAAAGCAAGGATCACCTTACTTATTCACAGTACCGGTACTACCCCTCCTATTTTTACTTGAAGACTACTTCTGGTTGGCAAGTTTGCATGAAGCTTGCTTTTGAACAGGCGGTGAGGCATCAAATCTACTTTGGGGTGAGATAGTATATAGATGAGTATGAGTATAAATGTATAAATGCTCATATATATATATGGAGATATTCTTTGTCTTCGCATGCTTGATTCTTGATTTCAATCTTGATCCTCAACAACCGGATACCCCGTCTGTACTTTATCAGGTTAGTACTACTAAGCCATAGCGGGTCAGGGTCATGACGGAACAATCATCGCCGAGCCTCCGAACCTCAATGCCTTCCATCTGCATTATGATGGATGTATGCATTGCTCTTAGAAGCTTGTAAACACAAACATCTGTACCATATTCACTACTTTTCAAGAATATTAGGTTTCTATTGAGAAAGGTTAATCTTTTACTATATTTCTTTCCACTTTAGTTTCAAACTCAATTTTCTTTCAACTTTCCTCTACCTTCAAACCATCACACTCACTCCCTTGATCATGGCTCAAGTGCAACGATCCAAAACTCCTCTGGAGATTCTGCAAGGGTCGATCAATGCTGTTGTATGTACCATGTTTCTGAATCATTGGATCCGTGGACTAACATCATTTGTAAGCTTATAGAGACTGGCAAAGCTCTACGCGCAACAGGCCTAGATGGGGGAAAGACAATGGCCATTTCCGCCATAAGACTTCACGCAACCATTCCATCTATAACCGATAATTTTCACCACGCCTTAGATGATCTTGAGGCTGAAATCGTACGTGGGATTTTTAAAACACTATTTGTATAGATCTAACGCGAAACGACAGGTACGAGCAAAATCGGTCATAGGACGAGATCTAGAAGAAATGCGATCAAAACGAATTGCGGCAGAAAACCCACCTGCTCAAATTTTCGAAGAACCCGCCGCACCTGATCCCATACCACATCCTCTCACTAAGTATCATGAGGATCTACCGGTGGCAACGAAGCAAGAAAGGACGAAAGAAACCACTCCCCTGCCAACGATTTCGCTGGAAGAGGAAAAACCAGTCAGGGATGAACCGTCAAATGAAATTTTACATAAAGATGAGATGAAAGAACCCAGAATTCTGTCTCCTCCAAGTAAGAACGACAACAAACCCCAAGCTATCGGTCTTGGAATAAATACTACACTTCCAGTATCTACAGATATCCCTGCAACTACCACAGCAGGCGGGCAAGATTCTTCGATCGACTCACTTTTCGATATCCCAGATAGTGCTGCTAATGATGATTCTGCAGCTCTTAACTTCGATAACATGGATTTCACGATGCCAGACGCAACCACAAATACTCAAAGTCAAGACAATGGCCAGACTCAAACTACTGAGTTTGACCTCTCCACATTTGGGAACAACCCGCAAGATTTCAGCATGAATGATCTACAGCCTTCTAATGAGGCTTCTAATAATAACGCAAACATTACTACAACAAACAATAAAGGAGATATGATGGACGACCTCCTTAACATGAATACCGCTGCTGGCAGTGGCATGGATAATAATAACAACAACATTAATAATATGGACCTAGGCCTGGATCTCAATAACATGGTTGGGGCAGAGGAAAGTGTATTTGACGATATGTTCTTTGAAGGTGACGACGATGGAAACGTAGGAGGGGAAATAGGCGAAATGGAGCATGGGCAATTTGACAATGCATTCTTTGGCATTGACTAAGACTTGAACGGATTTATGCAATGAGAAAGAAATATTTATGGGAGTCCAAGAGAAAGGTGTAATTATAAGAATATGGAATTTTGCTTAAAGAAATGTAATATCTGAATCAGGTATGTTAATTTTCCTGCTACCCCTTTTTTATCCGAACATTTTCTTTTTTATCTGATATTTTTCACCATACTGTGATAAATTCTAGATAAGTAGAAGATTATATCGGGTGAAAACGTATTGAGGTCCTTTTTCTCTTCAGGTTTACCGGACTGCACAGTCCGACAAATGAATACTCGATTCTTGAATATAATCAAGAGATTGATTTCGCTTGCTATGTTGAATCACTCGCAATAATGAATCTATTTTCATTGTCAAATTTATTCACGATGTAAAACTATATTCAGAAGTTTCTTGACTTTTCTTTCATGTACTGAAGGTTTTGAAATGGCTCTGTTTTTTATAACTATGATTGGACTTCTCTCAGAGATGTCTGGCTATCCACAAGTAGGGAAGTGTCCTTACTGGAAAATATTGATAACATGAATCACAAGTAAATCCCTATATTCTCTATTCAATTTCTCTTCTCACTCACTCTCCTCGTATAAAGTCTTTTCAAAAAAAAAATTATATTTTATATCAGCCTAGCCAGCCCATTCCATCCTAAACCTCTAGAATCTTCAACGCCAGCTCGCTTCTCTTCCATTCCCACTTACCACTCACGCTCATCCGTGAACCGAGTCCACCTCTCTCTACTCCTCACCTTATCCATCTCCGCTTCCTGCGCTTCCCATTTCTTGTCCTGGAGCGTGGTTTTCCGTTTTTTCATCCATAGTGTTTCGCGCGCTAGTTCGCTTGCGGTCTTTTGGTGGTGTTCACCAATGCCCGTGTAAATTCTTTCAATGAACCTGTTTCTGGGTTTTGGATTTGGATTTGAGGGTGGCGAGCTCCATGCTCCGCCGTGACTGAGTGGTTCGGCTGTCAAGGCAAGGAGAGCCTCTTCGCTGATGACTTTGGGAGAGGAGTCAATTTTTGTGGGGGTAGAAGTGGTGGGGGTAGGGGATACGAAGGAGAAGCGACGGTCTGGGTCTGATGGGCTGAGCATTTTCTCCGGAGGGGATTCGTGACCTGTAGATTTCTCACCAGCGTCGGAGAGGTTTGGAGGTGCACGGCCGTTATAAGCGTAACTGCTTTGGGCGCGTCGCTCGAGGAGAGTCGCCCAGGGCATCTTGCGGTTCTGGTGGGGTGTTGGTATACGATTTCTAGTATACAAATAGAACTGTCTCTGATTGATGTAGATACTAGATTGAGACTACACTGGCAGTATTTATCTTTGTTTGGGATAAGGGTGCTAGACTCTACGGATATACAGAGAACCGCGAAAGTTTTAAGGCATCACATTCGCATTATTCTCCCGCTGTTTACTAAACAAAGAGATCAAGCACGTCAGATTAGTATGGAAACTTCAAGTACTACCCGCTGCATGAACAAAGAGCGTCAAAATGCGTCAAGGGTGCGTTTTAGTGCAAGACAGAAGAAAGAACAAAGAACTACTCCTATTCAATTCTTCAATCTTTTTAACCTTCTCGAGAATTTGCACTTCTCTCCAATCGACAACGTCAACAGCAGCAGAAACATTACCAAATATGCCACGCCAGGGCCGGAAAAAAGGAAATCGGGACGACGCGTACAAGCCCGGCAAGGATGATGATGACATTATTGATTTCGATGATGATGATGTAATAGAAGCTAAGCCGACAGCAAAACCGACAGCAAAACCAGCAAATGTTACACAGCCAGCAAAGGGTATACAAAAGAGCCCTTCTAAAGGAACTCCCAGACCTCAAAACGTAAAAGGAGCCCCCAAAGGCACACTCAAAGGAACGGCCCGCTCAAGCCCCAAACCATCCACAACCAGCGCCTACAAAAAGCCCTCTCCACCCCCTCAGACCAGCACCGCCGCTCCCTCCTCAACCACGATTAAGACCCCCTCCCCATCCGACCCTTATTTCTGCTGCCACCAGCCACTCCCGCTCCCCTCCTCCTTCCCGCTCGTCCTCCAACCCTTCTACACTTTCCTCGTGCAATCACTCTCTCGAAAATTTCACCCCCCGCCTCTCGCTTCTGTTCCGCCCTCTACTACTTACTATCGCTTTTCACATTTGTGTTTATCGACGTGTACGGAGGTGCATCGATATTTTATAAGTTTGGATCCGAGGAATGAGACGGAGGGGGTTTTTGTAGAGGGTAGTGAGGAGATGGTGTTGGGGAAGGCGGGGGCGTTGGATGATGGGGGAGGGGATGGGGTTGGGGATGGGGTTGGGGCCCCAGAGGTCAGGAGGCAGGATGTTATGATTCTGAGTCGGAATGCTAGGTGTGAGGATCATATGAAAGAGGGGTTTTGGTATGTTTTGATGAGGGTGCAGCAGATTGAGGAGGGCAGGAAGGATGTTGCGATTGTGGGGACTGCGACGGTGGGCGAGGATATGGTTCCTGAGGGGGGAAAGGATGCGGATGCGGATAAGGGGGTGGGGGAGGCGGATTTGGGAGATGAGATGGACCATGAGATTGATTTGGATTTGTATACGTAGTTCCTCGGTGTAACTGCTTGCTTGGGATAGAGTACAGTATGGGGGATGAATGTTGATTAGGTAGGGCATTGTTTCTGTTGGATGTTGGATGTTAGATGTGGGATCTTGATTGATATACGTACGTGTCTCCAGTGTTTGGTATTCAATGTTATTTACTACAGGCAACCACCGATTATGAGCTTCCCTTCCCTCTAAAAACAATAAATCAGATAATATAATGAATCTACCAGGGCACGACAAACAGTGGATTTCTGGATGCGTTTGGTAGATTTAATCATCTGGAATATTCAACCTGTACCGAATTCGTTTGATTATTGTACATCCAGATCTCTGATATATATCTAGAAATTCTGAGCTTTTCGAGGATTGCAACCTCTCGAATTAGGACCTATAGAAAAAAGCAGTTGGATACAATTTAGTGCACATTAAGATTATACTCTAGACCCTCTAAAATGGTTCTGTAAAGAGATCTGCTTGCTGAATACATACAGAAACAGGAAAGACGGGCTTCTATAAAAGGTTTAGGGTGAGAATTCCAATGTTTTAAGTGTATCTATTCCACCAATTCCTTTCCACTTTTGACTATCTTTGCTATGAAGGACGGTTATAGAGAGTCTTTGGGAAGACAACCCAGAAGTTACTCATAGTTCGCGCTCGATACATGGCCGGATGGAGTGATCTGGTAAAAGCAAACTGTTTTGTATCTTTTGGAATCGTGGATTACACAGGGGGCGAAAATGGCGTGGACGCACGCCGTTCATCCTAGGAATGCTAAATCTGGCTGTGGAAGATGTATTGCTCGAAACTAAATGGCGCATATTGCATTGATAGATGTGATAAGAGACCGAGTCATTGGCCTAGTCTAGTATGTAGGAGAGATAGCAAGCGAGATTCTTCATGTCCATATCTCAGCGCTGCATGTTGAATATAACAACATAATAACGAGTAGCTACAAAAGCAATGTAAAATCCCAAATGATTAAAAAGGAATTTATATTTCTCGTATGAATGGATATTCGTAATTTTAGACATTGAGAGTATCAAAGTAGAGATCAAATACCAGTCTGCTATTTCTCACAAGTATAACTGTCCAGCTTTGTCGGTATTCCAAGTCTGGCGACTAAAGTGCCAAGGGAAGAACAGCACAGAGTTCCTGGAGGTGGCACCTTTTTCTCCGTCGATGTGCAAGCAGCTTGACAAGTTGACTGTTGGCCGCGATGCTTGGTTATCCTGTTGGCCTGAAAGCAATCAGTTTGCTTCAATATATATATACCGATTGAAGCGCGCCTTGGTAAAACAGATGTCGTATGGTAAAACAGTAGATGTCCTGGTTTTTCTCCGGTACACTTTTTTCGCCAGCGGAGCGACCAAAAAGCACAAGTTGCCGAATGTTCCGTCCGATAGAATGAATTAGGATGAGTAGCTCCATCCGAACATTTCGAGGGGTGAAAGCACAAGTATTCAGACGTGCTTACCGATTTTCTCCCTATACACTCGCACATTCTAACTGCCAATGTTTCTGCTGATGAGTACAGAAGTTTGGGTGTATAATCTCTACTAGAGGAAATACTGTAGTATTCTGGAAAGCAAACTGTTGCATACCAACTTTGATATCTTCTTTGGGGAGGCATTGTGCACATCCATTTGGACATTGAGCTGGAGAGAATATCAAATTAAAACCTGCTATTTTGCCACTTGGTATGAAACGTATTCTGCATGAATATGGAGATGCCACGAGATGAATCGTGAGTAGGATCCATAATCAGTATGACATCTGGGCTCGAGCTCCTCCTCGTATAACACTCAGTAGATCCTGGCATTGGGGAGACAGCAGAACATACTCGTAGCTACAAATCGCTATATGGAGAATTGAGAGAATACTTCCATCGGTTTCTCGTTCGCCCTCATTTGTTTGTTTTGAGATGGGGTAACACGATAAGCTCGTAGGGCAGTATTTATAACTGCCGACGGGCGTTTGACCATTTTCTACCGCCGACTTGCCGCTTTTCCAATATTGGCGTTCTTTTACTAAAAACGGCGAACGGTTGAGCTAACCCGCTAACCCTTTTCAGCTTTTAGTGCTTATTCTCGGATATTCTCCACTCCCTCCCCCATTATCTGCTTCAGCAGAACCATCTTTTCTAATCATCCACTAACTCATTACGATGAACAATCCCTCTTCTTACCTATTTATGGTCTATGGTCTAAAGTACTAATTAAAGTTGGATTCTTTTCCGCTCTAGAATGGCCGAATACTCCATCATAGCACACAATAGCATGTGCAAATCTATCATTGGACATACATGACATGTCTCTAGAACTGTCCCTGTCTGCTGTCAAGGATCGGGGAAGTCTCCCCGGGTAGGTGATGACATACACTGCATCCGATGCACGCGAGGAACTTTGGTACCAGCCATGTTGAGCGTGTGAAGGTGCTCAAGGATTTGGAGGGGTGATTGAACGTCAATATTGGAATTATGTGGATCTCCATCTAACATTGTTTGGAGCGCGCGCTTTAACCGCCGATGGGACTTCCTATCTCAATACTGTAGATTGTCCATTCCTACAAGATGAAAAGTACAAGTAGAGAATCCTCTCCGTACTTTCCTCGGTTTGTATATTTCTCATGTCGAGATTGGCGAAATCTGATGTTGAGCGCTTAGGTCGCCAAAGGCCGCCTCAGTTCAAGACAATATGGACTGAAATTGGATTTGTGTATGTCATCCTTGAATCCTTCATTTCCTCTTTGGAGAATTGTCCCCTGTTTGTTCGATAAGGAGATACATTCTTGACTTCAATTGTCTTTTCCCAAATGCTGATGAGCGATCTGTCTTAGATTTTCTATTTGCGTTTCTATGATACTTTCGGTATGTCATTTTTTCTGAGCATCGAGAAGCGGCTCTATTCTCACACCTTATGTACAGGAGTATTTCGTGAGCGGTTTTGCCGTCATTGTTCCAGACCTCGTGAGAGATCTCAACATCCCAGTATCTTCATCAACATGGCCAGCGGCGGCTTATTCTCTGATGGTCTCATCTGTAATGTTACCCCTTGGTAGAATCGCAGATATTTATGGAGGACGACCTGTTTATATTGCTGGTCTCGCGTGGCTGACACTATGGTCGATCGTTGCCGGATTCTCGAAAGATCAATATATGCTTGATATATGCCGGGCTTTAGAGGGCCTTGGACCAGCTGCATTCATGCCGTCAGGGATGATGTTACTTGGTCAAACCTATCGACCAGGACCAAGAAAGAATCTGGTTTTCAGTGAGTGATAAAAAGGTACTACAGTACACATCTAACAGCTTCAAGGTATATATGGTGCATGTGGAGCTGCTGGATTTTTCATTGGTATCTTTTTTGCTGGATTGTCTGCCCAGTATGCCACATGGGCATGGTATGTGCAGTCATATTGTTTCAATGAATCCCATTAACTAGTTGCTAGGTATTTTTGGGTAGGAGCTATTTTGTCATTCATAAGTGTCGCCACTGCGATGATCTGTATTCCGTCCGAAAAAGATCGCCGTGATGGGCTTCAGATGGACTGGCTTGGGTCAGCGCTTCTAGCAACCAGTTTTATCCTTTTCGTTTTTGCCCTAACGGATAGTGCATATGCCCCGAACGGATTCAAGACCTCTTATATCATTATCACACTCGTTTCAGGTATCATTCTTTTCGCAGTCGCCATGTACGTCGAACGATACGTTGCGAGTCAACCGCTCCTACCAAGTTCACTCTTCGCCGTCCCAGGCATGAAACCTCTCTGCATCGCCCTATTTTTTACCTACGGAAGCCTTGGAGTTTTCCTTCTCTATGCCACATTCTACTGCACCAACATTATGGGTGCTTCGAGCCTCCAACTCGTTGCATGGTTCATCCCGCTCGCAATTGGTGGATGTCTGATCGGCACATTCGGCGGCTTCATACTCCATCTCGTTCCCGGGACAGCTCTCATCATCTTCTCTGGTATATGCTGGATCATTGCCCCACTACTATTTGCGCTCGCTCCCATAAATGCATCGTTTTGGGCTTGGGTATTCACAGCAATGACGTGTGCAACTCTCGGTATAGATATAACATTCAACGTCACCACGATATTCATCACAACTTCGCTACCCTCATCTCAACAGGGTCTTGCCGGCGCCCTAATCAACTCCATCATGCAATTTTCCATCGCCGTATGCCTAGGCGTCTCTGAAATCATCGCACATTCGGCAGAGAGCAAGAGTGGGAGTTTGAGAAAGAGTTACAAAGCAGTATTTTGGTTCGAGGTTGCGTGTGCGAGTATCGCGTTGTGCATCCTAATTCCCTTTTGCAAGATTGACTCGGCGACAGCGGGACTGACGGACGAGGAGAAACAAGATGCGGAAACGGAGAATGTGAATTCGATTAGTGTTGTGGGGGCAGAGAAGATGGATCGAGATGTTTGTGCGAGTCATTGTGAAACTTCATCTTCATCTTCTGATTCGCTTGACCAACATCTTTGTTGATGACGCATTCTCGCTGTGGATATATGTACATTTTGAAAATGTGATACTCTTGATTTCTATAGAATTCGGTCCGGGATGGGACTGTATGTTTGACGTACTGGGTAGAGGAGTTGGTTTAGAAGATTCGATATCTCATGATCAATGGCAGCTTTTAGAATATTAATGGAGTATAACAACATGGTAATTTCGTGATAGCGAGGGTTTTGGAACGTGGTAATGCCTTATAAAATTTGCTTGGAATGAATTAATCTCTATAATAATCCCATCTCATCTCATCCCATTTCATCCCATCCTATCACAACACAACACATTAAGCTCAAATAAACAACACAAACACAACAAATATTCATTCATGTTCATGTTCATATCCATATCCATATCCACAACCAATACTCGACTGCATCCCGCCAGGGGCATTCACTCATCCATCCATCCATCCATCAATTATAATTAGCACAATCCACAATCCACTGAATTCAGGGTGGTGAGGTGAGGTTGAAAATCATAATCATAAATATACCTAGTATACCTACCTACCTACCTATCTCATGTATGAGAACAAGATGCAAATGCTCACTACAAGTAGATCCGATCCATATTATATTGACTGATGGATGCCATAATCACTACTCGAGTGCTGAGTAGGTATGTTCCTTTCTTGCACTTATTCCCTATTCCCTCGATGCGAAAGATATACTCGTAGAAATACCCGCTTGCTAGATATATTGGATACGACGTACGACTCGGTATTGGGAATGTACTACGAGGATAGGATAGTGATGTATGTTTACATGATTAAGCGTTTGATCATTCGCAAAGCTAGCTATTACCACTCGATCGATTTATTGCCAAAAGATATTCCCCATTTCTCCTGTTCTCCCGTTTTGGGTAGAGCATCCTTCATAACCCACCCATTTTCAAAGCTTCGTCGTCCTTGGGACTTTCCATCGTCACACCCGAATCTAGAAAAATATTCTCTTTCTCTTCTTTACATACTCCATTTTCACAGATTAGAATCTTGGTCTTGGTCTCGTCGCTGTTCCCTGCATCCTTCACCTGCGGATTTCTCTTTCTCAACCATTGATTATTCTCTCCCGAAGCATTCAATCGAGCGAGCGTTCCCAATCCACCTCGAGGCATGGTTTGAAATGCTTTAACTCGTCGCTCGCCTATACTATCACCATCTGCCTCGTGAACCACCACACCCTTTACACCCAAGTGATTAGCTACAACTGCTGGCATGAAACTAGGAAATAACCAAGGATACTGTAACATTTCGGATTCAAAGCTCTTGACTGTTTCTTTCGCCCTCTTTGCGTAAGCTTCGTCGTTTAAGATTGAAGATAGACGATAGAGATTTGAGGAAGAGGTGCCGTTTGTAGAGGGTTCTGAAGAATCCATGCCATCCTTAAGGCGAAGGATTACATTTGGTGCGAGTGCAGTGGTAGAAAAGAAGGCACCTGTATTTTGTGCGTCATAGAAGAGGTTAATTTGGGTTTCTGTTAAATACAATTAGTAACTTGTCAAGTAACGGGGGAAATGTTACTTACGTTGAAGTTCATCAGCCCATTGAAGCCACTTTTCATCAAAAGTAGTTTCATATAAATCGATCAGTCCTTCAATCAAAAATGCATAATCATCCGCAAATCCTTGAGTATCTCCTCGCCCTTCACGCCAAACCCGGTAAAGGATCTTGGATTTTTCGTCATAAAGTTTGTCCTTGATAAAGTTTGCTGCTTTGAGGGCCGCATCTAGATACTCTTGGGCTTTGATTGGATCGAAACCGCTGATAACAGCGGACGTCCTAGCCAATGCCCCTATTGCGAGACCATTCCAACTGACGACAACTTTGTCGTCCATAGCCGGCTTAACGCGATCAGCTTCTCGACGTTTTCTTAGCTTCCCTTTGCCCTCCTTGATAATCTTTACAACTTCAGCCTCCTTCATGCCAAACTGGCTTGCTAATGCAGATGGAGTGCTCGAAATGGCCAGTACGTTCTGATCCATGAACTCATCGTGGGGATCATTTTCTTGCCCTACGTTACCATGACTAGTAACATTGAAAAAAGCTGAAAAGACAGGCTCATGTTCACGACCAAGAATATTCTCAAATTCTCGTTTAGTCCAAACGTAATAAGCACCTTCTCGTTTCTCGGTGTCACCATTTTTGTAATAACTGTCGGCATCTTCACTAGAATGAAATCCTCCTTCCGGGTGGGAAAGAGTGGTTGTTAAATAATTTGCGATACCGTATACAACTCCAAGAAATTCTGGGTCTCTTGACAAAAGAAAGGCATCCAAATAGACGAGTAGAAGTTGTGCATTATCGTAAAGCATTTTTTCGAAGTGAGGAAGAGACCAATCGGCCGTGACAGAATACCTAGCGAATCCATTCCCAATGTGATCATAAATTCCACCACGAGCCATCTTTCGAAGAGCTGTAATGGCGTTATTCTTGGCATTTTGACAATCAGGAATTCCAACAATATCAAGTACAGCTTGTGGAAATTGGCTCAAACGGAGCAAGAAAACAAGTTTCGAAGGAGTGGGAAACTTTGGAGCTGATCCAAAACCTCCATTTATCGTATCAAAGCTGGTTGCGAAATATTGAGCAGCTTCTTCCAGTATTTCGAGATCAACACTATCCACGCCCTCTCCTAATCTATTACTCAAGGTTCCCTCATTCGCAAAGTCCTTTAACTGCTGGAGTATTTGGGCCGAGTCCTGTCTGCACCGTGGTTCTTGTTCCGACCAAACAGTACTCAATTTGTTCAGGATTCCCAAAAAGTCGAGTTGATTTTCAACGTCTGTGGTTTTAGTTGGTCCCGGCCAATATGTTCCACCAAACACAGGCTCCAAACTCGGTGTAAGAAAAACGTTCAGTGGCCATCCTCCAGAACCCGTTGTAGCTTGCACAAAGTTCATGTAAATTCGATCTATGTCTGGACGTTCTTCGCGATCGATTTTGATTGGTATAAATGAGGTATTTAATATCGCAGCAACCTCTTCATTTTCGAATGACTCGCGTTCCATAATATGGCACCCTTTGTTCAGTCTCATAAGCCCTTGATCATATGTTTGCCGAGCTTCAAATCATGGGGGATACTTACAATGACAAGAACTGTAACCAATGCTCACAAACAACAACTTATTTTCTCGGCGCGCCAAATCAATAGCTTCGTCTCCCCAAAGCTGCCATGCGACGGGATTCGAAGAGTGAGCGCGAACATATGGACTTTTGCTTTCATTCGCTCTGTTGACTAGTTGAATCTGGTCGTTCTTCTGTTCCGGTACTGTGGTGGTAGCTTTTCCTAACATGTTTTTCAAAGCTTGTCCTATGCCTTGCCCCTCCTCCCCCTTACCACGCAAGTTTGCTGCCATCGTGGTCTGAAGCTCAAGTATATATCTTTCAATCGAAGTGGGCCGTAATCTGTATGTTTAATTTCAAACGGAAAGGTGAAATTCCTCCCGCGAGAGAAGTGGAGTTGAGTTGAGTTGAGTTGAGTTGTGTGGTCGAGTTGATTTGAAGGTTACTAATGGCTGCCTCGTTGTCCCGCACACAGTACGGTAGTACTTTCTGTTGCTGAAGGATGAGTACGTTTCGAATGACTGTAAATATTATCTTTAATATCTTTACACTTCAACGGTATACTCGGAATTATTTAAAATGTCAAGAAAATAATACACAACACGTAAATTCAAAGAGACAGTTTTTATGTGTTGTGTGAATAGAGAAAAAGTTGAGACATCTTTAAGGCGTATCGTGTCGCATCGTATCGCCTTATCGCCAATATTCCTCTTGCTGTTGATTTGATTAGCTCAGATTAGACCGTAGGCACGGACCGTTTTAGCTGCCGAGAACTAGAATGACTCTCACTCTTGCCAAGCTTCACATCCCACATCCCACGTTAACGCACATCTCAATCACACCTCACTCCAATTATATATGCATATTGTCACATCGCTGTAGATCAGTTTGGATCAGATCAAATCAAGGGCCTAGATCTCGGTAGAACAGTAGATGATTTCTCCAACGATGCTACTCTACCAATTCAATGAGATGACTATTGTCATTGCTATCGCTATTGTCAGTTTTCTATAACTTCCCGACATTACTCAAAGGAGTAGACCATCTCTACACTTCAACAGATTCCAAGGGATGAGGTTTCACGTTTACAATCAAAAATCGAAAACACAGTTCAGCGCAGTGCAGTCAAGAATCAAGAAGTTTTGGAAAAAGGATCTCAAGGACCCATATGTTTAATTTATGTACAAGAACTGAATGATGAGCAGAAAGCTGATACGTGCGAAATTATCAAAAAGCAATTAGGAACCCCAAATCCATCGAGGGTATCTAAAAGGCGCAACGTATAACTTGAGAATGCCGTCAAAAAACTAGGAAGACGTGAGATCCATCCAAATCCATCCACTTTTATCATGTCGTTAGTTGCGTAGCCAAGGTGTGAGAAGCGTCCCAATGCTCGGTAACAAAACCCCTCTCAATAAAAGTCCATATATGAAAGGTAAGTCAAGTCAAGCTCCAGAGCTTAAACGCCAAAAACTCCTTTATATGCAAACGGGCATGATATCATTTAGGCAAAGACGTTGGAGTCGAATTCGCCAAGGACGTTTCCTGCTGGGTAGTAGTTGCAGACGCTGAACCAGACGAACATGCCTGGGTAGATGGCGTTGTCGGTTCCGCAAGTCTTTACGGCACATCCGACAGAGTGGGATTCTTGCCAGACAATTTGGGTGAAGTGCAAGAAGTCACCGACAGTCTGAGGTGGGCTGGCTACACCGTACAAGGAGGTGAAGAGGGATTCCTCAGCGTACCATTCCTTGATGGCGTCGGCGAGAGCAGCTTCAGTGGTAAAAGCAGCAGAGTTGGAGTTTCCGGCAACAGCGATGTTCTGTCCATATCCACCACCACCAGCGGTCCTAATTTATGTTAGTATTACATTTTGATATATAAAAGATGGGAAAGTAAACTTACAAGTCATGTGCGAATGTGGAGCAGCTACCCTCTTGAGCAGCATAATCAGCAAGAGTTTGGTTCCAGGTCATAGCAGAGGCTTTATGGCTAGCACGGGCATCATTGTGGGAAGTAACGGCGGATGGGGTGAGAGCATCGGTGGCGGAGTCAGCAGCTGGGGTAGATTCAACGGCGGCGGAGCTTGAAGAAGTCTCGACAACCTTACTGGCTTCGGCGGCGGCCTCGGTAGTAACTGGGACAGCGACTTCAGTAGTAACTGGGACAGCGGCTTCAGTAGTAGCTGGGACAGCAGCTTCAGTGGTAGCTGGAGCTTCAGTGGAAGCAGCTTGAGTCTCAGTAACAATAACGACGGATTCATAAGTTGAAGTTGGTGCCGGGGCAGGGGCGGCTTGAGAAGAGTGAGAATGTCTGTGAGGTCTAGCCTGGTATTGAGCTGGGGCGGTGACGGTCACGATGACAGGAGCTGGTGTAGGATCGGCAACAGCAGTAACGATGACTGGTTCACCAGTAACAGTGACCACGACGACGTTTGTGACGAAATCAACATGTGTCTGGACGACTTCCTTAGCGGCGGCATCCTTCTTGACGATTGGGGAAGCAGCTGCAAAAGCCGCGCAGAGGGAGACGATAGCGATTGAGGAACGCATTTTGATTGATGTTGATCGTAATGTGGGTTAATTTCCTTGTTGGATTTTTGAAATTTCCTTTACTTTCTTCGAGAAAGTGAGCGAGTGTACTTGGATCGTGTTTTCGTTAAGGACTGACGTTAAAGGATTGGCAGCACTGCTGTACTCGTGAGGAAGATTCTTTCGAAGAATTTCAAGTTATTTGAAAGAGTGTAAGTGCCTCGAAAGACTGGTAAGGAATGTATGTAGATTAGGTGGTGGATAAAGGAGGAAAAGAAGGTGGTTTTATTTCGAAGGAAGTAAAGTTTGACGGATGGATGAGAACTGGGGTTGGTTGCTGTGGAGCGGGACTAATAAGATTTAGTGGGTACTTTTGAAAGTGCTTTGGTCTAGGTTTCTCTCTGTGGAAAGTAGAAAGGATTGAATGATGATGTTTAACAAGGATAATTTATGAAAAATAATTCCAAAAAGTAATGAATGAATGAGTGAAAGGATATGATATTCTGGTGAATGATTTTTTTTTGGGAAAATTTGAGGGTAATGGATATGATTTAAATAATCAGGGGTAATTTGCGTAATTCGGAGAGTTTCTTTGAGAAAGATAATACGATTTAGTTTGATCATTCAGGAACCAAAGAGAAAAAAAAACGATAATAGAAACTAGAGACTAGATAGATAGACAATCACATTAATAAAACGCATTTTCTTTATACCTCAGAATAGAAATACAAAACACACAAGCACATTATCCAGTACAAAAAAACCCTCAATCCATGGGTATCAAAGAACTAACTTCTCTTGTTAGTTGATAAAGGCGGACGGGGTAGCCCGGTGATAGCGCATTTTGTTATTCAAAGAAAAGAAAATTGAGGTTAGGAGTTTAGAGAGTGAATTTGTATTATGTGCTAGTGTGGTGTGTGTTTGTAATTTAACCTGTATATGCATGATATTATATGATATTATGAGGAAATGAAAAAAAAATTAATGAAAAAAAGAAGATTAAAAGAAAATTTAATTAAATGAGATGAGATGAGATGATGAGATGAACGAATGAAGGAACTAAGAAAATGGAACAGGGGGGCACGGTACCTACTTTATCAAAGGGAAAGAAAAGCAGCTAAGAATAAACCGGGATGAATGGATGGATGGATGGCTTGGAGGTTGAAACTTGAAACTTGAAACTTGAGAGAGGTGTTGGGTTGGTTTGGTTGTTTTTTTGGGTTTAGTCTTATGATTAGTCGGTTTTGGGGAGGGGGAGGGGGTGATATGATCAGGTCCTAAATTCTTCTGATTGGTTGATAGGTAGGTAGTGTAGTGTAGGTAGTGTAGGTACGGGTATGTTCTGTTTGAGTCTTTAGAGGGGAATTAGTACCTAGGTAGGTAAGTAGTTAGCAAACGGAATAAACGAATGAATAAATGAACAAATCATGAATAGATGAATGGGGATTTGGAAGGAGGCTAGGATAGCTAGGATGGTTAAGATGGTTAAAATGGTTAGGAGGGGAAGGGTTAGGAGGTCCAGCAGGGCTGTGATAGGTTGGTTGTAACTTGTTGGTAGTACGGGTAAGTAAGGGTCCTTGCAGCTATCACCACACTGCGAGTCACTCACTCACTTATTCTGAAACAAAGTTATACAACGCCTTATTTGGTTTATTTCAGATAGCTGGCTGGGGCTAGGTTGGTTGGTGGGTGGGTTGTTGGGTAGATGGATATGTGGATATATGGATAGGTGTGGTGGTAGGTATGGTATTGGTAAATACGTACTAGTAGTGATGAGGATGAATATCTAGGTAGGTAGGTAGGTAGATAGTAATTTGAGTGGATTTGTGATATTGATTTTGATATGGAGATGAAGATGAAGATGAAGATGAAGATGAAGATATGGTAAAAAGGTTTAAAGGTTCTTGAGATAAATAGGTATTGTGCTTGCAGTTGATATTGTATTGTTGATATTGAGATAGCAAATTGTACTCGTAACGGAGTTAAAGATTGGGATATGGATATGGGATTTGACAATGGGATTTGATAATAAGTGAGTGGTAATAATGTTGGTGTAAGGAATCATAGATAATGACTGACTCCTGTTTTTCCTTTCCTTACCTTACCTTACCCTTTTCTCAAACCCTAAACTTAAACTCCTGGGGAGTTTTGCGCTCTTGTATAACGAGAACGAGGAGAAACAAACGTGCAAGAGCATGGTGGGTGGCATCAACTGGCATGGCTGGTTTTCATTTGAAACAGTTTGGTACTCCTGTTTGGGCATACTTGTATTGCTGCTGCATATGGTGAAGAATGGGAGGAATCATGGGATGGGATGGTATGGGATATTCTCATTCTTATTGATTTGATTTGATCAAAGCGACAATTCGATTGTTTCAATTGATTGTGTCGTTCCCTTTGATTCATTCTTGGTGGTTGATTAATTTGATGGGGAATTCAATACAATTTGGGTTTGGTTCGATGATTCGAAAATTTATTGGTAGGTAGGTGGCTAAAACTCAGTAAGGTTACGCACAGTAGGAAGGGAATAAGGGAATAAGGGAATAGGGAAAGAAAGGGAATAGGAAAGGAAGCTAGCTGACTGCTCAAGGTAATGCCTCAATAATTACCTAGTAATAAAGTATATTATTTATTCAAAGCCCATTCCTGGAGGATTGAAAAAGTTGAGTTTGGTGGAAATGCTTGTTCAACCGATTTTACAAGGACATAGTACATAGTAAATCAGCTGGTCACTGTCAATTCATCTAACATTACAGCAAACTTCCGATTCCTACGATACGATATGATATGAGGTATTTAATAGGAAACATGGACATATATATAAAATGGTAGGTCAACAACTACACCACGATATCTACTCTACTCGTACAGTAATATGGAATAGAACATCTATCTGCAAAAGACACAATCCAGTAATTGTGATGTCATGTCATATCAAGTCAAGTCAAGTCAAGTCAAGTCAAGTCAAATCAAGAAATCTAGACAACAATACTTTAATCTCTCCTTAGGTAGGTAGGTAGGTAGGCAGCAGTTCATCTCGAATTAATTAATGAAACAATCAACGAGATTTCCATCAGGGACTCGCATGAATTTGCTCTGGGATAGGGTCTTTGGATTGGATTGGATTGGACTGGATTGGACTGGACTGCTTGGAAGTTGGTTACAAGATGATAGATTCTGGGGTTGATATTGATGTGGGGATAATACAATATACAATTTCTCCCTGTGGTTGGTTGCTTTATTATATTATCAGCTACGGTACTAGGTAGCGATCGTATACTATAGTTCTAAACATCTTCCAAGCCTATTTAATGAGGTTTGAAAACCCATATTATTAGTATCTGTATATTCATTACAAGTAATCCTTAATACCAGTAACAAGGTTTATTCAATTCTCCTTTAACAAGCTTTATTACATCTGTACCTGCATGCATTAGATTAGATCTAACTCCTCACTAGTCAGGAACAACCAATTCATTCTTGCTTGTCCAACCGAGGAATTCGATACTGTACTAGGAGTAGTATCTAACCTGCATCAAATCAAGGGGGTTCTCATTCGCATGAACAAAAATGCCTCAATTGCCCTTTGCTTTGAAACATTGTTTGTATAACCAGACTTAGATGGAGTATAATAATGATATGTATAAATGTTGTACTTGTATTATAGGAAAGGAAAGATGAAGTATTCGAAAATATCAAATTTAGCCTTTTATTTAAACATGTTTGATGATACTCATAAAGCTTGACAGAAAGGGGGAGGGAAAATTCAATCATTGGTCTGAATTTATGTTATATGCTACACTACCTACTCTCGGGGATTTTGATACACTTTTCATTACATTCAGATACATAGATACGGTATTATTACATTACCGGTACTCCGTAGATCTTCATCATTACAGTACCGGTAGGTACAATGCGTTGGCAAGGCGGGCATCCGATACAATTTACAAAGGATCGTCGTTTGGAGTTGTTGCATAAACTCTGTTTTGCAAAATAAAATACCAATTCATGATTATTGAAAAATCGTGGCGATTTCTCCTTGGATATGCGAAATGAATGAAAAATAATATTTAGAGATGAGATGAGGGTAACTGTACTGTACCCGTCTAGACTCTAGATTCGGTATTCGTAATGTGCTGCATCATTCTGTGTTCACTTGAGTCGTGAGAGGTACCTACTTATTATTCTATAGCAATAGCATCGCATCCATTACTACTCGAGTACTAATAACTCCCTTCACCGTTCACCTCTCACCGTTTGCCCTTCACCGTCCCTTTTACAAAATTTCGAAATTGCTGTCGATGTATACACAGTAAGTACAGTACGAGTAGTGAAAACAAACTTTCAGATAAAGTACAGTACTCGAGTAGTAAGATTAACATCTGCATCTAGAATCTACGATTTCCATCATTCTAGTGGCCTCAACAATCAATACAGTTCCATTTACAAGGTATATTTCCGGAATCCGGATCGATCCCATGAAATTTGGCACGAACCAACAACTTTTGGTTATTCCAAGAAGTTCTAGAACGAATCGATGGGAAGCTTGGAGCATTGGAGCCCTTGGAGGAAGGAATCAGGAACTTTTCCTTGGCTTGCTTGCTCGGCGGTTTGGGTGGACTCGGTGGAGGGGGGTGCTCAAACTTCAAAGGGTCTCGCTCTGGGCTAGCCTGGCTAGGGCCTGTTGGTTGAAATTGGAGATGGATGAATGAATGAATGAATGATGGCTCCGATACGGCATTTCCATGAAGAGTATAGCCTACCTCGGAGTCGGAGTCGGAAGCTCGAGAGGTAGGGAATCTGGTTGAAGATATACAGTATGTTACCACATCTTCAACCTTTGTACTCAAGTAAGTGATGTTTATATTTACTAGATGTATTTATATATTTATATTTATATTTATATCTCAGACTCTAGGTACCTATCATATCTATAAAAAAATACGGAGTCTCCGTACACATCCATCTATCTACACATCACACCAAGAGAATTCATTCTTTGAGGAAGAGAAGTCGCGAGACTCGACTCAGCCACAATTAAAAAAAAAGTAGTAGAAAGGGGAGAGATAACGTTATTGTGGCTTGTCTCGGGAAGGAGAGAGACTAAAAAAAGAAACGGGCTTCGGAAAAAGGAACAAAGGAAAACAAAATGCTGGCCCGATGATAGGCCGAGGGGAGCCATGTTTAACCTCTAGTTAATGTTTACTGCGATGCTGCGATAAAATATAATTAATCATATATCGATTTTCAATAACCTACTACTGTACCAGTGTACATACTTTTTGTTATTCTGTTTTTCTACTTGTAGGTAGATAACGTCGCCAAGCTCATTAGTTTATTGTCTTGGGACCCATCTTGAATAGTTAATATGCGTTATCTACCTACCGGTAGTATAACGACCTTCATCTTCATCTTCATCTTCACGATGTATTCGTATTCGTGTATAGCGGGAAATCCAAACCCGAGCGAGAAGATTGTATATTTGTATACTCGAGTATATATCTACTCGTATATATAGGATCCTGTACTGTATCATTCAAAAGATCCAAGAAAACTCATCATACTCCTTACATTCCCATCCCCACCTACCTTGAATTAAAAATCAGTCGCCGATTGCTTTAATGATACTGTGCCGTGCCGAGTACAAATATACCTGCATTATCGTCGGAAGAGCATCAAATTTATTACTGTAATTATGGTAGTCCATACTCGAGTACTTTAGAATGATTCATAAGAATAACACGACGTTGTCACGGTGCGATGCGATGCGATGGAGATCAAATGGGGAATTGGGTGTGCTACGTATACCTAAGTACCTACTTACCTACCTACCTACCTACCATGATGGTTTTCGGTGGAGATACCTAGGTACATACTGAGGACTTCTATATATCTCGGGCTATACTTATACTACTTATACTACTTATACTGGCTGTGATGATTGGATGGATGAGTGTATGTTATATTATGTTACTCGAGTTATATTCACATTACATAGTACACGTACAGATCACAGTCTTATGAAAAGAGTTTTTTTCTAGGGGTCTTTTCATCAAAAATCAATTTCATGTTGATATACTCGTAGAGACAAGTACGTGAGCTGCTCCGTAAAATCCAATTTTTTTTTTTTTTGGAATTATGAATAATACTTCTCACATTCAGCTCACTGGCAGGTCGAAGCATGCATGTATGCCGGAGGAAAATCGAGTTCACACTACCCTACCTACCTACCTACCTACCTCCTCTTTAAACAAAACATACCTACTTACTGTATTTTGTATTTTCTTTAGATCTTCTGCATCTACATCTACATCTACATATTTCCTCCAGTCACTCTATTCAAATACCGGTAGCCTAGCCTACTTATATCGAATACCTGCGAGTACGGTACGCTTCCCAATACAAATTCAAATACAATTTTTTTTAATTCTGGGGTATCAAATTCGTGGGTACATGTCATGTCCCTCCCAAGTATCTATCACCTACCAGTACCTTACTCGAGTATATTATTGTTATTTTTAATGATGGTGTACGATACGCCGTAGTACGAGTAGCTTATAAGTATAAGATGACTGACATAGTACATACATACCGCGTTCTTTTCTTACATCTATTATCTATTATCTATCTATTATCTAGACCCTCCTCTCCTCTACAAATTGGCAATTGCCATTCATACATTGAACAGCGACTTCAAACAATCATACATACATACCCCCGGTCGTGTCAATGCCAGAAGCAATCTTGTCGGTTACCGATTCGATTTGCTGTTATTGGCCTTATGGGGTGGGGTTTGTCAAGATGGGGGTATAAGCCGTCTACACGCCCTTCGCTATTGATTTGCACTATTATTCTCACATCTATGCTCTGTCTTGGATATAGTTCAGACGAGAATGCTTTGGCTGCAACTTGAAGGTATTGCTTTGAGGCGTCATTGTTCACCTGTGGCATGAAATGAATGTTAAGATTATCACATCCTCCTGTGGCTCGAAGTATTAGAGAAGCGGTATTCTCTGAAGAAGCTTTATGGCATAAGATGTCCTCCGAAGCAGTGGCGGGGGTCATGGACAGATATTTGTCTTGGTAGCTCGGCATATTAATTCAGAATGGTGAGAGAAACATTATTAGTCTAGGTGAACTATTTGATACCGACAAGAAGCTAACGCCCTCTAGACATGTAATGATTTGAAATTTCTCTCATCACAATACGAGTATACCGACCCATAAAAACATACGAATTTTAAAAAGTAGCATATGCACAACCAACCAACCAACCCCCAAGTACCAGCCCACTAACTCTAACCTCAAACCTCTAATCAAAAACCCCCTCAAGCACCGTATTCCCCCTCTCCATCCCCACCCACCTTAAACTCGCCCTCCAAACCTCCACCTGTATCCTCTCATCCCTCGTCTCCGGCGAACTCTGTTCTTTCCCCAACTTCACACGCGTGGCATTGCCATAATACCCACCATATCCATATCCACCACCTTCTCCTTCCCCACCTCCTTCCCTTTCCCTATCTCCATCCCCACGACTCAAATCTCCAACCGCCATCACAACAACATCTACCGCCGCATCACGCGTTGAACGCAATGCTAGCGACGGAAAGAAATAAGTAAAAAGCGGAGCTAGAGGACCGAGAAATAGGGGTTGCAGGATGCGTTTCATGAGGAAGGTCCAGGCGGCGGGGATATTGGCGCTAGAGTTCATGCAGCGGGAATCGGGGAGGCCGCCGGGATCGAGAGCTAGGGCCGTGATGTTGCGGAGGTGGGGGGAGGTAGACTGTGGGTTGTTAGTTGGAGTCATTTCGGCATTGATAATCATAAGTTGAAGCAGTAGGGGAAAATAATGAATTTGTGGATGAGATGAAGTATAGTAACGAGCTGAGATATATACATGTATTCATATATACACATACCTTCTGCAACCTCGTATTCAACTGATACATTCCCATAATAGCCACCGCCTTAGAAAGACCATATCTCTGAAACCCTCTCCCCACCTCTTCGCTCACCTTATCCGGCTCAGGCTTCACTAGTAGCTCGAGATTCTCCGGAAGAAGCGGAGGGTATTTTTCCAAGCCGCTTTTACCCGGATAATGGGCATCGCTTCCTAGGATTACGATTCTCCCACCTTCTGGTGCAAAAGAATCCAGGAGTCTCAAGCTGAGCGAAAGATGCGCGAGATGGTTGACGGCCATGGAACTTTCGTAGCCATCGGAGGTGATTTTTAATCCTGAGGTTATGCTCCATTTGAAAGCATTACAGATGATTGCTACGAGCGGCTCTAGGGTGCCGGCGATTATCTCTGTCTTGGTTTCAGCAGCGAAGGTTTGAACGGCGGAGAGAGAGCTGAGATCTAGTGGACGTAGGGAGTATCTAGATGAAGGGAAAGGGGACAGGACTTTAAGTAGTTGTTGAGTGTTCGCGTCAGAAGTGTTGGTGTTGCGCACGGTGAGGAGAACGTTGTGGGTGGGATAATTTGTTAGGAGGTGCTGAATGGAAGGGATGGCGAGAGAACTATTGGCACCTGTTATGAGCACGGTGCCTTTACCTTTTGTCATGGTGATTCCGAAAGATGAGCCTTAGGGTTGAGAGCAGTGAGTGATTTGGAAGTGAGGGAATTTTTGTAGGTTTCGATGTCGGTTATTGACCTCACCAACTGTTGTAATCTTACTTATCACCCAGAGCGGATATTGCGGAGAGGAGATGATTATTGGGGGCCAAAATGAGGAGTTGACGCTACTAAGCGACGGGAGGTTCAAAAACTTTGCAGAATCCAAGAAGACAGAAAAAGTTTGTCAGAACCATCATCAGCTTCCATCTTCGTAGCTTACAAAAACTTGACAGCGTATCACGTGTGTTCGGTGCAAAGGTTGTCTTCTTAAGGTTAGAACATCATGACAGACCTAGTATGCAAGTGACACGATTATAAATCCGCCAATCCCTGATTTAGCAAGAATCGACCAAAAAATTAATCCTGTATTTCTTAGCGCAAAGTATAGGTACCGCTGCCCCACCAGTATGTTCTTTGCCAAGGTGTATCATTGTTTTGGAAGTGTCTGTACTTGAGATGGAATCCTGTGATGTCTCGAATATCTGGGACATCGAAAATGAGAAAGAGACTAGTGGAAATGGTGAGTTCTGGTTATTTTTGATAAAGTTTGGTGATTTTCTATACCATGGATCGGAAGTGTATTGGCGAATTGCTGATCTAGCGGGTGTAGACACTCTAGTATCGAACCCGATTGCTAGCGTCAAGCTTAGAAGAACTACTCATTCGTCAATGCAAAACTCGGAAGGTATATTGTGTTTACTAATCAACATACGCATTGCTAATCAACATTTGTAGCAGATCCAAGCTCCCCCACTAACTATGAAAGATCTCTCGATCCGGGTGAAGTCGATTCAAGTCCTAGCAAAGCCGCAGGATTCACCTTCATCCCAAGTAGAAAATAAAAAAGGTCCCAGGACTGCTGCTCGTAGCCATGTTATGCGAGAATTTTGGCGAGAGAAAAAGTTGCAGAAAATCAAGAAGTTTGGAGAGGCCCAGAAGAAAGATTTGTGTAGTTTGAGACCGAAGAACTCGAAATGTAAAGCTTTGAAAGATGTTGGCTGTTGTCACTCGAATCTCGAAAATAGGAAGGATTGCTCCAGCTCAGAGGTTGATAATGAAGGATCGGACGAATCTGTTGCTCGTGAAGTGTCGATAAAAATAACTCCAACAAAAGCCCTGAAACCATCGCAGAATCAAAACACGTTGGCCGACGAAGTTCCAAAACATAGCCAGACAATGACTCCTCTAGATAGGGCCGGAATCGCAGATGTAGATCCATTCTCAAGATTAAAACTCGGCGAGGGATCAGAGATGCAAAGGCTACTACACCACTGTAAGCTATACAGCTTCACCTCTTCCTCCAACACAATTCTTCTATTTGTTTTGTTGAATAAAACGGTAACAAGAAAAGATTGTTGGATCACAGCATCGTGTATGGATAAAGAGGCAGGCAGCAGGCACAGATTTTTTCAGAGTAGGATGGCTATTTTCAAGAGTTGCTTGGCTTGACCCCGAACCCAACCATACCATTATGGGATTTACTACCCACCATATCCAGGCCCGACTTCATGGCCAAAAGGAACCGCCTAGTGCTATAACATACAAGATGGAGGGTATGCGCGTGATTAATAAAAGACTAGATGATCCTGCACTAGCTCTCTCTGACGGGAATATTGGAGCTGTTGCAAATTTCACGTGCATGTTCTTATAGTCAAGTAGTTACTCTCTGGGGTTCCAGGAGACTTCAGTGTCCATATGACTGGATTGGACCAAATGATAAAATGTAGAGGTCTTATCGCCTTTTCTGGGAATAGACCTTTGCAGCTTGTAGTTGAAAGGTATGTTGCACTCGCATAATGTCTATCCATTGACTTTCGATAATTGTTATTTTCAGTCTCGACCTATGCAGAGCCTATATACAAATTAGCAGGCCAAGCTATTCGAGATACAACGAATTTTCAACAGAACAACTGACAACAATAAGCTCACTCAGAGCTTCGATGATTCAATATGAAGTCATAAGAATGCAAGCAATAAATGACTTTGGTGCAGACTTCATAAGGATGGTCGATGGTCTTGAAAGAGCCACGGGATTGATCAAAGATGCCGCGTCCAAGACAATATCTCTGGGACAATGGGACAATTTCAGTAGTCAAATCTGCTCAGCGGCCATAGGAATGAATTGGCTCCATCCAACTGAGCAAACCATAGATGAGAAAAACAACGTCGTTTGGGAGTGTTTTCGACTCGCATCTTTGGCTTATCTTCAGATGGCTTTACATGAATTTAGCACCACTTCACAACTTAATGGACAATATTTTCGAGCCTGCAGGTATCAATTACTTGACATGAACGCTGACTGGGGCAGAGCCATTGAGATGCTAGCCCGTGTCATCCTTCGGGGAGAGCGCTCGAATGTAGAGAGACATCGGAGAGCGTGGTATGTAGCCAATGCTATGATAGAGTTGCAAGACTTGGTCTCGAAACATGGAAGATGGTGGAAGGGATCCTACTTACTTATCTGGGAGGTTTCGCAGGGAGACCTGAAGGTAAATTGAGTACACCAATTACTATAGCCTTGCGCAGCAATCTGGATATATGGAACGAAGAGAATAATTTAGATGGTAGCGTGGGGTGGCTTGGTGATCCTTTCTGATTAGAAACTTCTGGTAACGTTGCGTGTAAGGTTTCTCCTCAATCGCAAGACACATTCGAATTACAAAGCATGTAAAGCCTGCTGCCTTCGCGGATGTAGCGAAAGAGGCTTGAAGTTGATCGAAGGAAGTAACTTTCGCAGCTGCAGTGAGTAAAAGCAACTCTGGATATAGAGTTGATTCGTAAATCCGTATTTGTAATCAAGTCTGAACGACGCGGAAAGACCGATCGATGCAATGCACCTTAAAAACGCAAGAATAACGCCAGATTGAGCAACTCGATTCGGTAGCCAATAAGACCTCTGCATCATCGCTGACTCTGCAGATAGTAAGCGGGAAAACTTCAAGCTTAATAGAAGACGACCCATACACGTGGAACCCCCGAACAAAAGGTGCACGCACCCGATATGGGTAAGCTTCGTCATATATGCATGTAGAAAAGGTGTTCGCTTGGTGCGACTACTTCCCGAAAAGGTTTGGTTTTCCGAAGGTCGTCGCAACACAGGAACTTTATTTTCCGTTATGTGGCTGCCCCCTCACCGACTTAAATAGCTGTGAAAGTGATATCAGACCCTGTTCAGACCCCTGAAATGGCGGGAATTAAAAAAGTCGATCGATTCTTCTATGGGTGTTCTATGTTGCCGTTTCGGATATGTAAGCTGGAAATTTTATAGTGTGTGTGATTGAGATAGCCTATGGAAAGGCTATAAATTTGATCTGCGCAACATCCGCTGCCTAGGATGATCGGAAGTCTACGGCGGATGGATGTTCTTAGATATGCTGCTAGAGTCATACTTGATTACCGATTATATATACTTTCATATCCTTCGAGAACTTCGATGAGTAGACAAACTTTAACAACCTAACAACTGTCATAATAAACTTCAAACTTACAAAAGCCAACTCTACGACTGAATATACGATGCCAATCTCTACTCCAATCTGGTACTCGTCTCCTTCACCAACTCCCATGACATTTGATCAAGACGTACCGTGTGACTTGGATACCGGTGTATTCCAATCTGCCTATCCATATGTATGTTCGATCCTTGAGTCCCTTCAAATTAAGATGCTAACATACATGACGAACAGACAACCTGTATGATCCCACAAACGGAAAATTCATATACTATACCGCCGTATCCAAGTCCATATCTTGATACCATTGATATTTCCACGGTACCAGAATTGGATCAAAGCATTTCGACAGAGAACAGCAGAAGAGGTTTTGGATCGGAAGGAAACGAGATGATTGACGAGATATCAACCGAATTGGTAAGAATTTAAAACTAAAGCCTTGAACTGAGGCAGTTGCTTGTTTTCAGAGCTGACACAACATAGGAACGAAGTCAAAATCGAGCCTCTCGTGAACGAAAACCCAAAGCTCAAGGTAGTCGCACACGAGAGACATCGCATGATTCAGTAGACTCGGTGACGGAGAAGACTCCCGCTCAGAAAATGGTAAGCATGCCCTCCTATCCTATAAGCTTTCCTAACCTTTTCCAGAGACGGCTTGTACAAAATCGCGTATCGCAGAGAAACTTTCGGAAGCGCCAAGCAAACGAGCGCCAACGACTCGAAGAGCAAGTGAAGGTGCTCAGTACTGAGCTGCATAATCTTGGTGATATGTATCAAGATCTACTGAGCCGATACGAGCAGGCAGAGCGTGAAAAATCGTCGAGTAGTGAGCTGATAGGGGGGTGGATGGATGGTGCCAGGACTTTGAACCAATTTAATCTTTAGGACTTGAATGAGTTAATGATCATGATGGAGTTATGCGTATTTTTGGACTGGGATTTTGGCAGAAAACGAATATCCTCTCAGCGAACTTGTTTTATAGGATGTTGAGGTATAGGGTGGATGGGCAAAACTAGAGCTAATCATGGGACGATAGCAGGATAATGCAAGGTACCAAGACCAGAGAACTCTCTCTAGGCAGATATAATACAAAATCAGATACTACCAAATTGCGATAGAGACCGAAAAACTTCTTTCTATATCCTGTACTTCGAATGTTCAATATTGAATCCGACATTAAGCCGATTTTGCCGAATCTGCACTCGTAGCATGATGGATCTTTGCCGAGTAGTCAGGAATACGAACTTCAAAGAAGGGAAGCAAGGGCGGCTATACTTGAGATGAAAATAATGATGTGAGATCGCACTCATGCAGGATACGATCAGTACCTAGGTAGCCACTCAACATTTCTCGAAAAGTCGTGATCGATGTTGGTGAAGCAAAGCCTAATTCTTTTCCTTCCGCCGAAAACCCCGAGTGGAACGCATATTGCATATTTTCAGTCCTCTTAATACCCGTTCTCCGTGAGTCACACCGGAAGTAAGCTGTGCAGCCACAGAAGTCTGTATCCGATTTACCGTCGAATGACACCATCAGCGATTAACATCGCTTCAGTTCATAAAAAGAAAATCAACGACAGCGTGAGGAAACCAAAGGTAGCCACGAAGAGGGAAACAAATCGTTCAGTACCTGTCCTGGGGACTGATGTATTATCATGAGCGACCTTTGTGGCTTGAGTGGATTTTCCTTACAATTTCGTTGTGATAATCAGTCTTGGCCGCATAATGCCTTTGATACACATTTCCTGAACGCCCCCCCCCCCCCGATGCAATAGACAGTCCCAATTCTAGCGGATATAAAACATAACACCCGATACCCCTTCCTGACAGTATAGGATCTGTTTCTTCTACTCCTTTCTGTATTTCTCGTTCTCCACTTCCCTCCAGTCTTTCTCCTCGGGCTCATTGCCACTCGTCTCCTTGAGCCCGCTTTCGAATGCTGGCTTTCCAGCATATAGCATATGACCACCGGTATTTCTCTCTCCCCCTCCTTCAATCTCCTTGCTCACAGCAATTGGTTGATTGCCTCTGAACCGTTTGCGCATATCGACCAGTCCTCGTTTGCATTCACCGTAGCCTTTCTTTAACTGTTGACATTTGGTGGGCATGGATTCAAGGAGAGGAGCTCGTAGACAATCGGAGGGTTTATTACGGTAAACCATGACGCAGTCCGACTCCTGGAGACATTGTGCCAGTGCTGCTCCTGCGAAGATAAGTTAGCGGGGCACTGGGCAGATGAAAGTAAGATACGAACGAATATCTTGGCAAGAACTTGGCATGTTGAATGATTTTCTGTGGGAATTTGGGATCAATTATGTTTATAGTTTTAGGGAAAGAGCGTATGAAACTGAATCGAATATATAAATATAAGATTGGTGGAATGGAATATTATGAATATATTTCTCAGACACAAAAGAAAGTTCATTCACTAAGGCGCGCCACTTTTCGAAAGTCTCGCGGGTTCCTGCACGGTAACTGAAGCTATAATGCCCGTAGATTACCCGACTAGATTAAGTTCAAGCTTCCCCCAGATTCCAACGCGCCGGCCGCCACTAAAGCTGCTAAACACGACAATTTAGTTGATTTGTTGCTTGATGTTCAATATTTGATATCGAGTATAGACCGGTATATGAGATACTTGTTACTATTTAACTCGGCCTTTTCTTCTTTGATCAAATCCAAAGATTCATTCCCAACCAATTGATTGGAACTGAGGTGTAAAAGAAGTGAAGGCGGCGTCCAATTGGCATGTGACAGTGGATTGTATTCTACGCGGTGTACTTCGTATGCGATGCTGCACTTCACATCAGAGCTCTGTCAGTCCACGTCAATAGCTTGACTAACACAATTTTTTCATAGCCATAAGAGATCTAGACCTTGTATAGATATGGTCGGGCAACACACCCAAACATATTAAGCTCGTTGGATGCCACAAAACTCTCTCACCGCGCAAACAAAGTACTCGATAGAAGATACTCAACACAATGTATATACCATTCATCGGACGGCTCTGTCTGTAAGTTACATACTTATGTAGTATATTTGACAATTGTTGATTAGTTATACAGGAGCGAATATTTGGCACTGGTCAGCTCTTTCTTTCTTGTTGGATTAGAAGCAATCATTAGAATATTGACGCTTGCGCTACGTGTGTTTGATATTCTCTCATTATATACCTGGAAGCATTAGCTAACAATGGCACAGCTTCGACGATCATAAAATTATGCTATCGAGTTTCAAGGCGGGCTTTCAATCGATTCACATCTGCGGCATCGAAGAGATCAGAGACACGAAAGCAAGGTTGGAGCAGTCCTTCAGTAAAATGCAAACGAGGAGAGGGACTGACAGACTCAGATATATCCACCTCGATCCGAAATGCCTCAGGCTTTGTAGACCTCTGTGAATTAGCTGGTTATTATGCCGAGGAACATGTTGTGCAAACCGGAGATGGCTATCTGTTATGCGTTCATCGACTCGGTTGGAAGAGAGGAGAGGAAAATACAAAAGTCAATAGTGGACCGGGTAGTATCAAAAAGCCTGTTGTATATCTGCATCATGGCCTGCTTATGAATAGTGAGGTATGGGTGTGTTTGACCGATAAGGAGAGATGCTTACCGTTCACCCTGGTGGAAAGAGGATATGATGTCTGGGTAAGTTCAATCTATGTCAAATTATTCTCACATAAGAGACTAAGTATTTGCAGCTTGGAAACAACCGCGGGAATAAGTACTCGAAAAAGTCCATCCACCATTCACCAACAGATATGGCTTTTTGGAACTTCTCAATGGATGACTTCGCCTTCCATGATATCCCAGATACCATTCAATACATTCTCGATACCACCTCTGCGCCATCATTGTCATACATTGGATTTTCGCAAGGAACAGCTCAGGCCTTTGCAACTTTGGCTGTTCATCCGAAGCTCAACGATCAAATCAATGTATTCATTGCTCTTGCACCTGCAATGTCCCCAGCTGGTCTTTCCAATGGCATTGTCGATGCACTTGTCAAGGCATCACCTCAGGTTCTATTTCTTCTTTTCGGCCGTCGCTCCATTCTCTCATCGGCAACCATGTGGCAGTCTATACTTTACCCTCCGATTTTCGTTCGTCTCATTGATATGTCTTTATCATTTCTCTTTGGCTGGCACGCCAAAAACATTTCCACGTCACAAAAGCTCGCAGCATACCCTCATCTCTATTCTTTCACTAGCACCAAATCTGTCGTCCACTGGTTTCAAATTATCCGCACCAAATCATTCCAGATGTACGATGATGAGCCCCAACCAGTTTTAGGTGGCGTAAATAAATACACCAAAGTCGCTAAATTCCCCACCCGCAACATCAAAACACCCATCGTATTAGTGTACGGCGGCAGCGATTCATTGGTCGACATCAATGTGATGTTGAAAGAACTTCCCGCTCACACGATCGCCATCGAAATTCCCCACTACGAGCATCTCGATTTCCTCTGGGCTCGAGAGGTCGAAACTCTCGTCTTTCCGCACGTTTTCGACGCCTTGGAATCTTTTTACAATGCGGATCACTCGAAAGAAGAATATGAACACTATAATCGCGCCCGTACTAACTCAATGCGTGTTGGTACCAGTAACAATAGACTGTTGACCTACTTAAGCGAAGAGGACAGCGGAACTCAATCATTAGGAAGTGAAACATATGTCAACGCAGACCCAAATACCATATTACATCCTGGAGACGAATCACCCACCGATTTCAAAACAACTGCTGGTACTTACAACCATAACAGTGCACGAAAACGCGCTAAACTCAGTTCTCAAAATTTCTACAGTGACGATGATTCGTCTGAAACTTCACCACTTGACGCCAATGCGTCCAAACCCTTTCCCCAGTTTGACGGCACACATCATGTTCTCAAACTCAAACCTCAACCAAGCGCGCAAGAGACCCCTTCTACGCCCCCATTTCATTTCAACCCCTCCCCCTCCAGCTCCCCTATTCCCGCCACTACCTCTCCAAAACTCCATTCCCAAACCCAAACTACCACGCCCGCCCGCCTCCGCAAACCCCTCCGCAGCAGCTCCATCGGCAGCAACATCTCCTTCGAAACGAAAGGAAACAAAAGTAGACCCGGAAGTATAGGCAGTAGCGGTATTAGTCTCGGTATGGGACGTGCTGTTGGGGGTATAGTATCTGGGCTGGGTGAGGGAGTCAGAGGGAGAGAAGATGTATATGTTAGTGATGGTGCCAGGAGTATAGGAGATGGTAATGCGAGTGCGACTGATACCGGTGGAAGTATGAGGAGCTTTGGGGGGTTATTGAAGAGGTCGGAGAAGAAGAAGGGGGGCCGGTAATCTGAATGGGTGAGGGAAACTGGATAGAGGTTCGATAATGGATGAACGAAACGATCTTTAGGATTGGGTAAATAACAGAGTTACAGTACTCTTACTGTACTGGTTCCTTGATTGTCAAGATGAATTCAAACTTCTTGATGGGTTTGTATATAGAGATAGAGAGGAAAGTAAGATGAGACAGATTAGAATGATCAAATAAGAATATAGGGGCGTTAAAATGTCATCGGAGCTTGGGCTTGGATATAGATATAGAAAGAGGAGACGAGAGAGGCCTTTTGTATCTTTGGGGGAACGACGGTCAGTATGTATAGTACACTATAGAGTCTATATGGATGTATATATATATATCCTGGCATTTCATATAATATGATATATCTATCTTCAATCTCAACCTCAACCTCAACCTCATTATCAGAGTCATCCAAATCATCTCATCTCATCTCATCTACTAGTTACTAGTTACTAGTAATCAAACAGAAACATAAACACAAATAGAAATAGCAGCATCAACTTTCTCCTCTCCTCTCCTCTCCATGATCCTTCCTCTCTCTCCAGGAGAACCACTCTACTCTACTCTCCTCAACCCAAAAATCTCAAATCTCAAATCCCACCCCTCAAATCTCAAATCCCACTCACTCACCCCTCACACAAGAAAGAAAGAAAGATATAAATAAAGAAAATAAGATAATGAAAGGAATGAAATAGACCACTGGTATTATTCGTATTCGTAAGACTAATTTTCCTGAAGGGGAGTACTCGAGTATATGTATATGTATATGATATGCTGAGTTGGGCTGAGTTGAGTTGAGTTGAGTTGATTTATGTTAATTTATGTTACTAGTGAGTGATTTTATATATTCGAGTAATGATTATGATATACAATATGATATACAATACAATACAATATACAATACAATATACAATATACAAAACAAGGATACTACTGTATTCTACCTAAAGTAGGTATCCTATTACAGTATACTCGAGTTTCAATACTTATCTATCCTATTGCTTCTTTGCTTTCGTTTCCTTTGCTTGCCTTTCCTTTGCCTTCCTTTCCTTCCATTCCCAACTGTCCCAACTGATGATCTCGTGTACTCGAGTAGATACAATACAATATACCAAAAGGAATCCCATCCCTAATTCGCACCCTCAACTCCCCTTTCCCTTTCCCTTTCCCGAAAACCTCCACTCATCCCATCCAAACCCATCTACTCATCTACCTATACTATACTTGTCGATTCATAGCGGGATAAGATGAGATGTGCTCAACCTCAGGTTTATAAAACTCCAGGTGAGACCGTGAGATGACTTTACCGATATCGACAAGGATGCCGGCCAAAATGAGCTTATTCAAAGACTGGACTATGAAAGTGTCGAATGGAATGTAAAAGTTCTGTGGACGAGGCTCAAGCTTTTATATTACTACACACCCATCTACAAATCCCCCACCTCAATCTTAACATCACCAATCCTCTTCCCCTGCTTTCCTCCCGGAGTCTCTAATCCAAAAGTGACCAACATCGCTACTCCAATGAGACCCACACCCCCAATACTATAAGCGACTTCTCTCCCTGCCCACCAATAAACACTCGTGAATAACAATGGACCAATTCCTCTTCCCAGCTGACCCCAACTACGCAAATTGCCAAGCTTTCCACCCCTTTCATCCTCGCCTGCTTCAAATGAACTGAGGGCGTTGAGACCGGTGACTACGGTTGCAGTTGTGATGGCGAGGAGAGTAGATGCTAGGTAGAGACCTGATATGGTATTGATGCGGGCAAGGAGGAACAGTGCGCCGAGACATGACACTACACCTATGCGAACCGAAAGTAGAGGGGGAAGTCGTCGAGTCACGCCTCCTTGAAGGATGGAGGCTACTAGTCCCATGTATCCTAGAAGACGACCATTGAGTGCGGATGTGTAGCCGAACAGATCGTATGTCATAAAGGGAAGAGAAAATTCCATGCCCGAGAAGAATAGTATGAAGGAAAGGTGAGTGAGGTTGAGTAAGAAGTGCGAATTTGTTCTCCCTTGTTTCTTCACCCCATCACTGCTCGCCGATACCATTTTAGCTTGAGTCTTCTCTGCAGAAGAACCAGTAATTTTCGTAATCCCATTCGTTGCAGTCGGTTCCCCGTTTAACTTGACCTGCGCAACCTTACTAGGCAGTGTCTCTGGCAAACACATATACAAATAGAGTGTTTCCGTCACAATCAAAAACAACGAAAACCCAGCCGCAGTAGCAAAAGGGTTTGCCTGCACCGTACTAATTGTACTAAGCCAAGCACCCAACGCAGGCCCAAATGTAAAGCTTATGCTAAAACATATTCCCACCAATGCCATTGTTGCTCCCCGTTGTTTTTCATCTGAAACATCTGCCGCGATTGCAATTGCGAGTTGTACATTGCCTTCTGAAAGACCGCCTACGACGCGCGAGAGGAGGAAGGTACGGAAATCGGTGGCACAGACCCAGAGGAGCACACTGAGGATATTACCAGTCATGCTGGCAAGGAGAGCTGTGCGACGACCATATTTATCAGAGAGCGTGCCGATTATGGGGGATGCGAGTGCTTGGAGGAGACTGTGGTGAAGTGCATTAGCAAAGTCGGGTGGAAAGGAACAGCGGAGTTATAATTGCGCACGAGAATAAACTCCCAAGAGCTCCGCCCAATAATACGATATCATATCGAGAGTCGATCGGTTTCGCGAATGATGCTTTGAATGTATTAAGATATGTAAGAATATGCGCGAGGAGTGTAGGAGACTCGGATGACGAGGAAAAGGTAGTTGGCGCCTCGAGACTATTTTACGATTAGCCATCTCCCCGCAGAGTTAGAAACCAGATAAACTCACTTCCTATAGAACTCTAACAGCTTGGGAAATAAAGGTAATATGAATGTGAATCTGCAAGAGGTATCGTATTAGTCTGCTATTCTTCTGCTTGCTTGTTTCGTTTGGAAGATATATCATACGAGATCTAGAATTGACGAGTTAGTTATGATTTGCTTTCTCGATAGTATCTGCCAGTATTATAAAACATACCAAATCTAATAATAGTGAAAAAAAGACCACTTTCAACACCTTCTTCCTCGTCGCTGGATCTACCGGCGCAGCCATTTCGAGTATGCGTTATATTCTCTCTCTCTTAATTTCTCAATTCAAGCTGTACTTTCCTTGTCTTTCCCAGGTCTGTACAATGAAGAGGTCACTTAGTTACCAAAAGTCCACTGCGTTTCCAAAACCAATCAAAAGCTCACAACAAATATCTCCTCTCCACGCAGTAGTAGAAGAAAGTATTAGAAAAGAAGAAGGTTGTATGAATTATCAAAACAAAAAAATCATAAGTTGCAACTACTATATCTTTCTCCAAACTTCGAGTACACGGTAACCATCTAAAACTTTATTACGAGCACTTCTAACACCTAGCACTCCTCCCAAGCTCCTTCATTTGATTTCATCACTTCCAAGTTCCACTTCTCCACAACCCATACATAGAATGGAACGTTTCGTTTCGTTTCGTTTCGCTCCCGAGCCCCTCGAACTCTCAAACGCTCACCTTCCAACACCACCTTGCAAACCTCGGACTCGGCAATACTACACTAAAAAGAATAACAACCATGCTTGCCAATGCCAATGTCATGCTTCCGTCCCTTGCAACTTGCAAGTAGTTTGCAACCCACGGCCCTTCCCTAAAGTTACCGGGATGTATGATGGATGGATGTATTGTATCTGAAGAACCCGTCTGTACCTGATGACCAAATCTGAAAGTTATACCGGTATGTATACATCGATTGCTAATGATTAATGATTGGTAGTCTTCCGAGTCTCCTTTCTCTAAAAGCTTATTGGGTATTATTAGTAAGTAGGTAGACATTAATGTACTCTTACTCGAGTACTGTAGTACGAAGAAGTGAGAGGAATTCAGGAATTATATATATTGCGAGTATTAAAGGGGAGGCGAAATTCTCCAACTACACTGTCTCATTCTCATTCTCATTCTCATTCTCACTCTCACTCTCTTTCTCACTCTCTCTCACTAACGATACAGTACAGTACAGGAGTACGATAGCCATCTCACTCAACTTCCACTTCAACCATCTTATAATAACACTGATTCCTTCTCCCCAGTCTCCAGTCTCCACCCAGCCCAATACCCATATACCCATATACATATATCCAAAACACCCCAATCCATCCATCCACTCGTCGCCTACCACAAGATATTATGAATACCTACCTACCTACTCGTACTTAGGTATCATCAAGTTCCCACAAACACACCTGTATGCCCATCAATATAAATAGCACACGTACGAGAACCCCGATTAAATTTGGGGTATAATTCTATTCATTTACCATCTCACCCACACACACACACACACACACACACACACACACACGCGTACAATCATTCCTTTTCCTTCGCTACTACTAAGTCAAAATCATCACCATGAAAATCCTCGACCATATGCCAATAAGAACCCCTTGAAACGGAAAAATATATAGAACATTTCCTTTCCTCTGTTCAAACTTTCATAATATAAGAGATGGGTATGCTTGTTCATCATAACTCCCAACCACCGAGGGGGGAAAACAGTCAGCATCTTCCCATATCTTCTTTTAAAAAGAATTCCCATGCCATGTGACCACAAACAAGAAATAAGAAAAATGATATATCGCTTGCGAGTTCTCACCAGAGACTTTTCCTCGCTCCCCAACTCATCACATCCCTATTGCCCATCCATCGGGAAAATCATGTATCGGCAACCATAGCATATTTCCTAAACGCCTTTGTCACACCCAATCCTGCCCAACAATTCCTTTCTATCGCTGTGTCCCGGGATACTCACACCACTCGCACTACTCGAAGTCTTCCTATATCGACCATTTCTGGAGGTTCTTCCCTTCAAATTCAGTTCTTCGACACCAACTTCTTCCTCGTATGGCTCTCCTTTCAATAAGTAAACTCCATCAGTCATGGGCTCCTCGTCCAAATCGATATCTTCCTCTTCCTCTTCGTTGTCACTTCGGGTATCGTCTGCTTGCCCACCTTTAATGACTTTGATAGCAACTTGAAGAATCATCCAGAACCACATTAGTGTGATACCTTGGAGGAAAAACAAGGCGCTGAGGAATCCCCATTTTATGTTGTTGTTCCAACAAACGACTCCGACAGGATCTTGAAATGGCTTGAAGAGGTGCCCAAAGCGATCCGGAGCTGGGAATGGACCCGAAATAAAACCATTTTTACCCTGGTAGCAACCATAGTTGATCACTTTCGGGATATCCGCCCAAACGGAATAGCAGATAATAAGATAGAAAGCGTGACGAGCTGTTACCCAAGAGAGCATGAAAAGACCGAACATGAAATCGCATAATTTATCGTATCCGAGATACTTGAGACATTTTGCAGCCTATAGAAAATTTTGTCAGCTTTCGTTAAGTAGGGGGTCGAAGGAGGTGTGCTTACTGGAAAGAAAAGATCCACCACATCCATCAAACAAAGAATTACATTAGCCACTTTCGTTTGGTGGTAACCATAACTTGTGAAGATCAACGCAGTTGTAACGATGTGGTGTGTAAACATCTGCCAATGATCCTTTCGGCGTGCCTCAATGTTGATAACTATAATTTGTTGAAGCCAGAATGCATACTGGACGAGAATATACCACTTTCGAAGTCCACCAACCTCTCGATTAGGCCAATTAGTCCATAGTTCACTCAAATTCCACCAGTAGTCCGAATTGACGTATATGTACTATACATATGTTAGCAAGGAGATTTTCCAAGAATATGTTCGGCTTCAGCTAACCATTCCCAGTGTCCAGAACACGGAATAATAGATCATAAGCCAAGCCTGCTCAGCAAATCTCGTCTCATCTCTCGCAGTCTTCACCCCACCCTTTCTTGCCAATGGCCTCAAGATATAATCCATGAAAGCAGCGCGAAGTCCCGTAAAGACCACAATCCAATAGAACACCAACCAAGCATCATTCCAGCCCGCACAATATTCACCAGACTCCTGGTTATAGTAGGAAAGTTCGAAGAATTTTCGAGTATGTCTGCGAGCTTTTGGGAAGCATATGTGCGTTAAAGAAAGGAGCATTAACAGGTTGACAGATAGCCCTATGACACATTGTCAGAAAAAAAGATTTAGTGACGAGGCAGAGAGTGGGAATTTTACCAGTTTGATGGTCCACAACAAATCTACAGATGATATCCAGAGGACTATCGTCTTTCCTTTTGGCCTTTCTTTTGCCCATCATTGGACGAGTTGGATGTTCCATTGAATTGTCGAGTTTCTTTTCTATGGGAATAACGGTGTCTCCATTTTGAGGTACCCAATCTGGCGCAGCTTCGTTTGTCCCATCTTGAATAGTATCGATCGGGGAAATTGAGTTCATGACGGCTTGAGACACGAAGGGAGATAATTTTTGTCTTGGTGGTTTGACAATTGTTGAGGTTCAGATGAGTGAGGAATACATATATTTCTCTCCCAATTGTCCTTGGAAAACCCGAAATTTTAAATGAATGAATATATCATAGAATATCACGTTTTGTATATAATAGGAGAATACAAACAGTCCAAATTCGACAAAACGAATGTGTTTTCAATTGGGGACAGTGTACGAGTACAATTGAGAGGGTGAGTTTTGATGTATTTGGCAAGGCAAGGCAAGAGAAGGCGGTGAATAATTTTTAGTGATCGAGAAATGGGGTTTCGTTTTACATTTGAGGGTCCGATCGACGAATCAAAATTATGATATTATCATCGTGCGAGTCAGATTCGAGGTGAATGTACTTGTTGATGTGTGGAGAAGGGAAGATAAACATCCAGATGATATACCGGTACTGTACTGTACTTGGGACAATATATACCTGGTATCTACTCGAGTAGGTAAGGTAGGTATAACCATATCTCGAAATCTCGAGTCTCGAGTAATTTAGTCCAAAGAGGGAGGGGAAGTCAAGAAAAGAGTCAAGGAAGCCAAAATAGAAAGGAAGAAGAACAAGAATATAGCATATCCTTCTAAACTCTCTTCTTTTCCTGTCACTCAATGAATAATTTACATACTAATGTTCTTGATCGACGACGAATATATTGGACTTGGTTATCTTGAGTGCTATCTGAGTCGACGACCACTTTTTCCTTCGGAACATAATTTACGGGAAGTCGGGAGACCCCCTCCTTGATTAGTACTAAGCGTTCTAGGTCTAGATAGGTAGACTACCGGTACTTCACTTCCTCCTTTCAAGAGGCCGCGCTATCTAGCTAATCAATAGTTTGAAATATTTTTGATTGACTGAAGAGCAACGGAAGGCTATCTTCTAAGAGGTCACAAGGAGTGCATCATGCAAGAATTGTACCCGTACCACAATATAACATTTTCGTTGAGGAGCTTTCTTCGGGATTTGGATGTTTCGTTACATCTTCAAGTATCAATTAGACCCCTGACCGGGCTGACCCAGATAGGAGGGGCAATTCAACAAGCTCAGACCTGTCATACCTAGCTTCACCCCCAAAAAATAAAGGCAGAAATGGATGATTTACTGCATGTAGACTGATGACTTATACATCGAATAATATGAATTTGCTTCATGTAAAGGGGAAAGAACCATTAAAACAGACATACCCATCCCCCAATGACCCACAGAAACCCCATCCCAATAGTGCTAGTTTTCAAATTAACCCTTTAAACCCCATAATTAATTATTGCCAAGCAGCTGAAGTTGTACTGCAGAAGCCATATGGCACCCTACTTCAGTAGCTCTCCCACAGCACTCTCCTTAGTTATTTTGTTGACTGTTGAGAATTCGGAGAATGGCCAAGAACAAGTTAATAATGTCAAGGTAAAGACTGATAGCTGCCGCGATCTCTTCCTCCACATGATAATGTCTCATAATGAGTTGAGTATCAACAAGAATGTAGCCGGAAAAGATAAGGGCGGCGATACCAGAATAAATTAACTCGACGGTACTGTTTCCTGGGAAGAACATGGCCATAAATCCAAAGAGGATTAATGCCCAAAGTCCACCAAAAAGGTAGGGCATCCATGACGTAAAGTCATATTTGGTCTGGCAGGCGAATAGCGTGAGCGCAACAAATATTCCGGCAGTGAGCAAGACAGCTTGAAGGACAATGCGGGAGTCGAACGTCGACACGATGACCGATATTGAGTATGCTTCAAGCGCTGTGAATCCTCCGAGAAATAGTAGGTTGGTTGGATAAGACTTTCGCTTCCAGTATGTCAAAAGCATGAAGCCAATTGCGCCGAAGAGCTACAAATGTCAGTATACGCCAAGTATTATTGAATCCAACATACCGAAGTCCATAACATCCAAGTGTGTGTCTGAATCCAGTTTTTGTAGGATTCGCTGAAGAAGGAAACGGAGCTTAGAGCAGCTGTGGCGATAAGTTGCACAGAGCTGGTAACAGGATTAGCACGACGACAGCATCTCGATGAACTTGCGCAATACTCACAGGATGGCATAAACCTTTCGTACAAACTACCAACATAGTTAGAACAATGGACAGAGTATGGATATTGGAAGGCTTTATACCTGCATTCGAATCTCAATAGTTGCCTCAGCCACAGAACCTCCGAACTACACCATTGTCAAAACAATTTCTATAATAAAATCGCAAATCGTCTCTTTACCCACCTTGAAGTCATCCGGAATATTGTCCTCGCTGCTTCTTGGCCCTCCTCCTAGGAGTGCATCGTTATCCGCAGATGAAGAAGGTTCGGCGTAAGATGGAGGGGCCTGCGAATAATGAGCGGAATCATCGAGGGAGTCTCGTTGGGAAGCCTGAGTGTATTTTGTGTTCGAAGCCATGACTTTTTAGCTTCAAACTATTGTTATTGATGGCCTGCGATGCGCGGTGGTGATGGTGTTGAAGAATTCAATAGGATTAGGTAGGTAGTGGTGTTCATGTAGTCGTTCCTAAATAAGGCACTGCGGAGAGGCATAAGTTAGAGAGAGTACCAAGGAAGCCTGACATAATCATCATCTATTAAAACACGGGGTGTAACATTAGCGCGCCTCCTCGAGTACATAAGCGAAGTTGCCGATTTCATCCATTCTAATAAAGTACTGTACTCGGATTCCAATCCTTTATATTCGTGCATTGGGTAGAGTCCCGGTATTAGATGGTAATGTTGTATACCTAGATTGGTTGAAAGCAGACATTGAAATATTTCGCTAACGGAGAATATAGTTAGGATTATTCATTATTGTTTATTTATTCCATACTGACTCAGTATGATATACAAAAGAATCACAGTCTAGCAATCTTAACATCAAATAGAAAATGAAATAAAAAATCACTGGAAAACATGCTCCGATGTGGCTGGCTCTGTTTTCTTCAAGAATTATTGACCTAATAAGAAATAAATATCGATTTAGCTGCACATTAGAAGGCAATAAGAAACTACGTTATTAGCTTTTTGAAGAGCCAGAAGAAATGCAGCACCGTCAACGACCTGCAAAAAAATCCCCAGCTCCAGAAATCCGAACGAAAGCGTATGCAGCAATCGGCAGGCCTCTCCATCGCCACCAGTCATCCGTCCATGTTTCCACGCATAAAACACTTTCCCTGTATATCATCACCATTAAGCTTGATCATCCGCCGACGTATGTGTTCCGTTGGTTGCTTCGAGATGAGCACTTTGCTCGCGTTGCATTCTGGCCTCAATCTCCTTCAATTGACTTTCACGAGCCAACAACTCTTGTCTCTTCGCCTCAATCTCTCGTTGCACCTTAATCTCGATCTCTCTAAGCTTCTCCTCCTCACGACGGAGTTGCTCTTCCTTTAGGCGGACAGATTGAGAGGCCAAGTCCTCAGGGTTCATAGAGGCATCACTGTAAAACTATTAGCACACAATATAAGGAATCAGAATGGAACGAAACATACCCTCCGCTACCACCTTCAACACTCTTGCTAAGCTTCTCGGTACGGTAATTTTCATACAAGAAATCGTGGGTGATTTCCTTCAAATCTGCCAAATGACTGTGTAAAAGAGCACTTCGAATGGCGAGGAAGTCGGAGTGTCTTGGGTTATCGACCTCTACAACACCCCATGGATACTGTCTTGCGCGAACTTGGCGTCCACCAATCTCAACAACTTCCTCGGATCCTACAATGGCGAATGGCATCAAACCACGAAGCTCGGCATTCTCCTCAACTGTGTCCTCATCATCCTCCTCGATATCGTAAGGGAAATTGTAAACAGGAATTCTATAGTGCTCAATATCTTCCATTACAAGCTTTTTTGATTCTGCTAGTTCAGCAGGTGTTAAGGAATCAGCCTTTCCAATGACTGGAATAACATTAACTCTGGGGGAGAGGCGCTTCATGAGCTCAATATCTAATTCGCGGAGGCTATGAGACACGTCAGCTTGGCATTGCGCGGTAAACGTTGAGATTCGACGTACCCGTGGCCGGTTGGAGTGATGAAGTAAAGTAAAGCATGGACACGATTGTCGCGGAAACGAGGATTACGCTTAATACGGGATTCCTCTGCCAAAATGTCGTCGTACTGTCTCTCAAGATAGCCAACGATCTCTCCAAAACTTCGCATCTGTCAGCTAGAAAACTTCACGTTGTATATTGTTCCTCCTACCTCGCCTCATTATCGATTTGGTCTCCGAAGCCGGGTGTGTCGACAATCGTGAGTGAAATACGAGTTCCCTCTTCATCTAATTCCAGCTCTGCAACAACGTTAGTCGGAATTCAGCTTATGTAAAAGATTCAGATCCAAGTGATGCTCACCAACTGTGACTGGCTTAATCTTAACTCCCTCCTCGATGTGAGCATTTGTCGCATCATCGGCGTCCTTGCCCGAGAGAACCTTTTTGCCGCATAAAGTGTTCACGAAAGTAGTTCGTCCTGAAGAATCCAGTCAATACCGCCCATCACGTCCATGTATATTTTGTATTATCGTACCTGTACCTGATGCACCACAAACCATCAAACAGAACTGAATACCCTTCTTAACGTTCTTCTTTCTTCGCATCTTGATCTAGGGAAAATCGCTGAGTTAGTATTGATCAGACTTCGAAATGTGAGAACAAACCCCAGATGAGAACTATTGGGGAAGTTGCGGTCAGATTGTCCAGACTTGCGTGTATACCAAAAAAGTGTTGATAGGGAGAAACATACATTCAATGGAGACGACATGATTGATGTCTTATTATTACGAGGCTTTGGCCACGAAGGAAAACGAATGAACTAGTTGATAAAGTGATTTGGGAAAAGTTAAATTGAAAAAGAAGAATTGATGGAAAGAATGTCGCTCTTGCTCTCTCTATTGAACTTTTGAAATTGAAGTCGCGGATTTACTCTCTCGTAAACTATCGGTCGACAAGTCGTTGCTTCTTCAGGTCAGGGGAATAAATTAGCGAAATGGACTGGTTGGTAGTATTGAACGCTTTACCTAATTTAGAAGCGGGTGAACGCTTGTGCGAGGCTGAGAAAGGGATTTCCTGGGGTGTTACAGTGGTGTTCTTTTTATCATGGATCTTGGAGGTATGAAAGATAATTAATCATAATTATATTGTTTGTCTTATCACAATATCACATCCACTCAAAACTGGACGTACCTACATTCATCTTTATACGAACGATCAATTGTTGAACGGTACCGTTCAATTGAAGGCCAGAAAACATTTGGGTCGGGAGTCCTACGCTGAAGAGATTCCTCCCAATCTTGTCAATAATTACTAGGTACGATTACGGACGGACAGCGGATAACCCTGACTGATACCCTGACTGATAGCCTAGCTGATAGCCTTACTGCTAGCCTGGCTCGCTGGATAAGCATTACATACCCTACCTACATCATATCACCACTTTAAGCTGCATCTAGGACATTTTGTTGTCACAAATTATTTGAATGATTTAGTAATGACGGTTTCTACAAGTTCTTGACGTATTCTTCTAGAACTTCATTATTTTTATACATTTTATTGGCACCTCTAGGACAAACAATATTGACATTGTGGCACGTCATCGCTATCGAAGATGAATACCAGGCCAGTGATAGAGAACTCACGGAATCCCGCAGCCTTATCAGCCTCCTTTAACCACGATGCTAGCTGCTTTGCTATTGGACTTGATACCGGATTCCGCGGTATGTATTCATCAGTAACCTTCGCAAGAATCTCATTCTCACGGTAAAACAAAGTATTCAATTCGGAAGGATGTCAACATCGAGTTACCAGAGGTATGTCTTCAACCACAACCCCGCGGGTAGTTAGCGCTGATCAATATAGATTTCAATGGTGGAGTTGGAACGGCAGAGATGCTCGGAAAGACCAACTATATAGCTCTAGTTGGTGGAGGAAAACAACCAAAGTTTGCTCAGAACAAGGCAAGCAGGTACTGGGGGTTCGAGAATATATTCGCGAGCTAACATTCTTATAGGTGATCATCTGGGATGATTCAAAGCGAAAGGTTGCAGCACAATTATCGGTCCTTACATCTGTTAGGGGTGTGCGAATCTCAAGGACTCACATAGTAGTCGCACTTTTAAACAGCATCCGCATCTACCATTTTCTCAGTACACCTGAACTATACCAAACTTACGAAACTGCAGGTAATCCTTATGGGTTGTGCTGCATGGGGGTCAGTATCTTGATCTTTCCTGGCAGAACAGCTGGGCAAGTACAAGTGGTTGAACTCAAGACTGGGAATGTTAGCATTATACCTGCTCATTCAGGGGCTCTTCGAGCTTTAGCTTTGAGCCGTGATGAGGAGGTTATTGCAACTGCCAGCGAAACTGTAGGTCTTTGATCGCTTCCATATGTTTTCAACATCTCCTAAGCTCATGCGAATGTAGGGTACACTGGTCAGGGTGTTTGCAACAAGCAATTGTGCGAAGATAGCAGAGCTTCGACGAGGTGTAGATCACGCCGATATCTTCTCTGTTTCTATTGCCCCTTCAGGCCAGCTCCTAGCTGTTACTTCTGATAAATCTACGCTCCATATTTTCGATATTCCACATCCCTCGAAGCCTCCACGATCGGAAACAGAACTTAGTCACCGACGACTTACATCTCTTGGTGGTGGTAGTCCAACAACGCCGGAAGCTGATACTAGTCACAAGTGGGGAATTCTAGGGAAATTACCTCTAATGCCCCGAGTGTTCTCAGATATATACTCCTTTGCAACGGCAACATTTTCCACCGGGGAGGAGCCCTTGTCCGCATCATCTAATCCACTAACGGCAAGCGAAGCTGGACCGAAGCCCACGAAAGGCGTCATCGGATGGACAAGTGATGAGAGTATTATTATAGTCGGAGCAGGCACCGACAGTCGATGGGAGAAGTTTATTCTTGCCGAGGGTGGAGATGGCAAGCGTTACTGCATACGGGATGGCTGGAAGAGGGTTCTCAAAGTCGAATAGATAGTCTTTTAGTTTTTTGATGCACATATGTCACGGCACGGCAAGGAGTCAGGATACCATTATCATCGGTTAGTGGGGCATTATCATATATGGGTGGGCGTTACGCGTGGACACAAAGACAGCCATAAGAGCTTACATATCGCACCGATTGGGGTTATAGAAACATGTAGTTGAGGTAGGTTCTCTTATGCTTCATTAGTGTTGCATCCGTCTATCATGTCTGTTCTCCCCTGAATCACTTCTCCTCCTTTCCCGTCGCTCGCTAGTCCTACCCTTGTCCCAATCTCCTCGTTCGTAATTCCGACGCCTTGGCGCATCTCTCTCTCTATCTCTCCGTGATCGAGAATCGAGTCTATCATCCTCATTCTCACTTGGTGATCGTTCTCGCCGTGCCCCTCTATCTCTTCTGCGATCATCCTCTGGCGACCTCTTTCTATATTCACGATTCCGATCCCGCTCCGTATCGTGGCCATGTGATCTATGTTGGGATCGATGACCATCATTTGGATTTTCCTCTTCGTCCGTAACCCGCCTAGACCTATGGTGATGCCTATGCTTTCTGCTCTTCTCTGGCTTTTCTGACTTGCTCCCCCCTTTGAACCTCGCCAGTGCCTTTGCAACCTCTTCCTTCTTCTCTTCAATCAAGAATTTCTTCATTGGATCATCCTCGTCGTGATCTCTGATCAATAGCGCTAACTCCCTCTCCTCCTTAAGCATAGGCCTATGCTCTTCTTCGTCCTCGCCATCCTCACTCTTCTCATCTTCTCCGTCCAAATCTCTATTCAGATCCATTCCAGTATCCTCCTCGCCATCCTTCCTCTTATATCTCGTGTGATCCACCTTTAACGTCCTAGAAGCAATTACTGTGCCTCCCAGATTATCGACAGCCAAATCCGTACTCCTTTGATCCTCGTATTTCAGAAATGCAAAACCCTTGGACTTTCCAGTTTCTTTATCCCGCACCAGGTTGATGTATGTAGGTTCGCCATATTGTGAGAATATGGCTAGAACGTCGCCTTCAGATAGCTCAAAAGGAAGGCCGCCAATGTAAATATAAGCTGTGTCGCGATAATCTGTATGCCATGAGGCAGATGGGGAGCTAGAAATCGGTTAGCAGACATATTTTAACGCAATGATGATCAATAATTATTGTCAACTTACACTCCATTTTCCAACTCACGTTTATTAAGGTCTTGAATCTGACGAATGCTATTCATTTTGTGGTATGTAGAGATTGAAACAATTATGGTGAGGCGGAAGAAACAAGGACAAGGCTACCTAAATTAAAGATTTGGCCCCTGCCTCGCGTGTTCGTTGCATTGATTCGCGTTCACAACTTTATGAAGCTTCCCCAAACCACAGAAGTTGATGAAGTCTAAAGCAATAAATACGAAGCTCGTCGATCCTAACTTTCCATATACTGCAGGGAAAATTTTGGGGCCGGAAAGACCAACGACAAAAACTGGGCTTGAACGGTTGTCCTGAACGCTGCATGGTTACGGGTGCGATACAGGGGAAAAGGTACCTTGAAGATAGCGAATATGGCGAATAATAGGGCTTCGTCATACACGCAAGCTACGACATCGACGGATGATGAGGAGAAGAAGGATATGTGGTCGTCAATGTTGGATGGAGTAGCGAGTGGGAAACGATTACCGGAGAAGAATATCCTTGTGCTAGGTATTGCAGCAGCATCCCGAATCTGCCAAAGAGGGGAAATACTAACATGAAGTAGGAGGGACTACCGATTCGCAAAGAGAATTTCTAGAAGCTTTGTCGGTGGATGAGACCAAAAAATCACAGGATAGACAGAGTAGCAAACAGCCTCCTATTGCAAACAACTTTGCTTTGGGATACACATATCATAATGTTTTGGATGCGGATCATGAAGGTATGCTCCAGTTAGCGCAGTTGGCCATTGGAACGAGGATCTGACATTCTTAGATATCTTGGCTCGATTATCCTTATATTTACTCGCCGATCCTTCACCCTCTTTCACACCTCTAATGCAACCGCTTCTTACACCGCAAACGATCCCAAATACACTCATTGTCATTCTACTAGACTGGTCACAACCATGGTTCTGGCTGAGAGAGCTGCGAGACTGGATATGTCTACTGCGACCGTTACTGATATCTCTGGACGAGGACTGTAAAGAGAAAATGGAGGAGGTTATGATTAGTTGGAGGGATAGAGGGCGAGGTGGGAGTACTTTGGATGGCGGAGGAAGTACTGCTACTGAGGGAGATGTTAGTCTGCCTTTGGGTCCTGGAGAATGGGAAGAAGCTCTGGGTTTACCACTATGTGTGGTTTGTCAAAATGTATGTTTTTCTTATTGTGCAAGCGCGTATACGTGCTCTGTTAACAAGTGTCTAGTCTGACAAAATCGAAACGCTGGAGAAAGAACGGTCCTGGAGGGAGGATGAATTTGACTTCGTCCTGCAGTCTTTACGTACAATTCTACTTAAGCGTAGGTTTGTTCTTTACTACTTTCTCACATACATGCTAACTATGTCAGATGGTGCATCCCTCATATACACAACACCAGGAGTTACAAGTCCCCTGCAAGGCCTGATACACTCCTCTCTCGGCATCCACTCTCTTCTTAAACGACAACCTATCAGGCACAATGTCATTGATCGCGACAAGGTAGTCGTGCCGCCGAATTGGGATTCCTGGGGCAAAATTCGAGTATTGCGCGAAGGTTTCGATGTAGAAGAAGTGAACAAAGGCTGGTCACTCGACATTGAAGAAGATTCAGGAACCATGACCAATGGTGACGGTACGGCATCACAACCAGAAGAGCCTACATCTGAAGGTGCGGTATCAGCATACGAAGAAGTCATTCGGGACCCTAGTCTCGATGCCTTACAAGCGACATCTGCAGAATCACTCAGTCGTAAGCTGGAAGTGTCTAGTCTTGATGCTCAGAGTTTTCTGGCTTCTCAAATCGAGGTCTTACATACAATAAGTCAGGGACCAGATGTCTCGAGCGTGGATAGTAGCCGTTTGGTCAATGGTCGCAAGGTGTCAAGTGAATATGGGAATGGCGAGGAGAAGGCATCGGATGAAGGAAGAGTTAGTGAACATATTGGACCAGTGCAATTCAATATGGGTGGTATTCAGGTCGATGCCGATGATATGTTGCAAAGATTAAGGGTATGTAGTTTTCTCAGTTCGAAAGTCTTTGCGCAAATCTAATAGGACACAGGATCGTCAAGCATATTCTTCACCAGAGCCAACAACTCCAGGCTCTCGTTCCGATCCATCAGCAGAAGGCAAAGTTCAAAACGAAGCATTGGCATCTTTCTTTGCCGGACTAATGAAACGAGGTGGGAGCGCGCAAAATAGTCCTAAACCAGGAGCTTCGTCCTGAGTGTACGCTTTGCTTTGTCGGCATAGTATAGGTTACTTAATTGGCCAGAGAGTCTATCCCAGTATTCGTCAAGCCAAAGTATGAACGTAGGGGATGAGTGTGGGGAAGGTGGAGAGGCGGAAAGGGGGGAGGTAGCTGAACGAGGAAAAGAGTGAGTGCCGTTTTTTGCATGATACCCGGCGGGCTGGCTAGATGTAAACTTATACATTTGTTCCATATTAATGGATTTGATTCAGAGATTCGTGGTGTGCCCTATTGAAAAGATAAAGGGATGTGTCAGGGAAGGAAGTACATTGATAGTCTGAGGTTGTGGCAAAAGTCGCACTTTGTAGCATTCAATTGAAGTCAACAAATTTATGATAATTAATTGTTTTAGATATGCAACAAAACTTTTCAAACAGAAAATAGTAGTGTGTTATTGGCTCATACTTCACTCTCACTTTCACTTTCAAGTGAAGCTTGTGTTTGCTGGTGAATTTTGATTGGTCTATAGCCTTGCATTTTGTTCTAGTCTCATATATGAAAGAGAAAAGCTTCTACAGAACCACTCCTTGTCACTGACTCGCCGCCCTCTCTTTCTTCTTCAGATCTTCTATTAACGCTTCGATTCTTGAACTTAATCTCGATACCTTTCTAACAGCTTATCATCCCAACTGTATATATTCCATTAGTTTTCCCATTGTCACTCACATAACATGATTAGAATAACTCACCTCAAGAATCTCCCGCTGAACCCCTCTTCCCTTAACTTCTCATCAACAACCAACCCTGCCATAACACCGCCAGGTTGTTCCGGTTTCAACAATTTTCCTTCTTCGTGCAACCCGATGAATTTCGCTGCGTCTTTTTGGTCCATGACTCCACTAGTACTATAACCCCTTATCTCCCGTTGCATCTCGGTATCGACCACTCCGGGACGGATAGCTAGGGTGGTAATCAGTGGTTCCTCGACGGAAAGAGTATGCGCAAGATGGTTGAGCGCGGCTTTGGAGGAACCGTAGGGTCCCCAGGTGCTGTATGCGGAGGCGGCTGCTCCGGAGGAGGTCAGGAGGATGGTGCCTTGCGTGGTGCGGAGGTGCGGGATAGAGGGGGTTATCTGTGAGGAGATTAGAAGTTAGTTGCTATATGGAGGTCTTCATGGGATTGGGGGAACGAACGAATGCTAGGGCGCTGAAGAAATTGATGTCGAATAGCGTGCGCCATTCTTCGGGTGTGCTGTCGGCTATGCGTTTTACTGGTGTTAGAGTCCCATGATTGACGATTAAACCATCGATTCTGGAGAATCGTTCGATGGTGGTTTTGACGGCTTGTGGTCCTATCTGACAATAGAGGATATGATTAGTTGAAGGTTCATGGATCCTCGGCAAACAAGAGGGCAATGGAATTCAAGGTAAATGATATCAACGATACAGCTCCCAACCAAGGGAAATGAAATTCCAAACTCCCCAAGTCCCAGTAAAAGCAGATAACTATCTGCACCTCCATCTATACTCCTCACTAGAGGGCAACCACAACCTTCCACAATCCCCTCTCCCAGACTCCTCCCCTAAAAACCCACCTTAAAATCACTCAAATCTCCCACCACAACTTCCACCTGCTCAGGATACTGTCTCTTTAATTCCTCCATGGGTCCTGCAGTCCTAGCTACAAGCACCACATTATGTTTTTCCTTGAGGAGTTTCTGAGCAATAGCAAGACCAATGCCACGGCTTGCTCCGGTCAGGATTATTGTTCTGGGTGACATTTTTATATGATAGTGTGATTGTGAGGGGAAATTATAGGTACGAGTGAGTATTGTATTGTATGTGATGATTATTGCTCTTAGGTGGTGGAGAAACGTGATTGAAGTGAAGCGATGTATCTTTGGTGGGGCAATTGGAGATCTGATATCTGGAGCTTCCCTGTGGATTCCTTTAATCTAATCTACTCTTGCACATACCGATATCGGCGTCAAATACAAATACCGTATATAAACAGAATAGCATCTTTAATACATCTGCATTATGGTCTCTCATTATTTGCATCTAAAATGTAAAAGCTTCATTCTTATTGGGTTATTGCGTCATGCAAAGTGCGGGGCGGGGCGGGTGTGGGCGAACAATTATGCAGTTAATTGTAAATCATACTTCGTGCCCAGCGATACCGGTTAAAGTACCTGGTTCTAGAGTACCTACTTAATATCATCTATTCCATATAATCTGAGAAGCACAAGTTTACCAAGTAAATTCCTACATAAAATAACAACACCCATTCAAACATTCCATCATGTCCCACACTGTAATCCTTGGCACCGGTATAATCGGTCTCTCAACCGCCTACTATCTCTCCCTCTCTCAAACCCCTACCACCACCCACCTCGTAGACCCATCCCCTACCCTTTTCTCGTCCGCTTCTGGCTACGCAGGTGGTTTCCTTTCTCGAGACTGGTTCACCGAAGAATTATCCGAGTTGGGTCTCTTGAGTTTCGAAGAACATAAGAACCTTGCGGAAGAGCATCGCGGAGACCAGAAATGGGGGTATAGTGTGAGTAGAAGTTTGAGTTATGTGAGCCGTATTGCTGCGGAAAACTCGAGGAAAAGTGGCAAGAAAGGAGTAAGGGGAGATGACTGGTTGAGATGCGGTGGAAGTAGAGCCGATACTGCAGGTGGGAATGAGAGTATAGATACTGCTGGGGAGGGACCGAGATGGCTGAGAAGAGATGATGGTGATGAACTGGAAGTCATTAGCGAGGAGGGAAGTACAGCTCAAGTGTAAGTTGGTTTGAAGCGCCTTCCCTAATGTCTAACAAAACCACGTTGACAAATCTAGTGACCCTCTCAAGCTATGTCAATTCCTCCTCACCATCTGTCTTGCCCGCGGCATCCAACTTCATCACCCTGCAAAGGCCTTATCCGTTCATCAAGATATGAGATCTAAATTATCTAGTATACGGATCTTGAACATATCCACAAATATCGAATCTGATATCCCGTGCACGAAAGTTCTGATAGCGGCAGGTGCTTGGTCACCGGAGGTATTCTCTGCTTTGTTTCCAGAATCGTCCTTAGAATTACCGGTCTCGAGTCTGGCTGGTCATTCTTTGGTGGTGAGAGTACCGGATTGGAATGATCAGCTGGAGGAAAAGGAATGTCATGCTGTGTTTGCTAGTGACGAGGAGGGGTATTCTCCCGAGATATTTTCGAGGAAGGGTGGTGAGATCTATATTGCGGGCTTAAATTCTTCCATTATACCATTACCAAGACTCGCAACAGACTCAAAGATTCAAGAGGATATCGTACAGAGGTTGGAGAAGACAGCGAGAAGAATTTTTGGTTTGGACGACGACATTGAAATGGAAGCCATCAGGAAGGGCTTATGCTTCCGACCGGTCACGAATAGGGGAACGCCAATTTTGGCGAGGATAGCCGATGCTAATTTAGGTGGAATAAAAACCAGGAGTGCTGGAGATGGAGGTGTTTGGCTCGCTGCGGGACATGGTCCTTGGGGTATTAGTTTAAGCTTGGGCACTGGTAAAATAATGGCAGAGATGATACAAGGAAAGCCTAGAAGCGCTAATGTCTCGGGATTGGGCTTTTAGCAGTGAAGGACTTCTGGTTGCAAGGAGTTTTGAGCGCAAAAGCTTCGAAAGGGTATCTCAGTTCCTCGATAATCGAGAAGTTTTTGGTATGGACTACCATCTTGCTTTTGAAAGCAATGCAACCCAAATGACATTTCATCGCGAGGTCGTTGCTAAACTAAACATACCATAGAAAACCGAAAATTACAATTCTCGATCTAAATCAGTAAATTAATCTAATGGCACGTGCTGTTACGCAGTTGCTTTTTTAAAAGTGGTGTACAGATGTTCGATATTCTTCAGATACTTTGAGATCTTGATTCATTATGTTGGAATGAGGGTCTAGAGTATATGAAATAGATAACAATCTCCATGTGAAATGAATGCTCAATGAAGTTAACTAAATCTCATTAAGTCAGTCAACCTAACATGTAACATGAAACTATCCAAGAAAATGCTCAGAAACTGAGTGATCTTTGTATTTTGATCTGAAAAGTGGCGGTTTGAGGGGGGGGCGAGGCTCAAAGGTTGCTTTTCTAAAAAAATAAATGTCTTTTTTAAGCATGCTTAAATCAGTCATCATCTTTAAGACATATATAAGGTGCAAGCTCCCACGGACTATTGCTGATGCAACATCAAAACTTGAGATATGGAACTAGACCAGGCAGGCCTGACCCTTTTTTCTTAGCCTCATCATCAACATTCACCATGAACGAAATCCACTAATCGGGATCCACCGATTCAAAAACAGTACTGGAGAAACCTCACAGCATGATTTATCCGAAGTCCTAAGATGAAGTAAGTGTGCATTGTCTCAAAAAGATCAAGTAGAACAAAGCTAACTTTGTTTCTAGGGATTGAATCCACTCTGTCTTCTCCGTATTGCCTTTTGTATGTATTTCATAACCCCCATACATTAAAGAAAAGGAATGTATTGCCACCTTGAAAAAAACATCGAATAGAAATATTGGTATGTGTACCACCATTCCTTATTCCCAATTGCTGATTGTAAGAGCTGAACAATTCTTTTGGGCTTTGTTTTGGGTGAGGATGGAGGAAGATTATGAAGATTCTGAGATTGTACTTGCTCATCTTGTCTTAAGTTGACCGGCTCCCATTTCCAATGATGCTATCATCATTTTGAAAACAAACAGTGAAGACTGTGGGAGAGAGATTTCTCATGAAACTTCAATCCCAGTGACTTATGAGGACAAGAGTAGGAAGGCTACGGAACAAGTGGGCATAATAAAGAGAACTAATATTTTTCGCTCATGCATTTTCCGCCGTGTTGACCACCTATAGAATGCTTAATGCAGCTTACATCGCAGGCGTCGAAGGCGCGACATCTTTCTCATAAACCGACGCAAATATATCAGACTCATACTCAAGATTGGACAGAGGAACCGTGTTGAACTCAGCATTCCCGATTAAACTACTAAGCGTATTACACAGGATAGTACAAATATCAAGAACAGTAGACAGTAACAATCCTGATTAAAGCACTTGCGTATAACTGTGACGACTCTTATGACTACAAGCAAATCGGCGGAACCCACAATTCCTACGGTTTTATTACTTGGCTCTTTGCATGAAGCTTCGAGTCGTACTTAAACGAAGAGGAAATACCTAAGTCGCCGCAGCGTTCTCTAGGTAGAAGGAGGAGAAGATCCAGCTTAGTCTTCCATTAGGAGTAGCCATGCAAATGCATATTCCGCCATGAACTCTCCTACTGAAAAATCATATAAAGTCGGACCCAGTCATAATGCGATTGCGATGTCCAGCGCACCACTACGATATCATTTGTAAAGGTAATCCCTCAATTCATTGACGCCATCCTTATGTACAAACACAATTGTTTCGTCCAGCAACCTCCCTAATCCCCTTATAACCCTTACTCGTCATCGTAGCCACTCAATGGTTTTCTTGGTCCGGTTGGCACTGCGCGGAGTACATTTATTAGCAATTGTAATTATCGGTGACTCTCATGGAGCGGTTTTCACGAAAACGTACTCGGATATGTCAAAGGAATTTGCGGTCTTGGTCCATCCCCGAGCCTATGGCGGATCTTTGGCACTGTGAGAATGAGAACTGGTCCAATGCCTCCGATGACTACAGAGAAGAAGATAGCGGGCTTTTCATTGGCTGCCCATCTCACGTATCGGAAAGGTTGTGAGAAGAATCGTGGTATTGTGGACGACATTTTATCTGCGATTATTAGGATATTTCTAAAATTGGAGAGGGCTTATCCTACCTTATCGAATCTCAGCTGAGTCACAAAGATTCCTTGCTGCTGAAGATTCCTGCGAGGTTCAATATCGCTCGAGGCTTGGCTTTTGACGTTGACATCGCGAGTTAAACAGTAGCATCACGTGTAGCTATATGACGCTAATAAGGACCCATGCGCGCGGAGGGAAACCCTTGGCATTGCATACGTTTCCTAAAGCTTCAAGCCGCGCAATTCACAACTTCGAGAGGAAGAATATTAAAGTCGACCACAACAAAATTATGAGGTGGATTCTTTCTTTTCTGTTACTGGGCTTGCTCAGTGCCGTCTCAGCTTTGAGCTCTGGTGGAAACAAATTATTGGTCGTATTGGAGGAATTGTCCGAGAAATCGAAATACTCAAAGTACTTTGGGGACCTTGAAGGTATGGAGCTGTTTGTGACATTGACTTATAATCTTAAGGGACATCATACTAATTTAAATGCGCATCTAGCACGAGGATACGAATTAACCTTCGAGTCGCCTAAAAACGAGAAATTGGGACTTTTTAAATTGGGGGAGCGATCCTTTGATCATCTACTCGTCTTACCATCCAAGTCAAAAGGTACGAGTCCCGACATCACTTCAACGAACTGAGTTAACACGGAACAGGTCTGGGACCAGCTTTGACACCCAAATTACTTCTCGAATTCATCAATAAGGGCGGAAATATCTTATTGACACTCTCATCGGCTCACCCTACCCCCGCTGCCCTTGTATCATTACTCTTGGAGCTCGATATTCACCTTCCAACGGACCGCAATTCTCTTGTTGTTGATCACTTCAACTATGATAGTTTGAGTGCTGCAGAAAATCATGACGTTGTTCTTCTGCCACGACCAGATGCTGTCAGACCAGATGTCATAAACTACTTCCGTGGAGATGGCAAAGGCGGGGAAGTCATTGCTTTCCCAAGAGGTGTTGGGCAGACTTTGGGAAATACCAGTCCATTATTGACACCTCTTCTCCGAGCTCCAAGAACCGCATACTCATATAACCCGAAAGAGGATGTCGAGGGTGTGGAAGACCCATTTGAGGTTGGACAACAGTTGTCACTCATCACCACCATGCAAGCTAGAAACTCTGCAAGATTTACAGTCATTGGATCATCCGAGGTCTTGGAGGATACATGGTTTGACGCTAAGGTCAAGCGTAGCGTTGGAATGGGAGGTGTTGGATCTGATGCCAAGGAGGTTAAGACTGCCAACCAAGAATTCTCTAAAGAGGTCACCGGGTGGACTTTCAAGGAAATTGGAGTTCTCAAGGTTGGAAACATCAAGCATTATGATGTCAAGAGCGATGACACAAACCCAAAGATCTACAGAATCAAGAACGATGTGGTTAGTCAGGCCCATTGTCATTAGTGAAACATCGCTAACAATCTAACAGACATACGAAATCGAGCTTTCAGAGTACTCATGGGACAAATGGGTTCCATTTACCCCACCAAGCGGGGACACTCTCCAGCTCGAATTCTCCATGCTTTCACCATTCCATCGTCTTGTTCTCGAACCATCTACTACCACCTCCGACTCTCAAATATATACCACAAGCTTCAAGCTCCCAGATCAACATGGTATCTTCAACTTTAAGGTCAATTATAAGCGACCATTCTTCACCAGCATTGAGGAAAAGAACACAGTCACAGTAAGGCATTTTGCCCACGACGAATATACTAGGAGTTGGGCTATCAGCAATGCCTGGCCATGGATTGCCGGAATCGGCGCCACAGTTACAGGATGGGTTGCGTTCGTTGCTCTTTGGTTATGGAGTAAGCCTGTACCATTGAAGTTGACGACGAGTGGAAAGAAAGTTCAGTGATAGTGTAGATCATGATCCGGGAATTATTTGTATGATAAAATCAAAGTGTATAGGGCATACATAAATGGAAATTTGTCGCAAAATGTTACATTATCTTCGCAGGGTTTGATACGAGATTTGCATGTCAAAGTTGAGTGATTATGAGGACATTGTCCAAATACAAAATGGTGTTCACAACGAGGATTTGTAGAGGCAAAAGGTGGATTGTTCAAAGCGAACCAAGGCATGAAATGATCACAAAATGGGGTGCGTATTTGAGACAGGCTTGAGCATCTCCAGAGAATGTAGACCTATTTAGGTGCTTTGTATCAATAATAACTCCTTTCTCCCGTCTATCAATTTGACCCTATCATATCCTCTCACAGCGAGCAACGCAACCTAGCTGCGTACAAACTCCACATCCAATTCAATTCTCGACGATCCGCATAAGCCTAAATTGCCCAATAAACATCGATGCTAACTTCCTCCACGGTATTGGCCCATCCTGGATATCTCGCTTTTGCCCAAACCGTGACCACATCACCAGTCTTCAGGTTACGAACGAAGTCGCCATTCGCGCTTTCTCTTCCTCTACCTTGTGCCTCTAGATCATCCGCCTCGGGACTTTCGGGGTGTATATCGTCGTTGAATCTCCATACAATGGTATGTTCCTGCGAGGCGCTTGTTGCGGTTTTGTTTTTCTGTAGGTACGTGTTGTCAGGATTGAGTCCATGCTTGAACATAAGCGGATTCTGGGCACGAGGATTCGTGGTGTTCTCAGGATTATAATTTGGGTTGTTTTGGACATCTGGGATGATGGTCTGTAAAGCGCATATTATCTCGTTCATCGAGCCCGAAGCCTGTTCACCGGTGTTGGGGAGGCGGAATTCTGGGTCGTTGTAAAAAGGTTTTGCTGAATAGATGTTAGCTTTGTGTGTAAATTGGGCGGATATATGGTTTCAATCATGATGTGATATTATGAAGTACCTTCTCTCGCGGCATATGTTCTTTCCAAGCCGACATCAAACCACGTGTATGATCCTCTGTATGTTCCCTTATCTGCACGTACTCCTCCCCATCCTTGATCATGACTCTTGATTCGAAAAACTATTTTCTTGCAGGGAAATCCCCCTCGAATTTGAGATGTTTCTGCCCATTTCTTTAGAACTTCCTCTGTGGCATTTTGTGGGATTTCGCGATCTTTTGGCCAAGGCTTGCGCTCTTGTGTAAAGTATTGTGTTTGGTTTTCTGAAGGCATTTGAAAAGCTTGATCATTGTTTCCTTTGATGCAGCCGATAGGGAGAGACCGTAGAATGAGTCTATCCTCTCCTGCACCACCGGCTCTAACGATGATTTCTCGGTTGATGGTGGGTTCTTGATGGCTGGAAAGGGGAAAAGCTGTTGTGGTATGAGGCCAATATTCGGATAAATCTAATATGGTATCGATGAGCTCTAAAGGCAACGGGGAGTCTGGGCGTAGAGTATAGAGGATGTTTTTGACAGTGAGCACATCTTCTAGAGATGGCTGATATCTATCCGAGTCATGATATTGCATGTTGAAAGGTAATTGGACCTCTGGTTCTTTGCTTTGTTCCGTTCCTGACATTATATTGGAAATGGTATTGTAAAAATGTCTCCCAAATTGTAGCATGTTTTTGGGTACGTTGGACATTGGAGACAGCAGGATAATATTATTGTATTTGCCCGATGACGTACCCACTTTGAGTTCGGGAGTGAACTTTGAAGCTACCCGCCCGTAGCGCAAGGCTGGTAGCGGGGAATCAACCGAGGGCGGCTCTAGCCTTGAGTCGGAGTGGAAACTTAAAAGTCACGCTCTAGCACGCAATTGGCTGAAAGGAATAATGGACCCTAGTACTTTACAAGTATCAAGTGGCTGCGTTTTGGGTGACCGAAATCGCTGACAAAACAAAATGTAATAGATAATAGATTAATTCAAGAGCACAAGTTATCTTCTCAGACTTCAGTTTGAGAATACTAGGTAGTCTACTTTTTATTTACAATCCATCCAAGATGAATACAACTAGAGGTCTTGTCACTGCTGTGAGAACAAGTGCGAGATCTACGAAAACCGTGCCAAGATCTTTGAGAAGACAATCATCCTTCAAAGCCATCAACCTTCTACAAAAGTCCTCCCAGAATTTCTCAAGATTATATCATGGATCTGCTACACGCAATGCTACCCCGGCGTCATTGGCAGAGGCTTCTAATCCAGCAATGGCATTTCCTTGTCTAGATGCCCTCGAAACCAAGTCTGCGACCTTAGAAGCTCGTTCACTTTCAAGTGGCCCAGAGCCATCCTATACCAGCGGAGCCACCCTCAAATACCATTGCGATGACCCTTTGCTACTCGATTGGGGAGGTGTACTGCGGAAATTTGATATTGCTTATGAGTCATGGGGTGAAATCAACGCCGACAAGTCGAATGTCATTTTACTGCACACTGGTTTGTCTGCATCTTCACATGCACATTCAACACAAGCGAATCCCAAGCCAGGGTGGTGGGAAAAGTTCATAGGTCCGGACAAAAGCCTCGATACAAGCAAATATCATATCATATGTACGAATGTTATTGGGGGGTGTTATGGCTCAACAGGACCCTCGACGATCGACCCTGCCGATGGAAAACGGTATGCAACGAGGTTCCCAATTCTTACTATGGAAGATATGGTGCGGGCACAGTTTCGATTACTCGACGGGCTCGGAATCACAAAACTATATGCCAGTGTTGGCTCGAGTATGGGCGGCATGCAATCATTGGCTGCCGGCGTTCTATTTCCTGAAAGGGTTGGCCGAGTGGCCAGTATTTCAGGGTGCGCACGAAGCCACCCATACAGCATTGCAATGCGCCATACTCAACGGCAAGTGTTGATGATGGATAAGAACTGGAATCGAGGATTTTACTACGATCATATTCCTCCTCACGCAGGTATGAAACTTGCGCGTGAAATTGCAACGGTAACATACCGTTCGGGGCCTGAATGGGAGTTAAGATTCGGTCGAAGAAGAGCCGATCCAAGCAAGCAACCTGCCTTATGTCCGGATTTTCTTATCGAGACATATCTCGATCACGCAGGAGAGAAATTTTGTCTAGAGTACGATCCAAATAGTCTCCTCTATGTTAGCAAGGCCATGGATCTCTTTGACCTCGGCGCAACAAATCAGCTTGGTGCTTCATCAAGGAGGGCGGATAATCTGGCACGTAGAAAAGCTGGGTCTGAATCAGAATCTTCCCTTGGAGATGCAGCCTGCAGCCTTACTCTTCCCGAGAGCCCATACGAGGAACAACCAGAAGCAAATGGGCCAACAGATCTTAATACACCCATTGAGCCATCTTCTGGTCCTCCTGCTGATTTAGTATCTGGGATGAAAGCCATGAAAGATCATCCTACCCTAGTTATGGGTATTTCTAGCGACATCCTGTTCCCGGCGTGGCAGCAAAGAGAGGTTGCTAATACGCTAAGAAAGGCAGGAAATACCAAAGTAAGCCATGTCGAGCTTGGGGAGGACGTAAGTCAATTCGGACATGATACATTCCTATTGGATGTAGAGCATGTCGGCGGGCCATTGAAGGAGTTCTTGGGTTGAGAGAAGTACTGCACTTTTCTTTGAAACCCAAAATGTATATCACGAATAAGACAAGGCATGGCTTGATGGCGTTTATGGAGCTGTAAAAAGTGGCGTACATGTTTATGGTTTATGCTTAGGATACCAGAAATCCCACGTTCTTCTCAATTCTCATGTGTCAGACGATTTCCACCCCGTCCACGTTTTCCTGCCACTCTCCAGAGTTTCTACGAACGAACCTATTATTCAATCCACTCATCCAATTTACCATCTTAAAACTTTTCTTTTTCTTCATCGGAATTGTCCGACCCCAGACTAGACTCACATTGTCTCGTTCTTAGCTTCGGACAATATCCCAGCTATCGCATATATTAATCCAATCATAAGCTGTTGTTTCACGAACTTGCCTGTCAACTGGATCCACCATGCCCCACTATTCAACACTGGAGGAGCATCCAAGAAAGTTAAAGGCATTTGAATTCCCATGATTGATTTTCTTTTTTTTTCTACTCTTTACAACACCGGTCAATGAATCAGACAAGATAAGATAGTTACTACAGTGAGCGACTTGAAGTCTTTGCGCTCACTATTTGCGACGGTGGAGGAGAAGAAAGACTTTTTAAATTATATTTGGAATTTTTTGGGAATTGGTTTGCGATAAACCGCCTAATACATCATACCCCTCATTCGATTAACGTCATTACTACTAAAAGTACCTCACGCTTAAATAACCGGAAAGTATTTTCAGCACTAATCGTGGATCCGGATTCGAGAACTGGACTTTTAGAGGACACCTTCTATCCAGACTCAAACTCAGACATCAGTTCCGAATATCGAGACGACGACCAGGATCAATTGGAATTCGGTACAGACAGAGCTAGAAGAGATAACATGAGTTCCATAAAGGGAGATGGTGCGAAAGCAATAGGGGTAGAGACCAACATCAGTTCTCTGGGAGGAGAGAGACAAACAAAGTCGAGTGATAGCGCAGCTCCAGGAGGTAGTGGGAGCTTTGAGAGGGCTGGCGATAGAGCCGCGGAAGATCAGGTTGATGCAGAAGTTCTGGAACATGCCATTGAGAACTTAGAAGCTAAAAAGAAGGCGTGGTGGGCTTATTTGCTTACACGAGATTTTTGGATTATCTTACTTCTTGGGTATGTTGCTTGGGGCATCATTTCAATTCTCATAGATGTCAATGCTAATACATTGGGTTTACAGACAAATTCTTTCTCTATGCATCACGGCTACGAACACGTTCACAACACTCCTTGCGAACAAGGGAACGTCGATTCCGGCTTTTCAGACACTTTTCAATTACATAGTTTTGTGCGCTATCTACACGACATATACTATTTATAAGTATGGATGGAGAAATTTCTTGAAAATTCTCTGGGTAGATGGCTGGAAATACGCCATCTTGTCTTTCATGGATGTCGAGGGAAATTATTTCACCGTGTTGGCTTATCGATGGAGTACGTTATCTTGAATTCCAAAATAAGATTTTAATACCTGTTTTGTAGTGCGAAGTTACTAACATTCTATAGCCAATGTTCTCAGCGCCCAACTTCTCAACTTTTGGTCTATCATTTGCGTTGTAATCGTTTCTTTTATTTTCCTCCGCGTTCGGTACAAGTGGCTTCAGGTCCTTGCCATTCTTGTTTGTTGTGGTGGAATGGGCATCCTCCTTGCATCTGATCACATTACTGGATCCAATGGAGGCAGTCCATCGACCATGTTGAAAGGTGACCTTTTCGGATTAGCAGGCGCTACCCTGTACGGACTCTCCAATGTTTTTGAGGAATGGTTCGTTTCCAAACGTCCCATGTACGAAGTCCTAGGCATGCTTGGTCTCTTCGGAATCATCATCAATGGCATCACAGCCGCCATATTCGATCGTCACTCATTTAAAACCGCCGTCTGGGACGGCGAAGTCGGTGGCTACATTGTTGGATACACACTCGCTCTCACACTCTTCTATACACTCGCCCCCATCATTTTGCGCATGGCCTCGGCGGCATTCTTTGATATATCGCTTCTCACGGCTAATTTCTGGGGTGTCATCATTGGTATCAAGGTTTTTGGATACACGGTATACTTCTTGTATCCAATAGCTTTTGTGTTGATCATCCTCGGATTATTTGTATATTTCTTAGCAGGCAGTATGCTGGGAGATGCGGTCAAACCGTGGTTAGGCAAAGATCAACAGGCCGGCGTAGCGGGTGTAGGAACCGCAAAGTTGAAGGCGATCAAGGAGGCGAGGAGAGAGGGACTGGTTAATACGGGGGAGAGAATGGCTTGATGGTTTGGTTGATAATATGATATGATAATACCTAATGATAGATCTTCTTGGGAGGAAAGACAGGATAGAGAGTGCTAAATGCAAGTAGAAGAACGCATAATTATGCATTAATAATATACAATACTTTATAGTTGTGACACAGTATTTCTAGCGAGCTTTGTTATGAAAGTCGAGAAGGAAGGAAAGAAACACGTCACTGTCAACCCTCACTTAGTTCCCTCTTCTCTTAGTGGAGGTAGGGAGGGCTCTTACATGTTATGATGTTTATGCTCAGTTGGCGGACACTGGGTACATGAATTTAAGAGTATGTACACATAAACGTATACAAAAGAAGACTATGATGATTTGTTCTCATCAATAGGGCTAGGGCTAGGCCTCAAACCAACCCCTTTTCTTCATGTTTGCTTCGCTTATTCGATGGATATATACTCGAGTAGATAGATGGTTATTTGGCTTGTTTAGTCTTAGGGCTAACTGCTGGCTATATAGCCTTATCTGTCTGTAGTGGTGAGGAAGTGAGGAAGATGGAAGGAGAGAAAGGGAGAAAGAAAGGAAGAAATGGAGGTGAGGTTAGTGTAAAAGTTCTGTCGGTATTTATTCGAGTAGATATGGAGTGGAGTAGAGTTCTTCTCATGTTGTAACTTGTAATTACTTGATGCGGTCACAGTCACAGTCACCTGCGAGTTTTTATATATCATTTTTATATCATATCATATCAAGTCATGTCAAATCACCAAAACAGCATAAAAACTCTCAATTCTAGATTCTAGATTCTAAAAAGGAAAACAAATTCTCATTTAATACACAACACAACACAACTTAACCATCAAACCAATCAATCAAATCAAATCAATCAATCAACCGAAATCAAGCCCGCGCCCAGCGCCGCTTTCTCACCCCATCTCCCCAGTTCCACTTTCTCCCTCTCCCTCACTGCACAACACAACACCTTTTCAAACTCTCATCATTCCGCACCTTTTCAGCCTCAATGAGATTCTCCTGACACCCAGCACACACTTTTTTTGCGCGAACAGTTTCTTGGTGGTAGAGAGGACATTGATGCGGTTGAATCTTGGCTTTGCGTGCTGAGCGGCAGCGGTTCACCCAGATGCTGTGGTGGTGGCAGGTCGAGAGGGTTTTGGTGGATGTGCACATTGTGGTTTTTTGGGGGGGATATGAGTTTTTGGGTGGGGGTTTGGGGGGGTGTGTGGTGGTGTGTTGGTGTTGTGTGGTGAGAAGAGAAGAGAAGAGAAGAGAGGAACAGAGATATATGACGGGGACATATACTCCAAGTAAAGCACTGTCGTGATATTGTTCCGAAATTTTCAGGACAGAGAACTAGGGAGTAAAGTTGAGTAGAGTTGTTCATCTTACTTACTCAGTGCTCACTGTACTCCATCTGTACTGAATTTTCTTTAAACATTGAGCTTAGCTTAGCTGTGAGAACTTCCTGAACAATATCTATCACTAAATACGCAGATGCCTTGCGATTCTCGATTCTTCGCAGTGAAGAAAAGAAGCTTGGTTGATTGATTGATTGAATGATTTCTAAGTGATGGAAATCTGAATAATGGGAATAGAGGGTTATGGAAAGATAGAATTATTATCGAGGAAGTTTTGTAGGAGGAAGGTGTAGGAAGTTGTAGGAACGCTCTATCTGGATTTTCGAGATATTTCCTCCTGGTGAAACTTCACGCTGTTACTACAACACAATACAAGTAAGTATATGAGGATCGGAGAATCTTCTAGTCTAGAGTGAAAGTGAGATGATGGTTCTCGTGGTTGTTGGTATCTGGAAGGTGATGATATGATTGATGGTCATGATCGTCATGTTTGTGAATATGTCCTTCCCCTTCCTCACCCTATTCATCTCTGATGTTTTCAATACCTACCTACGCAAGCATCACTAGCATCACCTCATACCGAACTATCGATACCAACCATACCATCTACTGACCAGTACAAAGAAACACTGAGTTCCTTGTCTATGATATGATACAATTCTATAGTGATTTCTTGAAGGGAACAATGTAACCAGAAGCTTCTCTATTCATCAATCTTCATCAAAGAAAATCAAGAAGTTGTTCATCTCATCAAGTCTTTCGGATCTCTTTATCTTTGTCTTTCTCTGTACTCGAGTAGTCTCAAGCAATGCTCTCCTTATTGCTTGCTTGCTCATTTCAGAGACTGTACATACACTGTACAGTGCAATTCTTCATTTCTAGATCATATCATATCATATCATTCTATTATCTGCCTTACTTACCTTCCTTACCTACCTAATTAGCTAGAGCCTAGTCTAGCCTAACCTAATCTGAGACGCATCACACTCCCAAATATATAGTATACCTACATATATATCTTCCAACTCTGATATAATGGAGTGGTATGGTATGGTATGGTAGCCTACTAGGCTACAACATATCGTATATGGGACTCGTATAAGTCGACGATGTGAGTTGATGATGTGAGTAATGGGTATTAGGTAGGTATTAGGTACTGTATTACCTAGTTAGGTATCTCTCTCATACGGAGTCTTCTGTCTTCTGTCTTTTTTCTTTAGGTTATCATAGATCGATATGTGTTTGTGGTGATGGGACGTGTATTTGAATTGGGTTTAATGTATATACACCCTTTTTGATATAGTAGGTAGATAGAATTAGAGGTGATTGATTTCTACTCTATATAATATTATGGTTTTTATTGGGACTTACTTTATCATGATCTCTTGATACAATGAGGAGGTTCTATTATCCGACACTTCTTATGATATATATATATATAGCTATTAAAACTACAGAAGAAGTGTATACATATATAAAATATAGAGTTTATCATCTGAAATCTTTGTGCCCAAGATGAATGAAATGATTTTATATAAAGGGATCAAGCTTGTTATATTATACCATCACCACCGCCATCCACTGGCAATAGACTAGACCCCGCAATACGCGATTTTAATATGATACAGAGACTATATAGACTCAATTATATTAAGTTGACCGCGACCTAACTCTTTTTATTTCAAGTAATTGATCTCATTGTCATTACCTAGCTTCAATGAACCAATTAACCCCAATTATCTACTCGAGTAATTTCTAATTTCCAATTCCAAATTTCAATCTTCCAACTCTTCATTGTTCATTCTCTCTCTCCAAATATCCATCTGCCAAACTCCTTATCAATGGCTCGTATAAATCCAAATATTACCCCTCTATTCATCACTAGCAATTACAATTATTACCCCTCCATCTAATCGCAATCACAATCACAATCATAATCGCTATCACACTTCGATAAATTCTATCAATATATCAATATGAATACTACCTACTACCTAGTATACTCGAGTACTTTCCGGTAACTGGTGGTTATATATATTTTAAAGTTTGGTTTTTTTTTTAGATATCTAGTTTACTGTGATTATGATTATGGTTACTGTATGGATTGTGATTATGATTATAACTTTTACTTGTATCATAGTATGATGTGATTGATATGATATACGAGTATATGATATTGAGTTCACAGGTAAGTAAATAGATAGATTGGAGGTTCTTTTCTTGGTGCAAAAATATTGTATTGTATTGTACTGTGTGATTTTTCTGGTATGTATTTGAAATTAGGTTTACGGAGTACGGAGTATTGTGTTGTACATACAGTATTTGGGTTGTGGTGTGCATGAATGGATCTATAATACCATGGCATGTACCCACAGCACGTATACTGTACTGGATCTAGTATCTACTGGTCGTGCATGAATTGATGTCGTGTTGATGCTTTGTGCAGGTGGTTGCTTGGCGTTGTGGTATTGAATGTATAGATTGGTCCTGGATAGGTTGTAGATACTGTACTGTACTGAAATGTGTAGATGCTGAATGGAATGGATAGAGAACTGGCTATTATTGGATATATCTTATAGTATGTACTATGCAACTTATAGTGTGGCATAGATATGCATTATTGATCCTTTTGTGATGGTTTGGGTTGGGTTGACTTTTGGTGTTTCAGTTAGAGGGGAATGTTTCAGTTTTTTCGGTTGGTTTCGGAGATGGAGGGAGGGAGAGAGGGAGTGAGAGAGAGGAGAGAATGTGAATTTGAATGTGACAGAGGGGGTGTGGTACGAGGGAAGTTGCAAAGTAGTACGAAGAGAGTATGATGGATGAGGTGATTAAGGTGATGACTTTCTATCATATGATATGGAATCAGGATAGGATGGTGGGGTGGTGAGACAAGATGGAAAAGATGGGGGAATCTGAATCTTTGCATGTGATGAAAGGGGCGATAAGTCTTCATGTTTACTTTGAAGAATCTCTTGATTCATGGTGGATGAGAGGGTAGGTATCAGGAGTGCAGATGACCTTTTTATTGGCGAGGAGGGGGTGCTCGAACCTTGTATTATAGATTGTGAAGGGGACGGATGATCATTTCATGAGATAAGATTAGTACCTAAGTCTCAAGTACATAGCAACCTCTTCACAAAACAAAACTACTCTTGAATTCGAGACCCAGCTTAAGTTTAAGTTGTTTAACTTAACGAGAAGAACCACCCCGAATGAAGGAGGTAGGTGTGTCGATAAAGAATCATGATATTGATATATCAGAACCGCATGTACGAGACCACCATGGTACAGCATTCTCCACAATGTTCCGAAGAACGCGCATCTATCGCCAATGGGGATGCGATGCGATGATACATGATAAAGTATACTGTGTTGTACACCACAAAGTTCCGGTGCATGCAAGAGTGGAGTACGTCATGATGATTTGGACAATGCCAAATTGCCAATTGATGAGAATCTCCAGTTGTTTATGTGTATCATTGGGCTTGAGGGGTAGTATACTATGACTTTTAGGTAATTGTAGATAGATGGTTAGTAGCAATAGGTGGGAATAGAATGGTTGTTGATAGTAACTTGATACACGTGTACGGAGAACGATGGGTTGAGGGAAGAACTAGTAGGGCTGGGTGGTGTTGTGAGGTGCTTGTTGTGTGGAGTAAGGTCGAAACACGTTGAAGATGAGAAAGTTGAGGGGAAGATAGGATGGATAATGGATCATGGATGGGATCATTGGGATGGGATGGGATGGGATAGGGAGAGAGGTATTTGTCAAGACTTCAATTGTGTATTGCGAATTACGAATTGGGTTGAGGGGGGGGGGGTGGAGGGTGGAGTGGAGTATGGTTGTAATGGAAATGGAGATTATGCTTGTTGAGTTGGTTGTGAAAGGAAAAGGTAAAGAGAGAGAGAAGGGCAAGAAGGGGTGAGATTAAAAGCTGGTTGAGGCGAAGTAATCGAAGTAATCGAAGTAACCTATAGTAGGTAGAGGGAAGGTGAGTATGAAGGGGGGACATGAGGACGGGGAGACGAGACATAACCTAAAAATTGCATGAATGGAAGGAATCAAGAGTTTGATACTTTTTGATTTCAAATGATGTTGGATTGGATGGATGTCTTGGACCATTGATTGAGTGAGAAAATAGGTCGATGATGGTTTTCAATTGCAATTGATACGTATACGAATGGATTAGAAGGAATTGAATTATTAGAATGGAATGGAATTGAATTGGATTATGATTCAAATATCTATTTAGCTGCTTCCTAATTGCTTTCAAGTTTCAATTACCTACCAGTCAGTACTCATGAATTGATCGATTTCTTCATATTGAAAGCCTCATCTATAAATATGATAGCTGGATATCATTAACTCATTCCCACTTATGCAATTATGCCTTCCCTTTTCCCCTACTAATGCTATAAATGTACACAATTGCATAAATTTACCCGCGGCCGCCGCCGCTACATAGGCAGATACCGGCCCAAAGTAAAATTATTTACCGAATTTAGTGTATTCAAATATCAGCCTGATCTTAAAACTAATCCTAATAAGGTATAATGTATATATTATCTAGGTAATAACAACTTTCCTCAGGTGAGTCACATCTTTGTTACACATCTCTCTCTCTCTCTCTCTCTCTCTCTCTCTTCGCCTCTTTTTCCATCCGACAACCCATATCAATATTGACCAACCACAACTTCCAATTGTTTGCAACCCAACTCCTATCCCACAATCTGGAAGTCTGGCAAAGAAGTGAAAGAAGGGCACATTGAGTATCAATTGATCAATTGTATCCATTACATTTGAGACAATTGGTCGTGAGCCAAGTAAAATGAAGTCAATCTTTTACTACAATTACTCCCTTTTTTCTCACACCGACCCAGCCTCGAAGTATCTCGCACAGTTATTTGCCTTCCAAAGAAAGATACGCTGACGAATTATGGTTCCAATATATCATTATACTATTATGCCATTGGCCAATTGGTCTTTGATTATCCTTCTGGTAACTTCTACCTGGACGAGAGACAACGAAAGAGCCTTATTACGAATCTTATACCGCCTTATCCTAAAGTTGTCTAGAAAGGAAGAGTACTTGTACTAGCATAGGCATAGGCATATACATACTTCAAATCAAAACAAAGAAATGATAATTAAAAGAAAAAGAAAAGAGTATAGGTAGGCAAACAAGACAAAGATCAATGCAATTGGAACCAATCAGGATTGTTAAATCAGTCAAAAACATTCAAGTTCTAACCTCTGCCTCCTGACAAGAAGCAAGTCTCAAAAACCATTTCATACCTCCTTTTTTATTATCTCTTTGTCTTCTTGTGTCTCTGTCTCGTCCCATCTTATCCTATCTTATCCTAGGTATACCAACCAACAACAACACAACTTCTTATTTTTATTATTATTATTTATCAAATAACTTTTGATATTATCACCCAAAAGAATTAAAAGTACCATATTCCAATTGCGCTTATTAGTGCATGACCAGTTGAATTGATCATCTCGTGGCAGCCTACGAACCGTCCGCTGCTGTATTGGAACGACTGGTTATAGTCATCCGCCTCAATCCATATTCATACACACACGCACGCTTTATACATCTTCTCACACCTCTCAATTCCCCAAAAAAAGTACCTACTTATTGTTCAAACTATCTCTCTCGCATATGCAATCTATTTATTTTCCGTTGCTTCTGTTACCTTTGCTTTGCTTTACCACACGCATATCTCTCACTTCATTGCCATCTATCTGATTCACAATTGATTGCATTCCTCTCTACATTCACCATAACAATAACGCAATACCCCGCCATCGTTCAATTGAAATTCGTATTTCAATTAGATCGCGCTTGCGTTGACTGGAAACAGGCACAAAGAACTTCCAGCCTGAATCTCAGCTGACCAATTCTACACAACACTTACTCATACACAGCCTTCTTGAGATATCTACCATATATCTGTCTCAATCTCCAGACTTCTTTCAATCATCTATCTAAGAAATCATATCTGCGGATTTAAGAACGGGAATTTCGATTCTAAGGTTACCACAGAGTGGCGCGGGGCCGCGAACAAACGAATATGGATGACAAAACATTCACCTCGATCCTGCAGCCTTCTACTACCTTCGATCTTAGACAGTCACCGATTGCTACAAAATCATTCACCAATTCATCAACCTCCACTCCTACACAATCAACTCAATCCATCAAACCAATCTTTCCAACCTCTCGACCCATGAATATGGAACGTAAGAATCAACTCAATATTACAAATACTCTTATGTCACCACCAGAAGCACTTCCTCTCGACAACTTCACACACACGAGCCAGAGATTTGCAATGGATTCCAAGATGCGAAGACCACACCCAATCGTCGGTGCGACGTTTCCCATATCGCCACCTGTGTCTCCAGAGACAAAACCTAGGTCACCAGAAGAGCCCGCTGGTTCACAAGCAATTACCGATCCAATTCTCTACCCACTTTCCGACAATCAAGGCATGTCTGCCACTCAACCATCCCTCTTCGACGTTAATGACAATGCCCTCGTCAAACACCGAGTAGTTGATGGCCATGTTGCAGCTAGGAAAGCTAGTATGTTTCGAGAAGCCTCCCCTCCACGCCGCGACGAGTACGAGCTCGCCCTCGAATTCAAATCACAAGTTGTAAAGATCATGTCAAAGGATCCTGCACTCTGGCTACGAAGGGAGATGTTTTATCTAAGGGAAGATCGGGAACAACAATCTGGCACAAGACGGTGGACAAACATTGCCCCTGCAGTCGGCAGAGGCACTAGGGTTTTAGGCAACACTGCCACAAGAGTCACAAAGACAGTGCGCCCCCCGAGACCTACTCAGACACCTCGTGGAGTTCGCACAGTACCATCGGGAACTCCTGGCCCTGATATCAAGAGAGTTGCTCGAGAGGATAAAGATTTCGAGAACCTCCCAGATTACTGTCCACCAATCACCAGCCTTCCTAACAAAACCAACTCACTGAAGGTTGATTGGAAGGGAGCTCCAATTGATCTCCGAAATGACTCGAATGTACACCTTCTCCATCCCGATGAGGTTTCCCTGGCAGCCAATCTCCGCCTCGACTGTGCGACTTATCTTACTTCCAAACGACGAATCTTTATTAAGCGAATTGAGGCATTGAAAGTCGGCAAGGAGTTCAGAAAGACCGATGCCCAACAAGCTTGTAAGATTGATGTCAACAAGGCTAGTAAACTCTGGCAAGCATTTGACAAAGTCGGCTGGCTTAATCCGACTTGGGTCAAGAAGTATGCCTAGAGTGATGACTCTTATAGACAGATGAGGTCTTGCTATTTATCATCACTACTCATTTACTGGTATACTATACCAGATACGATACACGATTACGACGACTTCGCCTACCCTTTTCATCTATGCTCTTTTGCTTACTTTCAACTGCATTGCGACGGTTATTCGCACATACCAAGACCCCCCTTTTTTCATCACAGTACAAGCATGTGGTACTTTGTCCATTTGTTTCATTTCTAATTTCGGCCTGGTGCATATCATACATACATATCAATATCATATTATCCTTGCATCGGGTTGTTTTGATACCCAAGAGAGCCCACCCAGCTCCTCTCTCACGACAACTTTCCACTTTGTTTATTCCCCCTTTTCTCTTTTTGGCAGGAGAATGTTATATTCTAGCTTGCTTTTTCTTTATTTTACCTTGACTTTAAAGTCTGGATGGATCTTCAACATGGAGGATGGATTTCTTTCCCCTTAGATATGATCGATTGCATGGAAGAATCTATGGTTTTCCTCTCGGATGGTTGGGGATACTATTGGCGTTTTTGATTCATATGAGTCTTACTTCACTATACGCATGGGCTATGGATGGTTTTGCGGTTAGGATATGGCATGGCATGGCATGGGGATTTATCTGGAGAATGGTTGCATTGGGTATGGGGTGGTGGGTGGATGGGGTTGGATGGGGAATTTTCTATGGGGACGGAATGGGCTGGACTGGAATCAATTGGATTGGATGGGATGGATGAATATGAAATGCCATGTCATTAGGTTGAATTGGTCGATTAAGTGAGCATGGCATGACATGGTCTTTGTGACGTGGGCAGGCATGACAATTATCTTGTATCGAATCGATTGAGTAGGCGAGGGATACTGATAGGAGGTTGTCATAGTGCGTAGCTCAGCGCGCAGTGCGTTATCGAAGTAATTATATTATCCTACCTTTATCTTATCTAGCTAGTGTGGAGATGGAAATGGAGATGGGGAATATGAATCCGATATATTTAGAGTACATTTGGCTGGCTGACTGGTAGCTGTTTGGAGTGATGTTTGTGACTTACTTGAGTGATTCATATGTATGTG